TCTTAATTACCACACTATTGAACTTTAAGCTGGAAATCTGTCGCAAGGGCAGCATGTTATTTCGTTTTATAATTAAACGGATCAGACCAAACAACACGGTGTCTATTATTTTGAACCCGCCTTTTGAAGTCGGAAAACTCATTTGAATTACAATATTTTCAAATTTAATATTCATATTTGCGCTTAGTCTTGCACGTGGAAAGAGCGTACAACTTACAAGAAATTTGAGCGTCTAACTTAGCTTCTATGGAGTCAAGAAACACGTCATTTCAACCCTATAACCCAAAAACCTAGGATATTATCTGTTCTGTCCATGTCGGCTAGTGTTTCTTTAACTGGATGAAGCTGTTCAGATACCATGCCGATGACTTGTGATCTTCATTTTTTCAAGACATTCATTCAGGTGTGTTACCTAGAAAAAGTTACATTTGGATAGAAATACAGTGTGCATCTTTCTCGTTATGACCCTTGTAAAGTTAATTTACAGAGTCAAATGTATGAAGGAAGAACGTTGTGCACATAGCAGAGTGCAGTACAAACCCTCAGTGGCAGCCACCATCGACAGTTCTTTTTCAGCGTGACCTTGATGAAAATGCGAGAAATTCGTACTTTATTGTAGGTGTAGTTATCACTCATTTGCTTATATCTCTTCTCATTCCAAAACCTATTTTTTCAAGCAAGCATGACAAGTTGCCAGAATTAGATATATAGCGAAAGTTTGTTTCGAGGTCCAAAAAAAGATATTGGAGAGAGAGAACGCTTTTCGCTGCTGTTTCATCAGAAGTGGGTCAAGATAATTTTGATACGAAGGAAGTGTAAGTTTTTGTTGGAATAACCACGAAATATGTTATAAAATATACTGATAAACGTCTCTCCTTACGCAAGGGTTATTGGTCTCGAAATGTCACAAGATTAGCTCTAAGTCGCTAGGAAATAACTTCATTCTTGCAACTTGAAATGTTCACCCAGTCAACTCATTCATTAGCTTTCATAAATAAAGAGTGTTGACGAAAAGTGTGTTTCAAACATACTCTTTTTTTCCTTTACCCTATAAGCTCGCCAGAGAAGGTGAAGGTAATCGTGGAAACGTTATATCGTAGACTCTGGTTTTTCGTTACCAGAGGATTGGATCGGAGGGCAGTACTTGCTTTTATTTACGTTGTAAAGAAACCTAAAAACATGCATATTAGTCACCTGCTATGTGCCGAAAAGAGTTGCTATACTTCTTTTAACTTGATTTAAACAACAGAAATCAGACTTAATTCTGTCAGCTGTCAGGAAAATCCTGGATGAAGAGACAGGCCCTAATTTAAAATCTTTTGCTTCTACCCTTGCCATATTGAATGTAAAGCGGGTACTGCATTACAATGGTAGCCTTTACGACGAGTTTTTTGAGAGCTGTCTTTTTATTTCCATTCAACGTTAAAATTCTCCCTCTCTCTTCCTATCTCTCTCTCTCTCCATCTCTCTCTCTACATGCGTTGATTTCCGCTAATATAAGGCACACTTGAAGTAATTTTTCATGGTTCTTGTTGTATTTCCCTTTTTCCCTCTCGCAAAGTGTCAAGCATAGGATAGAAATCAAGGAATGCAAGAGAGGGAAGAACAAAGAATATGTAATAAGGTTGGTTTTCTAGTTTTGTAACAGATGAACTCATTAAAGTTTGTAAATCTCGTCAACGCCGAAAACTAACCAAAGTTGAAAAATAAAGAAACCTGCTGATGAAATCACATCAGTTTTTCTACGATCTCTTTTCTCTTTGGTCACCGTCTGATTAAGAAAATTATGAGTGATTTAATGCAAGTCACCTTAATTGTTAATTTTTATGTCCGTGTCAAAATACCTTATCACTGTTGGCAATATTTTGACCATCTTCCTGTCTTTCCAAATTTTAGGAAGTACTATCTGACTAGGAAATTAATTTGAAACTCTAAAATAGCTCATTTGAAACACAGAAGATCTCCGTAATAAATAAACAAGTATAAATAAATGAATAATTGTTTGTTATTCTCTTAGGAAGAGAGCGTGACAAAAAGAACGCAAAGGTAATAAAAGAATGTAACTCACTGACGAAGGAAAAATTATTGAGGGAAAACTATGATTGAAGGTATGCAAAATGGATTAAAAGCGTTGTCACTCTATCACACAAGATTAAAACTACATGCGCGCTGAGTTACTTGTTATTGACTGAGTGACCAGCCACACCGTGCGTCGAGCCGCAGTTTTCCTAAGACGTACAACTTCATTTGAACGGTTGTGGAGAAGATGTTCATTCGTCTTGTCTCGAGTGTTGGACAAAAGTAAAAAATTAACTGTCCCCAGGAGGAATCGAATGTCAAACCTTTTGATTTCGCGCTCCGATGCCTTACCACTGGGCCACAGAGGCCCCACGATGAGTTACGCCATTATAAGGACCTTGGTTGACACGCGTCTAGCATACAGCAAAGATAAGCAATGTCGAAAGCCTCATATGACAATAAGAACGAGACGAGACGGAAAAACATTTTTAAATCATTTTGCCTTGCTCAAAATTTATCATCTTTCTTATTTGAAATGTTATTAGAAGTTGTTAGTGAACTCCAGAAAGAGCGATATGCATATGCCGCCCTAACCCATGGCAAGTTCAAGAAAACTGCAATGCCCCAGTTGCCTTGTCTAAGACGGCGAATTTTGGTACATTAGCCTATGTAACATGCGTCATTTTAATTTCTGAGGTTTGTTTCACAGCGGTGGCCGAAGATTGCCACCATATATATGTCGCGATGGAACTTGCGCGTGAGAACACATCATGATCGCAATCGCTCTGACATCATGATTTATAAAAGTTTTTGACAGAGACGAAAACTGCATTGCAGGAGTGTCAACCATGTTTGAAAGTTTTGTTACTGTAAATAAGCTTATGACAATCTTACAACGTGAAAACCTTACAAAAAGTCGGTAAGTCCATTTCTTAGATAAGACGAAGAGATGTTCAAAAATCCAGTACATGTCTCTTCTCCTCCTTCGCCAAACAGCCATAATTGGTATGTTCCGATAACGTGTTTCAATCGCAAGAGAAAAAACCACTCAATCACCAGTGGAACTGAGGTCTAAATGGCAAACTACATTAGCAAATTTGAAAAGGAATCGCTATGCAAGAAAACAGATTTAGTAAATAATAACAAGCCGTTAACATTGTATTATGGCAGTAGACTTAAACATCATACTCATAATCGCATTGTCTACCATAATTCTTTCAAGGTGAGGAGTTCGAAAGCTTCCCCATGGCGCTGGGGTTATTTTCCAATGCTGATAGCAAAAGTGATCGACAACCACCATGGTACTGCGTTCCACTACTTCCGTTATTCGTACTCTACACTTGTTAAATTAAGTTCTACATTCTAGTTTAACTTAAACTCTAATTAAAAAAGGGAGCCTCACCTATAAGCCTTCATGGCTTCTTGAGACTTCCTCGCTTTTTTCCTTTTCCTATTTTATATTTCCCATGTATTATCTATGCAAATTAGCTTTGTTCCCCTTTTAATATGTAATAAAGGCAAATTTTAAGAAAAAAAATTAATAAATTCCGTGAATCACTCCAAGCACTACAATGTAGAGCAAACTGTCAAGTAAAGCTTGTAAAATTCAATACACAACGGCGGCACCAACGTACAATGGCACCGACAAGACAAGAATATCCTGGATGAGAGATGTTCCATAATTGCAGAACAGAAATACGCAATCCATGGTTTTTGGAGTAATTTTTCAATTGGCCGGCGTAAACTATAAACCAAAGTTATTACAACAGCCAATAGTAACGAAGTTTTGCATCGTTATTAGCCAATGAGGTTTCAAAGGAAATACAAGCAAACTACAAAAATTGGGGGCAAACGACCAGTCACGATTCTTTCTCGTTTGCCATCTGATTTGTTTCGTACATTGAGCGAGTTTCTAGACCAATCACAGACCGAAATAAAGAAAACCAAAGCAGTAGGGGATTACTTTTTACACTCAGTTAAGAATTGCTCTATATCAAAATTTCAATCAAACCACGAAAACTCGATAGCAATTCAGTGACTTAAGCTCATCCAAACCAAAAAACATGCGACCTCTAAACTGCTATGTTTTATCTAAACCTTTCTTTTCAGCTAAAAATAAGGTTTGGTGAAAGAAGTTCTAAAATTTCGCAGTTTTTTCTGGTTGCGTTCTGTTTCTTCGTTGAGGTCTTCCTGGTTTGTAGCCAAAGCTGCCGAAACACTTTTTTTTTTTAGCCTGTAAATGCAACAAGAAAACAAACCAAAATTAGTGAAAAAAAAAAGTTCACATTTCCCAGAGTATGGTTCTCCGTAAAGTGATTGGAATTCGGGCGCGGATCAAAAACAAACTCAGCCGACATGAAAAGCAAGGTCCTGGATATAACCCGGCCAAAATAGTGGGAAGCAAGTGTTCTCACAACAGTACCATCCCTGGTCCTCGGGTAAATTGAGCAGCTGTAATACCACTGACTTAAACTTGTATGCTTTACAACGTTCTCTTAACAAGCGACTTTTGTTCAAATACAAATAGCATATCTTAATATAACTTAACAACCAGATAAATGTATACATAACTCGCTTTACAGACATTTTCTTCAGTTACCATCTTTCCAAAAAAACTGTAAAAGATCACTCCATTTAAAACTGATATAATTTGTAAAACCCATCGCAGAATATAAAAGAAGAAAACAAAATATAAAGGTATAGCTTGTAACTTATGAAACGATAGCAATGGTACATTTCAAGTCACTAAAGACACTGGTGTGTTTTTCCAGCAGGGAAGTGGAAAGCTTAGTTCATTCTCAGAGTTATCTCTGAGAAAGATCAAGTAACAAACCATCGTAGTGAATCGAGAAGAGTAAACAGTTCGAGGATAAACCTTCGACCCAGTTAGTGCTTTACATAGGAAACATAAGGTTTTCAAATTTCATCACGGATGTTAAGTGATCTTCATCATTTTCAAATTGAAAAGCGCGTGAAGTGTGCTTTCCCTTCTTACCTTGTATGGGTTGAAGACTGACATAGTGTACCTCATGAATATGTCCCAGTACTAGTGGCTTGCTTTCTTCAACAGGATGATGTGGCCTGATGACTACATCATTATGTAGACTGCTGAAGACATGAATGCACGTTTTAAAGCAATTCGCAGCGGCACAGAGAATGAGGTGATCACCCCAAGCGCCATCTTGTTTCATATATGTCAGGTAATCAGCCCATGTTTCATGGCCATGGACAAAGTGAATCAGATCTGTTCCATCCGGCTGTAAGAAGAGACAGCAATTAAAACTTGAATTCCAAATACCTTTTGAACAGGGCCGAGCACAATTCAAAGAAAAATCACAAAAAAAATAAACTTCTTTACAGTGGGAAGGTTAGTGAAAACATTAAAACGCGGTGGGCAAACAGCAAAAGCTAAAACAAACATCATGTGAGTGTCCCACCACAAGAGTCTAAATGGAAAGCAGCTGTTGCGTCTCAATATGATCGCTGACCCATTCGGTTACATACAGACTCGCCATGAACCTGTTGCAATTAAACATTAAGCCGTTCATAGGTACCATCACACTTCTGAGGAACGAGAATTTACCCAAACGCCACTATGCGAGTAAAATGTAAACTACCGGTAAGTCCTTAAATGGAGAAAACCAAAACATTCAGAGTAAGAAAAATATAGTTTAGAACGATAAGGTCTCCAAAACACACGATCTTCCTATTCAGAGCCGAGCTAAACTGACGGTGTTCATTGATTCTGAATTGATTCTGAAAGGAATATTTTTCTAAGCGTGTGACTTACATAACTAAGCACAACACTCCACTAGAGACTCCATTTGAACTAGATAAGAATGTGGGCAGAGACTACGCTGCCTACCGCTTAAGGCACTGAAATCCACGATAAGAGCTTTCGACACAATCCTACCTTGGGCGACTGTATTATCGAGCTCTAGGAGAACACACTGCACTGAAAAAGCGCTTCTCTGTGTTGTGAAAGGGACCAGTGTCCCAGTAAGGACGAGTAATACTTCATGTAACGGAGAGAGAAATAAGCACAGTGGCCAAAACTACTGATCAACCGTTAGTTCAATCTATTAATGAGAATTACTGCATCTCACCAGTTTTGGATTTTCCCTGAGGTATTGAATTAAAGATTGTCTCAACTGGCCATGTTGGATTTTGATTCCTTTGACGGTTTCAAGTTGTTCTGACAAGGCATAGAACATGCAGTTTCCTGACCCTTGATTGCCAGAAATTCTAAAGCCCTTATCTGATACAATCGTGGCTAACTCCTCTGTCAAGGTAGTGTGGTTGTTGACCGAGCTTGCGCAGAGCTGCATTCGCTGAAGATTCTGAATGGTTCGCTCAAGCAGCCCTAGAAGCAAAATAATTTTAGGTGTAATTCCTTGAATCATACAATTTAGATGGAAGCGAAGATCTCAACTATCGGATAGAAAAAAATCCATCACATTTAAGACCGAAGTTTCAGTCTACCGTGATTATTTTTAAACTTGCTGGGAACTCATCCTGTATCGCCATTGCAAGCTGCTTGAAATTTGTATGTGATCCACTCGGCCCCGATCTCACTGCTGGTAAAGTAATATGTGCCCAAGTCAGGGCTGAGAGGGACACTTATTAAATTGAGTACTCTGATTTAATTTTTATAGAGGGCGCTACCCTCAAATGAACGAGATATTTCCTTATTAGGAGGATCATGTATGGGAAAATATTTCATGAGGACTTAAATTGATCTAAAATCTTCACTGATAGGAACAGGCTCTTCTTTCAGGTTAAACTACCACTTTCTTCTGATTCGAGAACGAGAAACAGCATTGGAATAAAAAGTCACGGGTAATATCCTAGACTTGCTAGTTAACGTTCTACATAGCTACTTTTTTTTCTTTTTTCATAAAAAAAAAAATTATGTCGCAACGAAAGCAATAATTGCCTGTGAATAACCGGAGCAGATGACTTTTAACCTGAGATTTTTACACAATATGACATATGCCCCGCTAAAACATTAACATTTTGGAATACACTCGTATCAAGAACGATAATTAATTAATTCTTTTTCCTATTTCTCTCTTATCAGCACGTACAGATCGTTTCCTTTTTGGCGAACATTGGTGATATACACAAACTTATAAAATTCTCTTTCATACCATGTTTTAGAAACCTCTTTTCGAGGTACAAAATGTATTCGTATCAAAGACAGAACAAGTTTGGGATACCACAAGAAAAGACAAGTCTAAGGAAAGAAACATAAAAATCATCAACATACCTGCGCCATGAACTTTGACCCACATCTTACCAACAAGAAGGTCACACTGTTTCTCCCAGCTGAACTGCCCTTCATATGATGTCCTCAGTCGTTCAACCTCTTTAAGACGCTGCGATCTCTCCTTCTTGCGGACAACAGCAATTGCCTCAGCCCACACCTTGGGGTCCTCAGAATCGACTACAAATGATTTGCCGGGTGGCACAGTGCGTAGTGCGTCTCCGAAACCCGAGTTTCCACTAACAAGAATGGGAAGACCAGCTGACAAGGCTTCCAACGCAGTTAAGCCGAACCCCTCCGTCCGGGATGGCATGATACAGAGATTAACTTCACAAAACAATCCTTCAATTTCTGCTTACTTTGCAAAAACGTTCTCACTGTCAGCTGACGTTTGGAAATACCATTCTGCAGCAAAGTTTCCGTAACTGCCTCCTGTTTTCCATCAGGTGCACCCACAAAGATCAGATGGTAGGAGTTGTCTTTCAGTTCAGCTACTGCTTTAGCAGCGATATCATACCCTTTCAGACCGAAGTCCTCAGGGTCACCACGACCAAAGGTCAACACCCTAAACTTTTCAGAGTCAACTGAGGCATGATTTAGAGTTGAAAATTCCTTAAATGTGCCAGGAGTGAGCGACATGATATCTTGCTGCTTCTCACATGATTGAAGATAGGCAGAGTAGGCCTCAGTCAACTTGGGTCCTACTGGTACAACTAGATTTGCCAATTTACACAAATCTACTTCGGCTGTAGTCTTCTCTTCTCCTCTGGCAATGGCTCTCGGATAGTTTTTGAACATTCCGAGCTCTTCAGGCGCAGTATGCACTACTTGTACCCACTGGCAATTATGGTACTCCCTAATGATTTGGGCTTGCTTACCTAACTTGGCTCCATGACCCAGGACCACGTCAATTATCAGGTTTTTCGGAGGGAAGCTCAACCAGTCAAGAGAGTCGTAGCCTGGACGTCTCTCTGCTTCTTCGATGACAATCTTGTGACTCTCTGCATCTCTCTTCTCTTCTTCAGAACAAGCAAATTGTGGGACTAAGAGAGTGACTTCTACCTCACTACGTTTGGCCATAAGGATGGCAAGGTGTCTGTTGATGGTGGACAAACCCCCCCTTGACGAATTCCACTCATTGGCCAGTAGAGTAACTTTCAAAGTTTTGTCGCACTTTGCAACTTGTGAGGTTCTTATTTCTGACGGAGCCAAGCCCTTTTGGATAATGACATAAAAACATTATTGTAAAGGAAAAGCATATCATTTTCCAAGTAAGGTATATAAAACAGTTTTCACAAAAAAACGTACTTCTGTTAGAGAAAAATATTATTATAAACCAGACGGAAGGAAACGAACTGGTTGAACGCGTTCATACATATCTTGAATCCACCAAAAAAAATAATTACGCAATTGCATACAATCTCATACAGTATATCCATTGCTGAATTGCTTTAGAAGCTCGATGAAGCAAGATCCTTCTATGACACCATTAGATCTCAATCTGTTCCAAGATTTTCTAAATTGGGTATTCCGATTCATACGACTGACATCGCACAATGAGATTACATCACAGCTATCAAAAGCTCTTCTTAATTGGTTTCCGTTACCACTTACGAACGAAGACATACAAAGAATGCTTTATACCTGGTTCAACAACCATTTCTCTTGTCCAGGAACTGTAAGTACTTCATTAGACATACTTTCCATACAGATCAAATCCTGTCCTTGCCTTAATTCAAGCAGGTGTAAGCAGTCTTCTTCTCCACAGGACACTTGGTTGTGGTTTACGCACTTACGACCGCTTTGCTGACAGTAGGGGCATTCAACACAAAATTCATGCTGCATCCTGCTCAGGTATGGGAACTCCTGCGACATCTTTTCTAAAGTGCTCTCCATAAACAATCGCACACTTCTAGCAACTTCTACCAAAGTTGAATTAGAAACTGCAACTACGTTCTTCTTAATTCTTTGTCTCAAGAGGATTTTTATGAACTTCTTTTTGCAAATCATAATCATGTCATGTATGACGCGTTCTTTAAGAATGAACCATGCACCATTCTGGTAGAGTTTTGGAGGCTGTGACGATCCATTTGCACCATACCAAGCAACCGATTTTGAAACAAGGCGAGTAAAAAAACCATGCGGGACAAAGCCTTCTTGGAAATGAAGATACAAAGGACAAGGATCCGTAGATGATGGCTCCACTTTACAAAGCTCTTCAGGTGAGGACCTCAGTTGGCATGGCACAAAGTAATTAACGTCAGCCGGGGATGGTGAGTATTTGGCAATCAAACCAAACTGCTCCATCATGTCCAAGATGTCTTCCTTGATAACGCCTTGCTGAATAAGAGGGGAAAAAACGTGATCAATAAGCTCCATCTTAAGGACACCACTTGTCTCGAGTTCCAGCCAGTACTTGGAATGCACAGGATCCTGAAACCACAAATTCCCTATTTAAAATAAGTTCAATCTACCAATTTTTCTTTAAAAATGCCCCATTTGATTTGCAGCGGACCAAAAACATCTCTCCGTTCCTCATTACTAAGGGTACAATGAGTGGTAAAATGTAGTTGGCAAGCCTCCCGAAATGAGTCAACATAATAAGAAAAATCTTGTTATTCATCTCTAATTAGTTTATTGAATTTCCCCCTTACCTCCCCACCCTCAAACAATGTCGTAATAAATTAGTGACCATTTTGTCAATATAAGGCAATATTGAAATGAGGGAGAGTGGGAGACACATGAAAGTTATGTAGAAAACTCAAAATGTTGTAAGGGGTGTAAACAACGTGAGAAAACAAACGAACAAACAGTCAATTAAATTAACATTTTTTCGTCAAGCGCAAGTTGGGGGAAGGTAACAAATCCTGCCTACGATCTGCAATCATTTCGATGCATAGAAGATTATCTTTTCCTACCGCTTTTTTGAATGCTGGAATGGTTATAAGCTTCTTGAATAGACTGATTAACCACTGTGCCTTCAGAATGACTGTACTGCGGTGTTTCACAATCAAACCTAAGTCGTGATAGAAATTCAACATGGTGTGAAACTGTTCATCGTCTTCTATAAAACATACATCCTTGGCATAGGTTTGAAGATGGACAGTATTTGAGTGGTATACATTCTCAGCTACCAAAGCTTCAATGACCTTTTCGAAGTTAAACCATCTAGAAATATAAAAAATTTATAATTAGTCTAACTTACAGAAAGGTATACATCATAGCAAATTGCATGTAGCAAAGTTTGGAAATTTCTAAATGTGACTTTAGAATATGGCTTAATAGCCGGTTGAGCATCTTTTGAGGATATATTACATCCACAAGTAATGGTAGCACGTTGTTAAGCACTGAAAAATTCGTCGTCTTGAAAGCGCTTTACGTCTGTTTCCTTACTCGTCGAGTTTGCTACATGTTCGCTTCTAACATGCCCAATTCGCTGCCTTTGTTAATTCACAGTTTTAATTTCTCTTTTAACCATAAACCACAAGCAATATCTGTAATTTATACTCCCAACTGCGTGATTGTCGTTTTTAGGAGTCAGTTAAACTGATCATTTGCAAATTTCCTTCTTGTGTGCTTTAAACCGCTACTTTGATTTTTTGGATTGTTGCGAGGTTACGTTTCACAAGTAAACCTGATTGTAGGGTGGAACGAATTGGCAAAGTCAACAAAATTGTAAGCGTCTTTCATAGAAATGTTCCACAGTGAAAATATGTCATCAATAAATCTCTTCCAGACCAAAGGTTAGAGGGACTAGCCATTAACAGTCGCTTTTCTAGGTTTGCCATAAAATGGCAGAGAAAGCAACTGTTGTCTTAGTTCCCATGGCGATACCATGTGTTTGTGTGAAGAATCTTTCGTTGAATTTGAAAGAATTTTCTTGAAGTATGAGCCGCAAATGTTCCCGTAAATCATCCGTGGGAATTGGTAAATTATGCTCATAATGTGAGCATAATTTACTGTGGTAGAATGAAGTAAGTAGCGAATTCGGCATGTAAGTAACGGACATGTAGCGAACTTGAACGTAGCGAACTCGACAAGTAGCGAAACCAGCTATGAAAGCCACTCCTACGTTTCACTACAGCTGTTGTTAGAAAAAAGTGAGCTGAACATCTCTTGTGCTTATATCATTACACATCATACTTTACCTCACTGGTATCTTGTCTCCCATATAAGGCTCCTGTCGAAGTACTTCCAGGATTCTCGCTCGAAGAGCATGAATTCCATCGGCACTAGTGCCATCATTATCTCCTTCTTGACCTTTCAAATATAAATTATGTAAAACAATTAGTGCTGTTGAGAGAAGCCAGGGAGAGACAGAGATTTCTCCTCGGACTTTCGATACGAGTTTGATGGCAACTAAGATCATGATCCCCTATTTCGTATTCGGAAAGGTCTATTTCTGCTGCAGCACTCTAAGTCACTTCTTCGCAATCTGTCATAAATTTCACGCTAATTTGGTCAGCAAAAACATTCGTTATGGTATTTACATATGCAATCCAGGTTAATACAAGAAAAAAGGGGAAAAAAAGAGAAAATACATATTAAAAAAATCCAGGAATAACAGGAGCACTAACAAGGTGCCAACATCAAAAGTAGATAAATACCCAGATTGGGACAAAAGGATGCTAGGAATTAGGTGTGGAAAAGCAACCGGTAAAATATCCAGTGAATCCAATCAACTTTATCTAACGATGATTTTGTCTGTCCTCAATAGAAATAAAATTAAACCCAACCTCATTAACCGATAAAAACGTCATTAATCATCATGTTGAACCCAAACACATGATTTACCTGCTTGACGATTTCTTTGAAATTTAAAGAAATTCCGGAATTTCCATGCGAATGATTTGTGTCCTTGAGCGTTATCAATGTAGAAGAATGGTCGGATCACATGTTTTCCATATTCCTTACTGGAAATCTCACGAAGTATCTTGGATGTAACATCCTTAGTATCTTCGTATGGCTTGTCAGCATGGGTGCCGACGATGAACACTGGAGGTCGGAGATAGGGAAGCACTTTTGGCGTTTCAACCATTTCTTCTCCGGTTGGTCTCATATTATGAACTGTCACGAGCCACGACAGTAAATTCTCCAGATTAGTCTCATTGTTCGGGTTCTCCAAAGGTACGTCCTGAGTTCCCTGTCTGACAGATGGCTGAGCTCGGGAACTCAGTGGCTTGCTAAGGTTGTGAACTACGATGTACACAGCTCTTGACGAAAGAAATACCGGGTGAGCAGCATAGTACACATGTTGACCCGCAAAATCCCACACATCTGCGGTTATCGAGGATCCTTTCTCGATGTTTGCACAATCAGCATCCACACCTTCAAGCACCATGTTCTTTAAGAGTTCATCAGCATGTTTTTTGACGGCGTTAGGAAGTACCATGGCGTTGATAGCCATTTTGGGCTTTGTGCATAGATTATCTCCTTCGTGAATTTCGCTTAACGGCCCGGATCGATCTGGAAACTTAGTCGCCGAATCCTTGTACACGGAAACCTAACATTTTGAAATAAGACAAAATACCAAATTGCGTTGAAATTACATGGTTAATTTATCCTCATCTACACAGTAGATGTCAATCTATCTCGTTACGTCAAAACAATGAAATGAGCATTAAATGTGTTAATTCGTTTGAGATCATTCATAAAAAGTCTGATTTCAGCGTAAAAACAAAGTAAACGGACCTGATCGGCGAGAATATGTTTTGTGTTCAATTTCCCTCCTAACTTCACTCGGCGTTCTTTCTTAGGCGGTGCCCCTACTGATTTCATTTCCGAGTCTTCCTTCTCATCACCAACAATCATGTGATACCTTTCTGTCGCTAACAGTTTTGCCATACCCGTTGTATATTCCAAACAATCAGACAAACTTGACTTGTTCGCACCACTAGGAGTCCAGTTCTTAATTTGCTCAACTTCAATTTCGAACTTTGACGGCTCAATTTCGATCCCGTCCGTACTCTGTTCCTTGAGGTCAAATGGAAGACCTAGAAGAGTCTTCTTTAAACTTGTTTTACCGGCACGATCCTGGCCAACCAATACTATGCGACCGCGATAAACATTCATAAATCCATCTCTAAGGGCCTTTTCATAAATTAGTCTTGCGGAATTTCCTTGCGCCAAAATACCGGGAGGAGCTACAGCTGCAAGTGAGGGAAAAGGAAAATTTAATATTGCACTAATTGCCTAACGTAGAACAGTAAAGTGAGAAACAAAGAACATCACGACCTTGTGAAGGGTAATACATGTAATACAAGGAGCACAATACTAAAATTAATTTCCATGAAAGTCATATCAACTGTTGGAAGATTAAAGGTTTTCGGTAGAAGAAAAAATGATTTTTTTCAAAATTTCAGGTAAATCTGTCACATAAGACTTCCTCAACATTTTCTTGTCGTAAAATAGTGACGGCATTTTTCATCTTTCTTGCATAGTGAGCCTTCAAGCCGGGTTCTTTTGTACCCTTTTTAATTTTAAATGCCTAGAAAAAGGTTTCTAAAGTTGTAAAGTACACGAACACTACACAAAACAACAAAACCAGCCTGCTTCCGACGGTTGCGCTTTTTTCAAGTGCACACCCCGAGACTCTAGAGCCAGAACGATTGGTTGGAAATTTGAATTAGACATGTCCACAAAGGGATTATCAGACGAAGCTTGCAACGATTCATATTAGTATCAATCATCATAACAAATAAAATAGTCAGTGAAGGTTTCATTTTTAAGTGTACAATCGACTCTCGCCCCACGGACACCTCGCTATTACGGACACCCTATCATTGCAGACAAGAGGCATCCCCTGGAGAAATGCAGAAAGAAATGACTGAAATATACTCCCGCTATTACGGACTCTCGCTATTACGGAAATGCGGACACTTTCATAACCCCCAGCACGACATTTCACTTGTTTTTTCTCTTGCTATAGCGGACACTTCGTCCAAAACCCTGACTCACATACTATAGAGCGACATTACTATAATGAAAATAAAGAAACCATTCTTTAATTGGGTAAAATTTCCTGCTTAATTGCAGCCAGATCTTTTTCCGGTTCGTGAGGCAATGTTAGAAACTTTATTTTTGCGTAGTTACATATTATCTCATATGTTTCGAGACAAAACAATTTTTTTCTCTCGTACCACGCTATTACGGACTCTCAAACTTACGGACACGAAATCTGCCCCCCCCCTTTCCCCCGAGGGGATGTCCGCAATAACGGGAGTCGACTGTATACGTATACTTCAAATTGGATCTCTACGCGAAGATGGAAAGACAGGCTTCACCTATTTGAAGCTCTAATCTTTATAAAGAAGTTACTTCAGAAACTCTCATTTGAGATAAAAATCACCACAGCGCTAGAGACATACAATCCTTATTCCGAGATAACATTGTGCTCGAGTATGCTAAAGATCTAAACCATATATTCATGTAACACTACCTGCAATGTCTACGGAGATCGATCTTGTTGTCGTATCCACATGCTTCATAAGACTTCTGATCTCCTCTAGTGTGAGCGGATTTCCTTCAACCAATAGTTTCTTAAGTTCAGGCAGTTTTCTAACCACATCAAGTACCTTCAGTTGGTTATTTCTCAAGTCCAGCTCTTGAAGTCGTTTCAAGTATCCAATACTTTCAGGCAGAGAGGACAGTCTGTTTTTATTCACATATAAGCACGTCAGGTTGATCAATTGTAGAAAAATATCAGGTAGCTTTTCAAGACGGTTGTGGCTCAACTTCAGCGATAGGATATTTGTAAGTGAAAAGTTCTCTCGTGTACGCAGAAACTCCTCTATGCGATAAATGCCCTGACCCCTGTCCAAATTTCTCTTACTCAGATCCAAAGTTTGCTTTCTGAAAGCCAACGTTTCTCTGATAACGGATACAGGCGCTAAACGTTTCACTACAAAATAGAATGATTACAAAAAACTAAGAACCAACAGACAATTCCCTGACAATTCCCTGTCAGCTTTGCCCCTCTACATTCTGAATAATGCCTACACCTATCACACAAAAAGTATTTCCTAACGAACCATCCCTGGAAACCTTAGTTAACAGGAAAGAAGTGCAGGAGTTTCACATTAAGAGAACTAAACACAGCTTGGGAAAATTGATATAACTGGTATAGATAACAGGAGCAACCTAGTTTTGACACTAAGAACAAAACTTCGCATTCCCTTTTTCTTCTAGCAAACACTAAAACAATTATGCTATTAATAATTTTTTGTCTTTTTTCCAGGGGGAGAAATTACCGCTAGTTATCCGAGCTCATGTTTCATAAAAGCAGCCACTGCTACAACAGACATACAATTGTAACAAACATGTTCCCACAGTTAACCTTTCAATTCAACTTTAGTCAGAAACCTATATTCAACTATTTTTTTTTATCTTAAGACGAACACTTGACTGCAAAAATAATGAGATTTCTGTCAAGGCCTATCCACTGGAAGTGTTGTCATTGCCATTAACGAGTGCTAATTCCTCACTAGACTTTCTGAAGCTTTCTGCAATGCTTTTCATTCAATGTCATGGCGCAACCTCCAAGCTATTAGCAAGTCTGGCTTCATACAAGAGTGGAGTATGTGATAATTTACAAAGCATTCTCTATTAAATTATGTTATGATAAGTGGTTGCATATTTTCTTCCGTATGTGTCGCCTTTAGCCGACGCATATTAAGCAATCCCCTTTTAACCCAGGTTTTTTACAAAACCAGTTGGAGAGTATTGCAATGCGTGCAAAGCATATCATTTGACAAAGACACCCTATGAGAAAAAACATCTACTTAAAAAAGACAGGTTGTTGGGAGATGGGGCGTGAAAATGGTGAGAGCCCTAAACCACAGATAGAGAGGTTTTGGGTCAAAACCCCGAGCTGCAGCATGCTGGAATAATCATGATTAGCTCTGGCACCTCATATACCAATGGACTCAAGTGTAGACTTTACCGTCAGCTTGTAAGACACATCAATGAATAGGGTAATTAGGTATTATCAACTGAGTTGACAACGTAAATTGGCCACCGTAAAGAGTTTAAAAGCTGACGTTTCCAGCGTTAGCCCTTCGTCAGAGCGACTGGAGATTGTTCAAGAGTTTTGAGGCTTTTCGAACTGCCTAGATGAAGGGAAGGGCCGCAAACTGCCATATGCTGCTCAGAATGGTTAGAGAGATTAAAGTGTCTAGCGACTGGTTAAGATGCGTCCTTGTTATTTCTTTCTACTTCGCGAAGGTGTTCTCGGAATCGGTCACTTAGTAGTCTTCAAATGTTTTACTAATGTACAACTTTTCGCAAAAAGCTGTACATTGGTGAAACAGCTTTCAAATCGGCATTGTTAATCCCCAGGGCCAGTTGAATAAAAACGCTCGTTGATGGCCAATTTACGTTATCAACTTAGTTGATAATACTTTATCAACTTAGTCGATAATACTACTGAGAAATTTCTCTGTTATATTCCACCACCGACATAGCGCCACAGTTTCTTTAGAAACCTACCCCCTTTATATCAATGAATAGTCAATTCTACTCACCTATTTCGGAGAAAAGGTCTTTCACATTTTTGCCTGTTCGTGCTGACACTTCCATAAAAATCTCAACAATATTGTTTCCATCTGCATAATTCTGAGCTTCCTGAAAGAACAAAATATAAAGTCGACATCTCCCACCACAAAATAACAGTGTGTGTGAGTTGCATTCCTGGAATAACTTTGTCATTCAACCGTATGTGAATGAACTCATTGTTTTCTGTCTTAAAAACAAAAAAGGTAAACAAGAATAGTTCATTCTAATAGGTAGCTTTGTTACGTCAATGTTGTGAAAAGGTTACTTGCGAGGTGCCAACGTCAGATTGTTGACATATGCCTGGTAAGCATGGTGTTGTTGACATTGGTTGAAACAGGGAAGTCTGCCTTTTAGAGAGCTGGATGTCAAATGCCTGATATAGTTGCTCTACGCAGGTTTCGTAAGAAATAAGATTTTTAAAGACGCGTAGGAAGTTCCCATGTTCTGACGTTAATACAGCAAGACACCTGTAGAGTCGCAGTGTAAACAAGCACTTACCAGAAATGCATTCTTCTCCCTAAGCTGCAACCCGACAAATAAAATCACAAAATGATTTTATACCAAGGATATAATAAGAAATCATACAAAAATCGTCCAAAGAGCGTTAATAAACCACCTCACTTTACCGTCCTTTCTAAAACATGATTTACATCATTCTCTACAAAAACCATTAAAAAACCTTCTGACCTACGTGATTTCATGTTTACGACATGTAGCACACTAGCATTATATAAACATGGCCACATTACTTACCTTAAAAGACACCTCCCTTCTACTTTCAAGATCTGCTTTATTCCCCACAAGAGCTACAAAGGCACCTGGCCTGGCCTCTCGAGTGAACGCATAAACCAACATCATTGCGTCCTCAAATGAATCTCTCTGTGTTATGTCATACACAACAATAGAAGCATGTATTAGGTGATCTTGAGAATAAATACTTGGGAGCTGTCTCAAAGCAGAAAGGTTCTCTATTGTAAGTGTTACTGTTCTGTCATGATCCAGATGTACAATTTTATGATACCTGTTGTCTACAAGAGCAAATAAACACAGATTAAAACTTAGATCACTGAACTTTCAAAAAAAATCATATAATTTACTTCCATGCTCATTGTTAAACGTTTTCTTACTTTTCCAAGTATGAGAAAGATCCCCATAAGCATATGTGTTCAGCAAGTGCGATTTGCCCACATTGCACCCTCCTGTTTTGTAAGAGAGATCAAAAAACACAAATTTATGGAACTTGAACACAAATTACAATGATTCATGTATTGTCGAAATATTTTTTTAATATGATGTAGAGTGTAAAGGTCAGCAATAAAATTACATAACTGAACTTGAAAAGCTTTCAACTTTTTAAAGAAGACATCAATCAATTATTGGCCTGTAACAGTTATTTTCTGTGACACAACCATGAAAGTATCTTGTGACTTGTAACAATCAAAATAATCAAAATATTACAGGCATAAAGGAAACAAAAAAAATTTAAAAATTAAGTTATACTGATAAATTGACCAGTAATTAGATTAATTTTGTTTGCACTCACCTGAAACTCTCAAATGAAATGTAATTTCTTGAAGTTCTATTTCAGTGAAGTTATATTCCATCTGTGAACATCAAGAATGATACAAAGCCTTCATAATACAACAAGTGACTTTGTGACTCTAAACGTTGTTCAATGAAAACTTACGGAATCCCCCTCTTTCTTCTTCTTGGGCAAGTAAACATTTACTAGTTAACTAATCAAGTTGCTTAAGCAGGGTGCTTTAATTATGATAAACATATGAAAACAAAAAAACAATCAAAAAATTTGCCATAAAATAACAATATGAAAGGAAAGAGTTGATCTCCACTGTAACTTAAAAATACATCTTTAGTTAAATAGACAAAGGTTAGTAAAATCATTACTTCCAGTGGCAATTATATAGTTTAAATAATTTGGGTTTTTTTCCTCAAAATTATTTTTTAACAAAAGAATTATAGAAAAGAAGTCAGAACAAATATTATTATAATATAATAATATTATTATTGATCTATAACAATCAAATATATGTCCCAAACCATCTGGACCCGGAATTTGAAATTACAAACTACTAACGAAATAAATTCCATTAACTAGGTTCCACAAAAAGTTACTTGTAGGAAAAGCCTCACCCATAGCCTCCCTCAAAGAAAGTTTAAGGTGGTGCCTCCCCCCCTACATTATTTTCCAGCAAGCAAATAAAGTTCTTTTCCTTCACTTGATTGAGTACATTATTTTTCATAATACTTCTCTATAAACAAGTGGTTTGAATAAAACAATAGAAAGGGGATGTTGGGTGACAGCAAGTAAAATGGTTTATTTTCTATGATCTAGAGGTCACTACAGGAGGAATTAATTTCTGTCGTCTCACCCTCCTGGGAAATTAATCCTTCCCTCTGCACCAATAAGAAAATAATTTCCACCGAAAAAAGCCTTTTTATAAGAATTCTCAACATAAAGTAACAAAGAAAGCAGAATTATAAGAGCCAAACTTAGCATATTTATATGATCAACATATCAGGCACATAATGGGTCAATAAAAAGAAAACCAGTTTTAAAATGAATTTTTGCAAAATTAAGTCTCCAGTAACATTCACAATGGCTGTAAAGATAATTATCTGTGTTAAGCTATCATAATTTAACACGCTAGTTAAAGTAAAAACTTTGACTGATAATGGTTGTATCCTGTAGAGGATTCAGTTTATTTAAGGTATTTCTGAGCCATGCAGTGACTAGTGGTAATGTCCAAAGTGACAATTAACCAACAGTCACATTTATGTGGGCAGTTATGAGTAACAAAGCATGATGATCAATCAGAAGGCAGTTAGTTCAGCCACCCAGTTTGCTCAACTGGTTGCTTTCAAGTGATTATGCTCTGTTTATTTGCAATTATTTAATCAAGGATCTTTTCATCTATTTTTTTAAGTTCCATTACCTAGTATCTTTCATTTACTTATCACTTGTAAAGTCTAAAAAAAGTGCTATTGTAGCTCCAAAAAAAATAAATCATCTATTCTCCAAAAGTTCTTTAGTAACCCTTGGTGACACCACAATGCACTACCTTTCCTGAGCCCCAATTACTTAGGGAGTGGCATGGAGAAGAATCCCTGGCTCCATGGAGCCATTCACAGAATCTAGTCAAATGTGCCGGCTCAGTTTCTGAGATATAACCTCACCATTCTCTCCTCAGCTAAAATACAATGTCAAAAGCCATTCCTGATCCATGCCACTAAGTCTAGTTGCCAACCATGCAATCTAAAGATTAAGTTAATGGATATAAGTTTCTAAAGAAACTCTGGTGCTATGTCAGTGGGAGAGTATAACAGGGTAGTTTAGTATTATCAACTGAGTTGATAACATAAATCAGCCACTGTAAAGAGTTTCAAAGCTAACGCTTTGAGTTTTAGCCCTTTGTCTGAGTGAATGGAGGAATTGTGGGTTGAGTGTGTTTTTATGCAGAAAATGGAGCTACACTATTGGTAGGAATATGATGACCCAAAAACAAGAATGAATTAGTTGAATAAAAAGCGCTGGTTGATACCATGGGGATTAAGAGTGCTGATTAGAAAGATAAATTTTTGTTCTAAAGTTTTGCACCTTTAAAGATTTAGTTGCCAACCACACAATCTAAAGATCACCTACACCGTAATTGCCAGCAGTGCAACCCTAAGATCTAATTGCCACCCAAGCAATCTAAAGATGTTGTTTAAACAATGCAATCTAAAGATCTAGTTTTTAACCATGCAATCTAATATCCAGTTGCCAATGATGCAATCTTGAGATCTAGTTGCCAACCATGCGATCTAATATCTAGTTGCAAGTAACCAAATTATTGGAATTCTAACTGTAGGTAAATTAACCAGTTATCAGACTCATATGGAGATCAGGACCATGTAATTAGATGAGAAAAGATGTCTTCTATCAAAAAGCATAATTGCTGATAGCAAAAAAACCAGAAGTATGAGGGATCAACGTCTGATACATCAGAATTTTAATGAGGATTGAAATGCACGAATGACAGCATGTCAAAACACACCACATGACAACTCCATAGCGGATTAAACGTGAACCTCAAAAATTGAGGTTGTCAAGTATTCATATATTCAGGCTATTGTTCTTTCTCATTACTTATTCATTCCGATGAGTTTGCCGACATGCCGGCATGCTTCCGAAGATCGTGAAAAGCGCAACTTCTTTGATGTAGGTGAGATATTTTTCTTTTCTTCTTTCGAAAGTTGTGAAAGAATGAACCGCCAGCGCGCGAACACGAGCACTATTTATGACACGCAATATTTACATAAAGAAGTAGTTTAATTCAAGTGCACTCATTCGGATCAAAACAAAACGATCGGCGCTCGAAATGATAAACTATTTTCGCTTTTGCTCTTTGCAGTGATTACAACAACTCGTCCAAGATCCACTTTTAAATCTTTTGCGACGCTCTTTAATCCTAGAAACATATTAAGGCTAAAAATACACCGTGAATAGAAACTAAATCCATTCAAATGATTGCAGTTTATCGATCTCGAGTTCATTCATCTCGAGACAATGTAAACAAAAGGATACAAGATCACAAGTCTGTTCGCGCAAGGTAGCTTAATTACACTATTGTCCAAGTCTTTTGAAGTACCTTCCGCAGTTCCTTTGGTCTTCTTCCAAAATATCTCACCTTTTTCGAAACGAATAAAACCGAAATCATTCGACACGTTTTCGGCGGTCAGCAATAGATTCCATCCACCAAAACCACCTTGGTCGAGAGGGACTGAGATGGAATGATGGACAACTCATGACTTGTTATACTAAATGAAAATTACGAAGCTACGACAACATGCCGACTTATCCCGATGATCTAAGTGTATTATTTGTTTGGGAAATTGCGTCAAAACTTTTTACTCAAGAAATGGTAAGTATTAATTTATTGTTCGATTGTAGTATTGTAAAACATTTTACGCAATTTTATGCAGATATTTCACGTATTTAAATGGTGCTCAGATGTTACGTAGTTTTGGTGGATGTCATTAGGGAACATCCACCAAAACTTTGACCAAAACCATCAACAATATATTTTTTTAATTTTATCTATAGCCACTGTTAGATGTTCAGGGAGACAAAAGATTTATACCACTAATTAGCAGTTAGTGCTCTGGCTAATTATTTTTTATGGTGCACAATTGCTGACCGACCAAACGTTCATAATGATTATCATAACTCATAACACATAGAATAAAGTGGTTTTGGTGGATGTTTCTCTCCATCCACCAAAACCACCATAGCAATTTCTGCTACTTCCTTACAGAAGACTGATGTGACCTGCTATTTGGAGTACATAACCACAATCTATTTCTTTGTATGTAGTGATATTTTGCAAAGTTCTTGAGTCAGCACCTTTTATTATTGAAACCGTAATCATAACATGGTGCACAATATAGAATACAAAAGGTTCTGGTGTGGCAATCATGTAATCTTGAAACAGGAGAGTTTTTAACTGACTTAAACTGACTTAAACAGACATTTGCAACAAAATTCCAGGTCCAGAAATTTCTTCCACTATTTCTACTAAAATCATAACCTTTAAGTACAACAAATCAGCACATCAGTAATTGTTATCATGGGTCTGAAAATCCTATAAATCTTTCACATTTATTTCAAGTAACCTTTCATTTCACATGGATGGATAAGTATACACTCAAGATGCAGAATGTCTTACATTTTACAAATTATTTCCCTTTTTATGGATAGACAGTGAAAGGCCTTTGCTACATTGGCAAATCAAACCATCGTATACTGTGTATTTGTGATAATTATTTGTTTTTGCTCACAATATCCAAAACAATTGAGGGGATAAATTTAAATAGCACATTCTATTAATGGTTAAAATTAAATAACATTGGAAGATCAAATTAACTTTGTACTGTTTAAAATTCAGTTTTGATTTCTTGCCTATTCCAGCCTCTTAGTATTCAAAAGCATTCCTTGTCATTTTTGTGTTCTTCTGTGTATCATAACTTGAAAAATAAACACAGAGAAAGGAAACCACAAAGGATTAAACTTGAAGCTAAAGCAAAGTTTAAGATGAGCCATAGCTGATCCAAATACTGAGCACTTAATATTGTAACCCATTTAGCAGTAAAGTTTATCTATATGTCTGCCAGCTTGTCACAAGTCTTACCCCTCTCCTTCAAAAGTCTCTATAAATAAATTTTTCTTTGTGGTCCCTAATTGATGATAAGTATATTACAGCTCCTCAATTTCCCTCTGTCAAGACAAGGTTACTCTAAATTTAACAAAGTAATGGACTTGATAAAACTCAAACTATAACTCAGCTGGCTGCTACTTGCAACCTTAATTTCTTGATATCAGTATACAATAATCAATATGTTATAAATAAGAACCCTAATGCTTAATTTTGCAGTGATCACCTTCCTCCTTTTCATTTGCAGACCATACTGGAACCTCCATAGGTGTGTTTGCTTGTTTTGAGTGGGGATGGAAGAAAAGGAATCATGCCGCATATCTGATTTATTAAACCGGATTCGTTCTGTTTATACATGGGTAGAATTACTTTGTTCTCTGAAAAAAATAAAATTTCTCACATTTTTATCTGTGCTTTGCAGTCAAACTTCCTAGTGTCTTGAACAAGAAATCTTTTTTTCTTGAAAACAAAATCTTTGTTTCTGGCCTTCTGCAATAGGTAAATATAACAGTGTAAGATGAGTGAAACAGTGTAAGATGAGTGATAGTGTATTTCTCAAGTTAATTTTTTGGAATGTAACAAAACGGAAGTGTCATAGCGTGATAAGGAGCCAATATATGATTGCTTGATGAAAAGCAAAAAATGCAGAATTGCATATATTTTCTCCTTTGTCAGCAGCATATGTTAGTGAAAAGTTCTTATAATTGTTAACTTCTAAACTATCTTCAATTTAGCCAAGATTGAACTGTTATCACGTTTGTCAGAAAAGTATTCTGAGATCATTGTCATATGACCCATTCATGTGTGTATTTGACCTTTAGAATTAGCAAGCCATAGTTGACAGTAACACAAAGGTTGAGGATAAAAATATTATATACAATACTTCTTCTGCATCTTTTCGTTTCCTTTTCTCTCCAGCTGTTCTATCTATGCTGTACTGGCAATTGAACACTTTCCTTCCCAAAATTAGGAAAGGCACACCAGTAAAAAACGAATTTTTGCTCTTACATATTTCATGCATCTTCCCCGAGTATTTTGTGACTTCTTTCTGAGGAAGGAGGTGTAAGCATTAAGATAACCCGAATGATTCCACAATTGTGGTATCATTCAAGCCATGCCAGAGGACTTGAACTAGATAAAGTGGTGAGAATGCACAAAGCTTTGTAATGCCAAAGAGCTATATCAATATATATATATATATATATATATATATATATATATATATATATATATATGTATGTATGTATGTATGTATATATATATATATATATAATTTAGGATACGTTAATTCTGTTGATGAGGCGCATAAGCTTCTTGCGGAATTTGAAACAGGATTGACGACGAAGTTTTCTTTCTGTAAAGCTGACAAAGGTTTCGGGAACACTGCTGTATATATATATAACTGAAATTATCACTCGCTTTCTCTCCTGATATCATTATGATATCAGAGAACATAAAAGCAATTCCAAATCAAACAACTAAATACTCCAACAACTTTCAATAATTCTGCTTCAACTGCGATTCATCGTCGTATTTGGAGCATATTTCAAAGTAAATCAGAAAGCTTAGTAGTCAAATTCTTCCCTGATATATAAGTATGACATTGATTGCATCTTAATTTACTTTTTTTATTTTTTCTCGCTACCTTATTTTACACTTAATATACATCAAACATCTCTTACGTCAGAAGGGAGAACTACCGACTATACAGGAGCGAGAGATAATAACGAAAAACAATCATAACCTGCGTCTAAACAGCAGATGAACGCTCCATTTAAGTAAAAAATCTCTTTTGCCCTTCTTTGGCCCAACATGCATTGCCTGGCAGCTAAGCGTTCACTTCTACCAAGACGAACGGAAACCCGATCCAGTTGAACCCATTCGTGATTTGCGTGACTTTAATTTGACAGTGGTCACGATAAGTTAAAGCAAGCGAAATTTGCCAGACAATTGCACACTATTCCAAGACGAATTAACTGAAATTTCGAAAAGGACGAATAATCCTTTATTGAGGACCACAATCATAAATTCAGATCGCAAGATTCGTCACACTTGAATATGAAAGTGATCTTCGTAGTAATGAAAACTACTTGAGCAGTAATGAAAATAAACTTAGCTCTTGAACGTTTCAAGCTTTACGTTGAAATACCGTCCGATCCTAAATTTTATCTCGCCAATACCTTATCGGGTCTAAAGAAGGAGCTTATTATTGGCTTTACATCCCTCAAGAGAGAACTGTCCGAAGAGAAAAGACTTAGATCCACGGCTTCATCAACACCAAAATTTAAGAAAAAAAGTAACGAGAAACAGGTTGAGGTGAGCACACAAGTCCCCCATCACGTTCAGGCGGCCTCTTCATTCCTTCTGTCTATGACACCGCAAGCTGAAAAAGCCGTCGAAGAACTAAAAGAAGGGGAGAAAAAGCTCGCTCATACGAACAAGCTTATCTTGATAGCCGATTCCGCTGGAGAAGACTGGGGAGTAGTTGACGGATACGAGCGCAGAGACCTCGCCGACGACGGCAATGACGACAAACGCATAAGAAAGGCCGAGGTAAGAGCGTATCAGAAGCGCCGTCGCGCCCAATCGCAGAGAAAAACAACCCTTACTTCCCAGAGGTCGTTTTATCCAGCGCTTTCATCCGTTATGTGCAACAGCCCTGCGGTTGTCCATTCTCCTAACCTTTTTCTCCAAACTCCAGCGCGTTTTTTGCCACAGCATCACAGAATACATCCTCTACTAACTGGCCCAGAAGCTCGCCGCCCTGTGAGGATCCTGTTTTGCCTGTAGAAGGTTTGGCCATTTTCGAAGCCAGTGTCCTTTTCGTGGCGTTCAGCCCTCAGCTAGTTAGCCCAGCAAGCGAATTTAATGGACGCGAGAAGCTTCACACTTTTACCGGACAGAGATAAGTCTCTAATTCTTTCTCATGAACACGTAGATTTAGATCATGGTCTCTATGAATATGAGCAGGGGTTAAGCTCTCATATAATGGTAGCGGGTAGACTTTAGACCCACATTCAGTTTTGGAAATCTATTGGTGCCGGTTCGTTATTTTAGATCTGATTGAGTCAAGATATCGTATCCCTCTTTATTCCATGCCCCCTGTTGGCTTCTCTAATAACAATAAGTCTGCCTCAGCCAATGCGGGCTTCGTTGCAGAATCAATATCTGAATTGCTACTCACTAATCGTATTTTTGAAACGGATGCTCTACCTCATAACGTAAATCCTTTGTCTGTATCTGTACAGTCCTCAGGCAAGAAGAGCTCATTCTTAAATTTGCGGCTTATTAACAAGCACCCGTGGAAGCAGAGAGTTAAGTTTGAGGATCTTAAGATTGCCTTGAATTTTTTGGATGCAGGTCATTTCATGCACTTATTTGATATTAAGAGTGGTTAACATCGTGTAGAGATTTTCCCTTCTCACCAGTGTTTTTTAGGGTTTCATGGTATTACAGGGATAAGGTAAGCTACTTTTTCTTTCGAATCCTTCTCTTAGGCCTTTCTTCAGCTCCTTATATCTTTACTAAGTTTTTTAGATCTTTCCTCTCCTACTGGAGGCGACAGGGCATTCACTTAATGGTGTATCTTGACGACGGGTTAAAGGAGGCTTCTTTATATTAACCTGTTGCTTGGGATTGTAGCGCGAAAATTACAGGGGATTCGGTTCAGTCTGGTTTTGGTCCTATTTCGGAGAAGTCCCTTTGGGTCCCCACCCCTATCATTGACTGGTTGGGGTTCACTACCGATCTGTGTGAGGACCTACTTGTCGTTCCAGGGAAGAAAATCAAGCGTGTTTTCCCCAACTTTGTCTCGATTTTGGAAACTGGTCATTCTACCGCTGGATAACTTTCTGCTGTTGCCGGTAGACTGAATTCCCTCAACCTGGCGGTGGGAAATGTCACCAACCTCATGACTAAATTCCTTAAAATGGTTATTGTTCTTGGAACGAGTTGGGACGTCAATTTACCTTTACCTCCCTCTGTTAGAGAGGAACTCACCTTCTGGAAGGACAATATTAGATTTATGAATGGTAGGCCTATCGGACAGCGGTTTTCCGCTGCTCGCAGTATTGTTTATTCTGACTCGAGTGACTTAGGTGTCGCGGGGGGAAGGGGAATATTAAAGGGCGCGATGGTGTCATTTGCTACCTTCCATGGATGCCATCAGCAGGTTCATTGATTGCGATGACTGGGGGGTTTCCTTACATTTTTCCATTCACGTGAATGTTATCTGGGGCCCCCATTCTGTTAATGGGTTTGCAAATTCTCACAACTTTAAGCCGACCAGTTTCTATTCGCGCTATTGGAATGTTGATTGCGAAGGAGTCGATGCCTCTTGTCAAGACTGGGTTTGGGAGAATAATTGGCTAGTACTCCTAGTGTTCTTGATTCCTCGGGTTATTAGGTATCTTGAGCATTGTAAAGCTGCAGGTGCTCTTATCGTACCCGAGTGGGTCTCGTCCCGTTCTGGCCCATGCTCTTCTGATTCGAGTCTCCTTACCATTCCCTTGTCGAGGATACCATTACTTTCATTGACATTGCAGGAATTTTTGTCAGGGGCTCCTCCGAGTCCATTTCGACGGACCCAAGTCTAGTGCACTAGCAGTTCGTTTGTCCGCTTTTTTTAGTTTTACGATAGTCTCACTGATTTGTTATATTATTTCTACGTCCTTGTAATTATTTACCACTATATATCTTCACCTCGATATACATTCTGTTATATTACGTTGTTGTTGTTGTAACTTGTTTCCTGTTTTTATTTCTTTTTTTGTTTGTAGTTCGGCCATCGGGAATTTTCGTATTCAATTTAAGATCTTGATGATTACTTCTAAGGCGATTCATGGCATGGCTCCTAGTTATTTAAGTAATCTGATCTGTATCAGATCATCGTCTAGGTATTCATTACGCAATAATGACACAATATTTTTAGAACGCCCAAAAGGGGTTATGCGCACAACTTTAGGTGCCCGCTTGTTTCATGCCTCTGTGCCTGCGCTGTGGAACAGCTTGCCTGCGCACATCCACACGATTGATTCGCTAGCGCTATTTAAGAAATCTCTTAAGACCTGTCTTTTTAAGCAAGCGTTTTAGATTCGCATTACAATCTTATCGGTATTTTGTATCTTATTTATTTACTTTTTATTCATTCATTCTTTCATTAGGTATTCATTTACTAACATTATTTTATTTTAGTATTGTTATTGTAATTATCTATTGTAAATAGCATTTTTATTGTAATTATCTATTGTAATATTACTTTTCTTGGATTGTAAAGCGCCTTTGATCATCCCATAAATGTTAAAGGGCGCTATATAAGTAAATAAACTATTATTATTATTAAGTTATTAATTTTTTCTCTTTTTTTCTGTTTTCCTTGACCTCCCTGAGGTCGGCTTTGTCTTGTAGCTTAGTGCGTTTGTAGTCTCGGCGACTATTGCTTGTCTCGTTGGCCAAAGCACCGAAGAGCATAGGTTGAATAACTTCTCAAAAGTAAAGGCCACCCTCAACTCTCATGTACCGTGCCACAGAAGTATATGATTCAAATACTACTCATCAAGATTATATACGTTTTAACACAAGCGCAGTCCAAGTTGGACACTTATTACCTGGAAAGGAGTTAAGGACGCCACTTAATCAAATAGTTAAGATATAGCTCCAAAGAACATTTGATTATCTTCGAAAATATAACCAAACACTCCCAGTTCAGTTTAGTTAAAGTTTCAGCCAGTTTGAACTGAGTATTCCCGACAATTTCCTTCTACAGGCGTTTCATGGTCGAGAAAGGAAAGTACAATGTAGGAGAAAACAGACAACAAAAGGAAATATTTCTATGTCCTAATCTTTTTACTTTACTGTATTTCATAGTCTATTTATCTTTTTCAACATATAATGCAGTACAAAACAGTGATACTCTACAAATACTCGATTTTAATGCTTGCTTTTACAGATGTATATGAAGACAAAGGTCGATTTAATTTCTATTTGATAAGGGATGAATTAAAAATCGGAAATTTTCATTCAAATCCTTTAATGGATCTAACTAAAAGCCTACTTTGGACACTAAGCAGCTTTCTACGTAGTCTTGAACTCGGTTGTCTCCGATTTCAAGAAAAGGGGATTTTGCAGGGAAGATCTGATGTAGGTGGCAGATCCTTGCTAAACTGATAATATATAGCATCTAAATGGTTACCACTGGACCACAGAGCTAGTGGAATCGCATTTAAAAATGCCACTAAGACATGTCTCTTCCAATGCCTTCGCCATACAGCCATAACTGGCATATTCTAATAAAGTGTTTCAATTACAAGAGACACACTTGTGAAAAAACACCCAACCACTAGTGGAACTGAGGTCTAAATGGCAAACTACATTAAGCAAGTTTAAAAAGGAATCGCTTTATAAGTAAATAAATTGAGTAAATAATAACAGGCCTTTAACAGAGTATTATGTTAGTAGACTCAAACATCGTACTCATGATAGCATTGCCTGCCTTAAATCTCTCAAGGTGAGGAGTTCGAAAGGTTCCCCATGGCGCTGGGGTTATTTTCCAAGGCTGATAGCAAAAGTGGTCGACAACCACCATGGTACTGCGTTCCACGACTTCCGTAATTCGTACTTTACACTTGTTAAATTACGTTCTAAATTCTAATTTAACTTAAACTCTTATTTCAAGAGGGAGCCTCACCTATAAGCCTTCATGGCTTTTTCGAACTTCCTCGCCTTTTCCTTTTCCTATTTTACATTTCCCATGTATTATCTACGCAAATTAGCTTTGTTCTTCTTTTAATATGTAATAAAGGCAAATGATAAGCAAAAAATAAAATTCCGTGAGTCACTCCAAGCACTACAATGTAAAGCAAACCGTCAAGTTCAGTTTGTAAAAGTCAACACACAACGGTGGCACCAAAGTGCAATGGCACCAATAAGATATAAGAATATCCTGGATGAGTGACGTTCCGTAATTGCTGAACAAAGCTACGAAATTCATTGTTATTTGGAGCAATTTTAAATTGGCCAGCAAAAACCAAAGAAATTACAACAGCCAATAATAACGAACTTTTACATCGTTCCTAGCAAATGAGGTTTTAAAGGAAATACCGGCCAACTACTAAAATTGGGGAAAACGACCAGTCACGATTCTTTTTCGTTTGGCGTCTGATTTGTTTCACGCATTGTGGGAGTTTCTAGACCAATCACAGAATGGAATAAAGAAAACCAGAGTAATACGGGATTACTTTTTACACCCAGTTAAGAATTATTCCATCCCAAAATTTCAATCAAACCACAAAAACTTCATAGCAATTCAGTGACTTAAGCTCATCCAAACCGAGAAACCTGCGACCTCTAAAAAGCTATGTCTCTTCTAAAGCTCACTTTTTCAGCTTAAAATAGAGTTTCGTGAGAGAAGTTCCTAAAATTTCGCAGTTTTCTCTGATTGCGTTCTCTTTCCTCGTGAATGTTTCCTGGTCTGTAGCCATAGGCGCCGAAAAACTTTACTTCAGCCTGTAAATGCAACAAGAAAACAAACCAAAATTAATGAACAAAAATTTCACATTTCCCAGGATATGGTTCTCCGCATAGTGATTGAAATTCGTAAAGTTAATTTAATGAGAAAAAAAAACAGGGAGAACCTGAAGAAAAACGCCGAGAGTAAAGACGTGGATCAACAAAAATCTTAGCCGACATGAGAAGCAAGGTCCTGGATATAACCCGGCCACAATAGTGGGAAGCAAGTGTCCTCACAAAAATACCTTCCCTGGTCCTCAAGTACATTCAGCAAGTGTGATTCGTGAATACCTCTGACTTAAGCTTGTATGCTTTACAATATTCTCCCACCATGCGACTTTTGTTTAAATACAAATAGCATATCTTAATATAATTTAAGAACCAGATGAATGAATACATCATTCGCTTTACAGACGCCATCTTTTCAAACAGACTGTAGAAGATCGCTCCAAGTAAATCTGCTATAATTTCTAAAACCATTGGGGATATAAAGGAAGAAGACAAAAAAATAAAGGTATAGTTTGTAGCTTTTGTTATGATTATGCACGACTCGTGAAAGGGTAGCAATGGTACATTCAAGTCACGAAAGACACTAGTGTGTTTTGCTAGAAGGAAAGTGGACAGCTTAATTCATTCTCACAGTTATCTCTGAGAAAGATCAACTAACTAACCATAGTGGTGATTCGAGAAGCGTTAACAGTTCCAGGATAAACCCTTTGATGCAGCTAGTGCTTTTCACAGGAAACAAGGTTTTCTAATTTCGTTAAGGATGTTAATTTATCCTCATCATTATCAAATTGAAAGGCACGTGACGTGGGCTTTTCCCTTCTTACCTTGTATGGGTTGAAGACTGACATAGTGTACCTCATGAATATGTCCCAGTACTAATGGCTTGCTTTCATCAACAGGACCATGCGGCGTGATGTCTACATCATTGTGTAGACTGCTGACTACATGAATGCACGTTTTAAAGAGATTTGCTGCTGCACAGAGAATGAGGTGATCACCCCAAGTGCCATCTTTTTCCATGTATGTTAAGTAATCAGCCCATGTTTCATGGCCATGGACAAAGTGACACAGATCTGTTCCATCCGGCTGTAAGAAGAGACAGCCATTAACACTTAAAATCAAATAGCTTTTTAAACAGGGCCGAGCACAATTCAAGGAAATCTCCAGAGAAAACAGCTTCTTTACAGTGGAAACGTCAGTGATTACTTTTTTAACGCTTTCAACGCGGTGGGCAAACAGCAAAAGCTAAAACAAACATCACCTCACTGTCCCACCACAAGAATCTAAATAGGCAACGGCGGTTGCGTCTCAATATGATCGCTGACCCATTCGGTAACAGACAGACTCGCCATGAACATATTGCAATTACACATTGAGCCGTTCATAGGTACCAACACACCTCTAAGAAATGAGAATTTAAACAAATGGAACTATGCGAGTAAAATGTAAACTAAGTTAATAAATAGAGAAAACCAAAACATTCTGTGTAAGAAGAACATCTTTTAGACTAGTAAGAAGGACTTCAAAAATCATTTCGCTTTATTCAGAGCCGAGCTAAACTGACGGTAGCTCACTGATGTTGAATTGATTCTGAAAGGAATATTTTTCGAAACGTGCGACTTACATAACTAAGTACAACACTCTACCAGAGAGTCCATTTGAATTAGTTGAGAAAGTCAGCAGAGACTACGTTGCCTACCGCTTGAGACTGAAATCCACCATAAGAGCTTTTGACACAATCTTATTTCGGGTGACTTTGTTATCGTGCTTCAGGAGAAGACACCTCACTGTCAAAGTGCCTCTCTCCACGGGTGGAAAAATTGTTTAACAATTGATAGGCCAACCTCAAAAAATGCTTGAAGAAATCTGGTGTGAAAGGGACTAGTGTCCTAGCAAGGACGAGTAGCACTTCATGTGACGGAGAGAGAAATAAACACAGTGGCCAAAACTACTGATCAAGCTCTAGTTCTTTTTATATATGAGAATTACAGAAACTCACCAGTTTTGGGTTTTCCCTCAGGTACTGAACTAAAGACTGTCTTAACTGGCCATGTTGGATTTTGATTCCTTTGACAGTTTCTAGTTGTTCAGACAAGGCATGGAACATGCAGTTTCCTGACCCTTGATTGTCAGAAATTCTGAAGCCCTTATCTGATACAATCCTCGATAACTCCTCTGTCAAGGAAGTGTTGTTGTTGACCGTGCTCGCACAGAGTTGCATCCGTTGAAGATTCTGGAGGGTTCGTTCAAGCAGCCCTTGAAGCAAAATAATTTTATGTGTATTTCCTTGAATTAAACAATGTATATGGAAGAGAACGTTTCAGTTATGACAGAGAAAAAAATTTCGTTAAAGACAGAATTTTCAGTTTGCCATGAATATTTTTAACCCACTGAGAACTCTCTCGATATCGTCATGACAAGCTGCGTCAAACTTGTATATGATCTGACTCGGCCCGAACTCACTGCTAGTGAAGAAATATCCGCCCAAATCAGGGCTGAGAGGGACACTGATCCAATCGGGTACTCTGATTTCGGTTTTATGGAGGGTGCTACCCTCAAATGAACGTGTTCATGAGAACACAAATTGCTCTTTTTCCAGCTACAAGAGAAGACTTTAAAATTAAAAAGTACGAGGAGCTCTCAGTCAAGTCCTTCGGAAGACAGCCCAATAACTTGATATATATTTACCAAACATTGTCTTTTGATTTGAGAATGAGAAACAGTATTGGGATAAAACGTCGCAGGTAATATTCTAGACTTGCCAGTTAACATTCTACATTGCTACGTTTTCTTTTCGTCAAAAAACAATTATGTCGCAAGGAAAGCAATAACTGCTTGTAAATAACTGGAGCAGATAACTTTTAACCTGACCTTATGACAAAATGTTATATTTGTCCCACTAAAGCATTAACTTTTTGGAATACACTCATATAAAAAAAGATCATGAAACTTGGGATGGGTAAAAGTGGTTTTAGAGGTTCATTTCTTTTGCTTTTTCCTATTTCACTCTTATCAGTTTGTACAAACCATTTCCTTTTTGGCGAACATTGGTGATTTACACAAACATTTAAAAATTCTCTTTCATATTATATTTTAAAAACCTATTTCGAGGTACAAGATGTATTCACGTCAATGACAGGATAAATTTGGAATACCACAACCAAAGACAAGTCTACGGAAAGAAATAGAAAAATCATCAACATACCTGCGCCATCAACTTTGTCCCACATCTTATCAACAAGAAGGTCACATTGTTTCTTCCAGCTGAACTGCTCCTCATAAGATGCTCTCAGTCGTTCAATCTCTTTAAGACGCTCTGGTCTCTTCTTCTTTCGGACAACAGCAATTGCCTCAGCCCACACCTTGGGGTCCTCAGAATCAACCACAAAAGATTTGCCGGATGGTACAGAACGCAGAGCGTCTCCGAAACCCGAGTTTCCACTTACAAGAATGGGAAGACCAGCTGACAAGGCTTCCAACGCGGTTAAGCCGAACCCTTCCGTGCGGGATGGCATGATACAGAGATCAACTTCACAAAAACAATCTTTCAATTTCTCTTTGCTTTGCAAAAACTTTCTCACTGTCAGCTGACGTTTAGAAATACCATTCTGCAACAAATTTTCCGTAACTGCCTCCTGCTTGTCATCAGGTGCACCCACAAAGATCAAATGGTAGGAGTTTTCTTTCAGCTCAACTATTGCTTTGGCAGCGATATCATACCCTTTCAGACCAAAGTCCTCAGGGTCACCACGACCAAAGGTCAACACCCTAAACTTTTCAGAGTCAACTGAGGCTTGGTTTAGAGTAGAAAACTCTTTGAATGTGCCAGGAGTGAGCGACATAATATCTTGCTGCTTCTCACATGAGCGAAGATAGGCAGAGTAGGCCTCCGTCAACTTGGGTCCTACCGCTACAACTAGATTTGCCAATTTACACAAATCTACTTCGGCTGTAGTCTTCTCTTCTCCTCTGGCTATGGCTCTCGGATAGTTTTTGAACATTCCGAGCTCTTCAGGCGCAGTATGCACTACTTGTACCCACTGGCAATTATGGTACTTCCTGATGATTTGGGCTTGCTTACCTAACTTGGCTCCATGACCCACCACCACGTCAATTATCAGGTCTTCCGGAGGGAAGCTCAACCAGTCAAGAGGGTCATAGCCTGGACATCTCTCTGCTTCTTTGATGACAATCTTGTGACTTTCTGCTGTTCTCTTCTCTTCTTCAGAACAAGCAAATTGTGGGACCAAGAGAGTGACTTCCACCTCGCTACGTTTGGCCATAAGGATGGCAAGGTGTCTGTTGATGGTGGACAAACCCCCCCTTGATGAATTCCACTCACTGGCCAGAAGAGTAACTTTCAAAGTTTTGTCGCACTTTGCTGGGTGACCACGAACTGATGCAACTTGTGAGGTTCTTGTCACTGACGGAGCCAAATCCTTTTGGATGATGACATCAAAACATCATTATAAAGGAAAAGTATGTCATTTTCCAAGTACGATATATAAAAATCGTTTAACTGAAAAAAACTACTTTTGTTAAAGAAAACTTGTCTTCTTCTTTCCCTTCACGAAAGTATAAACCAGACAGAACGAAACGGACTGGTTGAATGCGTTCAAACATGTCTTGAATCACCCAAAAAGTTAGTTACGCAATTGCAAAACATACAACTTCATACAGTATTTCCATTGCTGAATCACTTTAGGATCTATGACACTATCATATCTCAATCTGTACAAATATTTTTTAAATTGGGTATTCCGATTCATACGACTGCCATCGCACAACTTTATCATAACAGCTATCATAATTTCTTCTTAATTGGTTTCCGTTACTACTTATAAAGATATACCAAGAATGCTTCATACCTGGTTCAGCAACCATTTTTCTTGTCCAGGAACTGTAAGTACTTTATTAGACATGCTTTCCATACAGATCAAATCCTGACCTTGTCTTAATTCAAGCAGGTGTAAGCAGTCTTCTTCTGTACAGGACGATTGGTTGTGGTTTGTGCACTTGCGACCTCCTTGCTGACAGTAAGGGCATTCAACACAAAATTCATGCTGCATCCTGCTCAAGTATGGGAACTCCTGTGACATCGTTTCTAAACTGCTCTCTATAAACAATCGCACACTTCTAGCAACCTCTGCCAAAGTTGAATTAGACGCTGGAACTGCTTCACTTTTCATTCTTTGCCTCAAGAGGATTTTTATGAACTTCTTCTTGCAAATCATAATCATATCATTAATGACGCGTCCTTCAAGAACGAACCATGCACCATTCTGGTAGAGTTTTGGAGGCTGTGATGATCCACTTGTACCACACCAAGCAACCGATTTTGAAACAAGGCGAGTAAAAAGACCATGCGGGACAAAGCCTTCTTGGAAATGAAGATACAAAGGACAAGGATCCGTAGATGATGGCTCGAATTTACAAAGCTCTTCAGGCGAGGACGTCAGTTGACATGGCACAAAGTACTGAACGTCAGCCGGAGATGGTGAGTATTTGGCAATCAAACAGAACTGCTCCATCATGTCCAAGATGTCTTCCTTGTTAACGCCTTGCTTAACAAGAGGGGAGAAAACGTGATCAACAAGCTCCATCCTAAGGACGCCACTTCTCTCGAGTTCCAGCCAGAACTTGGAATGCACAGGATCCTGAAACCACAAATTCCCTATTTAAAGTAAGTTCAATCTACCAATTGTTCTTTAAAAATGCCCGTTTTATTTTGTAGTGGACCAAAAACATCTCCCCTTTCCCCATTACTAAGGGTACAATGAGTGGGCAAAGTAGTTAGCTCGCCATCTCTTAGTGGGCGGACAGCATACGTCCACTCAACATGATTAAAAAAATCTTGTAATTCATTTCTAATTAGTTAGTTAATGTCGCCCTTACCTTCCCACCCCCCAAACAATGTCGCATTATAATAGGGACCATATTGCTGATATCAGGCAATATTAAAATGGGGGAGAGGGGAAGATAAATGAAAGTTAGAGAGAAAACTCAAAATGTCTTAAAAGGTGCCAACAACGTGAAAAAACGAACAAACAAACAGACAATCAAATTAACATTTTTTCGTAAAGCGCAAGTGGGAGGAAGGTAACAAGTCCTGCTATCTGTAATCATCTCGATGCATAGTAGATTATTTTTTCCTACCGCTTTTTTGAATGCTGGGATGGTTATAAGCTTCTTGAATAGACTGATTAACCACTGCGCCTTCAGAATGACTGTACTGCGATGTTTCACAATTATTCCTAAGTTGTGATAGAAATTCAACATGGTGTAAAACTGTTCATCGTCTTCTATGAAACAGACATCCTTGGCATAGGTTTGAAGATGGACAGTATTTGTGTGGTATACATTCTTTGCTACTAAAGCTTTAATGACCTTTTCGAAGTGAAACCATCTAGACATATAAAAAAAAAATTATAATCAGTCCTAACTTACAAAAAGGTATACATCAGATAGCAAATTGCATGTGGCAAAGTTTGGAAATTTCTAAATGTAACTTTAGAATATGCCTTGATAACATGCCGAATTCGCTGCCTCTGTCAATTAAGATTTTTAATTTCTCTTTTAACAATAAACAACAAGCAATATCTGTAATTTATACTCCCAATTGCGTGATTGACGTTTTTAGGAGTCATTTAAACTGATCATATGCAAATTTCTTTCTAGTTTGCTTTTCACCGCCTCGTTGATTTTTTTGATTGTTGCGAGGTTACGTTTCACAGTAAACCTGACTGTGGGGTGGAACGAATTGGCGAGGTCAACAAAATTGTAAGCTTATTTCATAGAAATGTCACACAATGAAAAAATTTCATCAATAAATCTGTTCTAGACCAAAGGTTAGAGGGGCTAGTCATTAACAGTCGTTTTTCTAGGTTTGCCATAAAGTAACAGATAAAGCAACTGGTGTGTTAGTTCCCATGGCGATGCCATGTGTTTGTATGAATAATCTTTCGTTGAACTTGAAAGAAGTTTCTTCAAGTATGAGCCACAAAAGTTCCCGTAAATCGTTTGCGGGATTTGGTAAATTATGCTCATAGTGTGAGCATAGAATGGTAGGATGAAGTAGCGAATCGGCATGTAAGTAGCAAACATGTAGCAAACTCGAACGTAGCGAACTCGACAAGCAGCGGAACCGGCTGTGAACGCCACTCGTACGTTTCAGTACAGCTATTGTTAGAAAAAAAATAAGCTGAACATCTCTTGTGCTTATACTATTATACATCAGTACTTCACCTCACTGGTATCTTCTCTCCCATATAAGGTTCCTGTCGAAGTACTTCCAGGATTCTCGCTCGAAGAGCATGAATTCCATCGGCACTAGTGCCATCATTTTCTCCTTCTTGACCTTTCAATTAGAAATTGTGTGAAACAATTAGTGCTGTTGAGAGAAGCCACGGTGGGGTAGAGATTTCTCCTTGGACTTTCGATACGAGTGTGATGGAAACTAAGACCATGATCCCCAGTTCGAATTCGGAAAGGTCTATTTCTGCTGCAGCACTTTGAGTCACTATCTTTGCAATGTATTATAAATTTCACTAGTTGAAGATAATTTGGTCAGCGAAAGCATTCGCAATAGTATTTACATATGCAATCTAGGTTAACAGCAACAAAAGAAAATAGAGGAAATACATACTAAAAAGAATAGCCGAAGCACTAACAAGGTACCAACATCAAAAGTAGATAAATATCCAGATTGGGACAAACGGATGCTAGCAATAAGATGTGGAAAAGCAACCGGTAAGTCTCCAGTGAATCCAATCAACTTTATCTAACGATAAGTTTGTCTGTTCGCGATAGAAATCAAAGTAAACCCAAATTCATCAACACATCATGTTAAACCGAAACACATGATTTACCTGCTTGAGCATTTCTTTGAAATTTAAAGAAATTCCATAATTTCCGCGCGAATGATTTGTCTCTTTGAGTGTTATCAATGTAGAAGAATGGTCGGATCACATGTTTTCCATATTCCTTACTGGAAATCTCACGAATTATCTTGGATGTAACATCCTTAGTATCTTCATATGGCTTGTCAGCATGGGTGCCGACGATAAACACTGGAGGTCGGAGATAGGGAAGCACGTTAGGCGTTTCAACCATTTCTTCTCCAGTTGGTCTCATATTATGAACTGTCACGAGCCACGACAGCAAATTCTCTAGATTTGTCTCATTGTTCGGGTTCTCTAATGTTACATCATGAGTCCCCTGTCTGGCACATGGTTGAGCTAGGGCATTCAGTGGCTTGCTAAGGTTGTGAACTACGATGTACACAGCTCTTGAAGAAAGAAATACCGAGTGAGCAGCATAGTACACATGTTGACCAGCAAAATCCCACACATCTGCGGTTATCGAAGATCCTTTCTCGATGTATGCACTATCAGCATCCACACCTTCGACGATCATGTTCTTTAGGTGTTCATCAGCCTGTTTTTCAACGGAATTAGGAAATACACTGGCGTTGATGGCCATTTTGGACTTTGTACTCAGATTATCTCCTTCATGAAATTGGCTTGATGACCCGGATCTATCTGGAAACTTAGTGGCCGAATCCTTGTACACGGAAACCTAAAATTTTGAAATAAGACGAAATATCAATACCATTCATGCATCTTCATTTGCACAGTAGATGTCGATCTATCTCGTCATTTCAAAACAATCAAATGAGCATTAAATGTGTGAATTCGTTCAAGATCATTCATAAAAAAGTCGGGTTTCTGTGTAAAAACATAATAAACGGACCTCATCGGCGACAACATGTTTTGTGTGCAATTCCTCTCCTGACTCCACTCTGCGTTCTTCCTCAGGCTGTGCCCCTACTGATTTCATTTCCGAGTCTTCCTTGTCATCACGAACAATCATGTGATACCTTCCTGTCGCTAACAATTTTGCCATAAAGGTTTTATATTCCAAACCATCAGACAAACTTGACTTGTTCGCACAACTAGGAGTCCAGTTCTTAATTTGCTCAACTTCAATTTCGAACTTTGATGGCTCAATTTCAATCCCGCCCGTACTCTGTTCCTTGAAGTCAAATGGAAGACCCAAGAGAGTCTTCTTTAAACTTGTTTTACCGGCACGATCCTGGCCAACCAATACTATGCGACCGCGATAAACATTCACAAATCCAGCTTTAAGGGCCTCTTCATAAACCAGTCTTGCGGAATGTACTTGCGCCAAAATTTTGGGAGGAGCTACAGCTGCAAGTTAGGGAAAAGGAAAATTTAATATTGCACTGATTGCCTATTGTAGAACAGTAAAGTGAGAAATAAAGAACATTTCTATGATACATCATGACCTTTTATAACATAGCTAGTAAATTTGTCTAAGCAAATTCAATTGCGTGAGCGTGCTTCATATTCCTATTGTGTACGCTCATGACGTCAGCCAACAAACAGCGTCTTTGTTTTTCTTTTGATTAAGAGATTTTTGTATTCAATCAGAAAATAAAGTTCATTTGCACGTATGAATTCACCTGTCAGTTTTTTGACCAATCTAAGACAAGATCTTTTACAGCGTAGCGAAATGTTTTCCTGAAACAAAATTATCAACGCGCTGAAGCGTAGCAGAGGGAGTAGTCACCCTTTTACAACATTTAAACCATCGGGTTGAAAATGTTTTAAGACAATTGGCTCATAAATCAGCTGTGCGTTCATCGAGATATGAAGCACTTGGGATCTTCCGTACTCTACAAACTTCCCACGTGCTTCATATCTCGATGAACGCACGCTGACGTATGAACCAATTGTTAAGTGGAGGGTGATACATGTAATACAAGGAGCACATTACTAAAATTAACCACCATGAAAGTCGTATCAACTGTTGGAAGATTAATTGTTTTCGGTAGAAGAGAAAATGATTTTTTTCAAAATTTCAGGTAAATCCGTCACATAGGACTTCCTCAACATTTTCTTGTCGTAAAATAGTGACGGGATTTTTCATCTTTCTTCTATAGTGAGCCTTCAAGCCTGGTTCTTTTTACCATTTTTAATTTTAAATACCTGGAAAAGGTTTCTAAAGTTGTAAATTACACGAACACTGCACTCAACAACAAAACCAGCCTGCTTCCGACGGTTACGCTTTTTTCAAGTGCACACCCCGAGACTCTAGAGCCAGAACGATTGGTTGGCAAATTTGAACTAAACATGCCCACAAAGGGATTATCAGACGAAGCTTGCAACGATTCATATCAGCATCAATCATCATAATAAATAAAAGAGTAAGCGAAGGTTGCATTTTTAAGTATACAATCGACTCTCGCCCTACGGACACCTCGCTATTACGGACACCCTACCATTGCAGACAAGAGGCATTCCCCGGAGAAACGAACAAAGAAATGACTGAAATATACTCCCGCTATTACAGACTCTCGCTATTGCGGAAATGCCGACACTTTCATAACCCCCCGCGCGACATTTCACTTGTTTCAAGCATAACTCACATACTATAAAGCGACATTATTCTAAAGGAAAAGAAAGAAACCATTCTTCAATTGGGTGCGAACATGAAAATTTCCCGCTTAATTGCGGCCAGATCTTTTTCCGGTTCGTGAGGCCATGTTAGAAACTTTATTTTTGCGTAGTTACATATTATCTCATATGTTACAGGACAAAACAATTTTTTTCTCTCGTAGCCCGCTATTACAGACCCTCGCTCTTACGGACGCGAAAGCTCCCCGTGGGTGTGTTCAATAACGAGAGTCTACTGTATACGCCAATTTGGATCTCTACGCGACGACGGAACGACAGGCCCTACTTGAAGCTCTAATATGACCTAGGAAATTCCTTCAGAAACTCTACATTAAGATAAAAATCAGCACAACACTAAAGGCACACAATCCTTACTCCAAAATAACATTGTGCTCGAGTATGCAAAAGATTTATTGCCATACATACATGTAACACTACCTGCAATGTCTACGATGATCTTTCTTGTAGTCGTATCCACATGCTTAAAAAGACTTCTGATCTCCTCTAGTGAGAGCGGATTTCCTTCAACGGATAGTTTTTTTAAGGTTAGGCAGTTCTCTAACCACATCAAGTTTCTTCAGTTGGTTATTTCTCAAGTCCAACTCTTGAAGTCCTTTCAAGCATCTCATACTTGTAGGCAGAAAGGACAATCTGTTGTCATTCACTTCTAAGCACGTCAAGGTCTCCAATGGGAACCAAAAAAAACAAAGTAGCTTTCCCAAATTGTTGTAGCTCAAATTCAGCGATTGGATATAAGCAGGTGACAAAGTCTTAGACATAAAAATGCTTATGAGAAACTCCAACTCATCGCTGTTCAAATTCCTCTTACTCAGATTCAAAGTTTTCCCTCTCAAAGCCAACTTTTGTTCGACACCGGGTACGGCTTCAGTTAAACGTTTCACTACAAAATCGAATGATTCGAAAAAAAAGACTAAGCACCACATGACAATTCTCTGTCAGCTTTGTCCCTCCATATCCTAAATAATGCCTACACCTATTAGACAAAAAGGCTTTTCTGACGAACTATACCTGAAAACCTTTATTAATGGGAAAGAAGTGCTGGAGTTTCACATTAAGACAACTAAACATAGCTTAGACAAATTGATATAACTGGTTTAGATAACAGGAGCAACCTAGTTATAACACCATGAACTAAACACTACACTCCCTTTTTCTTCTCGGAAACATAAAAAAAAATTTCTGCTATTCCCAATTTTTTTTTTTGTCTTTTTTTCCAGGAATGGGGGGGGGGGGAAGAGGGGGGAGAAGAGGGGGGAAATGACCGCTAGCCATCCAAGCACATGTTTGATAAAGGCAACCGCTGCCACAACAGACATACAGTTGTAACAAATATGTCCCCACAGTCACCCCTTCGATTCCTCTTTAGTCAGAAACCCATACTCAACTATTTTTTTGATCATAAGAGTATTTAAAGCAACAACAGGTCTACCAAATTATTGACAAACACTTGAATGCAAAAACAATGAGATTTCTGTCAAGGCTTATCCACTGAAAGTGTTTTCATTTCCATTAATGAGTGCTGGAAAGTGTTCCACAATGGTCACTCGGCAGGAACGGCGTTAGTAAAATTTCTGAAGCTTTCGGCAATGCTTCTCATTCAATGTCATGGCCGAGCTCCATGCTATCAGCAAGTCTGGCTTCATACAAGAGTGGAGTATGTGATAATTTACAAAGCATTCTCTTTTAAATTATGTTCTGATAAGTCGTTCCATATTTTCTTCCGCCTGAGTCGCCTTTGGCCGACGCATACTAGGGAATTCTCTCTCAACGTAGGTTTTATACAGAACCAGAAGGAGAGTGTTGCAATGCGTGCAAAGCATAACATTTGCCAAAGACACATTAAGAGAAAACATATCTACTTAAAAAAGCAGTGTAATTGATAAGGCAGTTTGTTGGAAGATGGTGCGGTGAAATGATTAGAGCCCTTGACCCAAGCTGCTCTGGTACCTCACACGCCAATGGGTTCAAGTGCAGACTTCACCTTCAATTTGTAAGACAGATCAATGAATAGTGTGATTTAGCACTATTAACTAAGTTGATAACGTAAATTAGCCATCGCGAAGAATTTTAAAACTGACGTTTCGAGTGTTAGCCCTTCGTCAGAGCGATTGGAGGCATTGTGGGTTGTGTGTGTGTTTATCTGCAGAAAATGGAGCTACGCTATTGGTAAAACAAGAGTAAATTAGTTGAATGAAAAGCACCCGTTGATACCGTGGGGATTAAGAGTGCCGATTTGAAAGAAAATTTTTATACTAGAATTTGGTGGTTTTCCGAACTGCCTACATGTAAGGAAAGGCCGCAAACTTCCATATGCTGCTCAGAATGGTTAGGGAGATTAAAGTCTCTGACGACTGGTTTGGATGCGTCCTTGTCACTTCTTTCTACGTCGCGATGGTGTTCTCGGAATCGGTCACCTAGTCGTCTTCCAATGTTTCACCAATATATAACCTTTTGCAAAAAGTTGCTGTAATCGGTGAAACATCTTTAACATCGGCACTCTTAATCCCCAGGGTCAGTTAAATGATAGGCGCTCGTTGATACCGTGAGGATTAGGAGTTTGCGGCCTTTCCCTACATCTTGGCAGTTCGAAAAGCTGCAAGACTTTAGAACAAAAATTTATCTTTCAAATCAGCACTCTTTATCATTTGTTGCGTATAAACACACACACAACCCACAACTCCTACAATCGCTCTCACGAAGGGCTAACGCTCAAAACGTCTGCTTTGAAACTCTTTACGTTGGCCAATTTACGTTATCAACTCAGTTGATAATACTTAATTATCCTGTTATACTATTCCACCGACACAGCACCACAGTTTCTTTTGAAACTTACCCCTTAAGACCAATAAATAGTCAATTCTACCTACCTACTTTGGAGAAAAGGTCTTCCACATTTTCGCCTGTAAGTGCTGACACTTCCATAAAAATCTCAACTATATTGTTTCCATCTGCATAATCCTGAGCTTCCTAAAAGAACAACATATAAAAAGGGAAATCTCCCACCACTAATTAACAGTGTGTGTGAGCTGTATGTCCGAAATAACTCTGAGTTAATTTGTAAAATATAAGGAAAGGAAATATAGTACACCATTATTACCGAAAAAATGGGTCTAATCAATTTTTGTTGAAAATTTAAATTTTTGCAATAAAGCCTGGTAAGAGAAGTCTTGAGAAGCACTGTTGTCATTAGTAGTGATTGTTCTTTTGATAACCTGAGCGTCAGTCATCATCAGAGTCCAAGGAGGAGTATTGGTAAAATGATGTAATTCTGCCTCCTGAAAACTAATTCGTTACTTTTGCTGTGATATCACTGACTGTGACGATCGGGTAACATGATTCCCTCGTCATTTAACCGTATGGGAATTAACTCATTGTTTTCTGTCTTAAAAACGAAAAAAGGTAAACAAGAATAGTTCATTTTAATAGGTCGATTTCTTACGTCAATGTTGTGAAAGGTTACTTGCGAGGTGCCAACGTCAGATTGTTGACATATGCCTGGTGAGTATGGTTTTGTTGACTGGGAAGTCTACCTTTTAGTGAACTGGATGTCAAATGCCTCATATAGTTGCTCAACGCGGGTTTCGTACCAAATAAGATTTTAAAAGATCCGTAGGAAGCTCCCATGTTTTGACATTAATACAGCAAGATACATGTAAAGTCGCAGTGTAAATAAGCACATACTGGAAATGCATTCTTCTCCCTAAGATACAACCTGAAAAATGATTTTATACCAAGGACCTAATAAGAAATCATACAAAAATCATCCAAAGAGCTTTCATAAACCACCTCAATTTACCATTCTTTCTCAAAGATGGTTTGCATCATTCCCTACAAAAACCATAAAAAAAACCTTCTGACCTACGTGATTTCATGTTTACCACATGTAGCACACTAGCATTATATAAACATGGCCACATTACTTACCTTAAAAGATACCTCCCTTCTACTTTCAAGATCCACTTTATTCCCCACAAGAGCTACAAAGGCACCTGGCCCGGCCCATTGAGCAAACTCATCAACCAACTCCTTTGCTTTCTCAAATGAACGTCTCTGTGTTATGTCATACACAACAAGAGCGCTTCCTTTCGCGAAGAACGAGCGCGAATCAGAAATATCCCACATTACAAGTGTTACTATATTGCCATGATCCAGACGTACGGTTTTAAGAAGGATTTTCTCTGAAAGGACAAATGAACATGGCTAAAGACTTAGATTGCTGAACTTTATAAAAAATCATTTGATCATTTTTATGCTCATTGTTAAACGTTTTCTTACCTTCGCGAGCAGTTTCGGTGTCATGAGAATTGCCATTAACATATCTGTTCAGCAAGTGCGATTTGCCCACATAGGGCCCTCCTGTTTCATAACAGAGGTCAAAGAACAAAAAAATTAAAGAACTTGAGATCATTTTTTGAGATATGATGAGGAGTGCAAAGGTCAGCAAAAAAATCACATACTTGAACTTGAAAAGCTTAGAACTGTAGAAAGAAGACGTCAATCAACTATTGGCCTGTAATAGTTATTTTCTGTGACACAACTGTGAAAGTATCTTACATGTATATTTTTAGGAAACAAAAACTAAAAATTTAAGTTATAATGATAAATTGACCACTAATTAGATTACTATCGTTTGCACTCACCTATAGCTGCCAAAGAATTTATCAGTTTTATATTTCTTTTACCACTGTTTTCCATCTGTGAACATCAAGAGTGATACAAAGCATCTCATAATAAAATTTGTGACATTGTGTGTTGTTCAATAAGACTTGAGGAATCCCCCTTCTCCCTGGGCAAGTAAGAATTTACTTGTTAACTACTCAAGCTGCTAAAAAAAAACCAACAATCAAAACATTTTCCATAAAATTACAAAATGGAGTTGATCTCCAAAGTATCTTGAAAGTACATCTTAAGTTAAATAGACACAGGTTGGTAAAATCATTACTGCCGGTAGCAATTATACTGTTGAAATAATTTGGGTTTTTTTCCTTGAAAGGATTTTTTTTAACAAAGCAATTATAGAAAAGTAGTTGGGACAAAGAGAGTTATAACAATCAAATATGTTCAAAACCATCTTGATCTGGAATTCGAAATTTCAAACTACTAACAAAATAAATTCGGTTAACTAGGTTCCACAAAAATATACTCATTGGAAAAGCCTCACCCAAGAGTGTCCCTCACCCCCCCCCCACATCATTTTCCAGCAAGCAAATTAAATTTTTTTCCTTCATTTATTGGGTATGTGATCTTTTCATAATACTTTGACATAAACAAGTGGTTTGAATAAAATAGAGGGGATGTTGATTGACAGCAAGTAAAACTGTTTACTGTATATGATCTAGAGGTTACTACAGGTGGATTTATGTTCTGTTTTGTCTCACCCTCCTAAGAAATTAATTCTTCCCTCACCAATAAGAAAACAATTTCCACCAAAAAAAGCCTTTTAGAAGAATTCTTGATATAAAATAACAAAGAAAGAAGAATTATAAGTGCCATGCAAACTTCACACACACACACACACACACACACGCACACACACGCACATGCACACATATATATAGATATATACATATATATGATCAACACATCAGGCACATAATAGGTCAATAAAAAGAAAACCTATTTTAATATGAATTTTTGCAAAATTGAGTCTCCAGTAACATTCACAACAGCTGCAAAGATAATTCTCTGTGTTAAGCTATCATAATTTAACACACTAATTAAAGTAAAAACTTTGATTGACAATGGATTGTATCCTGCAAAAAATTTAGTTTATTTAAGGTATCTCTGAGCCATGCAGTGACTAAATTGGGTAATGTCCAAAGTGGCAATGAACCAACAGTCAGATTTATGTGGGCAGGTATGAGTAACAAAGCATTGATGATCAATCAGTAGGCAGTCAGCTCTGACAGCCAGTTTGCTCAACTGGCTGCTTTCAAGTGGCTGTGCTTTGTGTATTTTGCAATTATCTAATCAAGGATATTTTCATCTATTTGTTATACTTCCATTACCCAATTTCTTTCATTTACTTATCACTTGTAATGTCTAAAAAAGGGCTTCCGCAACTCTGATAAAATCAGCTATTCTCCAAAAGCTATTTAGTAACCCTTGGTTTGATTTTATCTCACAGTTAGTCGTTGTGACACCACAGTGCACTGCCTTCCCTGAGCCCTGATTACTTAGTGAATGGCATAGAGAAGAATCCCTGGCTTTATGGAGTCATTCACATGAGTCCAGTTGACTGTGCTGGCTCAGTTTCTGACATCTAACCTCACCATTCTCTCCTTTACTAAAATATCATCATTATGTCAAAAGCCATTCTTAATTCATGCCACTAAGTCTAGTTGCCAACCATGCAATCTAAAGATTGAGTAATGAGGGATGTAAGTTTCTAAGGAAATTCTGGTGCTGCTTCAGTGGGAGAGTATAACAGGGTAGTTTAGTATTATCAGCTGAGTTGTTTACACAAATTGGCCACCATATAGAGAGTTTCAAAGCTGATGTTTTGAGCATTAGCCCTTTGTCAAAGTGAATGGAGAAATTGTGGGTTGTGTGTGTGTTTTTATGCACAAAATGGAGCTACACTATTGGTAGGAATATGGTGATAAGAAAACAAGAATAAACTAGTTGAATGAAAGCACTGGTTGGTACTGTAGGGGTTAAGAGTGCCAATTTGAAAGATAGATTTTTGATCTAGAGTTTTGTACCTTTAAACCAACCATGCAATCAAAAGATCATGTGCACTGCAGTGGCAACCAGCGCAACCTTAAGATCTATTTACCATCCACTTAATCTAAAGATGTAGTTGCAACCAAGCAATTCAAAGATCTAGTTGCCATCCATGCCATTTAAAGATCTAGTTTCTGACTGTGCAATCTAATATCCAGTTGCCAAAATTGCAATCTAGAGATCTAATTGCCAACAATGCAATCAGATATCCAGTTGCCAATCATGTATATGCAAGTAACACTCTAGCCAAATTATTGGAATGAAATTCTAACTGTTGCTAAATTGACCAGTTACCAAACCCATATGAAGATCAGGACCATGTAATTAAGTGACAAAAGATGTGTACTATCAAAAAGTATAATTGCCAATAGCAAAAATACCAGACGTATGAGGGAACAACGTCTGATAGTCAGAATTATAATGAGGATTAAAATGCACCAATGACAGCACTTTCAAAACAAACCGATAACAACAAACCAAGGTGCTATAAATAGCAACACTTAAACTTTCAACGTCATTGCCTAACAAAGACTAACAGCAAAGCAGTTGAAATGTTGCGATCAATACACAATTATTAGCCTGACTCTTACATTGTGGGAAAAATGATTAAATGTTCATTTATAAATTCTTAATCATATGAAATATTTGAAAACCGGTTTAACCCATAGAATTTAACATTTGTCAACGGAATTATATGACGTGGTACGTTAGCCAAATGAAAAATAAACCCTTCAATAAAATCACAACATTCCCTCTTAAAGAAGAAAAAAGATTTCCGTATAGCCCCGTACTATTCTGAAACAAAGTCGCAGTCCCGTCACCGTTTACGCCATTGTTTTCTTTATCCAAGTAAAACATAAGTATGCATAATGAAGTCGCCCTATGGAGCTGTGCGGGATTTATCAGCTGACTGTTATGTCTTGGTACCTTTGCCGATTGAACCACAAACCTATTTATCAAACTATAACATTCTGTCTTGAAGGAAAAAATTTCAGTCAATAAATTCCAAACTGCTTTAAATTAATTACCCGAGATGAAGTTATCACTCGCTTTCTCTCCTGATATCATCATGATATCAGAGAACATAAAAGCAGTTCAAAATCAAACAACTAAATACTCTAACAACTTTCAATTATTGTGCTTCAACTGCGATTCTTTGTCTTACTTGGAGCATATTTCAAAGTAAATCTGAAAGCTTAGTTGTCGAATTCTTCCCTGATATGTAAGTTAACCTTGATTGCATCTTTCAGATTTACTTTGCAGCTCCACCTTATTTTACGCTTAAAATACATCAAACATTTCTTACCATCGCATAAAGAGCAAAAGGCACTACAGGAACGAGAGATAGTAAATCAAAAACCATGATCTTCGTCTAAACAGCAGATGACCTTCGTCTAAACAGCAGATTAACACTCCAGCTGAGTCAAAAATCACTTCCGCCCTTATTCGGCCCAGCGAACGCTTAGCTGCCAGGCAATGAACGTTCTTTTTATCTAATGAACGAAACCCGATCCAGTTGAACCCATACGTGATGTGCGTGACTTTGATTTGAGACTGGTCACGCTAAGTTAAAGCAAGCGAAATTTGAAGGACAATTGTACACTATTCCAAGACGAGTTGACTGAAAGGTCGAAAAGGACGAATAATCCAATATTGAGGACCACAATCATGAATATAGATCGAAAGATCCATCACACTGTTTCAATGCACCTCACGGTAATTAATCTTGAACCTGTATGAGTGGACCCAATCTGACGGATTTTTAATGTTGAATAAACAAATAAAAGTTTATCTCGGTTTAAGGACTAGTTGATTTTCGTTTATTTTTTACTACTGTTTCCCCAGCCCCCTACTCCTTTTATCTCTGTGCCTTCTTTGTTCTGCGTCACTGCTGAACGAAACAGGTTCTTACAAAGAATTGATTCACAGACGGAATTGAAAATGGTGGTTGTAAGACCTGTTACTTAAGTAACAAACAAAAGGAAAAGACATTTCGTCTTTATTTAAGGTGGCTGGCGGGTGGAAAGAGGAAACTCTTGGAACTCAGAGAAAATCTTCGAAGCAAGGGCAAGAGCTAACACTAAGGACCTGTTCAAACGGTCTCTGATACTAAGGAACTCTTCCCATCAAGACAACTTTACAAAACATTAGTATGGAGTTGTGAGTTAAAAAAACACAAACGAAAAAAAAAACAGAAAACGTGCAGACTCCATTTCGTACATCTTTTTATTTGGTCTATTACAAATTATGAATAAACTCACTCTCGAACTTTTCAAGCTTTACGTTAAAATGCCGTCTGATCCTGAATTTAATCTCGCCAGTACCTTATCGTTGGCTTTGCATTCCTCAAGAAAGAACTGTCCGAAGAAAAAAATACTTAGATCCACAGCTTTATCAACACCCAAATTTAAGAAGAAGAGTAACGAGAAACAGGTTGAGGTGAGCACATAAGTCCCTGATCATGTTCAGTCGACCTCTTCATTCCTTTGGTCTACGCCACCGCAATTTGAAAAAGCCGTTGAAGAACTAAAAGAAGGTGAGAAAAAGCTCCCTCCTGGGAACAAGCTTATCTTAATAGCCGATTCCACTGAAGAAGGTTGGGAAGTAGTTAACGAATACGAGTGCAGAGACCTCCCAGACAATAGTGATGACGGCAAGCGCATAAGACTGGCCGAGGCAAGAGCGTCAGAAGCTTCGTCGCACCCAATGGCAGAGAAAAACAATTCTTATTTCCCACAGGTCACTACATCCAGCGCTTTCGTCCGTTCCGTCTAACAGCCCTGCGGTTGTCCATTCTCCTGGCCCTTTTCTCCAAACACCAGTACTTTCTGCCACACCATCACAGAATATTTCCTCTACTATCTGGCCCATAAGCTCGCCCGCCCTACGAGGATCCTGTTTGCCTGTGAAAGGCCGGTTTGGCCATTTTCGAAGCCAGTGTCCTTTTCGCGGCGTTCAGCCCTCAGCTAGTCCGCTCAGCAAGCGAATTTAATGGACGCGGGTAGCTCCACGCTTTTACCGGAAAGAGATAAGTCTCTAATTCCTTCTCATGAACACGTACATTTAGATCATGATATCTTTGAATATGAGCAGGGGTTAATATAATGGTAGCGAGTAGACTTAAGACCCACATTCAGTTTTGGAAATATGTAGGTGCCTGACCGTATATTTTAGATGTGATTAATTCAGGTTATCATATCCCTCTTTATTCCATGCCCCCCGTCAGCTTCTCTAATAACAATAAGTCTGCTTTAGCCGATGCGGGCTTCGTTGCAGGAGCAAAATCTGAATTGCTACTCACTGATCGTATTTTTTAGACGGATGCTATACCTCATAACGTAAATCCTTTATCTGTATCTGCACAGTCCTCAGGCAAGAAGAGGTCAATCTTAGATTTGCAGTTTATTAATAAGCACCTGTGGAAGTAGAGAGTTAAGTTTGAGGATCTTTAGATTCCCTTGAATTTTTTGGATACAAGTCTTTTTATGTTCTCATTTGATATTAAGAGTGGTTTACATAATGTATATATTTTCTCTTCTCACCAGTGTTTTTTAGGGTTTCATGGTATTACAAGGATAAGGTTAGATACTTTTCTTTCGAGTCCTTCCCTATGGCCTTTCTTCGGCCCCTTATATCTTTACTAAGATTTTTAGACCTTTCCTCGTCACCAACCTCATGACTAAATCCCTTAAAATGGCTATTGTTCTTGGAACGGATTGGGACGTCAATTTATCTTTGCCCCCATCTATTAGAGATGAACTCACTTTCTGGAAAGACAATATTAGGCTTATGAATGGTAGGCTTATCGGACAGCGACAAGTTTCTACCAGTTTCTATTCGCGCTATTGAAACGCCGGTTGTGAAGGAGTCGATACCTCTTGCTACGACTGGGTTTGGGAGAATAATTGGCTAGTACTCCTAGTGACCTTGATTCCTCGGCTATCAGGTATCTTGCGCATTATAAAGCTGCGGGTACTCTTATCGTACCCTAATTGGGCCCCGTCCCGTTCTGGCCCATGCTCTTCGTGTTCGAGTCTCCTTACCATTCCCTTGTCGGGGGCATCATTACTTTTACTGACATTGCAGGAATTTTTATCAGGGGCTTCTCCGAGTCCATTTTCGACGCACCCAAGTCTAATGCATTAGCAGTTTGTTTGTCCGCTTTTCTCAGTTTTACGATAATCTCAGTGATTTTTTATATTATTTCTATGTCCTTGTAATTTTGTACCTCTATATCTTCACCTCGATATACATTCTGTTATATTACATTGTTGTTGTAACTTGTTTCCTGTTTTTTAATGTTTGTAGTTCGGCCATCTGGAATTTGTTCTTTTTTTTGTTGTTTTCCTTGACCTCCCTGAGGTGGACTTTGTCTTGCAGCTTAATACGTTTGTAGTCTCGGCGACTATTTCTTAACTCGTTGGTCATAGCACTGAAGAGCATAGGTTGAATAACTTCTCAAAAGTAAAGGCTACTCTCACGTACCATTTCCACAGAATACAAATACATTAAAATACATCAAATACTTCTCATCAAGATGATATACGTTTTAACACAAGCACATTCCAAGTCGGACACTTATTACCTATAAAGGAGTTCAGGACACCACTTAATCAAATAGTTAAGACATAGCTCCAAGGAACATTTCATTTATCTTCGAAAATATAACCAAACTCTCCCGTTTCAGTTTACTTAAAGTTTTAGCCAGTTTGAACTTATTATTCCCCGAAAATTTCCTTCTACAGGCGTTTCATGGTCGAGAAAGGAAAATACAATGTAGGAGAATACAGACAACAAAAGGAAAACCTTTCTATGTTCTAATCTTTTTATTTTACTGTATTTCATAGTCTATTTTTTTTTTTTTAACGTAGAGTGCAGCACGAAACTGTGATACTCTACAAATACTAGATTTTAATGCTTGCTTTTAAAAACGTATATGAAGACAAAGGTCGATTGAATTTTTATTTGATAAGGGATGAATTAACGATCGGAAATTTTCATGAAAATCCTTTAATGCATCTAACTAAAAGTCTACGTTGCATACTTAGCAGACTTCTACGTAGTCTTAAACTCGGTTGTCAAACATCTCCGAATTCAAGAAAGGGGGATTTTGCAGGAAAGATCTTATGGGTGGTAGATCCTTGCTAAATTGATAATATATAGCATCTAACTGGTTACCACTGGACCACAGAGCTACTGGAATCGCATTAACAATGCCACTGAGACATGTCTCTTCCAATGTCTTCGCCAAACAGCCATAACTGGCACATTCTGATAACGTGTTTCAATAGCAAGAGACACACTTGTGAAAAACCACTCAATCACCAGTGGAACTGAGGTCTAAATGGCAGACTGCATTGGCAAGTTTCAAAAGGAATCGCCTTATAAGTAAATAAATTGAGTAAATAATAACAGACAGTTAACAGAGTATTATGGCAGTAGACTCAAACATCATACTCATGATAGCATTGCCTGCCTTAAGTCTCTCAAGGTGAGGAGTTCGAAAGGTTCCCCAGGGCACTGGAGTTATTTTCCAAGGCTGATAGCAAAAGTGATCGACAACCACCATGGCACTGCGTTCCACGACTTCCGTAATTCGTACTTTACACTTGTTCAATTACGTTCTACATTCTACTTTAACTTCAACTCTAATTTCAAGAGGGAGCCTCACCTATAAGCCTTCATGGCTTTTCCGGACTTCCTCGCCTTTCCTTTTCCTATTTTATATTTCCCAAGTATTATCTATGCAGATTAGCTTTGTTCTTCTTTTAATATGTAATAAAGGCAAATGATAAGCAAAAAAATAAATTCCGTGAGTCACTCCAAGCACTACAATGTAAAGCACACCGTCATATCAGCTTGTAAAATTCAACACACAACGGCGGCACCAAAGTACAATGGCACCAATAAGATAAAAGAATATCCTGGATGAGTGATGTTCCATAATAACTGAACAGAGATACGCAATTCATTGTTTTTCTCGGAGCAATTTTCAATTGGCCGGCAAAAATCAAAGTAATTACAACAGCCAATAATAACGAACTTTTGCATCGTTATTAGCCAATGAGGTTTTAAAGGAAATACAGGCCAACAACTAAAATTGGGGAAAACGACCAGTCACGATTCTCTTTTGTTTGGCGTGTACTTTGTTTCACACGTTGTGGGAGTTTCTAGACCAATCACAGACCGAAATAAAGAAAACCAAAGCAGTACGGGATTTTTTTTCTACAATCAGTTAAGAATTATTCCATATAAAATTTCAATCAAACCACGAAAACTCGATAGCGATTCAGTGACTTAAGCTCATCCAAACCGAAAAACCTGCGACCTCTAAAAAGCTATGTTTCATCTAAAGCTTACTTTTTCAGCTTAAAATAGAGTTTCGTGAGAGAAGTTCCTAAAATTTCGCAGTTTTCTCTGGTTGCGTTCTCTTTCTTCGTAAATGTTTCCTGGTCTGTAGTCATAGGCGCCGAAAAACTTTATTTCAGCCTGTAAATGCAACAAAAAAAACAAACCAAAATTAATGAACAAAATTTCACATTTCCCAGGAAATGGTTCTCCGCATAGTGATTGGAATTCAGAATGTTAATTTAATAAGAAAAAAAAAAACAGGGAGAACCTGTTGAAGAACACCGAGAGAAAAGGCGCGGATCAACAAAAATCTTAGCCGACATGAGAAGCAAGGTCCTGGATATAACCCAACCACAATGGTGGGAAGCAAGTGTTCTAGCAAAAATACCTTCCCAGGTGCATTCAGCAAGTGTGATTCGTGAATACCTCTGACTTAATCTTGTATGATTTACAATGTTCTCCCGCCACTAAGTGACTTTTGTTTAAATAAAAATAGCATTTCTTAATATTATTTAAGAACCAGATGAATGAATACATCATTCGCTTTACAGACGTTTTCTTCCGTTGCCATCTTTTCAAACAGACTGTAAAAGATCACTTCAAGTAAATCCGCTATAATTTCTAAAAACCACTGGGAATATAAAAGAAGAAGAAAAAAATAAAGGTATTGTTTGTAGTTTGTTTTATGATCATGCACAACTCGTGAAACGGTAGCAATGGTTTCAAGTCACTAAAGACACTGGTGTGTTTTACCAGAAGGAAAGTGGACAGCTTAATTTATTCTTACAGTTATCTCTGAGAAAGATCAACAAACTAACCATGGTAGTGACTCGAGAAGCGTGAACAGTTCCAGGATTAACCCTTCGACGCAGCTGGTGCTTTCCGCAAGAAACATAAGGTTTTCGAATTTCGCTACTGATGTTAATCGATCTTCATCACTATCAAATTGAAAGGCATGTGACGTGCGCTTTTCCCTTCTTACCTTGTATGGGTTGAAGACTGACATAGTGTACCTCATGAATATGTCCCAGTACTAGTGGCTTGCTTTCATCAACAGGATCATGTGGCCTGATGTCTACATCATTGTGTAGACTGCTGACCACATGAATGCACGTTTTAAAGAGATTTGCTGCTGTACAGAGAATGAGGTGATCACCCCAAGCGCCATCTTGTTCTATATATGCTGGACAAAGTAATCAGCCCATGTTTCTTGAATACCAAATGGCCATGGACAAAGTGAAACAGATCTGTTTTTCCATCCGGCTGCAAAGAGCAAAAGAGACAAACCATTAATATTTGAATACCGGTTGCGTCTCAAAATAGCTATTCGAAAAGGGTCGAGAACATAATTCAAGGAAATCTAAAAAACGAGAAACAAAACTTCTTTACAGTGGAAACGTCAGTGAAAACTTTTTAACGCTTTCAACGCGGTGGGCAAACAGCAAAAGCTAAAACAAACATCACCTAACTGTCCCACCACAAGAATCTAAATGGGCAGCGGCGGTTGCGTCTCTCCACGAGTGGAAAAGTTGTGGAATAATTGTCAGGCCAACCTCAAAAAATGCTTGAAGAAATCTGGTGTGAAAGGGACTAGTATCCTTGCAAGGACGAGTAGCACTTCAAGTAACGGAGAGAGAAAGAAACACAGTAGCCAAAACTACTGATCAACCTCTAGTTCTTTTTATTTATGAGAATTACAGCAACTCACCAGTTTTGGGTTTTCCATGAGGTACTGAACTAAAGACTGTCTCAACTGGCCATGTTGGATTTTGATTCCTTTTACGATTTCTAGTTGTTCTGACAAGGCATGGAACATACAGTTTCCTGACCCTTGATTGTCAGAAATTCTGAGGCCCTTATCTGATACAATCGTCGTTAACTCTTCTGTCAAGGTAGTGCTGTTGTTAACCGTGCTTGCGCAGAGTTGCATCCGCTGAAGATTCTGAATAGTTCGTTCAAGCAGCCCTAGAACCAAAATAATTTTTGGTGAATTTCCTTAAATCATACAATGTAGATGGAAGGAAGGTTTCAGTTATGACAAAGAAAAAATCACATAAAAGACAGAATTTTCAGTTCACCGTGAATATTTTTTAACCCACTGAGAACTCCATCGGTATCGCCATGGCAAGCTGCGTGAAACTTGTATATGATCTGACTCGGCCCGAACTCACTGTTAGTGAAGAAATATCCGCCCAAATCAGGGGTGAGAGCGACACTTATCCAATCGGGTACTCAGATCTCTTTTTTATGAAGGGCGGTGCCCTCAAATGAACGAGATCTTTCCTTATCAGCAGGATCATGTATGGAAAAATATTTCATGAGAACACAAATTGCTCTTCTTTTAGCTGCAAGGGAAGACTTTAAAAATTAAAAAGTACGAGGAGTTCTCAGTCAAGTCCTTCGGAAGACAGGCCAATGACTTGATATATATTTACCAAACACTGTCTTTTCATTTGAGAATGGGAAACAGTATTGGGATAAAACGTCGCGGGTAATATTCTAGACTTGTCATTTAACATTCTTCATTGCTACGTTTTTCCTTTTTTTTCGTTAAAAAAGTAATTATGTCGCAAAGAAAGCAATAATTGCTTGTAAATAACCGGAGCAGATGACTTTTGACCTGACCTTATGACAAAATGTTACATTTGTCCCACTAAAACATTAACTTTTTGGAATACACTCACATCAAAAAAGATCATGAAACTTGGGATGGGTAAAAGTGGTTTTACAGGTTCATTTCTTTGCTTTTTCCTATTCACTCTTATCAGTTTGTACAAACCATTTCCTTTTTGGCGAACATTGGTGATTTACACCAAAATTTACAAATTCTCTTTCATATTATATTATAAAAACCTACTTCGAGGTACAAGATGTATTCACGTCAATGAAAGGATAAATTTGGAATACCACAACCAAAGACAAGTCTACGGAAAGAAATAGAAAAATCATCAACATACCTGCGCCATCAACTTTGTCCCACATCTTATCAACAAGAAGGTCACATTGTTTCTTCCAGCTGAACTGCTCCTCATAAGATGCTCTCAGTCGTTCAATCTCTTTAAGACGTTCTGGTCTCTTCTTCTTTCGGACAACAGCAATTGCCTCAGCCCACACCTTGGGGTCCTCAGAATCAACCACAAAAGATTTGCCGGATGGTACAGAGCGCAGAGCGTCTCCGAAACCTAAGTTTCCACTTACAAGTATGGGAAGGCCAGCTGACAAGGCTTCCAACGCGGTTAAGCCGAACCCTTCCGTGCGGGATGGCATGATACAGAGATCAACTTCACAAAAACAATCTTTCAATTTCTCTTTGCTTTGCAAAAACCTTCTCACTGTCAGCTGACGTTTAGAAATACCATTCTGCAACAAATTTTCCGTAACTGCCTCCTGTTTGTCATCAGGTGCACCCACAAAGATCAAATGGTAGGAGTTGTCTTTCAGCTCAACCACTGCTTTAGCAGCGATATCATACCCTTTAAGACCGAAGTCCTCAGGGTCACCACGACCAAAGGTCAACACCCTAAACTTTTCAGAGTCAACTGAGGCTTGATTTAGAGTAGAAAACTCTTTTAATGTACCAGGAGTGAACGACATAATATCTTGCTGCTTTTCACATGAGCGAAGATAGGCAGAGTAGGCTTCCGTCAACTTGGGTCCTACTGCTACAACTAGATTTGCCAATTTACACAAATCTACTTCGGCTGTAGTCTTCTCTTCTCCTCTGGCAATGGCTCTCGGATAGTTTTTGAACATTCCGAGCTCTTCAGGCGCAGTATGCACTACTTGTACCCACTGGCAACTATGGTACTTCCTGATGATTTGGGCTTGCTTACCTAACTTGGCTCCATGACCCACAACCACGTCAATTATCAGGTCTTCCGGAGGGAAGCTCAACCAGTCAAGAGGGTCATAGCCTGGACGTCTCTCTGCTTCTTTGATGACAATCTTGTGACTTTCTGCAGCTCTCTTCTCTTCTTCAGAACAAGCAAATTGTGGGACCAAGAGAGTGACTTCTACCCCACTACGTTTGGCCATAAGGATGGCAAGGTGTCTGTTGATGGTGGACAAACCCCCCCCTTGATGAATTCCACTCACTGGCCAGAAGAGTAACTTTCAAAGTTTTGTCGCACTTTGCTGGGTGACCACGAACTGATGCAACTTGTGAGGTTCTTGTCACTGACGGAGCCAAATCCTTTTGGATGATGACATCAAAACATCATTATACAGGAAAAGTATGTCATTTTCCAAGTACGATATATAAAAATCGTTTTAACTGAAAAAACTACTTTTGTTAAAGAAAACTTGTCTTCTTCTTTCCCTTCACGAAAGTATAAACCAGACAGAACGAAACGAACTGGTTGAATGCGTTCAAACATGTCTTGAATCACCCAAAAAGTTAGTTACGCAATTGCAAAACATACAACTTCATACAGTATTTCCATTGCTGAATCACTTTAAGATCTATGACACTATCATATCTCAATCTGTACAAATATTTTCTAAATTGGGTATTCCGATTCATACGACTGCCATCGCACAACTTAAGCACAAAAGCCATCATAATCTCTTCTTAATTGGTTTCCGTTACTACTTATAAAGATATACCAAGAATGCTTCATACCTGGTACAACAACCATTTTTCTTGTCCCGGAACTGTAAGTACTTTATTAGACATGCTTTCCATGCAGATCAAATCCTGACCTTGTCTTAATTCAAGCAGGTGTAAGCAGTCTTCTTCTGCACAGGACAATTGGTTGTGGTTTGTGCACTTGCGACCTCTTTGCTGACAGTAGGGGCATTCAACACAAAATTCATGCTGCATCTTGCTCAGGTGTGGGAACTCCTGTGACATCTTTTCTAAAGTGCTCTCCATAAACAATCGCACACTTCTAGCAACCTCTACCAAAGTTGCATTAGAAAATGGAACTACGTTCCTTTTAATTCTTTGTCTCAAGAGGATTTTAATGAACTTCTTTTTGCAAATCATAATCATGTCATTAATGACGCGTTCTTCAAGAATGAACCATGCACCATTCTGGTAGAGTTTTGGAGGCTGTAACGATCCATTTGCACCACACCAAGCAACCGATTTTGAAACAAGGCGAGTAAAAAGACCATGCGGAACAAAGCCTTCTTGGAAATAAAGATACAAAGGACAAGGATCCGTAGATGATGGTTCCAAATTTACAAAGCTCTTCAGGTGAGGACCTCAGTTGACATGGCACAAAGTAATAAATGTCAGCCGGGGATGGTGAGTATTTGGCAATCAAACAAAACTGCTCCATCATGTCCAAGATGTCTTCCTTGATAACGCCTTGCTGAATAAGAGGGGAAAAGCGTGATCAACAAGCTCCATCCTAAGGACACCACTTGTCTCGAGTTCCAGCCAGTACTTGGAATGCACAGGATCCTGAAACCACAAATTCCCTATTTAAAATAAGTTCAATCTACCAATTGTTCTTTTAAAATGCCCCATTTAATTTTGCAGTGGACCAAAAAATCTCTCCTTTCCTCATTACTAAGGGTACAATGAGTGGTAAAATGTAGTTGTTGGCAAGCCTCCTTAGAAATGAGTCAACATAATCAAATGATTAAAAAAATCTTGTTATTCATCTCTAATTAGTTTATTGAATTGCCCCCCTTACCTCCCCACCCTCAAACGATGTCGTAATAAATTAGTGACCATTTTGTCAATATTGAAATGGAGGAGAGGGAGAGACACATGAAAGTTATGGAGAAAACTCAAAATGTTGTAAAAGGTGTAAACAATGTGAAAAAAAACAAACGGACAAACAGTCAATTAAATTAACATTTTTTTCGTCAAGCGCAAGTTGGGGATGGTAAAAAATCCTGCCTACGATCTGCAATCATCTCGATGCATAGAAGATTATCTTTTCCTACCGCTTTTTGAATGCTGGGATGGTTATAAGCTTCTTGAATAGACTGATTAACCACTGTGCCTTCAGAATGACTGTACTGTGGTGTTTCACAATCAAACCTAAGTCGTGATAGAAATTCAACATGGTGTGAAACTGTTCATCGTCTTCTATAAAACATACATCCTTGGCATAGGTTTGAAGATGGACAGTATTTGAGTGGTATACATTCTCAGCTACCAAAGCTTCAATGACCTTTTCGAAGTTAAACCATCTAGAAATATAAAAAAATTATAATTAGTCTAAGTAACAGAAAGGTATACATCAGATAGCAAATTGCATGTAGCAAAGTTTGGAAATTTCTAAATTTAACTTTAGAATATGCCTTGATAACATGCCGAATTCGCTGCCTCTGTTAATTAAGATTTTTAATTTCTCTTTTAACAGTAAACAACAAGCAATATCTGTAATTTATACTCCCAATTGCGTGATTGACGTTTTTAGGAGTCAGTTAAACTGATCATGTGCAAATTTCCTTCTAGTTTGCTTTTAACCGCCTCGTTGATTTTTTTGATTGTTGCGAGGTTACGTTTCACAGTAAATCTGACTGTGGGGTGGAACGAATTGGCGAGGTCAACAAAATTGTAAGCTTCTTTCATAGAAATGTCCCACAATGAAAAATTTCATCAATAAATCTGTTCCAGACCAAAGGTTAGAGGGGCTAGCCATTAACAGTCGTTTTTCTAGGTCTGCCATAAAGCAGCAGATAAAGCAGCTGGTGTGTTAGTTCCCATGGCGATGCCATGTGTTTGTATGAATAATCTTTCTTTCTTTTTTTCTAAGTTTCTTCAAGTATGAGCCGCAAAAGTTCCCGTAAATCGTTTGTGGGAATTGGTAAATTATGCTAATAGTGTGAGCATAGAATGGTAGGATGAAGTAGCGAATTCGGCATGTAAGTAGCAAACATGTAGCAAACTCGAACGTAGCGAACTCGACAAGCAGAGGAACCGGCTGTGAACGCCACTCGTACGTTTCAGTACAGCTATTGTTAGAAAAAAAATGAGCTGAACATCTCTTTTATAATATTATACATCAGTACTTCACCTCACTGGTATCTTCTCTCCCATATAAGGTTCCTGTCGAAGTACTTCCAGGATTCTCGCTCGAAGAGCATGAATTCCATCGGCACTAGTGCCATTGTCTCTTTCTTGACCTTTCAATTATAAATTGTGTGAAACAATTAGTACTGTTGAGAGAAGCTACGGTGGGGCAGAGATTTCTCCTTGGACTTTCGATACAAGTTTGATTGCAACTAAGATCATGATCCCCAGTTTCGTATTCGGAAAGGTCTATTTCTGCTGCAGCACTTTGAGTCACTATCATTGCAATTTATTATAAATTTCACTAGTTGAAGATAATTTGGTCAACGAAAGCATTCGCAATAGTATTTACATAGGCAATCCAGGTTAATAAAAAAAAGCAACAAAAGAAAATAGAGAAAATACATACTAAAAAGAATAACCGAAGCACTAACAAGGTGCCAACATCAAAAGTAGATAAATATCCAGATTGGGACAAATGGATGCTAACAATAAGATGTAGAAAAGCAACCGGTAAATCTCCAGTGAATCCAATCAACTTTATCTAACGATACGTTTGTCTGTTCGCGATAGAAATCAAAGTAAACCCAACTTCATTAACACATCATGTTGAACCCAAACACATGATTTACCTGCTTGAGAATTTCTTTGAAATTTAAAGAAATTCCAGATTTTCCGCGCAAATGACTTGTCTCTTTGAGTGTTATCAATGTAGAAGAATGGTCGGATCACATGTTTTCCATATTCCTTACTAGAAATCTCACGAAGTATCTTGGATGTAACATCCTTAGTATCTTCATATGGCTTGTCAGCATGGGTGCCAACAATGAACACTGGAGGTCGGAGATAGGGCAGCACGTTAGGCGTTTCAACCATTTCTTCTCCAGTTGGTCTCATATTATGAACTGTCACGAGCCACGACAGCAAATTCTCTAGATTTGTCTCATTGTTTGGGTTCTCCAAAGTTACTTCATAAGTTCCCTGTCTGGCACATGGCTCAGCTCGGGCATTCAGTGACTTGTTAAGGTTGTGAACTACGATGTACACAGCTCTTGACGAAAGAAATACCGAGTGAGCAGCATAGTACACTTGCTGACCCGCAAAATCCCACAAATCTGCGGTTATCGAGGATCCTTTCTCGATGTATGCACTATCAGCATCCACACCTTCAACGATCATGTTCTTTAAGAGTTTATCAGCCTGTTTTTCAACGGCATTAGAAAGTACGGTGGCGTTGATAGCTATTTTGGACTTTGTGCTTGGATTATCTCCTCCATGAAATTCGCTTGATGGCCCGGATCTATCTGGAAACTTTGTGGCCGTATCCTCGTACGTGGAAGCCTAACATTTTGAAATAAGACGAAATATTAATACTGTTCAAGCATCTTCATTTGCACAGTAGATGTCGATCTATCTCGTTATGTCAAAACAATGAAATGAGCATTAAATGTGCGAATTCGTTTGAGATCATTCATAAAAAGTCGGGTTTCAGAGTAAAAACATAGTAAACGGACCTGATCGGCGACAACATGTTTTGTGTGCAATTCATCTCCTGACTCCACTCTGCGTTCTTCCTTAGGCTGTGCCCCTACTGATTTCATTTCCGATTCTTCCTTGTCATCATGAACAATCATGTGATACCTTTCTGTCGCTAACAGTTTTGCCATACCCGTTGTATATTCCGAACAATCAGAAAAACTTGACTTGTTCGCACAACTAGGAGTCCAGTTCTTAATTTGCTCAACTTCAATTTCGAACTTTGATGGCTCAATTTCGATCCCGGCCGTACTTTGTTCCTTGAAGTCAAATGGAAGACCTAAGAGAGTCTTCTTTAAACTTGTTTTACCGGCACGATCCTGGCCAACCAAGACTATGCGACCGCGATAAACATTCACAAATCCATCTCTAAGGGCCTCTTCATAAACCAGTCTTGCGGAATGTCCTTGCGCCAAAATTTCAGGAGGAGCTACAGCTGCAAGTGAGGGAAAAGTAAAATGTAATATTGCACTAATTGCCTATTGTAGAACAGTAAAGTGAGAAACAAAGAACATTTCTATGATACATCATGACCTTTTATGACATAGGTAGTAACTTTGTCTAATCAAATTCAATTGCGTGAGCGTGCTTCATATTCCTACTGTGGACGCTCATGACGTCAGCCAACAAACAGCATCTTTGTTTTTCTTTTGAATGAGAGAATTTTGTATTCAATCAGAAAATAAAGTTCATTTACACGCATGAATTCACCTGTGAGTTTTTTGACCAATCTAAGACAAGATCATTTACAGCGTGGCGAAATGTTTTCCCAAAACAAAATTATCAACGCGCTGAAGCGTAGCAGAGGGAGTAGTAACCCTTTTAACAACATTTAAACCATCGGGTTGAAAATGTTTTAAGACAATTGGTTCATACATCAGCTGTGCGTTCATCGAGATATGAAGCACTTGGGATCTTTCGTACTCTACAAACTTCCCGCGTGCTTCATATCTCGATGAACGCACGCTGACGTATGAACCAATTGTTAAGTGGAGGGTGATACATGTAATACAAGGAACACATTACTGAAATTAACTACCATGAAAGTCATATCAACTGTTGGAAAATTAAATGTTTTCGATAGAAGAGAAAATGATTTTTTCCAAGATTTCAGCTAAATCTGTCACATAAGATTTCCTCAACATTTTCTTGTCGTAAAATAGTGACGGGATTTTTCATCTTTTGTTGTATAGTGAGCCTTCAAGCCTGGTTCTACTGTACCATTTTTAATTTTAAATGTCTGGAAAAAGGTTTCAAAAGTTGTGAAGTACACGAACACTGCATTCAACAACAAAACCAGCCTGCTTCCGACGGTTACACTTTTTCAAGTGCACACCCCGAGACTCTAGAGCCAGAACGATTGGTTGGCAAATTTGAATTAAACATGCCCACAAAGGGATTATCAGACGAAGCTTGCAACGATTCATATTAGCATCAATCATCATAATACGTAAAAGAGTAAGCGAAGGTTGCATTTTTAAGTGTACAATCGACTCTCGCCCTACGGACACCTCGCTATTACTGACACCCTACCATTGCAGACAAGAGGCATCCCCCGGAGAAACGCACAAAGAAATGACTGAAATATGCTCCCGCTATTACAGACTCTCGCTATTGCGGAAATGCGGACACTTTCATAACCCCCCGCGCGACATTTCGCTTGTTTTTTTCTCTTGCTATAGCGGAAACTTCGTGTAAAATCCTGACTCACACACTATAAAGCGACATTACTATAAAGGAAAAGAAAGAAATCATTCTCCAATTGGGTGCGAACATGAAAATTTGCGGCCAGATCTTTTTCCGGTTCGTGAGGCCATGTTAGAAACTTTATTTTTGCGTAGTTACATATTATCTCATATGTTACAAGACAAAACAATTATTTTCTCTCGTACTCCGCTCTTACAGACCCTCGCTCTTACGGAAGCGAAAGCTTCCCCCAACCCTCCTCTCCCCCCCTCCCCCGTGGGTTTATTCAATAACGAGAGTCTACTGTATACGCCAATTTGGATCTCTACACGACGACGGAACGACAGGCTCGAGTATGGAAAAGATTTATTGCCACATATACATGTAACACTACCTGCAATGTCTACGAAGATCGTTCTTGTAGTCGTATCCACATGCTTCATAAGACTTCTGATCTCTTTTAGTGAGAGCGGATTTCCTTCAACAAATAGTTTTCTAAGTTTAGGCAGTTCTCTAACCACATCAAGTTTCTTCAGTTGGTTATTTCTCAAGTCCACCTCTTGAAGTCCTTTCAAGCATCTCATACTTGTAGGCAGAAAGGACAATCTGTTGTCTTTCACTTCTAAGCGCGTCAAGGTCTCCAATGGGAACAAATAAAAACCAGGTAGATTTGCAAAATTGTTGTAGCTCAAATTCAGCGATTGGATATATGCAGGTGACAAAGGCCTCGACATAAAAATGCTTATGAGAAACTCCATCTCATCGCTGTTCAAATTCCCCTCACTCAGATTCCAAGTTCTCCTTCTCAAAGCCAACTTTTGTTTGACTACGGGTTGGGTTCCAGCTGAACGTTTCGCTACAAAATCGAATGATTCGAAAAAAAATTAAGCACCACATGACAATTCCCTGTCAGCTTTGTCCCTCCATATCCTAAATAATGCCTACACCTATTAGACAAAAAGGCTCTTCTGACGAACTATACCTGGAAACCTTTATTAATAGGAAAGAAGTGCTGGAGTTTCACATTAAGACAACTAAACACAGCTCAGACAAATTGATATAACTGGTTTAGATAACAGGAGCAACCTAATTATAACACCATGAACAAAACATTATACTTCTTTGTTTTTTCTTCTGGCAAACATAAAAAAAAATTCTGCTATTTCCAATTTTTTTGTCTTTTTTCCAGGAATGGGGGGGGGGGAAAGGGGGGGAAATGACCGCTAGCCATCCAAGCAAATGTTTGATAAAAGCAACCGCTGCCACAACAGACATACAATCGTAACAAATATTTTCCCACAGTCACCCCTTCGATTCGTCTTTAGTCAGAAACCCATACTCAACAATTTTTTATCATAAGAGTATAAAAGCAACAACAGGTCAACCAAATTATTGACAAACATTTGTCTGCAAAAACAATGAGATTTCTATCAAGGCTTATCCACTGAAAGTGTTCTCATTTCCATTAATGAGAGCTGGAAATGCAATGGTCTCGTTCAATGTCATGGCCGAGCTCCATGTTATCAGTAAGTCTGGCTTTATACAAGAGTGGAGTATGTGATAATTTACAAAGCATTCTCTTTTAAATTATGTTATGATAAGTCGTTCAATATTTTCTTCCGCCTGAGACGCCTCCAGAAACCAGAAGGAGAGTGTTGCAATGCGCGCAAAGCATATCATTTGCCAAACACACATTAAGAGAAAACACATCTACTTAAAAAAGCAGTGTAATTGATAAGGCAGTTTGTTGCAAGATGGTGCGGTGAAATGATTGGAGCCCTACACCCAAGCTGCTCTGGTACCTCACATGATAATGGGTTCAAGTGCAGACTTTACCTTCACTTTGTAAGACAGATCAATGAATAGGGTAATTTAGCATTATCAACTAAGTTGATAACGTAAATTAGCCACCGTGAAGAATTTTAAAGCTGACGTTTCGAGTGTTAGCCCTTCGTCAGAGCGATTGGAGGCATTGTGGATTGTGTCTGTTTATCTGCAGAAAATGGAGCTACGCTATTGGTGGGAATATGGTGACGAGAAAACAAGAATAAATTAGTTGAATGAAAAGCACCCGCTGATACCGTGGGGATTAAGAGTGCCGATTTGAAAGATAAATTTTTGTTCTAGAGTTTGGCGGCTTTCCGAACTGCCTACATGTAGGGAAAGGCCGCAAACTACCATATGCTGCTCAGAATGGTTGGGGAGATTAAAGTCTCTGGCGACTGGTTTGGATGCGTCCTTGTCACTTCTTTCTACGTCGCGATGGTGTTCTCGGAATCGGTCACCTAGTCGTCTTCCAATGTTTCACTAATGTATAAACTTTTGCAAAAAGTTTTTATACATTGGTGAAACATCTTTCAAATCGGCACTCTTAATCCCCAGGGCCAGTTAAATAAAAGGCGCTCGTTGATACCGTGGGGATTAAGAGTTTTCGGCCTTTCCTTATATCTAGGCAGTTCGAAAAGCTGCAAAATTCTAGAACAAAAATTTATCTTTCAAATCAGCACACTCAATCATTTTCTGCGTATAAACACACACACAACCCACAGCTCCTCCAATCACTCCCACGAAGGGCTGACGCTCAAAACGTGTGCTTTGAAACTCTTTACGTTGGCCAATTTACGTCATCAGCTCAGTTGATAATACTTAATTACCCTGTTATACTCTCCCACCGACACAGCACCACAGTTTCTTTTGAAGCTTACCCATTTAGATCAATGAATAGTCAATTCTACCTACCTACTTTGGAGAAAAGGTCTACCACATTTTCGCCTGTTAGTGCTGACACTTCCATCAAAATCTCAACTATATTGTTTCCATCTGCATAATCCTGAGCTTCTTAAAAGAACAAGATATAAAAAGGGAAATCTCCCACCACTAATTTAACAGTGTGTGTGAGCTGCATGTCTGAAATAACTCTGAGTTAATTTGGAGAATATGAGGAAAAGAAATATAGTACACCATTGATCACCGAAAAATGGGTCTAATCAATTTTTGTTGAAAATTTAAATTTTTGCAATAAAGCCTAGTAAGAGAAGTCTTGATAAGCACTGTTGTCATTAGTAGTGATTGTTCTTTTGAAAACCTGAGCGTCAGTCATCATCAGAGTCCAAGGAGGAGTATTGGTAAAATGATGCAATTCTGCCTCCTGAAAAAACTAATTCGTTACTTTTTCTGTGATGTCATTGACTGTGACAATCGGGTAACATGATTCCTTCGTCATTCAACCGTATGTGAATTAACTCATTGTTTTCTGTCTTAAAAAAAAAAAAGGCAAACAGGAATAGTTGCTCTACGCGGGTTTCGTAACAAATAAGATTTTAAAAGACACGTCGGAAGTTCCCATGTTTTGACGTTAATACAGCAAAATACATGTAAGGTCGCAGTGTAAATAAGCACTTACTAGGAATGCACTCTTCTCCCTAAGATACAACCTGACAAATTATTTTATACCAAGGACATAATAAGAAATCATACAAAAATCATCCAAAGAGCTTTCATAAACCACCTTACTTTACTATTCTTTCTCAAAGATGGTTTGCATCATTCTCTACAAAAACCATAAAAAAAACCTTCTGACCTATGTGATTTCATGTTTACCACATGTAGCACACTAGCATTATATAAACATGGCCACATTACTTACCTTAAAAGACACCTCCCTTCTACTTTCAAGATCCGCTTTATTCCCCACAAGAGCTACAAAGGCACCTGGCCTGGCCCGTTGAGCGAACTCATCAACCAACTCCTTTGCTTTCTCAAATGAATGTCTCTGTGTTATGTCATACACAACAAGAGCCCTTGCTTTCGCGAAGAAAAAGTCCGAAACAGAAATATCCCACATTACAAGTGTTACTATCATGTCATAATCCAGACGTACTCTTTTAAGAAGGACGTTCGCTGAAAGGACAAATGAACATGGCTTATAGGACTTAGATCGATGAACTTTCTAAAAAATCATTTGATCATTTTTATGCTCATTGTTAAACGTTTCTTACCTTCGCGAAAAGTTTCGGTGTCATGAGAATTGTTATTAACATATCTGTTCAGCAAGTGCGATTTGCCCACATCGGGTCCTCCTGTTTCATAACAAAGGTCAAAAAACAAAAAAAGAGAACTTGAGATCATTTTTTTGAGATATGATGAGGAGTGCAAAGGTCAGCAAAAAAATCACATACTTGAACTTGAAAAGCTTACCACTGTAGAAAGAAGACATCAATCAACTATTGGCCTGTAATACTTACTTTCGTTTGTACTCACCTACAACTACCAAAAAATATGTCAGTTCCATATTTCCTTCACCAATCGTGTCAATTTCTATCTGTGAACATCAAGAATGATACAAAGTATTTCATAATAAAATGAGTGACATTGTGTGTTGCTCAATAAACTTTAAGGAATCCCCTTCTCCCTGGGCAAGTTAGAATTTACTTGTTAACTTCTCAAGCTGCTAAAAAAAAAACAAACAAACAATCAAAACATTTTCCATAAAGGTTACAAAATGGAGTTGATCTTCACTGTATCTTGAAAATAAATCTTAAGTTAAATAGACACAGGTTAGTAAAATCATTACTGCCAGTGGCAATTATATAGTTTATATAATTTGGGTTTTTTTCCTGAGAGTTTTTTTAAACAAAGTAATTATGGAAAAGTAGTTGGAACAATGGGATTTATAACATCAAATCAAATATGTTCAAAACCATCTTGATCTGGAATTCGAAATTTCAAACTGCTAACAAAATAAATGCAGTTAACTAGGTTCCATAAAAAATTACTCGTTGGAAAAGCCTCATCCAGGGGTGCTCCCCACATTATTTTCCAGCAAGCGAATTAAATTTTTTTCCTTCACTTGATTGAGTATATTATTTTTTCATAATACTTTGACATAAACAAGTGGTTTGAATAAAACAATAGAGAGGGGATGTTGATTGACAGCAAGTAAAACTGTTTACTGTATATGATCTAGAGGTCACTACAAGGATTTATGTTTTGTGTTTTGTCTCATCCTCCTAGGAAATTAATCTTTCCCTCACCAATAAGAAAACAATTTTCCAGCAGAAAAAGCCCTTTTTATAAGAATTCTCGATATAAAATAACAAAAAAAGAAGCATTATGAGTGCCATGCAAACTTCATATATATATATATGATCAACACATCAGGCACATAATAGGTCGATAAAAATAAAACCTGTTTTAATAGGAATTTTTGCCAAAAGGACAGAACCCGATGGAGGACATTATGGGTTAAAGATAATGCTCCTGTGGAGCTAAGGGAATATATATAATATATAATTAAAGTAAAAACTTTGACTGATAATGGATTGTATCCTGCAGAGTATTCAGTTTATTTAGGTATTTCTGAGCCATACAGTGGTTATTGGTAATGTCCAGAGTGGCAATTAACCAATGGTCAGAATTATGAGGGCAGGTATGAGTAACAAAGCATTGATGATCAATCAGTAGGCAGTTAGCTCTGACAGCCAGTTTGCTCAACTGGCTCCTTTCATGTGGCTGTGCTTTTTGTATTTGCAATTATTTTATCAAGGATATTTTCATCTATTTGTTATACTTCCATTAGCTAATTTCTTTCATTTACTTATCACTTGTAACGTCTAAAAAAGGGCTTTTGTAACTCAGATAAAATCAGCTATTCTCCAAAAGTTCTTTTAATTAGTAACCCTTGGTTTGATTTTATCTCACAGTTAGTTGTTGCGACACGACAGTGCACTGCCTTCCCTGAGACCTGATTACTTAGCGAATGCCATAGAGAAGAATCCCTGGCTCTATGGAGTCATTCACATGAGTCCAGTCAACTGTGCTGGCTCAGTTTTGGACATCTAACCTCACCATTCTCTCCTTTACCAAAATATAATGTCAAAAGCCATTCTTAATTCATGCCACTAAGTCTAGTTGCCAACCATGCAATCTTAAGATTGAGTAATAAGGGATGTAAGGAAACTCTGGTGCTGTGTCAGTGGGAGAGTATAACAAGGTAGTTTAGTATTATCAGCTGAGTTGATGACACAAATTGGCCACCATAGAGAGTTTCAAAGCTGATGTTTTGAGCGTCAGCCCTTTGTCAAAGTGAATGGAGAAATTGTGGGTTGTGTGCATGTTTTCATGCACAAAATGGAGCTACACTATTGGTAGGAATATGGTGATAAGAAAACAAGAATTAACCAAGTTGAATGAAAAGCACTGGTTGATACTGTGGGGGTTAAGAGTGCTGATTTGAAAGATAAATTTTTGATTTAGAGTTTTGCACCTTTAAACCAACCATGCAATCAAAAGATCATGTGCGCTGTAGTTGCAACCAGTGCAACCCTAAGATCTATTTGCCATCCATGTAATCTAAAGATGTAGTTGCAACCATGCAATCTAAATATCTAGCTGCCATCCACACCATTTAAAGATCTAGTTTCTAACCATGCAATCTAATATCCAGTTGCCAAAAATGCAATCTAGAGATCTAGTTGCCAATCATATATATGCAAGTAAAACTCTATCCAAATTATTGGAATGAAATTCTAACTATAGCTAAATTGACCAGTTGCCAGACTCATGTGGAGATCAAGACCATGTAATTAAGTGAAAAAAGAAGTCTACTATCAAAAAGCATAATTGCTGATAGCAAAAATACCAGAAGTATGAGGGAACAACGTCTGATAGTCAGAATTATGATGAGGATTAAAATGCACTGATGACAGCACTTTCAAAACACACCAATAACAAGACTAACAGTAAAGCAGTTGAAATGTTGTGATCAACACACGATTATTAGCCTGACTCTAACATTGTGGGACAATTGATTAAATGTCCATCTCTAGATTCTTAATCATATGAAATATTTGAAAACTGGTTTAACTCATAGAATTTAAGATTTATCAACGGAGTTGTATGACGTGATACGTTAGCCAATGAAAAATAAACCCTTTAATAAAATCACAACATTCCCTCCTAAAGAAGAAAACAGAGATTTCCGTGTAGCCCCGTAGTGTTCTGAAACAAAGTCGTAGTCGCGTTACCGTTTACACCATTGGTTTCTTTATCCTAGTAAAACATAAGTATGCATAATGAAGTCGCCCTATGTAGCTGAGCGGAATTTATCAGCTGACTGTTTAATGACTCGCTACCTTTGCCGATTAAACCACAAACTTATTAATCAACCTATAACATTCCCTCTTGGAGAAAAAGCTTCAGTCCATAAATTCCATATCGCTATAAATTAATTACCCGAGATGAAATTATCACTCGCTTTCTCTCCAGATATCATCATGATATCACAGAAGATAAAAGCATTTCAAAATCAAACAACTAAATACTCTAACAACTTTCAATTACTGTGCTTCAACTGTGATTCATTGTCGTATTTGGAGCATATTTCAAAGTAAATCAGAAAGCTTAGTAGTCGAATTCTTCACTGATAATTAAATATGACGCTGATTACATCTTAATTTATTTTGCAATTCTTACTTGCATTACGCTAAGTAAACATCAAACACCTCTTACCTCAACAGGAGAAACTAGAGACTATACAGGAGCGAGAGATAACAAAAAAACAGCCATAACCTTCGCCTAAACAGCAGATAAACACTCCAGTTAAGTCAAAAATCACTTCCGCCCTTCTTAGGCCCAACATGCATTGCCCGTCAGCAAAGCGTTCACTCCTTCTTTGTAAATAAATGAACCCGTTCCAGTTGAACCCAAGCGTGATGCGCGTGACTCTGATTTGAGAGTAGTCACGCTAAGTTAAAGCAAGCGAAATTTGTAGGACAATTGCACGCTATTCCAGGACGAATTGACTGAAAGATCAAAAAGGACGAATAATGCAATATTTAGGGCCACAATCATGAATATAGATCGCAAGATTGATCGCGCTGCTTCAGTGAACCTTGTTCACGGTAATTAATTTTGAACCTGTATAAGTGGACCTTAATCTGAAGGATTTCTAATGATGAATAATCAAATAAAAGTTTATCTCGGTTTAAGGACTAGTTTGATTTTTCTCTTTTTTTACCACTGTTTTCCCGGCCTCTACTCCTTTTACTTCTATGTCTTCTTTGTTCTGCGTCACTCGTGAGCGAAACAGGTTCTTACAGAGAGGAGAGGTGACAGACGTAATTGAAGATGGTGGTTGCAAGACTTGTAACTTAGGTAACAAACAACAAGAAAAGAAATATCGTCTTTATCCAAGGGGGCTGGCGGGTGGAAAGAGGAAGCTATAAAAACTCAGAGCAAATCTTCAGAGCACGGATAAGAGCCAAAACTAGGGACCTGTTCAAACGATCTCCGATACTAAAGAACTCTCCCCCTCAAGACAGCTTTACAGAACGTTAATATGGAGTTGTAAGTTAAACAAACACACACACACACACACGCACACACACACAAAGGAAACAGAAAATATGTAGATTCCATTTTATACATCTTTTAATTGGGTCTATTACAAATTACTAATAAACTCTTTTGGTATTCGGTTCATTAGTCATTCAGCTATAAAGCCAACAGCCCTCTGTCCGGGTTTAGTTTTGGGCCCATACTTCGCCTCGCCTTGTTTTGTCAGAGCAAGGTACCAGGCAGGATTCAATGTGGATTGGTAAGAATTGTACTTCGTTCCAAAAATCTCTTTGAAGACGCACTCCGGGTGAGTTGGACTATTCTGTTGAAAATAAAGATGATGATGAGTTAGAAACGATGAAACAAGATCGAATACAAATAGGAGAAAATACCGAGCGATCAAGAGTTGTTGTTAATCTATAGTTGGATAAGATTTACAGTCTCCTATCTCTTTATATCGTCTGTCTAGGACGTAGTCCCTTTGAATGGCGAGAGATCGAGAGAAGATGATGAGAGGCGAGAGAAGATGATGAGTTAGTAACGATGAAACAAGATCGAATACAAATAGGAGAAAATACCGAGCGATCAAGAGTTGTTGTTAATCTATAGTTGGGTAAGATTTACATTCTCCTATCTCTTTGTCGTCTGTCTATGACTTAGTCCCTTTGAATGGCGAGAGATCGCAACTTTTTTACTGTATTTTTTTGGCTGGACTCGAGGGGTCTCACTTATGCCCTATGGTTTCTCCCTTTATTAGGATCAAAGACTCTGTTGCCACTTTTACAAGAAAACTTGCATACTTTTGAGATGTGAAAGTACAAATTGACCGAATTGTTACTGTTCCTCACAATGGCTGGGGCCTGATTGTCTGGAAGAAGGAGAAGTGCCCTCGGTTAGGTGTCCGTTTAGTGTAAGAACTTGGATATCGTGGAACATTAAATTTTAAACAATCATCCCTCTGACTTACTGTACTGTACAACTCTCCCTTGGTGTTCATCGCGATGTAATTTCCTGATACGTTTCCTCTCAGCATCACTTCAGCCGTCTTAACCGATTCCATAGTGAGAGTAGCTACAAGATAGTAAAAAAAATAAAAGATACTTGTGACCATTTAATCCTTTAATTATTTCTCAGGATAACGACTGGCTTTTTAAACGAAAGTTTGTTGTCTTATCCACGAGTTTCCACGTCATTCCGCGATTTATTTCGGGTTTGACGAAGGTTTATGATTTATGATTTATGATTTAAAGGAACCTGGAACACTCCCCCCCCCCATTCCGCCTTCTTTCTTCTAACACTCACAGTTGGCCGGCCAATATAATGAAACTTCAGTTAGAAACCGCTGGCACTGAAAGGAAAACTAAGCTTACCGTGATGGTTATATGTCACAGTTTACAGCAATGGTACAATCCGCATCATGTCTGGCATCTAACGAATGTCGAGGGCATTTTCTTGTCCAGGGCAAGACCAGGAAAGATTACATTGGCCAGCGTTTTCGCCTCAGTGATTGAATTTGTCAAGAAATATCTGGATTATCCGGCTAAAGTTCGTTTCCTAATTCCTCTGGGTACCAAAATGAAAGCACACTAAGCTTTCAGTGAATCTTTGGCCAGTATTTTCCGGCGATTTACAGCTTGTATTTTGCATTTAAAAAACTTTGAGAGGGTATTACTGAGGAAAAAGCGGAGTAAACCTGGTATGAATGGAAACATCTTTTGAGTGGTAGTGAAAATGGCTTTCAAGACATTTCATTGTTCTTAGTGCATCGATCGACGAGTCCATGAAGCGGGGCGAACTACTTGGTTTAAGAGCTTTTGATGAGTATTTAGATCACTTGGTATTATAAAACCAGCGGTATCCCTGTTTTCATTACATTTTCAACCTGTGACGTGCGACTTTCAGGATATGCCTACCGCACCTTATCTTCACCACCGACCCCAGGAATGTTTGCGATCACAAGAATCTACCGAGGGATTGTTGGTATGGGCTAAAACCGATTTCAGTTTGAACTTATGGGCTTAGAAAATGACGGAAATATGTGACAAAATAAGAACGTGAATAATGAACAGCTTCCATGAAATGTACGTAGAAAACGAGATTTTCTTTTTCTTGTCTAAAAATGACTGAACGATGGAAATTTCTCACAATTTGGCAAGTTCCTGCCTTTTAGTTTCAAGATGTAAATTCATTCGAAAAAGATAGAACGAGTAAGTAATTGTCTTCCTCTGGCATTTGGCTTTTGTCTCCGACGAAACTTTTATTGAAACTGAAAAATGCGTAAGAAATAAAGTTCAAGGAAGCAGTTCAAAAAAGGAGATTAAAAAAAAGTCTAGTTTGTTTAAAATTGTCCATCACTGACAACGAATGAGGTAAATGCACATCCTTCTCGGTTAAAAATTCAAACTATGGTCTCAGTTCTGATGGCCTCAAACGGGCATTTTGTTTTCCGTTGGGACTTTCGAAATGCTAAACATCTTTCAGTAGTATTAACTAATACAGCATTAATCGATGATTTTTGTAAACAACGCCGGCGCGAAATACATTTATACATATATGGATATCGCAAAAGAAAAAGTGAGCTCGTATCCTGTTTCATAACTTTTGTTCCAAATTCACGCAAGGAAAACAAAGTAACATATTAACTTTGTCATTGATTTACTGTGTCTGATTCATTTTCTTTCCCTTTCAAGGAGATATTCCACTCCCCTTGGATAGTTCATTGAGCTCTCGTAACCTAGTTTGCTTTCGCACGGGAGGGATCCCATGTTAATCGATTTAAGTACCCTGCTATTGATTTGAACAAATTGGTAATTTAAGCCGTGTAAAGAATCACAAAAGAAATTTCTACTTACTGTAACGATCGTCACTGTCCCGGCTTCCCTCAACTCCACTCTCTGTCACTTTAAGGTAGAAACCGTGTCGACATTTCAAACGGGTTTCACGTGAATAACTCGCTAATGGCTTGCTCATGCCGCTATGTATGGAACTGAATTTACAGGTTCTGATAAGCAAATAATTTCTTCAAGAAAATGTTGTCGCGATCCTGCTTGGTGCAAGAAGTGGCGTTTCACTTTTGCTACTATTAAAAGCACGTGGACGGCGCGTAATCATGACTCTGCAAAGCTTCCTTCGAGATTTATATTTTCTTCCGCGTGTCTTCGTCCCCAGTCTCTCCTCCGCCTTATGATACCTTCTTGAGTCATGATGTACCCTAATAATGGTCAAATTAACCTTTTTACGCCCAAAAGTGACCAAGAACGAAATTTCTCCTCACAATATAGATAATAGAAAGGTGATAAGGGGAAGGAAGAAATCATATTTGGTGCGAGGTTTAATTAAACACCAATTCCTTAGAGTATAAGAAAATTTGTAGCAGACAATAAGGAGAATTGAATTGATTTCATGATCTTGGGAGTAAGAGAATCAAAGGGTGACAATGATTTATTCCAAGAGAATATCAATTAACAGTGAATATTCTCTTGTCTATTCCTAGCAAAACTTGAGCTGTCACTGAGATGAATCTTCAATAAGCATTTAAGTGCATAACTCCAAAGAAATGCCATCCAATGACTGTGAAAATCAATCCCATTTTGGCAATGCAGAACGACGCATCATTCAGATATCGACATTCGTTCATCTATTTATTGAATTACCAATTTATCCCAGCCAATAATTATTTTGGAACATTGTGACAAAGAACAGAAATTGATGAAATTGATGCTGATTTATTAAACACTGCTTGGTAAAAATTCCACGGCTCTATGGCCGCGTGCAGATTTGGGTCCAGGTTTTGCTTTGCCATCATTTGTCAGCGCTAGGAACCATCCAGAGTGGGGTTTGGACTCAAAAGAGCTGTATCCATTCGTGTGCTGATGTTCTTTGAATATGCAGTCCTCCAGCAAGGAATTCTGTTCAAAAATAAATTAAATAATAAAGTGGGATATTTTCGTTTTTCTTTCGTCACAAGATACATGCAAAGTTATCAGCGTGTACATTGGCCGAGAAGATGTTAATTCGACATTTGCGTTAGAAACAAAAAAATTATCTCGTTGATGAGAAAATGCAATGTGATGAATCATTATTTGCAAAATTGTCATAGTTTACCTTGACCCGCCCTTCAAGCTAACTAAATATATAATTTTTAGACTGTTGCAAATGTCCGAGTAATCAATCATTTTAATTTCAGGTGAGTTAGATCGATTAACTGCTTATTCACCCCAGACTTCCCAATAGGACACTGGAAAACCCATGCCAAAAATTCACTCTTTTCCGACAAGGTTATCGAAAAGTCCAAACTTGATTTCCCAGGCCATTATAGCACTTATTCGTTTTTGTTCGTTTGTTTATAATTTCGGAAAACTGTTAAATTCCTTTTCGAGCTACTATCAGTGATCAGCGAAGGGTAGGCGCCTTTTCCTGTTCCCTTCCTGCCCCCCGTTCCAAAAAAAAAAAAGACTCCTAAGCTCAAAGGGTTTTTTAACTCTCTTTCCCCCCCCCTTTTTTTTTTTTTTTTACTTAATGAAGGAGAATGAAGCTAAGAGACTGGATCCACCTTGTTGGCTTTATAATTATTTCCGTGATAGTCCTATATTTGAGTTTCATTTGGATCATTCACGATTCTGGATGCCGGTAGGATAAAAATTTAAAGTCCTCGTTTACAATGATGAACATTCCACGGGTTGTTATTCGTTCTCCAACAAAACATTGAAGCAGTGAACAAGGTACATGCGACACTATGTTGAAGAGACTATATAATTGGAGTCTAGAAGTTTTTAATTAGAGAATGATTCCGGCTCAAATGGAGAATTTAGCCTTTCAGTTAGCTTGACTCCTTTCTTGCAGCTTCCAGATGGCTTACGAGGAAGTGAGACAGTAAGTGAATACTCTTTCGCACATTCATCATTAAAATTACATGAAATTTCTACTTACATACGTTACGATGTTTCCGTTATTGTCCATTCCAATATACTTATTGGATATCTCTCCACGAATCACGACTTCCCCAGGAGCAACAGAAGCCATTTGAAGGGTAGCTGTAGAGTAGATAAACAAAAGCTTTATTTAATAGAGTTTTGTCTGTAACTTATGTATGAAATGGAAAAATGGAACCACAACAATTTACCGATTATTATCATTTTATTTAATCGCGGCTCCATTAAGTGACGATTTACTCCCCACCTTCACCCCCTAGGGCGTTTTATCTTTTCCCCCTTTCTCTTTCTCAAAGTTTTAGGAAAACGATTGCATACGAAAGGAAATCAATATTTCTAAATTGGTAAGTATGTTCCATTTTTTCCCGACAGACTTCCCAACCTTTCACCTAACACGCTGTACGTTATGAGCGCGATATCAAAGAAAGTCTTCATGTCTTGAACAGGAAAACAAAACTCTTTGCTTTCAGTTGTCACCCATGACGCGTAAGGTTAGCTGTGAAGTCGATAGTTATGCTTTTATACTTTCCATTTACTACCTACTCAATCAATAACCTAACATGTTAAAACTTGAAAGTTCTGAGGAAAAAATTAGTAGCGTATAGCATGAATAGTCTAAGTTTTCTCTAAGTTCGTTTTCAGGCTTTTTTCAAGCTCTAACAGGAGCCAATCTAAGGGTTTCTGACTCTATCAAAGTAAATGAACAGATTTTACTTTTGATGGAAATGTTGATGTTCACTTGAACTTAACTTTGAACTCTCAGCGATAAGGGATTGGTCATATTTATCAGGGGGGGTTAAAGGATATAGAAAATTGACTGCCAGCGAGGGGGTGGAGGTTTATCAGAATACTACACGGGGGGGGGGTTAAATCAGGAAAATCTTTCGACCTCTTCCCTTCCCCCCCCCCTTGCCAAGTTATAAACGATGGTCAGTCCCTAATTAAAATGATTTCTCGCCCCATTTTAACTTGTAGCTACCACTAAATACTCTCAAACGACCCACTCTTCACATCTTATGTAACAATGGTAGGACAAATACGTTCCGAGTTGCGCTGGCAATTGAGCCCAATCATTAGGGCTGTGTGAAAAGCTTATCAGGTTGGCCTTATGGACATTTGACGAAGAACTGACGAGGTCTCAATCTGTTACGTGAAGTTACCCTAAAACATAAGCTGGCAACGCCAAACTGCCATAACAAGATCACTTCAATGAGAATCGTCCTTGACAACTAACCTAACTTTTACCGGCTCAACTAGCTTTCCAGCTTCATTGAAGATTGAATCAATGGTGGAAGATTGCAATAGGTGTTTGCCTCAAGACTATGTCTAGATTTAACGTAAAGAATTCCACTCACTGTAAACATCATTATCATAATCTTGACTTCCCTCGACCAAATCATCAGTCACTCGCAGGAGGAATCCTTTTCTGGAATGCAATTTAGTCCTACGAACTACATTGGTTGTTATCTGTTGAGAAGTCATCTTGGAAACGTTGATGATTTAATCTCGGCAAACTTCTGCTTGTGCAACAGTCAATAATCTTTCACTTTCAGGAGCGAATATGTTAACTTTTTCAGTGCATATCAAATAGTTTTTTATATCTATGAACAACACTTAGTCCATCTTTTGCGAATTACATCAGTTTCCAAAACGAAATTCCAGCCGTCGCCCACGGACCATTCCTGACTTGATGACTGTGATGCGTCTGTTTTCTGAAACGCTAACCGAAATTTACAAAAGCGGGTAGTACATTCTTTGAAAAATAATGATGCTTAAAATAATACCTGACTACAAAACAAAGGAAAGAAAATTACAGTGAAGTGAGCTGATTTGCATGTTCCATTACTCACTCAGGCGTGGCGATATAGGTGTGTCTGGGTGCAGCGTACCATTATGGAATCTTTAAGAGCTAGCCTTCTGTAGATATGAACGTGGTGAAATGAGAAAATGACAAAGATGAAGCTTCAAACCAATTAAAATTGTGGATAGTAAGAGATGAAGGAGATCGAAACGGATTGAACTTGGAAAATTTTGTCTAGATTGTTGTTATGCATTAAACAAGACTTTGATATTTTTAAAAATTAACTTTGTATCTAACATCAATCAAGATAAGATCGCGTTGAGAGGTTACTAAGTACACCGGCACTTTGAAGGAATCGACTAAGTCACGATACGTCAGTCAATCTCAGCAACTATTCTCAATGATAAGGAAACCTCACCGAGGCAAACAAACACCAAAGAAATGAGATTGGAGCGAACAGGAACTTAGATAGGCAAGAATGGAAGAAATAAATACGGACTACATATGGCGGCGAAGTTAGATAGGTTGAAAGAACTATTTGTAAGGTGCACGACCCAAAACGTAGGTGTTTAGAAGAAGGTGGTCAGTACAACATTTTTGTGTTCGTAGAAAATTTTCTCTGGTGTTCGGAACCCAGGGGAAAAAAATAACCAAATTTTCTAAAGTCGACAAAAAGAAAAGTTGTAATTAATTACAAAGAAAGAGGAAACTAGTTTGATGAAGATACAAAGAATTTAAACGGATTTTCGCCAAATAAAAGCCATACAGTAACAGCTTTCACACAGACAGTTTCTTACCTAAAGTGTTCTTCATCCAGAGGCGTTTCCGTAGATCGAATAATACAATGATATTTTAGCCCATTCAAAATAAAAATTTTTCGCAATTAATTTTGCATAAGAAGCTGCCAGAAGCCAAGCCACACACGAAGAGTCCGTCAACAATTTTTTTTTTTAATTAATTGTTTTTTTGTTGGAGGGGGTTTGGGTGGGAGAGTGGAATGAGAGTCGTAAGCTTGGGCTAAATGTAAGAAAGGTCGAGGTTATTTACATTTTATACTCTCAGCTATTTCTGTCTCATTTGGAAGAGTCTGACACACTAATGAAAAAAAAAGACAGAATGTTCGTGAATATTCAGCTTAGAGCACTTTTAGATTGGTTATCGTAAAAATCAAAACCAAACTGATCTCGACGGCCGATCGGAAGAAACGAAAATACCTTTAAAAGCAATTGAGAACCCACAGTAAAAACCAAATATAACCGGAATGCCAAAAGCGCGGGAAAGCGTGGGCAACCAAGTTGTGATTGGTTTTAGTTTTGCATCTGATTGGTTGAGACAGTGGCGCGAGTTTTTCTGGGTCAATCACAGAGCCACAGAGCGAAGTAAAGCAGAGCCAATGCAATCTCGGATGACAATCGTCCGCTCTAAGCTCGTAAAACACCGATTACTGGTTACTCGGTGGGAGACGAAGGATTTTGTATTTTAACCGCGGAAACGAACAGGGTTTCACAAAAATCTTGCGGAAAAACAGATTTATCGAAGTTTATAATAAGTCAACTAGGACTGAACAAAGTAAACTAATCGTTAAGCATTTTGACAAATAATCAAAAAATCACTTTAATTTCGAAATCTGATAATTACTGCTTATTAAACAAAAGCATTGAAGTGCTAATCGCCCTGTTCTTAATTTGAAATGGTAATTAAATCAAGTACTGACAGAAAAAATTACCGCAAAAATAAGTCATTAAGACGTTGCCAAAGAAGGCTTAAGTTAACTTGCTTAGTGGTATTTTTAACGTCACCAGACTAAAAATGTCGGGAAAGAAAACAGGAATAGGCAACAAGGTCATTTGACTAAGAGAAAAACACTCGAAAATTGCATGCATTTTAGTACCTCTCTTATATGAAATGTTTTTCTTTAAAGATTATATATTCATTCAAACTAAAACAGCACGAAATTAACAAAACAATAAAAGAGCTTAAGCAAACTAAAATAGCTAAAAAAAAAACGAGTCCGGAAATACCAAAGGAACTTTGGAAGAAAATTTTTGTCTTCTATCATTTTGAGAAGTCAGAAGTTGCACAATATCAGTTGTTCCTGTCTTATCGCTTCAAAGGGTAAAGTTGTTATCGGTGAGCTCCTCAATCCATCTTTCTGGTGATATTGAGTATTAAAGTTATGGCTTATGCATCGATAGGAAATGTCGTTCTTAGAAAATTGAAAATTACTGCTAAAAAAACAACAACAATGTAATCCCAGAATTCGTCTCTTGTTTATCAAATTGGGCATTTTTTATCAGCAAGGACTTAAGGTTTTCATAATCCGTGACGAAATCATATATTTTGCAATTCTGCTAACGAATTATATATTTTATTAATATACGAGTTTAATGTTCTTCCAGCTGAAACCGGTCATTTTCAGCTTCAGCTGCATTCAAAAACAAGAGATTACTCGTGAAAATAGTAATGTAATTCTGTAAACAGTAACAATTATAATAAAGACAATAGCCATCGAAAATGAAATTTTCAAAAGGCTTTTTCAGTTTCTTAAACGCCATAGAAAGTCCTTTGTAATGTAGAGAAAAAAATTCTCATCTCATCTGATAAAATCTTATTAAAATACACATCACGTGAATAGGTTTCAAAATGGCTTCTACGCCATTGCCATTCTCTAGTTCAAATATTTGCATATTCCATATTAAAACTTCTATTTCTTTTGTCTACAGTTTTCTTTGAGGCATAATAAATGCAATTCTATCTAAGAAGTATTCATACATTTTAGAACATATTTATTGAACAGGCTAAGAAATTAAAGCTATCGTTTCTTAGCGAAAGATTGAATCGATTCCTCCATACCACTTTCTGGCATTTTTGCTGGCGAGTCGAAAGCTTGTAAAAACACCTGCTGAATAAAATCAGTTTTTGCTCACACGCTGTCAGCGAAATCTCAAACAAGAGGATTTCAGTTTCGAAGACGCTTCTAAGCTGAACATTTTTTCTATTGAAATTCAACGACTGGTCATTCGAAATCGAATTGTTGCTCTCGAGTCATATTAGAGCCATTAAATTAAGGGGATGTAATAAAGTCACAGATCTGCATCGATCTTAAAGTCGAAACAAAAGATAAACACATCAACCAATTTATACAAAAACCTCTTTTTCTTCTGTGTGTGCGGCTGTCTTTAAGCTTATCGATTCCTGAAGTTCATAGCTTCCCTCGTTTCGCTTTTTCAATCGATATACCAAAAATATGAGCAGAACTACAGCGCAAGCTGCTCCTGCGAGAAGCGCTACGAGAATCTCGATCGTCACAAATCCGAAGAGAGTCTTTCTCTGTTCTCTTTCGTTCGGATCTTTTTTCATCTTTACATCGCTCTCTCCCTTTGGAGTCGTTTCTTTCGTTTTGGGTCGGTTTGTGGTCAGTTCTGCAGGATTTATTATCGCCGAGCGACTAAGTAACTCGCTGAAAGTTTCAGCAGCGAGAATTTTGGACGAAACAATAGACGTTGGATGAATTGAGCTTTTTACGACCCGTGTTGTAACTACACCATCGATGCTGGCTCCCATTGTGTGAGGAGTACTGTATTGCGAATTAATAGCGACAGTCTCGCTCGAATTTCCGTCATATTTTCTCGTTGGTGATGTGTCAATCTTGACCTTACTTGGCGAAGCGGATAAAACATTTGCTCGTTTGGTCTGTTTGAGGGCACGTGTCGATGTGATGATAAATGTCTGTCCAATTTCTGTAGGACCCACACTATTTTGCACGCTCAAACTTTCATTATTTTCGACGTCTCTCTTTGATATCTTCCTTTCTTTGATATCTTCGTTTAAAAGTACAGTTCCTAGTTTCGCCTCGCCTCCGTTGTTTGTACTTTCGCTGAGAGCCGTATTCAGGGCTCCGATTTGAACAAGCTTGCCTTCGAAACAACCATAAATTAACAAACTACTGACGACAACTCGGAAAACCCTTTCAGCAAGTTCCATACTTCAATCGACAACACTCTACTCTGAACGATGTCATAAATAATTAACTCATCTCTCGTGCGCCTTTCTCAGTTTTTTCCCTCTCTTCGTCAAATGTTGATCGATTTCCGACAAGCGTTGACGTGCGTTTGAGCTGAATGGGTTTAGCGCAGTGCTTATCGCGGTTTCGACTTCCTCTGTGAAAATTTCACTCTTGAACCGTAGCGTGTTTACATTCTGCGGTTGCCTCTTGTAGGCAACAGAGCGAGAAATTGTCTGAGCAGAGGTCGCGTGAAACTTAATAGGCTCGGCATGCTCCGTAACAGACGAACAGAATTAAAAAATTGGACTGTCACAATAGACCATAATGCTGGGGTCGTTTCGTGCAAACACTTTAAGAAGGTCGACTACTAAACCTTTTGTTATGCTAATCGAATTGTTGTCCACTTTCGCTGTGACTTTCGGTTGAAGTTTTCACTCTGTTTATAGTCCCATTACAAATATCCCTCATCTTCCTTAATTCGTCTCCCATTAAAGTGGAAAAATTCTTCGGAGACAAAAATAAATGTTTTTCTTTTTGATGATTGACGTGAAGGCTTTTGAATTTTAAAATCACGTGTAATATCAACATACATCAGGAATATTCAAATGCGGCCCAATTTTGCTTGTATCATTCATTCGAGGTACGCTTAGGTTTCTATGGAAAGAAAACCTCGCGAGGCAATTGCATGGAACGTACTCTTTTTTTTTATTTTTACAAAGAGCACCAGGGCTACACTTTAAAGACCATAAAACACGACTCAAAATGCTTTTAAATATTATATCATTTATGTTTCGCGCATCTTGATAAGAAGTTCACAGCCTCTTAAAAATTTATGATCTAATCAGAGCAGCAAGAAACGATAAATAATTCATGATGTAGTCTATTGTAAACATAACCATCGCCAAATTATTAAGAATGTGTGTTTTCTAGCTGTTAACTAGTTCCACGGGCGTTCTCTTCTTCTACGTCATCTATCTATTTGTTATCTTTCTTTTTATGGGGGGAATGGTGGGGGCTTTTTCTCTCGCGGATAGTTGAGTCCAGTGAATAACTGATATGATTAATTTTCTTAATACTGTAAAACACCTGGATGTCAAAATTTTGTCGTACCAAACAAGAGTAATAATATCAACAAAAACCTCACGTCTAATTTCAAATGAACCGACAGACATCTCGACGAAGAACAATTAAATTATTCCGCCTATGAGAAGAAAAATTACCAGAAAACGTTAATTCGTATCGACTGATGAGAAAAAAATTAATTCTTCATTCCCAGGCCTTGCTAAATGATCAGCCTAGGAGCGTATAGACGTATGGGACGATTTCAATGCTACATCTTCACTTGTTTTGTGCGCCCGCGTTTCTCGAGAGACTTTAAACGCAAAAGTGACGAATCAAGCCATGTTATGTATAACATTTTCACTTACGCTTGCGGCGTAGTTGTAACGTATAAGGCTCTCTTTTGTACTAATCTCAGGCGAGATGTGCCCCAGAAACTATAATTTATGATATTTATTTTCGCCTTTACAAAGCATAATTAAAAGCCTACTGCCTACCGCGTTCTGAGATTCCAAAAACTAATTAAACAGTTCGAAAATTGTCCTCAACTGCGTTAAAAATTAAAGTGTAGACGCCACCATTTTGAAAAATAGCGCGGTAACCTGGCCACACTCTTAAAACCAGGAGGCGCGGTTCATAAGAAGCTGTTGCTTCTCTGGTTTTCGCAAGAAAAAAAAAAAAAAAAAAAAAGGGAATGAGAGAAAATTATCCTTTTAGCCAAGAATTCGTTTTGGTGCAACTAAATTATTCTTAAGTTATCAAGGGACGGAAAGAAAGAAACTGAAGTGCTGCGTCGTTGGCAGAGTATAACATGATAATTTGGTTTTTATTAATTGAATTGATAATGTAAATTGGCCACCGTAAAGATTTTCTACGCTGACATTTTGAGCGTTAGCCCTTAGTCAAAGCGACGAGAGGGGGAGGACTGTTACGTTACAGTTCGGGTGGCTCGGTTGCTATGCAAGATTCAAAATGGCGGCGTCCTACAGTATTTATTGCATCATCAAATCATTATTGATGAGCCTCTTTTTAGTATTTCACTATTAAAACTGATCGTTAAAGAAAGGCGCTGAGTATTGGTTGTTTCAGTGTTAACGAGTTCAAAAACAGATTCAAAGAACAGATAATAATGAGGAAAAAAAGCTTTATTTTAGGACAAAAATATATATATTTTGTTTCAAAATCGCATACAATATTGTTCATACATATAATTAAAAATCCAATGAAATGTGTAAATCAAATCTTTAATTTAAAATCATGTCATGCGATGACCGTGATTAATATTTCTTTCAACTGTGTGTTTTTTTTTTTTTTTTTACCATAATCAGACATTCTTCGAACTAGAGAAACTCTAATAAAGACCATGAATTTTGGAAGAAATCATGCGAAGTAGAGATGAAAAAATGGAAAATGAAGATAGAGCAATTTTCCATTAAATGTCTAAAGTAATCCAAGAATGCACTTGATTTCACTTACTTCGCTCTGTGATTGGTCCAAAAAAAACTCGCACCACTCTCTTAACCCGATCAGATGCGATACTATAACCAATCGCGACCTGGTCACTCGCGTTTTCCCGCGCTTTAGGCTGAATGGTTGCTTACTTTGAGTTCTCATTGGCTAGTAAATGTATTATCCTTTGTTTTGATTGGCTGATGTGATTACTTAGGCTTTGGTTTTACGAAAATCGATCGAAACGCGCTATACCAGTAACTTGCACCACATTTGCAGCAAATCAGAAGTAAAACTAAAATTAATCGCCGTTTCGCCGAGTTTCCCGCGCTCCAGGTTCTTTCAATTTTTTTTTAACTTTAAGTTCTTGTTGCATCTTTTTTATTTGTTCTTATCTTCCGATTAGTCATTTTGATTCCTCTGGTTTTGGTTTCATGATATTCGATCGTGAAAGGCGCTCTACATAAATGAATCATAATATCAATATTCACAATTATTGAAAGCTTGTATTATAAACGTTTATATGTTGATGAATACGTAGATGTCTTTACAAAATTGTGATTATTCGTCGTGTTGAAAGTTTAACAAAGGTTAAGCTTCAAACAATACTGCAGTTTTCCTCACGATAAACTTATCAGTTTATCCCATTACACCCTAACATCAGTATACATATTCTCCATACTGTTCTCTATACATTTCCTAAGGCGCTGACAAGGAGAATTTGTTCAACAATCAAGTTATTCTTATGACCTCAGTATGTGATCGAAGGTTGATACAGTCAGGAGAAATTAGATGCTAATCACTCTTAGGGGTTAAAAGGTCAATCGCGCGTTTTCTAATTTTCATTACCACTGATGTCTGGCTCTCATACCGTAATCTGCAAGTTCAACGTTTCAACCTGTGTCGTATTTTGCGAGCGAAATCCAATCAAACAACTGTATAAGTCAGCACTTCACTTATGCTATTTATCACGTCTTCTTCATTTTTTGCCTTCTCTTTTTCTTTTTCCTCATCAGGGGCAGAAACATCAGTATCCTGTTCCTCTGTCTTTTCGTGGACTGGCGCCAAGTTATCATGTGACACATGGGATGTCTTTCTCCCATTGGTTAAAGTTACACTGGCACCATGATTAACCTGACCCAGGTCCTGGCTCAACCGAGTGTCCGAGGTGGTCTGGCTCGAAGATGTTCCCGCATTACAAACGTATCGCTCGCCCATTTTGTGATTGGCTGTTTGAGTGTTTCTTTCTGGTCTAAAAAATATGATGTAAAGTTTTGGGATAAAGATACATCCCATGCAGGCAAACGCTGCCACGAACAAGGTAAAAGCGACCACAAGGGTGCGGTTGTTTCCCACAACAAAGCGATACGTTAGAATAAACGCCACGAGAAGGATGCAAAGAGCTATGGTGGAGAAACTCAGGGATTTTGCCTCGTTGAAATTCTCGGTTAATCGTCTCTCGCGGAATGCTAAAAGAGTTGCTAACACAAGTACAGTTACAGGATAACAGAAAGTAATAATATGAGAAGCTGGAAAACTTTCGTAACACTCAAGTAATCGCGTGTTATCTTCTTGGTTCCGAAAACGAGCCACTGTTGAGGCTGTTGCTTGCCATGCGATTATCAAAATTCCTTGAATCCCGACTACTGCGCCCACTTCAAGAAGCTGTAGATAATTCGTACTCATGCTAGTAACACGTGAGACCGCTGACTGAAGTAATTTCGTCGAAGTCTTCGACTTGGCTAAGAAAAAAGCCGAGTAGAACACACAAATTAACAGCAGTAACACACTGACAGCTGTGCAAGAACTATTAGTTGGTTTACTCGTTACTTGAACAATGGCCAAGATAAAAGACAGGTACAAAGTAACGAAGAACAGAGTCAGGAGATACAGACCGGAGTCCATAACAACTGGTGTTTTACGCTTTTGGTAGAAAATAACTGTCACAGCGGTCAAGATAACGATGCCAACGACCCCAAGCGTTATTAAAGCAATACCGGCAGGGTCGGACGATTTAAGGTAGACTACTGGGCGTAAAACACATTGAGTTCTTTCCTCATTTGCGAAATGGGTTTCTTTACACGGCGAGCAATTAGTGGAACCCGACTTTGAGCTCACAGTGCCTTTGAGACATTTTTGACAGTTCCAGCAGCATTCTGATTGGCCAACCACTCGTTCACCTGGTTGGCACACACGGAAGCAGGTGGACAGCGGCTTCTTATTTGAATTCCAGTTGATCAAGCTTTCGTTGACCATAAAACTCACAACATGATTCTCTTTACTCCAGTACCCAACTTCAGCGTATTCCAGGCGTTTGTCTTTGTTTAATTGAAGATTTCTTATGACGTACTCACTGGCAGTGCGTTCGCCATTTCGGTTAAATTTGACTCTGTTGAAATCAAATCCTTGGAAATGAACCCTTGACGCGGACTTGAACAATTTCTCGGGGGTAATAATCGGTGAGCTCGCGTTTGAACACTGTTCTGGCGAATGCGACTCGTTGCAAGTAAAAATATCATGCAATGCATGACCTACAACAAAAACAGCATCTATAACATTAGCTACGAAATCTTTGCCGATTTCGTGGCCTGAGGGAAGCACTGCATTAAGACTGCATTTAGGTGTCGTGGGTTGCAACGGATCAGAGTATGATCTGAGGGTCGTATGGCAATGCAAACTTTCCTCCAAGTACTCGGTAAACCACGAATTGTTCACAGCGTCTCGAACTGAATATTCCCGTACAAACCTTTCGAATCCTTCCACCTGTTTTGAGCGAATTGAGAAGCTAAACAGTCCCAGTAGCATAGACTGGCTCACGTTCAAATTGGCCATCTCAGAACTGAGGGAGCTCCATCCATCACTCGCTACCCAAGTGCGATCTGAAACCTCCATATTTTCGGCCTGTTTTAACAGTCTTTCTCCTTGTTCGAAGTAACTAAAGACAATAACAACTTTCGCTCGCCCCGCAGTTTTTAACTTGTTCATTGTGTCCGCAATTTGCCTGTCGGAATTAGGTGAACCAAATGCGATGTATTCATCGTTGGCAATACAAACATTCAACTTTTTAGCCGCGGTTTTAAACGCGGCGGCCCCCAACTTCCCGTAGTCGTCATCACTCGCGATTAAAAACACGTAGTTCCACTCAAAATAATGGACGAATTTCGCGATTGCTTGCGCTTGAAATTCGTCCGAAGGCACAGTTCGGAGAAACGAGTTGTAACGAGTCTTATCACCGAGAATACGGCTCGTTGAAGCGTAGCTTATTTGCGGAATGCCGTACAAACCCAGTAACCTTGCCACTGGGATCGAAATCCATGAAACTGCAGGACCGATAACTGCAGAAATTCGTCGATCTCCTGCGCGGGAAACGCTGCTGTTTTGACAACAATCGTCGCGCGATATGCAAATCGAATTCGGTCGATATTTCGAAACGATTTGTATGGCATAACTCATCGATCTAGGGATACTTTCGCATGTGTCCTCAATTTGGTACCCAATAGTTTTGTTTGGCAAAAGCGAAGTCGAATTGTTGATCATGTCGACCGCGTATATCATTGCCATCATCCAAGTGACTCCGTCAGGTTTTAAATGTTCACACTTTCCACCTTTCTGTGACGTTATCGGGAACAATCCCTTTAGCATTACATCGCCATCTTTCCAAATCCACTTGTGTTCATTGCTATGGAATTGCTGATGAGTAAACGCGAGGAAATGGAGGGTAAAAATTGCTCGGATGAAACAGTTGCCAACGAAACAGGTTGAAATCCCCATTGTTTCCGAACTCAGTGAGTCGCGCTACCCACAGTCAAATCTTCAATCACCTAAAGAAATTAATTGTTTCTGAAGACATGAAATCGCGTCTTACAAGCTGCCTGTTTTAATTTTTTCCTGTTTTCTTCTCCCAACACTGCAGCTGTCGATTTCGTTGTCGCGTGTAAACAATGGAATAGAACAGGCAGTGGGCTATACATACAACAATCTGTCATTTCATCAAGTCAATGACCACCCATATATGTACAAATTTTCTGACGAACGATCTTAGATTCGAGAGCAAATGTTGACCGCAACGGACGTACTTATTACAACCTTCATAAAAACGGATTTTTAGAATCAAAAAAAGGCGCCCCGTTAAACCTCCGTGGTTTAGCACAATGTTTGTTAATTAAAATACAAATTTGAATAGTGAAAAATTCATTTCTTTTCGACTAAGTAAATTTTTAAGTGTCATTAGTAACCGAACAATGTTCGTTTCTACCTTGACAGAATGTAAATAATATTAACGATAGCTTTTTTTAATTTAGTTCTCTCCTGAATTGCCTCAGAAAGGTAAACTCCGCTGATAATTCAACGAAGAGTACTGCTAGTGAATTATTTTATTCTTTTGAAAGAGAACTCGGCGTTTGGCATGGTTAGAAAGATTGATTGTAAAACTTGTAGTCTTCTATTTCATTTTTCAATATTTCTTTCCCCAAAGAAAGCCGCTGTTAGTCTTGACGAGATAAGCTGTCAAAAATACATGCCAAAAATTGGCGCCCAAGTGATAGCCGTAGTAATTATTATCATTACCTCGCAAGGAGATTCGTTTTAAAAAAAAGCAAAAAGAAAAAAAAAACAAATTGCCGACTCCTCTCGAAATTTTACTTCAATCTCTGATCATAGAGAGGTAAAATTAACACCTTGTTTTGAAGGATAAAAATAATTATGTTTTCATCAAGGGAAAAATTGGCAGCTCAATAGATAAATAAATATTCCAGGCCATGTTTAATAAGTGGGTGAACATTTTTCAGTCAAAAATAATTGTCATATCTTTGAGTGACAGTCGACTAATATGATAAATGCATTTTCCACCTGTCTCACTGTTTCCTCTGGGCCAGCGGCTTTACGATAGATTTCAATATTTATTTATTGTTGTATAAAAAAAAATCATTTTTCATCCAAAATGCATGGAGTCATTTTGCTTAGCACGACTTTACGTGATCAGCGCCTATTACAGCTAACCTCTAAAAAGATATCTCTTCGAGAAAACTTTATAAAAACTGATTAATTTGCAAGGGTTATATTTGCATTTTAAATCTTCTGATCTGATTTCGCTTGAAACGGGTTTCAATTAGATAAAATTGAACGCGTTAGCCCTACATGTGACCCCTAACACTGTCTAGCATCTAATTTCTTCCTTAAATATCAGCCTTGAGACACATAATAAGGTCATGAGAATAGGCGAATTGATCACCAACTGAAGAAGCTCTTAATAGTTAAGCAAATTTTCCTTGTCAGTACCTTAGGAAATGGATATAGAGAACTAAATGGAAAATATGCAACATAACAACTTTTAAAGTTTTCTTTATTCCATACAATTTTAAGATAAGGACGCCTACAAGAATATTATTTAGCGTGACCTATTCCTATCTTTCACAAGTTTTTAATTTTCTCTTGGTTTAATTGTTTACTTTTCATGATAATTTCCCAACAAGGATTAGATTGCGTAATAGAAACCTTATCATTTCTATGATTAAATCGTCCGTCCTCTTTGAATTGCTCCTCTTCAAATTTGAAGCTCTAATGAATGACTTTTATGGAGATTTTAATTTACATAGTTAACGAAAACTGCCGTTTTTAAAATTCTCATCTCTCATGGTGCCTAACAAAGTGTTTACCTGGTGTCCTGTCTTTTCCGACAAAGATAGATTCAGAAATAGCTTAAGTGAGATTTTCCTTAGGGATGAAAGGGAAAATTGATCTCGTTTATTATCTTCAAACTTGAATGGTACCCAGGAAAGCATTGTCCTGGAATAATAGAAACGCAAGGACTCTATCAAACATTTATAAGGCTTTCTGTTTTAGAATAATATCAGTATGTTATTCGTAAATTTAGAAACATGGATGTGATGCTGCGAAGCCGTGTGCTTTCTTGGGATTGAAAGCGAGGGAAATTTCATTCAGTTTTGCATCGCGTGGAAACGGTGAGAGTCTGGTAAGAGTGTGAAATTGTTCTTCAACCTAACTTTTGGCCTAATCTAGATCCTTTTGGTGTCAACTTTTTGGTTAGATTTCGCTTCAGTTTTCAGCTGCGGGAACCCATTAAATGGAAGATCTTGTATGCATATATGTCTTAAAAAAAACGTTTATTTCAGATAAGAAATCCACTAAGCGTCGAATAAAAAGGCCTCGTCGAGGAAAAAGAAAATTTCAAATTACGGAGGACATAAATGAACATTGAAAAAACTGAGCCGTAAATTGGAGCACAATTTTTCTATCAGCAATTTATATCCTGCTTGTAACAGCTTGAAAATTCACTATCAAAACTTCCTTTTATGTTATAAAAATATTTTGCAAAAACCGGCATGAGCCTCTCATGTGTATTAAAAAAAAAAAAAAAAGAAAATCTGTCATAATAACCAAGAGTAATCTGAATAACTAACGGAGTCTTCTCCAAACCACACAATGTGGGCAATTTTTCGTAGTGTTGTCATAATTGTTTACTGACACCCCCATTTAACAGAGATAACGTAGACTGTGTGGCAAAGGGAGGAAATGTCTCGCCAAAGGGCGGCTTTTGTTTCTTTTGAAAAGAAAGGCGTTCGTTGCTGAAATTATTTTGGAGGGAAGTTGTAAATATCATGATTCCTCGGGAGGTATTTTGAAAAGATAATCGGGTTGGATGTTTGCTCAGAATAAATAATGACTTTGCTCGTACAGCAGTTGATTTCTCAGCGTCCAGAAGTCTTGATGATAACGAGACAAGCCTCCGCGACTCAGGTGTGACATTTACTACTAAGCTGCGCTAATTGGTTGGCGGCATTCATTGAACAAAAACTTCAGAAAAGGAAATTTTAAAAGTAAAACACTTAGCTGTCTTGATGTATTGGTAAAACAAGCTTTCCTCTTTTCGCTTGCTTTCTCTACCTTGAAAAAATTCTAATGTATTTGCACCTTTCGTGATATGCGTTCACGAGAAGAGTGGAAAGGATAGCCGTCTCGAATTTAAAAAAAAAACCTTGTTCTATTGGACCCGATTGTTCATAGATAAATTGCTATCCTGCGGATAAGGGGTCAACAAAATTTGCTGCGTTATACATCAGACAGAGATTCATCTAGTGGGTAGCGTTATCCAGCCTTCAAATGACCATGGCCGTGAGTGCAAACTTTTTGATCTCTTTTCCCTTCTCCTGCCACTCGGTGTTCCTCAATAACTGCTTATATTCGAGGATGGTACATGACAATATTTTTGTTCTTTCCTGCAAAAGTTTTCAGGGGCGGCGTTCAATGGAATAGATACTGTAAATTGCTTCTATGGCCTTAAAAGTGGCAATCTGAAATGAACCAAAAAACTTATTGCAGAGATTTTTGAATTCGTGCATTGATTTCCTTAAATGCTGCTCTATATTTCAACAAAACCTATAGTATTTGTGAAGCTAGTTTTATTAGATTTTTCAGATGGTTTTCTCTTCAAATAGATTCCATTCCTTAATTAAGGAACATTGTTTAGCTTTTCTAGAAGTTTTCAGCAGAATCTTTGCTGGGAAAGATGAAAATAGCACGAGTGATTTCCAAAATTTACAGATAGTGATAGTCTGCAGAACAGGCGTATTTTGTTTGCGTTTTACAGGCAAACGGGATAAGCGCTAGGCGAGTACGAAGCGCGACATGCGCGTTAGTCGAACTAAAATGGTAGACTGTCAGACGCTTTCGATTGCCAACATTGTTTAAAAGCCAAGCCGAAGATAGAAATTTGCACCCACTATGAAATAACAAGCGCGGATAATGTTAATTTTTTTTTAATGATTATCGTTTGAATTTTATGTCATCTCACGAATTTGTAAATGCTCAACAAATGATACCATATATTTTAATCCTACTTGGTACAGATCAATTGGTCATATTTCATAGTAGGAGATTGTCAAAGACAAATTTAAGACAATCTGTTCGGTGCGCATGATTTAGAAAGCGTAAGGCAATGAAGGACTGTGGATAAAAACGGGCAATCTGCTTAGTGAAGCGCGGGAAAATGAAAATGGTCAAGTCGCAATTATTTTTAAGTTGAATCTGATTGGTGTAGAGGATGATGTGGGCAATTACGACCCATTAAACCGAGGTGAATCAAAATCAGTGTACTTTTGGATTACCATAGTGATACCTTCATTTGTTGTGATAAACTGTTGCGGTAACATCGGATTAGATTTAACGCCGGAGACCACAAATCTTGCAAAACGTTTCTGACAACTTTATCACTAAAACTAGCTTTCAATCAATACGTTTACAGAGAAGAGAACAGATTTGCCCAAGACATAAAGCCAAAGTGTAAAAATGACGGTAACATGTTAAAAGCCTCTAATTTTTTTCCATTTGCTTAAAGGGCAAATGATGCAAACAATAAATTGCTTAAATTGAAAAGCTTAAAATTCACTGAAATATAATCGTAAGCAAATGTAATAAAATTTCATTATGCAAGCGGCTGTTACAATAATCCAACTTATAAAGCTGCATCGCTGAAAAGAGATTTTCTACACTTTAGGAAAGAGTTATGGAAAAATTATTATTAAATATTCTTGTTTTTCTTTCAAGGGGAACTTTTATTAATCGGTGGTAAAACTCGTCCCGTTGCTTGTCCTTGTTTGTTTCATAACCCACTTGGGAGACAATAAAATCGTTCATTTTGTAATTAAACTTTGTGATAATAGATTGACACAAGTAGTTTATTGCAGATTGCACACATTTTTCAGCCTATGAAGCGGTGTCTAGCTACATATGTCTGTTGACTTGCGCATCACAAGGCTGAAAAAAAACGGTGAGCAATACTCTGGAATGGGCGAAAAACCACCACAGCGATTCCTGATGGCGTACGTTCTTTTCCTTAGAGGAGACGATGGAAATTTTCATGTATTCAAAACAATTTTGTGCTTTTTCCTTTTACAACTGGTTGCTTGCGAGTTAGACGTACACGGTTCAAGGATGAGATCACCAAAACGGGTGCAAGATTTGAATGCCGATTTCATCATTGGCGGGTCATTTCCAGTGTTTCTGAGTGAGAAAAATGCCACGAAATGCAACGGCAATGACAAACGCTTTCAGCTCTTCAAATCTGTACACGGAGAGACCGTTAACTGCTATCGAATGAACTTGTTCGGTTTAATGTGGGTCGAAGCAATGTTATTTGCAATTGAAGAGATAAACAACAACTCGACAATCTTGCCGAATGTTACTTTAGGATACGATATTCGGGATAGCGCGAACGAGGTGCAGTTCGCGATGAGCAACGCATTAGACTTCTCAACTAATCGAGAAGAGATGTACAGAACTGATGTCAATACAAATCGATCCTGCTCTAACGCGTCCATCGTCGCTGTCATTGGTGGAGCTGGCTCAAAAATATCAAAAGCTGCAGCTTACGTACTCGGGGTAAATTCCATTCCGCAAATCAGTTATTCTTCCACGAGTCCTTCGCTCAGCAACAAAGCCAACTTTCCATCGTTTCTCAGGACGATCCCGCCCGATTACATCCAAGCACAGGTCATGGCGGATCTTGTCAGTTACTTCAACTGGAACTACGTATCTACCATAGCCACTGATGAAGATTACGGAAGATTAGGAATCGAAGCCTTTAAACGAGAAATAAAGACGAGGAATGTGTGTATTTCTATCGACGAATTATTCCATCCCGACTACACCTTACCCGACACAAAAGCCCAGATGTCGTCGATCGTTAGCGCCTTAAAAGCGGACAAACTCGCCAAAGTTGTTGTGCTTTTTTGCGAGATTCCAAACGCGCTTGCCCTTTTGGAAGAAGCGGAAAGGCAAGGTATGGAAGGAAAAATTTGGATAGGAACGGATTCGTGGGGAGACAAAAACTCCATTTTATCGTTCAGGGATTCATTAGTTGGTGGAATGTTAGGAGTTGTACCGAGTAAAGGAAATATTATGAGATTTGAGGAGCATATGGCGCAGTTGACACCTGCTAATACCGAACACAATCCTTGGTTTAGAGATTATTGGCACGGAACGTACAGATGTCGAGAAGAAAGAATTGCACATTTGAAAGATGGTTTTAATACTTCGGAAGAGGACCAGCAAAACAGCTCGCTTCACCGAGTGAAATGCGATGAATTTTCGAATGGCAAAGAGCTGCCAACTGCAGCGAAGCTAGAACTAAACAAGGCCGCAAATGTCATGGATGCAGTTTATTCTGTCGCTTTAGCTCTCGATAAGATAATTAGGTGCAAAAAAGGACACGGCCTCTTAACAAATGGTAGCTGTCCTAGTATAACAAATGGAGTTGAAGCATCGGACGTCCTCACTTATATAAAAAATATATCCTTTACCGGAAAGCTCGGTTTTCCAATCGTATTTGACAAATATGGGGACATAAAAGGTAAGTCATTTCTCTGTCAATAGACATTAACATGTTTTAAATACTTGAGAAACAATAAGAGGCCTTTCGCTCGTTAACATCGTTCGGCACAAATTAATTTATCTTTGACACTATTGAATGGAGATTTCAGCGCTACTTGTGCTTGTCGGACATTATGAGAATTTATCACAACGCAAACAAACATGTCAAAATGAGCTAAACTGGAAACTTTTAACGCGACCGCTGTTTAAATATTCAATAGTCGAGTATTGACAAAAACATTGCCTCTGAAGGATAAAAATTCATCTGAAAGGAATCCATCCTAATCTAATTTTTAAACAATTGTAAAAATTAGGAAATGAGTGAGGCTGCGAACCTAAGACGAATCTAAATTTGAATACGTTGATTGATTTACAAAAAAATTATGCGTAAACTCGATCAAAGTGACTTTTCCTATTTCGAATTTTGTTCGTATCATATTACAAAATTTATTCGTATATTTAATAAACAAAGGGTTTCCAAAAGCTACCTCAGAAATTCTACCTTAACAGGTGACAAGCGGACTTTTGCGGGCTTTTTTTTTTCTTCAGGCAAGAAGAGGATTTTATCGGTTTCAAATTCTGTGATATATTACCATATGAACATGATTTGGTGCCGTGGTATCTAATGAAAACAAGCAGAGCGAACAATGATAATTTCACGTATTTAAGCTTGCTTTCACCTTGTGTATCAAGGACATTTCACGATCACAAAAGCTCCGCATGAGCTATAGAAAAGGAAAAAAAGGAACTACCCCTCAATTTAAATAAATTGCGCATGCTATGAAACTCGTCATCTCAAATGGCTGACCAGTATTTGTGCAATTTTTTTCATTTTTCGCGGCTTTTTAACCTACAATAAACTCAGAAAATCTCCTCCAATTCAAAGATCAAATGAGATGCTAGTCAAAACTATTCAAAGGTCAAAATGACATTATTCAATAAAATCCTCTTATGTCCAAACTCACCTGGAGCCGTTTTTAAAATCAGTGTCAAATTTTAATAATCTTAATGTTCCGTCAAAAGGCCTTTGTTTACTCAGTTTTATCGAGACAACAACAGCCATGTTCTTTAAGTATTTTTGTCAGGTTTGACAGAAAGACAAGGTGTCAGCGAGGTAAGGGGTAATCAAAACAATACAAAACGAGAAAAAGTGAACTTTGAGGGCGTCTTTTACTTTAATAAATGTCCTGTTATATAGCTTCTTATTTTTTGGGAAAAAACAATGAAGCTACGATTTAATTTCGGACTTGAATCAAACTCGGCTACAATATCTAGCCACTAATTGGATTTTAAGTCGTCAAAGTTATAGGTAAACTACTACAGTTGTCACCTTAATTGCACTTCTAGCAAACTACTTTCGTTTAATTGCTTCCTTACAGCCCCCTCATTTTCAGAATTCCTTTATTTGCTCGTTGTAATTTGTTCGATCACAAGCTGTTATCAAATTGTGTAGTTTCACCCTAACATCAGCATACATATTCTCCATACTGTTCTCTATACATCTCCAAAGGTCCTGACAAGGAAAATTTGTTTAACAATCATGAGCTTATTTAGTTGGTGATATTTTTGATTTATTTTAACAGGTAACTATTTGGTCAAGAGTTTACAGCCCGATCCAGACTCTGCGCATGGAAAAAAGTTTATCACGCTGGGAACTTGGGAATGGGCCACTCGCAAACTCCATTTTCATAATATCACAAACATCACGTGGAACGGATGGAATCCCAGAGTGCCATTCTCACGCTGCAGTTCAACGTGTGAGCCTGGGCACTACAAAGTCCAAGGCGACTCCATATGCTGCTGGAAGTGCGTTCAGTGCCCGTTTGGAAGCATAACGAACAGAGAGGGTCAATCACAATGCAACATCTGCCCGTTGGGTTTCACTTCTTCTGAAAATCACACGAGATGTTTGCAACTTCCAGAAGTGTACTTGGAATGGGATTCAACGACTGGAAGTGTTATTTTAGCTCTCAGTGGCCTCGGGTTTTTGAGTACGATTTTCACTCTTGGCGTGTTCCATCGATATCGAAACAGCGCGATCGTAAAAGCTTCCACAAGAGAATACTCCCAGTTGATTTTACTCATGATAGCAGGCATTTTTCTTCTTCCTCTGCTACATGTAGGAAGAGCCACCGACGTCATTTGCAAAGCGCGCCCGTTCTGCTTTGCATTTGTTATCAACTTCTGGGCCTCGCTAATGTTGACAAAAACCCGGCGTTTGTTACTCATATTCAAAAACAAAATGCTCCCTGGTAAATTCGGATATGGTATTCGCTTGCAGCTCCTGTTTGCCGTTCTCCTGACTTTGCCAATAATGCTCGGCATCGTACCATGGGTGTGGTCATTTCCGCCGGAAGTTACTGTGTACTATTATGACACACGCATCTGTGTTGACTGCGGCGAAATGGCGCGCAAACTGCTCATGATCGTATTGGGTTACACCGCAGTTCTGGCTATACCGTCGACGTATCTGGCGTACAGAGCTCGTAATTTGCCGGCGAATTTCAACGAAACACGATTGATAGGATTTACAATGTTCACAGTATGTGTGATATGGATAGTCTTTGTACCCTGTTACTTCGACAGCAGTGCAGAAAACAAAAACGTTGTGTTTTGTTTCGCACTTATTTCCACAGGTTTCGCGATCCTCTTTTGCACGTTCTCCGTCCGGTTGCGGATCATTTTTTTCCAACCCGAGAAAAACAAAACCGAACTTGTACGGGCCAGTATGTTTGATTACACAATGCGCGCGCGCAGTGGATCGTTCGCTGCCCGGAATCTTCGCCGAATGTCAGTAGTGACCGTGGGTACATTTTCCGTTCCAACAAAGGCTCATTAAAATTGTTAGTGATAATTTATTAACCCTTCAACTCCCAAGATCTGACTGTTAATCCTCTCGGCTAGCTGCTTCACTGAATTCCCCGTGAATCAGTTACGAGAATCTTTTGCTAGATTAAGATGACAACTTCTATCTAAAGATAAAACATGTTCCGACATTCCAGATGTGTCCTCAGGGCACTTTTCAACATCCTATCTCCTGTAATGAATGTTCGTCCTCTAATTAGAATTTTTTTCTACATATTGAAAAATAAACTTTCATGATACGTGAGAGATTTTAGGTAGAATTACCTAAATACTTTTGACAAGTTTGAAACTGAAATCCAAATATTAACGACTAAAGAATGTTGAAACGTGTTTAGTAACCTGAAATTTTCTACCCTTTTAAGATTGTTTTCAGAACTCATTACTTATTAATACCTTTTTGATTGGCATGCAAACTCGCCAGGTTTATAGCTAACCTCTGAGAGAAGACAAGTTTATTCATAACCTATGCGTTCTGAAAATCATAAGAGGCAACAAAAACATTTTAAGTTCTAAATGTAATTTGGTTATCAAAAAGGAAGTTTAAAAATGCCTAAATTGAGCAACACAAAATAAACAGAATTCAGATTGAATATGGAGAGGACTTTGCCCTGGATTCTTCATGTGAACATTGAAAAATCGGTCGATGCTTTCCTGGCAATAGGGCGGTGGGGGAACATGTGACTTCTCGTCGTCAAAATTAAAGGGTTGGTCTAAGTGCGAAAAGCCGAGTGAGACTGGGGGAAATTACGAGGCAATTTGGGGTTCATCCCCTCGCGGGGTGAAAACAGGGGAAAAGGGAAAAGAGAAAGGACTTAAAGATTGTAATCCATGATGATGACATGATGTCATTTTTCACTAAAACACATTGCATTAATTTAGCTTTAGTCGAAAAAAAAAAGTCGAGAGAAGTGTTTGAATGCGTGAAAGTATTTTCTCTTTTGAAACTGTGAAGAAGGCAGCAGGCTAAGATAATTTTCCAAAAGGCGGGGGTTTTCCCTCGATGTTTGTTTACTTTTACTTATTTTAAGTGGTACTGTATGCCTTTAATTTCAGAAGTGATGGGAAAGGAATTTTTCCCAATCACAGTTCGACGAACTTGCAAGCGAAAAGGTAGCGAAAGGGAAGACAATATCACTATATGTCCTACGGTGGCTCGCTAAAGTACAAAATTCAATCCAAAAAGGAATGCCTTAGTATTAATGTTAAGCTTTTTACTCCCTAGATCTCAATATCAATTCTCCTTAATGTCTTTCCTACATTCCTTACACCTTTGCTTTGAGAATTTGTTGTTTAATACAAGATCGGGACAAAACAGGCCATTCCGACCCTCCTTCGCGGACGCGCATACACAGACACCTCCTTCGACGTACGTTTGCTCTTTCCATGCAAAAATTGTTGGGACAACGATACAGAATTTTAGACGCTTGATTTTCTCTCCTCGGGCAACTCTTTTATGGTCGCAATAATTGACCCTTGAGAGCGCCTCGGTCCCAAGTTTTGCTTCACAACTGGTAGCTTGTTCATAGATCCATTCATAAACTGAAACGCTAGACACGCTGGCGATGTGTTCCGTCTCAGAGTCATTCCCTGAATCGGCGACAGATCAATCCCAGAAGCTTGGTCAATTGAGTAACGCCTTGTGCTTTCTATCGCTGCCTGCTTTGTGTTCTTTTCCGGCCGGAAAAAAATTACACGAACTTTTGGAAGAAACAGAAGGAAAAGCATTGAATATGCTCCCAAAATTAGCGCCATTATTGCGCAGATGTAGCTCTCCCTTCCATGAAACGACGTGTGATGGCAAATTAAAATAGCAGTCCACGATAAAAAGTTTGTAAACATGCTGAGACATATCCATTTAAATTCGTTATAAGCTCTCGGCAGATTACGCGATTTGTAAGCAAGATACGAGCATATCATCGCGAGAAATGAGTCATAACCTAACGAAGCCAAATCAACGGCCAAATTGTGCTCACATGACATAAACAAAGCGCCCGCGACGCTGTAATCATAAGTCACTCTTGGCGGGAAAACCAGAAGGTGGAACACGCTCAAACCAATCTGCACAAGAATCAGTGCGCATGTCAAGAAACCGTACCAGCAGTTGCTGAGGAAACAATGCTGCTTGAGAGCAGAAAAAATCTTAATCAAACGGTTCGTCTTGGTCAATAAAACCGCAGTGATAGTGGTGTACAAAACTGCGAACGACACGGTTCTCAATTTGCAAACAATGTCAGATGGCTTACCGATGTAGAGAACCGGATTCAGGAACCAAACAGCAAGCACCAACAAGGACAAGACCGTAAAAGTTAAATTCGTTGCCTTGACAACAGGGGTGTCCTGATATCTCACCAGAACACCCAACACGAGCAATGTAAGAATCTCTCCCAGTCCACACGCGGAGAGTAGAGTAACTGTTAGCATTTCTCCGAAGACTAACACTGCGAGAGGTTTGTCTACACAACCAGTCTGAAGCTCATTTGGCATTTGGTGCTTCGGGCAAACTTTACAAAGGGTCGCGGTGTGGTTATCATTAAAGGTCCCCTTAGGACACTTATGACAGTTCCACCAGCATGTATCCCAACCATATTTGGTATAGGTACCCAGGGGGCAGCGCTCCCGGCATCCAGAATAAGGGACTCTGTATCCTTTACCAGGCCATTGAATGTCAGTCTCATTTATTACCAGTCTCTGCTCTCTGGTCCATTTTCCTACTAGGGTAGTCGCTATGGTTTTATTGCAGATGGCATGCACGTTCATGATATCAAATTCTTTATTCAATTCTCGGTTAGAGGTGAAGGATATATTAGTATTTTGACTATTTCTAAAAGTAATCTTCTCTAAGTTCTTCAAAACAAGTTCCCGCGCATAATGCAGCGTAAAATTCCCCCTCAAGCAGTTAAAACTGCTTTGCCCACTATTCCTAGTACACTGGGTAACTTTCTTCACTGTCTGCGTGACTGCAAGAACTGCATTCATGACGTAAGCAGTTTTGTCCAATGACACACCCTGCAAGCCGACCGATTGCTCACTGCTACGATTTCCACAGACAGCGGACCAGCGGCTGTCTTTTTCAATCCAAGTGCAATACATTTCTGAAACGTTTTTCGCCAATATGCTGACGACATTTTTAAACTCGCCCAAGTCTTCTTTGGGCACAGACACGGTCAGCATTCCGTCCATGACGTCACCGTAGCTTTCAACCAATCGGGATCGCTCGTTTGACATGTCAGCTCTAATCCACACTCTTTTTGTCAAATTTTTTCTCCGTGCTTCGGTGAAAATCTTGGAAATAAAATCCTCGCTTCCTAAAACAACGTTTACGAAAACACTCCTACGAACTTTGATTGCCTTTACAATACTCGAAATTTCACCACTACCGACGGCTTCATGTAAGGCAATGCAGATGTCGCGTTTTTTAAGGTCCCGTTTTAGGTTTCCCATTATTCCACGGTGAAAACGTTCTTTCGAACTTATGATATTTATACAAGACCATCCGAAAGAAGTTATAAGACTCGTCAACACCGCCGCAACTTGTTTATCAGAAAAAGACGTGCGGAAAAGCGTTCTGAAGATTGACCTGTCATTGAGAAGTGAGCTGGAAACTCCGTAACTGATCTGCGAATATAATAATAACAACAGTAAAACAAGTCAATCTACACTTTCAATAGTGTGTAAATGTCTCTTTTAAAATCTATTTATTTTGAGCTCAGTGATTAAGTAAAGTAAGAAGTACGACCAAACTTCAACTCTAGCATAAATAAATCTGCAAGCTTTAATCCCTGTGGATGATCGCTTCAGGAACTACGTAAATTTTGTCTCCGTCATTCAAAAGTAAACAAACAAATTTATAAGTAAATAAATTATTATTATTATTATTATTATTATTAAATTACTTCAAACTGCGTATTGAACATCCAAAGATTAAACTAATCTGTTGAGAATAGTCTTCAAATGTAAAAAAAGTCGACAACAGAAGCCGCCATTTTTAATATTGCCGAACAATCTGGCCACTCACCTATGACATAACACACTTTTGATTCTCATTTCAAATTCCCAGCCATCATTTTGAACAATTATATGCGACACAAAATGGTATTCTTAACTCAGCAGATAATGTTCTGTACTGTATAGAGCAGCAATTTTTTCAATAATTTCTGGAATGCTCAACGTGATTACAACTAGGTTACAAAGTTCAAAACAGCGGCTTCTGTAGTCAATTTCTTGGAACATTTAAAGAAAATTTTCGGTTCAGTTTCTCTTTGGATTCTAGTCATGCTGTAGGTAACACCCTTCCTCTAAACTAGACATGACCTCACCCCCACTTAGTTTTGATGGGAATAAGGTCGAAGTGCAAATTGGGAAGTTTTGGTCGTCGGTTTTCTCGTATCGTGATTGGCTTCTTTTTCAAAGGCGCTCAAAACACAGAACTATCATCTCGCCCCTGCCCCCCCCTCCCTTTGATTTAGATTCTAGTGTGTGAATAATTCTCCACAGCATCCTTTTTGTAGTATTTTTCGAAACAGACATTAGAAAGGAACATCTGAGGAAAGTTTAAAACAAAATTGTTCATTAAATTTTTTTTTTTGAAGAATAAAAAAAAGCTAGCTTAAGAACTTCTTAGAAAATTCTCCAAGCAAATACAACAATAATAAAAAATAATGATAATTTACCATGCGATCACTTTCAAATACTTTTCATGTTTTAATAAACTAACGCTCGAATTCCGCGGAGCTTGTCTGGTTTGTTTCCCGAACATAGCCTGGTATCATATCGAACATATCATAAACTTATCGACTGAAACTTCGAGCCTCATTAGTCACTTTGCAAAATCCTACATGGAAATAGTTGGCTGACAAAAAAATTACCAACCACATCAAACGAGCATGTCAATTTTCAGCTCTGTAGCTTTAAGTTTTTCGTCCAGCGCTATGATGACTGAAAACAATAGCGAATTTCTGGATTTCATGGTAGACAAAGGAAATGAAACTAGGTGAGCATGTTCTGAAAACAATGTCTCCTTTGAGGATTGAAAGTAATTATTTCAAGCCTTTTATTTTTTGGCTTTCCAGAAATTTCGAAACAAACCGGCAAGTTTTTATTTCATTAGTGTTCAGTATAAGTAATGAACTCTCAAACGTTCATTGGGTTTTGAATTCTCACTAAAAGACGAGAAAAGACGAGAAAAGACAAGAAAATGAATTGATGTTTATAACATCCGATCGACTTTTTCTAGAAGCTTCTGATGACTTTTTACCGTAACAAAGCAAGAATATTGATTTGAAAGCTTTGTAGCCATAATAGAAACACTGTAATGAATCATTATGATGAGCTGTACTACTAAATTAATTTGATGTTAAAATGAAACAAAAAAATTTTAAAAAAAAGTTTATGATTTATGAAGAACCCTTAATAATTTCTTAACTAGACAAATCTATAGCCAAAGGAAAGCCGCTAGACGTCTGTGAAACCTGTTTGGGTGGAGGAGAGTGGAATGGGTTCTCTTTGGAATTTTTGGCAATAGTTGCCACCCATTTCTCAAAATCTTAACCCCTCTTGAACATCTTATTTTCCACACCCGTTTTCAGAACTCGTCTCTAAAATCCGTCGCCTTTTTTCACCTGCTCAAGCCACGAATTGGTCATGACCACCCAAAAATTCAGTTTGAATAATATATTTTTATTTTGTCTCTCTCTGATTCATTTGGATTTCCGAAGATAAAGATGTTTAGACACACTCTTGGAGACTGTACCGTTTCGAAGCCACGATGATCTATGCATTTACCCGTTCTCAGACAAAAACTGGCCAAAACTAAGCCCTTTCGGGCAAGCACACACCCTATATGGCTAGTTCATGAAATATAAAATTCAAGAAGCGATTTACTTAGGAAAAATAAAATGGGTCGATGCAAACACAGCCATCCACATGGCCAAAATTAACACAGCCCCTTTGACTTAGTCATTCGTTTAGTAAAAATCCTTTCTTCTGCTAAAAATTGGATCATTGAAGTTTCTTAGGGAATTTATACAAAACATTTGAAAGCAAATACAAAAACAAAAAAAAAAACCTGATTTATTTTTCGTTCACTCTAGAGTAGTCTTGAAGTTTCAAAAAAGACTTGTGTCAGATCTTTGCGGGCCGTAAGGGTCTTGCTCATTTCGCGAATTGCTCTCCGACTTTAGAATTATCAGGAATTCATGGTACAAAAATCACATGAATTTAAGTAAACATTTTACAAAAACAAAGCTTGTTTGGAGGACTAGAAGTAACTCCTTCCGGCCTTCTTTTCTTAATTTTAAGGGTGTTTGCATCAAACCGGCAAGTTTTTTAAAAGTGCTCGTTTATATAGGTGAATTCTACGAAAGTTTGGTCGAAAATGAAGCGTAATACACGTTCTCATGTTTATAAAATTTTGATGAACCCTCCAAATCTCGCTGAAAGAGGCCATTAAAATATACAAGAACGTACAAGAAATTACTTTTAAAACATCCGATCCATTCTTTCTGGAGGCCTCTGATAACTAGTTTCCGTAATAAAACGACATGTGTTTTGATAGCTTTTTTAGCCATAATAGGAACACTATAATGAAGCGTTTTGATGAACTGTACAAATGAATTTGAATAATCTTGAAAGAAAAAGGCAAGCGATTAATAAACAGATCTTAATCATTTCTGATCGGTTTTTCTTTTCACTCAACCCGAGTAATCTTCCGACAAAGCTGAGAAATTCCAGTTGTCTAAAAAAACACTGTGAGTGGGGCGAAGAGGGGTTGGAGGGTGGAGACTTCTCAAGGATTCTTTACAGGGGTGTGCCGCCGGTTTCTTAAAATTCCGGCTGACCTCATCTCTGCCCAAATATATAATACCTTTTCAGATCTAGCTTTAAAATTATATTACTGCCTTTAACCTGTTCAAGCCAAGAATTGGTGGAAATCACTCAAAAATTCAGCTCGAGTGATACATTTTGGTTACATCTGTCTCTCTTCCATCCATTCGGAATTAAAAAACCAAATACGATTATACGCTTTAGTGGTTTCCTCGTTGAAAAAAACACACGCGAGACCAGACCCTACACGTCTTATATTGGGGACTCCCCCCCCCCCACCTCTCTCCCCTATCTTCAGGCTTTAACGTGCAAGCCTTAGCACTTCCTACGTGATCTGGTTTCACTTAAAAGAGGAACAAACAGACCAAAGACGACCAAAAAATGTCGGTGGAAGTTCCAAAAGAGAGATAAAAACCAAGCGACCGGATTCTATGGCGCCACAAATTCAGACAGTTGAAGGGAACTCGCCTCCGTGTTCAATAAATATTGTATTGTTCTCACTAATGTGCTGTAATTAGCCTATTGCGTAAGGAAACCCTCGCTTCAAAAACTGAACGGTGTTTACATAGAATTCTAGGTTTTCGAGTTGATATAAAAAGAGAAAAGTCGTAAAAAAAAAATAAAAATATATAAACAGCGAAATTGCAAAATTAAGAAATACACAACGTTTCGATTGAGAGTTAAATACTACGCAGAGCTCTTTCTGTAAATATCGACTGATTTGACCCTAAAGTTCGTCGATGGAGCACTTAAAATCTTTTCTCAGAGACACACTAGGTATTAGTGCAAAACCTTAATCCTGACTGCTTCACAATGTGTAACAGTTAAGGAACGGTGGCGGTTATATGTTTAACATGATCATGAAACAGATAAGAAGTCTATGCTCCCCAAAGAGAGTTGGAACCCTTAAATATTACATAACATCCTCAATTCTTGGTCGAGAAATAGAAAGTCAAAAAAACATTTTACTGGAGCACTGATGTCGTTATTGTAAAATTTTTATCGCTTTTGAACAGAGCATTCTAACATTTACCCAGGATGAAAGTTATTTTTAACCGCTTGAAAAAAAAAGTGTGTTAAAGCGACTTCATTTTGCATAAGAGGTGATAAAAGATTTTCTTTTTACAGTGAATCCGTTTGAAGTACCCGTTCATTCACCGTAAATGGGTCCCCGATCTATTATTTCTTCAAAGGATAAAACCCACTCAAATATCAGCTAAAAAACTTCTCGAACGCAGCTTTGTGCACTTGGTATAGTACAACTATTTCCCACCCCCCCACTCGAAAAAAGATATTGCAATGCTTTAATCTACGACAAGGAAAGACCAAAGGCTAAATCATGCATTCCAACTCGACAGGGGAGATCGCATAACCCTTAAGAGCACTTAAAAAATTTCCAAATGATGTTTTTGTTTTCATCTGCAGTGCTATTCAAAATCTGGTGGCAATTTAAAATAACCCAGTGCATTTAGAGAAAATTGCTGATATGCTAAAACTTTCTCCATCCACCTTTTTACACTTTTTTTTCCGAATGGAAAGTAAAGCAATCATTTCTCGCTGTAGAAATAGGAATATCTTAGATAAGCCCCGGTAAAAAACAATCCCATCCATTCGCACGTCACAATAACTGCTTTGAAGAGGTCTCCCTGCTGCTCTCAAAAAGATGCAAATTGTCAACTATTTGAACACCATTTAACAGCAGCGAAGAGTGCATTTAAAATCTGAGGATTAAAGTGGATTCAAACAAAAGGAACATCAAACAAAATTAACATTTTTAATCAAAAGTGACGCACAAAGTTTCTGAAAAGGCGCGAAACGACCACAAAGATGAAGTCTTCGCGTCATCACGACCACGATCACGATCACGATTTCTCGAAGATGGAATTTTATTCTCGAAGAATATGTAACTATATTCTATTCATGACCAAGACAAAAAAAGAAATAAATAAGAAGAATAACGGCAGCACGGCGTCTCCACGGGAAACGTTTCACATCCTACACTTTAGGATCGTTTTGGGAAGCGGTTAATGAACTCAGAACGGAAAAAGCGTGTCACCATTGATTTTCTTGTTAACAGACAATGTGGACAGCACATCCCGATAAGAAAAAAATTTCGTAATCTTTTGGAAAATGTCGACACGATACCCGGTAATTTATCAAACACGGGGAAATTGTGTCTGTTTATCAAGACTAGCTGTCAGTTTCTTTGTGAATTCCGCAGAAGGCGGACAAGCAAATGTTTGAATAAAGAGATTTTCGGCACAATATTCAAATCTGTGTCAAGGAAAACTGTGTCATGATAAAAGAACGCGGTGGCATTAATTGGCTATATATTTTCGCGATAGTAAAACATGTTAATAGGAGTAAAGCGATAAGATCAATTTAGTACAAATAATCGCTAAATTAATGCATCCGGCTTCACTTGGAACCAAAATATTTCCAAAAAATGTCATAATTCTTCTCATCTACGAATACTGGAGATACGTTTGCAGCGCGAAAACAAAGTCGTCTCCGATCTTATAAACATAGAATGTATTTTTCGTTGCCACTATTTCCGCAGGTGAGAAAGTAAGACGTTTTCATTCGAGAGAAAAATTAAACGAGTTTTCCATTACAACTTCCAAATCTACTAAATAAAAAAAAAAGTTAACAAGTGGATTGCGAAATCATTTTGAGATTACGCGGAAGGTGCTTGATCAGAAATATCTAAAACAACACATGAATGTGACTTTATTATGCGAATTAATATAAAATATCAAGAAAAAAAATATCTATTAAATCTACATCCTCAAAACACTATCTGTAAAAACTACCACAAGATGAAGACAAATATTACATTAAAAACGGATCCTAAGATAATCTGAAATATACACAGGAAGGCTTTTTCGTAAATGTCATACATTCGAAGACTAAAAACAACAAACTTTCCGTTTTTTTTTTCTTTTTCTCTTGGTTTTTGTCAGACGAGCTCAAATTTAGGCACCAGTTTTGAACAATGTTTAGAATTGCAAAACCATTCTGAGGTTTGCACACTTTGCCCTCGAGCGAAAGACCACATTACGCGGAGCAATTTTCTTCTTTTTTTTTCTTGCAGAGAAGTGATCATTGTCTAAAGATATTTCTATACAATTTAAATTTATTGACAAATGAAAACGTGCCTCTAAGATCGATCTGCACATATGCTCCCACAGGCTAAGAATGAGTGATTCGGGATTCGGGATTCGGGCTTTGAACGCTAACCGAATAAGACCTATAATAAAGTTTCGAATCAAAGTTCATGTTACAGTTCGCTTTTTTTAAAACGAAGAACGTCACTATAGAATCTAGTCAGGGGCAAGTTAAAATTTGCAATTTAAATGGACAGGAATAAATTGAAATAATTCTCCTCTACAAATAAAAGGAAAATGTCACGTACGATAAAAATGGAAAGTTTTCTTACCTGAGGTACCCCATAAGCGCTCAATATGACACTTGTAACGACAGCGTTGCTAGACAAATCTGGCCCCACAAACGCAAGCACTCCACATTGTTTGCGTGCGTTCTTCAATGAGCAGTTTTCAGATAATGTTCCATCATTTTCATGTCTCAAAATATCTAGAACCTCTTTCACAGACACCTCAGGGCTCGAACAACTGTCTCTGATATCATATCCAAGAACTGCATCGCTATAAACCGAATCATTGTTTATTGTGTAAAAAAACGCCTCAGCGAGCAGTAATCCTTCGCTCCGCATTTTGTTGCACTCCGGCCCTTCGGTTATGGGAAAAAGCCCTCCGATGATGAAATTCCCTTCTTTGAATCTTCTCCAACGACCAATTGCAGAATCAGCTTGTAAACAAAACGCTAGCACAAAGAGCGCCAGTGAAACTCTCATGTTGACTAAGAAGACCCCAGAAGAATAAAGCAGGAACTAGCTACTTGTTTGGTGCACTTAATGATCTTTTTTAAATATTTAAATGAATCCGCATTTAAATTGCCAAAAACAAATCGCTACCCGTACGTGGAAATTAGTCCGAACCTTGAAGGTCTTCCAAATTTTCCTAAAAAAAGAAGAAAATTTTTTCTCTCAGGCAGTTAAATGAGCTCTTTCTCGAGGAACCTCGCTTCTACAATGTGTAAAATGTAAAATCGTTCTCCCAAAAGTTAAAATCCGCTCAGCTAAATAAGCCTTGACAAAGTCACAAACTCTGCACGGCCTCGGAGAAAATTCTCGGCGAAAATTACAACACTCTGCAAAATGAGAGGATTCCGTTGATTCTCAGTCGGTCTTTGTGCTGTTGATGTCGGAAGAATACTTCATAATTTCCGAGTAGCTTGCCGAATAGTTTATTATTTGCGCTGTCATATACACAAATCAATTTTGACAACACTTCAAGTCGGTGGTAAATAAACGATTCAGCCAACCACTAGAGAAAGCCCATTAGGGGCTATAAAATAACTAACTGGAGGGTGGAACGTGTTTACAAATGGCACTCGTTCTTGTGAGGGGGAAAAAAGCAAAAAACAAACAGGTGCAAACCTGTTACGAAGATGCAAAAAGGGTGCCGCGACAGCATTTGAAATGAAACGAAATATTCATATTAATTCCATGTCAGTAATCTATTGCATGCAAGACGCTTCGAATGAGAGAATTAGGAGAAAAAAAGCGTGCAACTTAAATGGTTTTCCCAAAGATTGGTATTCACAATTTATAGATCTTTCGCCCAGCGCCGCTCTGTGTATGCGCTTGAGTCTTCAAAAGCATGTAGTCTGGTTCTACTGGAGCGATTTAGACTAAACTATGGACACTTAAAGATCACTGTTGCCGATATTAAAACTGAATTGAATAAAACAGGATGAAGCTTGGACAACCCCCTTCGGCTCTGACTTCGAAATAAGGAAAAAAAAAATAGAAAAAATAGAACGCCGCGTTCAAAAATAACTAAGTATTCCTTACGCTCTCTTTTATATTTATACCAAAATTGACAGTGTCCTCACGAGATCTTTTATTAATTCCATTTTAAATGAGAAAAAGGCCGCATAGCAAAAATTAATCTGTGACGAATATCACATGCCAAAAAAAAGAACAAAAAAAGAAATGTTATTCGTCCAACAAGCGGTGAAAAGAACAACGACAGCAAAAGAAAGCATTCTATTCCTGAGTGAAAGTTCCGGAAATTAACATGGATTGAGAAACCAAATACTTTAGATGTTTTCCCTCGTTAACCTGAAAATACTTGAAGGATAGATCAACGCATTTTTTTAGTGAATACAGTATATAACTCAAGACAGTCAAACAATTGAAAATGTTCATAGATTCCCGAGACTTGAAAGTTCAACTCAGCTGGAGGGTTCTATGTTTCCCAAACGTTCGTGACATGACGCCCACAGCAGTGCAAACAAATCAAACGCGAGCAAGAAGTATTTTTACAATTATAGAGAAGCCTAACCACTATAACAACTAAATAACAAGTATTCACACTGAAACAACGCAACAACTCGGAAAGATAAAAAGAAAAGAAGAGCGAAGCTTTGAAAATCAAGCATGAGTTTAATTCAGACATTCAGTGGCATAACAAGAGACTCACCGAAATTGCCTCACAAACCCAACACATCTCAGTGTTTTATTATACTTTAAAAGTCAGACAGGTGATTCGTGCCTAATTTGATTCTTTCAAAGTTTTGGATTGATATTTCAATAAGGTTTTTTTCCTTGGCGTGAATATAAAAAAAGGCGAACCTGCAAAATAATAGCTTCAGGAAATCGTAAGTTGATGAATCACGACAGAAAATCTCCTTGAATATAACTGTTTCAGACGCGGCTCTTTTAACTAAAATTGTTTTCTCATTCAATTTTTCACTGATCACGAAAAATAGCAGCATTAGTTTGCAAATCTTGTTGGGAACATGATTCAAATCACCTAAAAATTTACTTTAATTTCCGATATCTTGAACAAATAGACGGAAATAAAACACTCATAGAAAGGCGCATTGAAAATGGTAATTTTCCAAGTCGAATTTTTCAATTATACTCCAAATCGCATTGATGGTCATCTTTTAGAGGTATCTAGTATCAATATTGAGAATTTTTCTGCATAATCATTTTTCAACTCGATGGCACGCAAGGCTGAAGAACTGACATACAAACGCTGAACGCTAATGCAAAAATAATTGCCATGATTTTAAAAGCTCTATTAAAATTATTATCACAAAATGATATTCCAACACGACAAGCTAACATCACTACCCCAATCTATTCTTAAAAACGTTTCACTGTTAGCTATAGCTCCTTCTCTTTGGTAAATATAAATAAAACAATAGAGTTTTAGTCGAACAGTACATGGCTTCATTGAAGTCGTGAGAAAGACTGTTATCGGTTGTAGTGACTGAGTTTTCTTTAACCTGAGCGGAAGTCATCATCAAAGTCAAGTGGGTAGTTTTTGTTAGTCGGAAGTTCAAAGTCCCGTTCGTAAAACCCGATTGGTCAGTTTTGTCGTGATGATCTAGAGAACAGACAGGAAGCGGTTTATAGGATCATCTGCTCGGCCGACAGCCAAGCCCTCTACATCGAAGAGACTGACAGAAACCTCACAAAAAGACTGACTGAACACAAGCATAAGACGGGGAAGGTTGATGTCAACAATCACATTGCTGAAAATCACAAATCGCCCTAAAATGCATTGCAAACCACCTTTTGGTATGAAATGTGGGTATACTTGATGTTTATCATGAGTCTAGTTTCTTATGTCTTTGAAGGAATGAATTTGAGTGAATGAATTTGAAGTACAGTATAAACGATACCAAAAATTGATCAACCATAAAATATATTAAGAAGGTACTGGACAGGAGAGTCGGACAAGAGGGTCGAAACGTTGGGTCTATGAATTGTAACTTCTTCCGTTAAATTCATTAAATCTGTAAACCAGAGTAGCATCAAACCATGTCTGATTGATCAACCATGTCATCGTCGTCCTAATAAACTTTTCTGCGCAGTAATACGATTATTAGTTCATAAGTGAGCAGGTAGCTGGGTTCTAGATTACCTTTCCAATATGGCAGATAGATTGCGATATCAGTATTTCGTCAATTCCCGTACGTACTGACGCTAAATTTGGCCGGAATTCCAGAGAATACATCCCTCTACCCACTGTAGCGTTTGAGTCAGATGAAGTTTGGACGATAAATACGGTATATCGTAACAGACAAGCTACCGACAGATCACCAAGAGATTGCCGATTGTCAGCCGTCTGTCATCGGCCAAAAGGTCTGCTTAAAACTGTCAGCCGACAATTGCCGGATTGTCGGCCAACAGGTTTTTTCAGGGAGTTGTTCTTAACAATTACACCGACAACAGTCCTTCTCAGGACTACACTCACACCGACGATTAGACTAAAGTTTCACAGAGTTTATGTTCACGAGCATAAATATGTTTTGGGCCAGACTCAGAGTAATTTTAGCCCGAGCAACTAGGCGAGTATTAACCCTTTACACCCTAACATCAGTATGCATATTCTCCATACTGTTCTCTATACATTTCCTTGGGTGTTGACAAGGAGAATGTGTCGGCCAATCAAGAGCTTCTTTAGTTAGTGATCAGTTCCTTTATTCTCCTGACCTTGATGGTTGATTCAGGGGTGATATGGTGAGAGGAAATTAGATACCAGTCACTCTTAGAGGTTATAGGGTTAAAATGAGCCCCGAAAAAAGGCTCAAAACATATTTATGTCCAAAAACACAAACCCTATTACTCTTTGAATCACATTGGAGGACGTTAAAAAATTATAAACTGAAAAATATGACAACATAACAGTCTGAACAATCATGAGGGCGTGCGAGCAGGCTAAAATGCATTTTAGCGCACCAAAATCTTCCCTTTAGTCCGCAAAATGTGCCACAATGCCCCGAAAAAGACGCTTCAAACTGTTCCCAGAATCAAGTCATTCCTCGCCAGATTATTAAAACAAAATAAAATAAAATCCGATATTCTGCTTTAACAAGTCGGTAAATTTCGGTCCAGGAGTTTTTTCCGACAATCATCGCTCATAACTCCGCAAATTCTCGTACAAAAAGAAGCTCGAAACGTTTCCTTTTATACACTATATCGGAATTGTGTCACAGGTCACAAGTGATTTGCGTTGATGTACTTCACGTTCCTCTGTTTCAATCGCCTGGTCAAGGATCCGCCATGCTTGTAAATACTTATCAGCGCACCTTTCTTTGTTTGCTTGCTTATTCAACGACGGCAACAGCATGTTTCTTTCTTTCCGCAACACGAGGCACACTTCCTGGCTTACTATGAATACGTCTGTTCTCCTCCCTGTAGAAAAAGAATATTGGAAATCAATAAATAACGACTCCATTCATAAAGGTTTAAAACAGGCTTCCAGCACTAAGTTGTGTCACAGGAGTTACTAACAACCACACAAGTCAGTAAGTCACGATGATTTAAAAGCGTATTTTGTTGTTAAAGCTCACAACAAAATGGTAAATCACCAGGAAACCTGCACCTGAATGAGCTTTGTGTCCGAAAATCTTTAGTTTTACTTTTCCTTACTTCTGTTTCCTTTTACGAATTTCAATGAACGTTCTTCTTATTTTGCGAGACGACGGTTGTTCCCTATGTTTCCCTTTGGAATTTTGCGCGGGAAATTGGCGCACGGCCGGCCAGAATTCATCCCCTTGCGCATGCCCGACAATTTACCGCTGTGTTGATGTAACACAACAAAATGGCTGTAATGGCCACATACTTCCTCTTTATAGAAGCCATCATTATCTTCTTTTCCTTGGCTGCCTTAAAAACCGCTTTGGGAACATGGCGATGTCTAAAATAAAACAACAAAAAAACAAATTATTAATTAAGGGAAATCTTAAAGACATGCAAAGTAACCCCAATGAATGACCAGCAACTAATTTCTCCCTGCAGTTTTGCCCTCGAGTCACATCTTAAGGTCTCGAGAATAAAGAAAATGATCACCAATCAAATGCGCCCTTGATTATTCATTACAAACTTCTTTGTTATCTTGCAAATTTCGCCTACCTTTTAATTCTCTTCAGCTGGGGATGATGTTTAAACCTCTCTTTCAACTTTGCATTGTAACTGAAAGCTGCTTTTTCTCGTGGTGCAAGCTAAAATGCAGAAGAAAATGTAGCTTACTAGATATGGAAAGAAAAACAACTAAAATTCAGTGAATAGAAAAAATAACGAATGAATGTCTCGGTCTCTTACCGCTCCCAGCTTCTGTGAAGAATTAGCTTTCCATATTCTGTTAAGAAAGATACGTCCTCGTCAGTATAATAGTAACAATAGGAATGGGAAATAGGCAAGGGACATTCCACGAAGTGCTCTTCTTGTCCACTGTTACCAGGTCGTATTGCGTGAATGCTTGCTTTACAGCTACGCTGTAAGATCGTCGCAACTCACCTGATATTTGTCTCGTCACTTCCAGAAAGTACATAAGTGGAATCCCCGCTAAACCTCACACAGGATACGCGTTGCATTCGGCTGGTATGGTAGACTTCCCTGTTTAAACAAATCAAAGTCTAGCCATGAGGGTCTGTCAAACTCAAGACCAATACAGACTTCAGACAATTGTTATGTACAAAATTGAAAAATGAAACCCTCACCGACACCAATAAAACGTTTGAGCGGGAATAATTAAACTGAGGTGGCCTACATGTACCAAACAAAAATCTCACCCCATGATTAAGCACTGTTGAAGCATAGGAAAAACTTTAGACTATTGTAAAAGAATCGGTACTCTCTATGTTTATTTCCAGTTCAGTTGCAAGTTTCCCATACACCGAATGCAAACATGGCGGTCTACTCGGCTGCCCTGAGTTGAGTTCAAAAAAGGCGAGGCTTGTACGGCCTCAGCCTTTGTTTCATAGCGCAACCCTTGAAAAGTAATGCGTCATTGTCGATCCATTCTGTTCTCTTTTGATATGCCTATAAGTTTTTGTGTTCCTAGATGACATAAAAAGGAATTAAGATCTTCCAAAGGGGAAGGCTTTTTGCCTTTTTTCGGTTTCCCTGTTCGCCTCTGAGGCGGAAACAGTGGATTCGTGCAGTTCGTTTAAGACGAAGGAAACGACTTAACGATCGCAGAGGGGACCAAAGTTTGTTCGTTGCATTTTAAGAGGGGAGGGGGGGCCGGGAATTTCGTGCAACTCAACCCGATCGAGCAGTCCGTCATATTTGCATTAAATCTATAATGTTTCAGTAAGAATTATTTTTTAGGAATTCGACTCTGTGAAAACATTGGCTTTAAAACATCTTGTCTCTTTCTAAACTTCAGACAGATTCTTACCTGCTTCGCCCAGAATCCCGCTCAAAAATCCTTATCGTCTTGTCATAACTGCCGCTTACAAATTCTTGTCCAGTGGGTGAGTAATCTACGTCGAGTACGGCAGACACGTGATCCATGTGCACGTTGACTGGCTCTTTGAATCGGCGTATATCATACGTGTACAGATTTGAATCCTCATTGGCTGCAGTGAAGACAAACGCTTCGAGTGGGTTCCAGGCCACTGTGTTGCTTCTCATTTCCATGACAACCTTACGCAGAGGAGCGGAACCCCGCATGTCGTAAAGGATGATGCTACGATCGGAAGCGGTGCTAGCGAGAAGGTGTGTCTGGGAACGAAATAACACAGTAAGCAATGTTCTCCAAAGTTTTTAAGTTAGGGGAATGAAGCGTTGATTATTTATTTGTTTATTGCTGTTTTTTTTTTCTTTATGGTATTCAATACAGATCAGGGAAAACCAAATTCAATCGATGGAGCAGCATTCAATTTAGTGTCGCAAAAATTAAAACCAATCAGAACAAAGTTTTACATTATCATTAGCCAATGGGAACTCAAAGTGAAAACGAGCAAACTGGATAAAGTGCGGGAAAACGCGAATGGCCAAGTCGCGTTTGTTTTAGTGTTGCATCTGATAAGTTGAGACGACGCCGCGAGTTTTCTGGACCAATCACAGTGTAGAGTAAAGTAAAAGCAAAATCAAAGCAATTTCTGATTACTCATGCGAAAATTGTTCTATAGTGCCGCGGCATTTATTTAAGTTTTTCGTCAACTCAGAAGCAGCGCTCAATCAAGGCGCCACTTTTTTCAGACTCTTCGTACTTCTAACAAATAATAATTCGAACTGAGCTTGATGGAGAGGGACTTTTCAAGCTGTTTTTGAATTTATTTCAAGTACAAACACTTCACACTGTCTCACTAATAGAAGTAATTTTTATCTCTACCATGGTGATTATGTGTGGCACTTTGGAGAAAGTTGTAGAATATATCAAAATAATGTAGCTCTTGCAACAAACCGGTTAACCCTTTAAACTCTAAGAGCGACCAGCATGTAATTTCTCATTACAGTCATACTCCTGAGTCAAACATTAAATTCACGAAAAAAGAAGAAATGATCCACATCTAAAGAGGCTTTGATTGTCTAACGAATTCTTCTTGTCAGTAACAATGGGAATGTACAGAGATGAACATAGAAAATATGCACAACACTGTTGGGGTCTTAACCCTATAACTCCCAGATCAAATTTGTCATTCTCCTTACTGTCAACCATACAATTTTTCTAATGTCAGTTCAGAGAATTTAGTATTGGATCAACTGATTATACCCAAATTGATATTTTTCTCTATTCTCATCACTTATCTGGTTGATATTGTATTGAAATTTTAAGAAGAAATTCTGTATTGATCACTCTCATGGATTAAAGGGTTAAAAAATTCAAACAAAAGGTCAAACCTCAATAGGGTTGAACTTGATGCTGTGAATAGTGTCCACACCCCAGTTGAAGCTCCGAATAGGATCAGCTCTGTTCTCGTTCCAAATATCAACTTGCTCTCCACACGTCGCAAAGTCATTGCTCTTCCAGCTGTGGTCAATACCATGGTAGAGATTCTATAGAAGAGAAGCTACAATATCAGTGACAAGAATCAAAGTGGCATGGAGCCACTGAAAGTAGAAAATTAATCATACAGGTTGAGATGTTGAGTCCCCTGAACTGACTTTGTATTTAAAAACTTTTAGTAAGAAAAAGTTGCATTTTATCCATATAGTCTGCTTGCTGAAAGAAAATTCCCAACAACAATTACACTCTGCAAACTTGGCGCAATATATAGCGCTTCTTCTTGCAAGGAAAGGGCTCTGGATGGATCCCTCATGATGGCAGGTTTTCAGTTTGTTTTTCTTTTCTTCCATTTTTGTTCATACAGAAAGTTGCTCTTAATAGTCAAGATTCATTCCAAACCAAAAGCAGTTTATAAACATTTTGTTCAACACATTGGAATAAGTGTTTGAAGAATGATAAACACAATAGTCTTCATTTGGCAGAAAGCATGCTCAAATATTTACACCCACATACATTATCTGTTCTTTGGAGTTCACAGTTTCCTTAAGGAAAACTATTCACTTCTGGGAACATATCCTGGAAAGTTTTTGCACCATTTTGTAAAAACCCTTTGATCCCCAAGAGTGACCAGCATCTAATTTCTCCTTACAATATCTCCCTTGAATCAAACATTTTAAGGTCACAAGAATGAAGGAAATGATCCACAACTTAAGAAGTCCTTGATTGTGAAACAAATTCTCCTTGTCAGCACTTTAGGAAATGTATAGAGAACAGTATGGAGAATATGCATACTGATGTCAGGGTGCAGAGGGTTATGGGGGCTATTGTTTCTATATTTTTGATAAAGAAAAATATGAAGTTTTCAACCTCACTGGGATAGAACCTTCATAACTTTGTTTGATACATTTTTTTTTAAGTAATACCTTGCCAATGATGGTGTTGATTGGAGTCTGTGAATTCTCCAAGCTGATATCAAAGCTTTGTTCCATGCTCCACTGTTTTATAACTTTGTCATCCCCAACCTGTTGTGTGGGAAAAATGGCTACTTTTGTTTTCGTATGTAATAAGCTTATTTACATAATAAGTTTTATAGGTTTTTACTTACGATCTACTGGCAGAGAAACACATAGACAACCTCACCACTAACAATCGTTTGCTTCCTTAAAACAAATAGATTCCATGTTGCTGTGAGTCTGTACAGTAATGGATCAGAGAAAAAGTCAAAACGTGGAAAGAACAACAGTGACACACTCTGCTGCATCCTGTGTGCAACTTTTTTTGTTTTTACGGTAACCACATTCTGACATCACCTGCCATCTATAACTGAACAGAAGCACTGCAACATGAAATCTATTTGTTAAACTAATAGGAACATCAGTAACCTACTCATCTGTACCTTGTGTTCCACTTTTTCGTTCTAATGGTAACCACATTCTAACATCATCTGCCATCTATTACTAATTATATAATAAGCTCAGTTATGCATGCATTCGGCTTTTTTCTCACTTATGATCTATTGGAGGACAGACATGTAGATGACGTCATCATTAAAACTTTTTTCAATTCTTTATTATATAAAACAAATAGATTCAAAGTTGCCACGCGTCTGTTCAGTAATAGATCACAGAGGACGTCAAAATGTGGTAAGAACATCAGTGACACACTTGGCTGCACCTTGTATGCCACTTTTTTGTTCTTACCACATTTTGACATCATCTGTGATCTATTACTGAACAGACACATGGCAACTTTGAATCTATTTGTTAAATAGAAGCACGGAAACATGGAATCTCTATGTTTCTTTCTCTTTCATATTGTAAAGCACTGAGAGGCTGCCATAAGTGCTATATAAATTTACTATTTTCTAATTAATCAATGTTTATGTTAACAGTAATTACCAAAGAGCTCTCTGTTCAAAGTTGAGCTCATAAGGACTAAGCCACTACTTCACACACTTAAACAAATAACCGTAAAACTAACTAATTGGTGATACCAACTGAGTTGATGATGTATAGTGTAAATTGGCCTCCGTTGAGAGTTTCAAAGCTGACGTTTGGAGCGTTTTTCAGAGCAAATAATGAAGATCTAATGCTTGAAACATCAGCTTTGAAACTCTTAACGGTGACCAATTTATGTTATCAACTCAGTTGATAATACTAAATTACCCTGTTATACTCTCCCACCAATGCAGCACCACAGTTTCTTTAGAAACTTACCCCCTATATTCAACTGTAAAACTAAGTACAGGTATAGAACTTACAGAGAGAAAAGTATTTCCAGAGGGAGAGGTACACAAACCACGCACAAAACCAGTGTGTGCTGTTAATGTCTTGAGGCACTCTCTACGTGGCAAACTCCACAAGCGAATCTAAAATATCACAAATACAACACATAACTCAATATCTTGTGAAATAATAACTGCAGCCCAAAGTTTGGAAAGTCTTTAGTCCCACATTAACCCCTTGATCCCTGAGAGTGATTAGCATCTACATGTAATTTTTCCTTACAATGACACCTTGTGTCATTGTAAGGAAAATTGTTAGCAATAATTAATTGCAATATCAACCAGACAAGTGATGGAAATAAAGAAAACTATCAATTAGGGGATTATCCTCATCAATAACAAATTCTCCAAACACCCATCATAAGAGTCGTGTGACAGAGAGTAAAGCGAATCACTAACATATATGAGATCTTGGGAGTGAATGGGTTAACCCTTTACCTCCCAAGATCTGATTATCAATTCTCCCCTCTAGCTGCTAGATATTTCCTTGTAAATTTGGTAAAGGAATTTTGTATTAGATCAACAAAACAACTTTGTTTTAAAAGTTGAAGTATCTTTAAATTCACTTTGACAAAGGGCAAATGCTGGAAACATCAGTTTTGAAACTCTTAACAGTGGCCAAATTATGTTATCAACTTGTTTACTTCACTAAATTACCCTGTTATACTCTCGCACTGATTCAGCACCACAGTTTCTTTAGAAACTTACCCCCTTGAAGTATTCTCATTACCTGTTTGCTGAATAATGTATGGATATTATTGGGAGAAGTTACATGTTGATCACTACTAGAAGTTTAAGGTTTATGTAAGCAAAATCTGATATATGAGATTTTTTTCGTTAAATGAGAATAAAACCTTCTAGCTGATGCATTTCTCTATTCTCATAACCATATAGTGGTGATGTATTAACATTATTGGGAGAAGTTACTCTTCAAACACTTGTTCAAGAAATCGATTAGTCCCTCGAATCAGTCATTTCGCCACAGAAGTGCAATAAATACTCACCTCTCCATCGCAAGACCCAGACAGCAACACAGATAGACTCCTTGGATGTCTAGCAATGCAATTTACACCGTCTGTGTGTCCGCCTAACGAACCAACAAACGGTTTGGCAAACACGCGTTCGAGTTTGATGGCATTCAGTGCCCGTGTATATTCGCGCGGTGCTTCGAATGGATGCAACGAAGGATCAAAATTTCGATGGATCTTATGAATATCGGTTCTTCTTTCCCGAATATAGTCTGCTGGGTTCCTTGAAAGGACCTTAACCTTCATTTTTGTTAACTTTAAACTAAGAGTTTACACAGTCCCGCGTTGGCAAAGCCGCCATGTTTTTTGCGCCGTCTATACTACTGAACAGCGGAAAGAAGATTGCCTCGACTTGGGAAAGAGATAGTCGCCTTGTTCCCATGACAACTGTTGGCGCAAAGTGAACAAAATGGCAGTATGTGAAAAGACGCAGGGTTTTGATTGAGAGGCGTTTTCGATCTCGATTCCCTTTCGATCGGTCGTTTGCTTCATGATCTACTAAAATAATGCTTTAAACAATGGTTAGTTTGAATTGATCTTTTTTCCGTTTTTTATGACAGTATTGTAGAACTTTTCTTTATTTATTTCGCCAAAACTTTGCTTGTGTACGTGTTGATGTGCTGCTTCGGCCGTGCCATGTCATTGTTCATTGTGTAACTATACTTCATCCGAACAGGAAAAATCTTCGTCGAGTGTGAAGCTACCTAACATAGAAAAGAAAAGCTCCGGAGGAGAAGAACAGCCACGGGAAAAATTCCATGCGACAAACTGGAAATCTCTTAGCAAAAAAGAAATTCAGAAGCTGCCTCCACAACAGCGGAGCAAATACCTGGCTGTAAGACACAGATCTTTTAGTTACCATCGTTTTTGTTTTGTTTTGTTTTTTGCTATTTAACCTTAGAACTCCTCAAGATATATGATGAGTAGTTCTTAACTCTACCTCCTATTAAGTTTCTTGTAAATTACAACAACAAGAGACGTGTTCAGGACTTCCCTCAATTCGCTTAGACGCTCAGGCTACACAAATAACTCAAGTTCAAATTTATTCATCGCCATAAGCTCAACAAAGAACAGTTTTCAAGTAAAAGATAAGTGAAAAGGAGATCACAAGATACTATGTATTAATAGGTCTTCTTGATGACTCATAAATTATTAGTTAATTAATATTACCAGGAAGTGGGACTAAAGAGCATAACAAGTCATTTTTAGATCGTTCTTTTCTTGATTTTTTTTGTACATTCATATGTTCATTTATCGTCATAGACAATATTATTCATTTTGGTTTTCTTTTTTTATTGTCTTAAAGTACGAGCCTGCTCCAAAAGAATGCAGTGAAGCAATGTCGGCAGCAAGAAAGAGACTAAAAGAGTTGGAAAAGTCAAAACAAAAGTAATTATATATTGTGTTTGCTACTGTACAAAAGACATTACACCATGAATACACACATAGCAATAGTTAAACTGAATCAAACATTAAGGTTATGAGGAGGAAGGAAATGATTACCAACTTAAGAAATTCTTGATTGTTAAGCATTTTCTTTTTGTCATTACCATAGGAAATGTATAGAGAACAGTATAGAGAAATAGTACTCTGATCTTGAAGTGTTCATGGTTAAGAGGGAATTTCTACATCCCACCCCTCCTTGGACAGGAATATTATGGCTCATAGGTGGGCTAAAATTCCTGGTTGATAAAACCCTTAACTCATTTTAAGTAGTATGTCATGTGTCCATCTAATAAGCAATTTTCTCAAGGTATTACTGTGAAAATGGGATTTCACAGTGTTAGGTCAGGAGGGGTTAAGGCCTCAGAACTGACAAAACAACTTCCCTAGTCATTAATGGAAGTTGTGTTGTCACTTCTTTCCTTATCTGCCCATGTCTCTGTCACTGTAATAGTTTCATTAATGGCCACACATAATTGTTAAAAATATGGCTCAAAATGACAGGCATCAAATGCATTCATTTTCTTAATGCTGAACTGAGTTACACAAAACATTTTGGTGAATTGCTTTTACAAATAATTTACTTGTGAAAAAATGAATTACCACATTTCATGGGTCAGCAAAACAGGCATCATTATCATCATTTTTCCTCATTTTTCTTGCTTACTAGAAAAAACAAATTTTTTGGAGGATTGGAAGTAGAACTCAAAGGCGCAGGTTACTCCTCAAAAGCTGGGTTAGCTTGCAGAACAGGCATAACTTTTTGTGTTTTACAGGTGAACGGGAAGAAGTGCTAGGCAGGCATGAAGCATGCATGACTCACACTTTGTGCTGCTTTGCGTTTGCCTCCATTCAACTAAAAAAATGCCAAAAAAAATATGCCTTTTCTGCAGGCTAACTCTGGGGTAGCCCTATTTCTGAAAAGTAACTCACTGCTTCTGATGATTCTTAAACTTTTTCTGAACCAGTACAGGGGTCTCAATAACTTTTTCCATTAGCTGTTGGCCAGTGGTTCAATGAGCAGCTGTGCCATAAGGTGAAACCCAGATGCAAGAGCTCTCTTGCAGGCTAAACAGAGGCCACACAGGTGGTGATATACTGTGGGTAACTTGCTATTACTGAAACCCCCTGCTACCATGTAATCCTCGTAAAATTTTGCACATGCCAGCCCTTATTTAATTTTAAAATGTTTTTCTGAAGGCAACAGAAGCCCCCTCCTTATGATGAAGTTATTGAGGGTGAAAGGCATACAAAGATTATTGGACAACTAAAGTAAGTGAATTCATTTAACCCTTTCACTTCCAAGATCTGATTGTTAATTCTCCCCTTTGGCTGCAACACATTTCCTTATAAGTTAGTTATGAGAATTTGGTGTTAGATCAAGGTGACAACTTCTACCTGATAAGTTTGAATATTCTCATCATCCGTTTGCTGGATTATGTAAAAATATTATAAGGAGAAGTTTCATGTTAATCGTTTCTGTGAGATAAAGGGTGAACTCTTTAAACCCTAAGAGTGATCAGCATTTAATTTCTCCTTACAGTAATACTGCTGAATCATTCATTAAGATCATGAGAAAACAAAAAAATAATCACCAACTAAAGAGGTTTTGAGTGTTAAACAAATTCTCCTTGTCAGCATCAAAGGAAATACCCAGAAAGGAGTATGGAGAATATGAATACTGATGTTCGAGAGTAAAGGGTTGATGTTATTTGATACAGATTTATAATATAAAGTGGTTTTAAAGTTTGTTGTGGGGGATACAGTGGCTGAAAGGCTAGTGCACTATACTCCAGGTCTAGAGGTATGGGTTGGAGATCTGACCAGGTCATCATGTTGTGTGTCTTGGGCAAAACACTTTACTCTCACAGTAACATAAAAGGGTGTAAATGAGTACCAGTACCAGTACCAGTACCAGCAAATTATCAGGGAACCCTGATGAAACACTTGGGGGTAACCTTGCAATAGATGAGCATCCCATCTAGGGGGAGGGGTGGTAATACTCCTTGTTGCTTCATGCCAAGGCAGCTGGGTGGGCCATTGATTAATCTATATATTTATCATTTATTAAATTATTTACCAGAGCTGCAGAAGCAAGGAACCGAATAAGGCTGATGAGGCTCAGATACCAAAATAACAGAGTAAGCTGAATCTTTTAACTCCAAAAATCTAATTATTAATTCTTCTCTTAGCTTGAGCTGCTACACATTTCCCTGTAAATTAGCAACAAGAATTTGTTGTGTCATAAAGGTAACAACTTGTATCTGAAAAGTGAAAGTCTAAGTATTCTTGTTACCTGGTTTATGGATACTGTAGGAAGGAGTTATGTGTTGATCTCTTCTGGCCCCAGTTTTTCAAAGGGCCAAGGCACTCTGAAGCTGTGAAGGTTTTTTTTTTTGTAACATTTTACACACATGCAATTACCTTCAAAACTATAAATCTTGCTTAATTTTTTTTAGAGTTCAGAAGTGAACCATTTAATTGGCTGTCAACCAACAGCACTTAAAGCTGTTCGCCTACAAAGCCTTGTGCCTCCCAGCCCTGACAAGATATACATCAGAGACTTGTTGGTGAAAAACGAGGTAAAATTACTTACACATCATGTATGAACAAAAAAAATAGTAAACTCAAGCAAAAAGTGAAATATCATTAAACAAGAAAAAAAAGGTTTTCACATGAGAAACCGTATACGAATTTGAATCACAGTACAAAGTACAATTTATGAAAAAAAAATTTTTCCAGGCCTTATTTTCACTACTGTCTAAGTAGTGTTCACAATGGCTTCTATTTTCATTTCTTAAACTGCAGTTCGCTCACATCATTTTCGCATATTTACAGTCATTAATAACAAATACGTTGTGTGATACGAACAAAAAAAGCACTACGCAATAAAAGTCCTAACGCTGAAAAAGTTACACCGCAGAACAAACAAATAAATTAACTAAAAAAATCCATGCAAAAAAATTAACAAATAACCGGCAGGTGGCATCCAGGCTAACAGCGAAACAAGGTCCACGCTCAGGCTAATTCTTGCAAGGATTTGCCAGAGAACCTGTTAGCTAAACTATGTTTATATTGTTCATACTTTCAGAGATACCGAGTAAATTCGTTGTTAGAGGATGAAACGGGGTTGGAAACCGCACGCCTTCTCACGTGACCCAAAGTTAAATCATCCCCTGATTGGTGGACGATGAAGCTGCACAGGTGCTTTCCCGTTCGGGTCCAGTCCTTCTCAGGCAGCTTCATGATCTTTATCTTTCAAAAAAAGAAACTTGGAACCAGAATTCTTTTTATTGCAGTTCTTTATTTCTTCCTTCTCATTACAAATTCCGGTCCTGAGACAAAAACAAACACATTATGCACTCCGCTTTTTACAAACAAATCTTTCTAACGCGCCGATTTATAAACTTTAAATAATTCTTCACTGTATTTTGTTTAATTTTCTGATGTACAAAACCATCATGGCTGTGAGCCCTTGTGAATAAATATATGGATGATATGAGCTTAAAGAACTCTGTGTATAAAATATTTGTCGGAAATTATTCTTAATAAAAATATATAATCTTAAGTATAAATGAAATTTGAGTCTTGAATGCATGAAATTGTTCATTTAACAAGAGTAAATGAGGAACTTTCCTCTGAGGGTAACACACCAATTGTCTTTATGACTTGTAAATGCCAATGTAATTTGCAAACTTTTAGAGCGCTTTTTAATTTAGTGTTTTAAAACCACACCTACACCAAACTTACTATAACGGCCAATTAGCTCGAAGGAAAAATTGTAAAGGAACCAATGAAAAACAAACGTCATTAAGCGCGAAAAAAGGCGAGAGAGAAAGCCACGACTGGTTTTAGTTTGAACCTGATTGGTTGAGAAGGTAGCGTGAGTTTTTTAACAATCATAGAGCGTCGTGAAGCAAGATCAAATCAATTATGGTATTTCTTTAACACCCGATCTTATAGATAGCTAAACTCTGGAGCCAGGTACAACGCTTTCTTAAGCATGGTTACTAAGTAACAGAATAGTTTTATCTAACAGGCGGTCTTTCGTCAGGTAGCTGAATTCCCTTGGTGAGGCTCAGAGCCTTCAGATATCAAGGCCAGCGGTCATTTGAAGAAAAGGGCTTTGTAAGAGATGGTGGAAATTAGAGGAAGTCGCCGATTTAGGGTCATCTTTTACGACTGGCATAAGGAGAAGACACATGAGAATATGACGGAATTGGCGCTGAAGGCTCAAACATTGGGCGTTCGTTTCTGGGTCTGTGACCAGCACTTTTAGACGAAACATCTTCACTGTCCTCGCTCCTAACTGACATTCCATGTTCACTTCGTGACCTAGCAAAGTTGTTTCTCTTTTGTTCAGGCAATTCGCCCCCAAATGAACCAGACAATCCTCGTCTCATTTGGGTGTTTTTGGTAGGTCTTCTTCGATCAAACTCTTCTTCGGAATCGTTCCTATAGTAACGGTTGTGGTGACGATTGTGAAGACCGGGGGTCACATCCGGGAGTGCTACCTGATCGTCACCCAAGTCAAAAGCATAAGCCGGAGAAACTTGCTTTTTCCTGGGTTTGAGTCGCGCCTCTTCGAATGTCTGCAGTGGGGGCTGAGTGCGAGATCTCTGTGGTTTTCTCCCTGGAATACGGATGGTGAAGCCATACCCGTCCCCGATCAGATAATCAAATTTTAATGAATCCATCTCTACAACGTTTTTAGGGGGACTGGGTGGGGGTTTCGTGCGTGTTGGCCCTGCTTTCGCCGTTGCCCAGTTCTGCTGATTTTTATTTGCAGCAAACATGTAATACGCCACACGTCTCTGAGCGGTGATGAAGTTCATCTCTGTGTCATCAGTTACGGCGAGAACCTGCGGTGATAGTTGGGGTTCCTGTGTTGCATACTAAAATTAAAAAGAAAAAGTTACATAGGCAAGTGAATAACATTTTGAGATAATTTTTTTTGTTAGTGTAGACAGATGTTAATGTAAATTATGCTTCTCTGGTTATTTGAAAGTTTCCTCTTTTTACCTTTACTAGGAAATCTTTGTTCTCTGCCTCCTGTGAGCCACCGTTTTGCGATTCCTCTCTCTGTATGAAAAAGAACAAATGTTTTTTTTCGTCTTTATTTGCTTGAACAGTTGAACCACTCAGCTTGTCGATCCCCGTGAGTCACTGTGGGTCCTTAAGAAGTCAGGAAGGCAACGTCAAGGGAGATGAATTTACATTTTCAGTTAAAAATTCGCAAATGACTGGATGAGTTTACCACCTCAATCTCGGCATCTCGTATGTGATCAGAGTGGAGTTCCGAATGGAAACTTGAATAATTTGGCGTGGGGTCTCCGTTCTCAGACCACGCAAATTTTGATGATTTCAGGTTGCTTTGCAGCTGATAGCTAAAATATTTACAAAGTTTTAAAACGTCACCGTCGTGGTTTGCTCTGGTGTGGCATAATAGCGTTTTAACATTTCGTTCAATTCCTAGCTGCGGATTGCATTATTCAATTTATCAGCATTTGAGGCCTTTACGAAAAGTTATTTCTTACCCTTTTTGGTAACCTAGCGGCTTTAGCAACATCAATAACACAGGTTAATTGATGACCATGTGAGACAATTCCTTTAGACCAAATTAAAATTTGCAATCCGCCAATATAACCCAATATGAAATTAAGATGTCTAGATTTATCTAAGTGTATGTGCGGTAAACTATTTGAAATTATTTTTGAGGCATCCAAACTTGTCTGCAGTTCTAATTAAATAGAGAAGACTAAACGTGTTTACCTTTTTCGCTCGGTTTTGAATCCTCTCTTGAGAGAAAATAGGGATTCCACCATTTGTCCGGTGCACATAAGGATTCACAAACTTTCCAAAGTTCGTCTTTATCTTTTTCTGTTTACAAGAAGATTACAAAGAACTGGTCAAATCACTTATTTATGCGAGAAATGCGCATCAAAGTGTAAAGTCTTCAAGATGAGCTTGTCCCCAGGCCACCGCAAAGAGCCTGCCCTAAACCCACCCCCTCCCCCTCCCCAGTTATTTCCTCAAATGATTCTGAATAAGCTTTTTATTTCATAAATGCCCCACCCCTTCCATCCCTTCATCTCCCAGTCATTCACAGAACAGTCTGAAAATAATGTTCAGGTATAGAACAAGATGGAAAGCTTTGACTGACCTCGTCAACACTACCGAATTCGACGTCTGAGTTTATTTTGTTATAAACCAATCAACCCTTTCACTCCTAAGATCTCATTTATAATTTTCCTTATTGTCTTTTTCTGATTCTTACGATATTAGTTCGGAGAATTTGGTATTGGATCAACTCATACCCCCTAGTCGATATTTTTCTTTATTCTCATCACTTTTCTGCTTGCTATATCGATAATGTAAGGAGAAATTCTGTCTTGGTCACTCTCTCGGTCGCAGTCAAAGGGTTAAAGGTGCCGTTTGAATATTTTTCAATATAGTGAAATAAAGGAGATAACCTATTTATCTTCTTGTTTCGAGGCTCCCCTAAACTCCCGATATCATTTAACCAAAACACCTTACGACTCTGTACGAGCCCAGAGATCGTAAATGCGATCGTAAATTTTCCTGGCATGACTTTGAAACGTTAAACAAAAATTACAACAAATTTAAAATAATTTCATAGAAGACTGTAAACAAATCGTTTGGTTTTATTCATTAAATAACGGGAAAAAAAGACTTGTCAAAAAAACGAACTTGTTAATCGAGAGTCTGTCAAAATTATTCTTGCGAAATTTAAATGGTAAAATTCGGTAAGTTTTGTTACAGTTATGGGTACTTTAAATATTTTCGATAACTTCCTGTTTTTTTCATTGTGGTTGTTGTAATGGTTTACTTTTCGTTGTTTTAAATATTAGGACCAAATTGTGGTTATGTTTAATTCTAAACTATATTCATAAATAAGAGCCTGGTAAGTATTCAAGTAAGTTAGTCTCATATTTTGGGTACTTTTATTAGTAGGAACAATACTTTACTGTGTGGATATTTCCACGCCATTCCCTACAGGTGTTCTGTCAAGGAACGATAACATCTGAGTTAGACAAGAAGGCAATTATGCATGCTTTTCATGAAGAGCAGTTAAACCATTTAGGTGCATTTTGCATATAATGCAGGTCATCTAGGTACTAAATCTCTGATGTTACGTTATGTTCAAAACTCGCAAAGGTTTTTCGCCGTTTATCCGTTTATCCGTTTATCTCAATCTACCAATGAAACGCCTAACAGAAATATCTACAATGGCTGTGACTAAGTGAATGCTTCTAAATTCTGCTGTGGATAACATTTTGAAAGTTAGGGGAAATTTATCAGAATTAATTTTGCCGTTTGCTTTGCTGCAAAGATTACGCCTAAAATTTCCAAACTCAACCCTCTAACTTTTATTTAAGTCCTACCTCCTTCATGCCGCCACTCTCGTCTGCCGTTGCACTGTCACCAGTTTCTGAAGCCCCGGGAGGTTTCTGAAAGACATTTGAAGAGAAAGATTATTTAAAACAATTTGTTAGTACTTTACGCTACCCAACGTAACTAGAAATGTATTATATATTTCTTTTCTTTGACAATTTGCTTCTAAACTAGCTTCTGCCGAGAAGAAATTTTCTGGAAACAATTCCCAGATTACCACATCTTTTAGCAAATTTCCGACCAAAGCCGGCAAGCTTTTCCCGAATGCAACCTGAATTCAATTTTGTTTTCCATGGCGCACTTTACAGATAAACATTCCTTGTAAAGATATACAGAGCAAATTTATAGCAATGCGACGAGGAGATGCATCGCAAAACACTTCCACAAAAAATTGTCGTTATCTGTGCGTTTTTCTAAAGTACCGGTTACCCGGTGATTCCTGACGTCATAAACGCTTATGGTATAACTATGGAAACAAGCGCGCGCAAAATTTCGAATCCAGCACGAGAACGTTGGGCCTTGAAATATAATTAACGACTAAACATGGGTACATAACGTTACAAATGAAGCTTACCGATAATGTATCCCACCAATGTTTAGCTTTCTTTTTCTTCTTTTTCTTCCTCCTTCTTTCCCCCTTGAAAATCGTAAAAAAACACATCGGAATTAAGTACGCACGTTTAACACTTAGATTTTTTTCCTTCTTTCAATTATGTAAAATCAAAACTTCAACTTTGACGATTGTTCGTCTCCATGCGTGTTACATTAAGGTAACCAAAAGTTCAAATACTTCAGACCTCCAATACCACAATTGATAAACCGGAAGCACGTATGGCAGACTACTCGGTCGGCCCAAGGTTAGCTGCACGAGACGGAGGCTCGTGAGTCCTCGAATTTTGTTGCGGAAAATTGTCAGTATTCAGTTCGCTTCTTTGAAAAAAGCAGTAGTAAAGAATCAAACTCCAGTCATTGATATAATGAATAAAGCTGACTACCAGATACAGTAAATGGTTACTGGTTTAAAGGACGTACTTCGCTTTCTGCTGAAGAGCGATCGATTCCGCGAATAATGTGATCTATCATTCGCTAAAGAAGCGGGGCGAAGGAAATTAAGAAAATCCCTCGATTAGCGTGAGCCCACGAAGGTTCGTGACCCATACAAGCGATTTTTTAACAGTCTCCTTTTTGACATGCGCAGTGCATAGGTTGTACACTTACGGTATTGCCACTGGATCCCGGCTCATCTTCCTTGTCATCAAAGTCATTGTCGTCGCTGTCTGAGTCACTGGAGCTAAGAAGAAAGGGAACGATTAGGAAAAATTTTCAACAGAGTGTTAAAATAAATGCAGGATTGTATTGAGTTTGCTACGCTTTGCTCTCTGATTAGTCAGAAACACGCGGACGATCTTCAGCTATAAAAAATCAGATGCAAATCATAAACCACCTTCGATTTGGTGGGTGCACTTTCCCGGGCTTGGCGTACCTCGTTTGTTTCCCGCGTTCATAAACCTTGGCACGTTTTCCGCGCTTGGCACTGACTGCAACGTTTAAGGAGCTAAACCACGATATTTCACTTTACGTTTTATTTTACGCTAAACAAAACTATCGTGAAATTAGAGAATACCACAAAATATAAACATGCAAAGATAGAAAAATACTCAAGACACACTATGAAACAGAAACGGAAAGAGGCTGAATGAGGATGGAAGAAATTTACACAGATTTAAAGTGGCTAACTTGATAAATTTCGCCAATTTTTTCCAGATTTATAAACTGTGACTTACGACCTTCAAGAGATCGCAATTCTATGTAACCACGCCCGCCATTTTTTCATTTTGCAACTTTGGACTTAACCTTTTACACCCTAACATCAGTATGCATATTCTCCATACTGTTCTCTACACATTTCTTAAAACACTGGCATGGAGAATTTGTTTACTGATCGCGAGCTTCTTTAGTTGGTGATCATTTCCTTTATTCTCATGACCTCAATGTTTGACTCAGGAGATATATTGTAAGGAGAAAGTAGATGCTAATCACTCTAAAGATTGAAAGGGTTAAGCGCACTTTTAGTTAGCTCCGAGGATCAATGTCAATATCTGACCAGCTGTGTGCATACCCCTCTCCTAACCTAATATTGACCCTAACTTGTTATTAGTTAACTGATGAACATTGGGTTAGGGGAGGGGTAGGTGCGCAGCTGCTACAGCACTGATATTGATTTAGTTCTACCGATGAAATAAACCGTGAACAAAAATATCACTGACTTACTCTGACTCATCGAAGCGGTCCACAAGATTTAAATTATCTAGTATTTTCAAGCAATCGTTAAACGAATCCACGTGGACACCTTTGACTGAAACTTCCACATCATTCTCATGTCCCTCTGTGGGCGTTTGCAATCGAACATCCATAAAATTCACGGGTTTGTTCTTTGAGACTGGAAATTTCTTGACACCAGATTCATTTGCTTCCTCGTTTTTCTTTAATGAATCGTTTCGTTGATTTCTTTCGTTTGCTTCTGTATTTTCGAGGCTGTTATAAGCAGCGCTGTCTTTGGAAACATTCTCCACATTGAAGTTGCCTACCATTTGACGAAGAATGTCTCGAGTCATCTTGCAAGCCAGCTCTACGAATGCCTGGGTCATTTCACTTCTATAAACAGAAGAGATATTCCGGTAATTACTAAATGGCTGAAACAAGGCAACAAAGGGGAAAATCTAACAGAATTTCTGTAAAAGTACCAAAAATGATTCACTTCACGCAAGGAGTTAGCGCTTAAGACTTCCATAAGAGAGCTCCAGACTTAAGCCCCGGCGAAGGTCACTGTTTGGTATTCTTGTATGCTTTATTCCCACAATGCCTTGCAAATGCCCCGAAAGGAACTGTGAAACCGTGGCTGCATGCTAAGTTTAGATCCGCGAACTAGAATTGAGTAAGACTGCTAAAGGTTCTTGCCTAACTAAACTCATTCACGAACATTCTCTCTCACCGATTGCCACTCTTTGCTTCTGAGTACTCCAAAAGCACTTCACAGAAATGTCGTCCCATCTCTTCAAAGTCCCCAACATGAAAATGTCTACCTTTCTCCCTAAAAAAGAAGTATGAAAACAGTGTCAAGCTTAAATAAATGTAAGCGAACAATTGTATATAGAAAGCGACTATTAAGCCCTAAATTTCAACCCTTTCGCGTTCAAGTTTCTTCAAGCTTTAACTAATTGAAAGCAATGACCCCATCAAAGCCGACCCAGAGAGGGGTTTTATAGCTTTACGCAGAAAAAAAAATGTAACAATTGAATTAGCAACTTATGAAGCTTGGCATCTTATATCTGCATGTATGATGATAAAGAGATGCATTCTCTATAACTTACATGTCACCAAAGTTAGCGCCACAGAATGTCGCCTCCATGGTAAAGCTGTTCGTGATTCCCATTTGACGCCACATAACTACACGCGCTGTTGACTCCTTGCACTTGCGCACTCGGAATTTACAACCACTGAATGAGAATTTGTCCGGAGCCTGGAAAAGGAAAAAGTAGCTGTTTGCTCACTGGGGCTCGTTTCTCTAAAGTTCCTTTAACTTGAAAATTTAAATTTAAGGAGTAGTGGTGTGGGTCTTGGTTCAGAGACCGGTTCACTATGGCACTTTCATAATATCTTTATTATTTATTTATTTTTTTATTTATTTATTAGCGATATTTATGCAGGCTGGCCCAGTCCAGCTTCAAGCTGGTTTGAACGGGGGTCTGCTATTAAAAGCTAGATCTCGAAAGTACACATGGCAAAGAAAAAACAGGTTTTCGAGAAAAGTAAGCTCTGCAAAACTGGAACTTTCGACAAACGGGACCGGGACATAAAATCTCTCCCCAAAATTGTTGGAGCCTAATAAGTGACACTAATTATATGCTGTAATTTGCGAATACGTCATTGTGAGCTATTTATCTGTACTCCTAATTCTTTTAGTTAGTATTAAATTTGGTATTTCCATCTGAGATCATCCCAAAAAAAATCTGTTTTTTTTCTTTTCACCACATCAACGTGTCATTTCTTCAACAACACCCATCATCTCGATTTTAACTTAATTTTGAACCAAGCGCTGGTCAACGGGCGTGCGCGATAGAACTTCAGAAGTAAAGAGGTGTAGAATTACAACAGCAATCAACACATGTGCGCGTTATGGACCTGTTAATGCGGAGGTCAGTACTAACCTTTTGCGACATCATCCAAGGAAAAAGTCGCTCCTCGACAAAGTCACTCATCGATGCCATTTTGGGGTCAGCCGTGCAGCCGTACATGAAGACGTTTGGCTTGCGACTATGTCCATGAAGATCACAGTAAATGATAACCTAAAATGAAACGTTTTAGTTTTGAAAAAGTCACAGATGCTTTGGACTCCAATCATCTGAACAGGGAGAAAGCAACACAAGGCCTTTCACTGCATCTAGGTAGTTCGGGAAGCCCCAAAACTGCACTGAAAAATATATCTTTCAAATCGGTACTCTTACTCCCCCCCGCTGCACCAACAAACACTTTCCATTCAATAAATTTATTTTTGATTTGTTTTGTTTTGTTTTTTTTCACGTCATCATGTTCCCACCAACAGCCTAGTTCGATCTTTCTGGATACATGCATAAACCAGACACAACCCATAATTCATCTAGGGCATGATATAACTCTAGAAACGTCAGTTTTAGAACTCTTTATGGTGGCCAATTTACATTATCAACTCAGTTGATAACATCAAATTTTTTATCTTTAAACTTTCTTTTACCTGATGGTCCTTTTTGAATGACTCCAGCATATTCTTCATATGCCAAACAGTTGGAAAGCTCTCCTGTAACGTAAGAAATTTAATAGTTCAGGGTTTCTTTACAAGCCGCGAGCATCCACTTTTAATTTGAAGAGTAGCCTTCAACGGTGTGTACCACTAAAGTTTAGGTCTAGTGGTCTTGCTACTGTTCAAACACAAAAAGTAATTTTGGAAGCAAAAAGTCGACACTTGCTTTAGGCGATTGTTTTCGTGCATAGCCAGTGAGCTACTTTTGCCTCGCTCCCTCAGACTTTTTGGAAAGTTTCAATCTAGTTGTTTTTCGTGAGATATTACTGACCTTTTATTATTTTATTCACGTTTTAGAACATATTTATGTTCCAGTTGTCTCATTCAAATTGACAAACAGCCATTGGAAGTATGCGTATGTAACCAATTTTTCATAACAAGCAGTTGTTACCTTCTTGGGGTCTTTGTACGTCCTGTTCAAGTCTCTGGCGGCTAAATTCGTTCTGTAGTTACCGACAATTACGCCGTCCGGATTCAGCATTGGAACTAGCTTGAACACGAACTTTCGACGAAGTTTCTGCACACAGAAGACGAAAAGAAAACGTAATTGACTTTTACACGGCTCTAATATATTAGGAAAGGATCTTAGAGGAGTCAGTTATAGCTTTTCCTGGTAACGGTTGAAATTTCGGCCATTATACGGCTAATGCTTAAAATTCTTTCCGTTACCACTAACAGAAAAAAATTTTTAATGGTTCTCCTTTTGCGACTTACGATTAAAATCTGGCTATATAACACCTAACGGCTAATTTTGTTTGGCCGTTCTACAGATAACGGTAAACCCCAGCGAGACCCTCCTATAACGTGAATAAATACAGTCACATTAAAGGAAGCTCATCATTTCTACAGAAAACTATTATATAGAGGGCGACTAATGGTAGTTCTGTACTTTTCCTTGATGAAAAAAGAAAACAGAGCAGAGATTTCTACACGACCTCATAGGGGTCTTGGCCAAAACGAAGACAGCGGAAAGGTTGGAATAACTCATAAAAAGTGGTTTAAAACTGAATTATCAATCATTTGAGACAACGCAAAAAATGGAAAACAGGAAACTTTATCTATCTGCCTGTCAGTAAATCGGTCAAAAGGTTATAAATTGCAGAACCAGTGCAAAGCTTTCTAGAGGTTACTCGAATCAAGCTGAGATCAGTAATTTCAAGGTACAGCAAATTTTATAAATCAATAGCCGCACCATATAATTTAACGATTCGTTACACTTTGTTTGCACTTTGTTTGAGGGAAACTGGAAACTGCTGGTACCTCTGCAATATGATGACCGCTGGTTAGGAAGTCCAGCATGCCTTTCATCATCCAACTAGCGTTCGTCTCTCCCGGATGTACCCTGGCGCTCACAACAACACCGAGTTTCTCGCTTTCTGGAACTGTAAAAAGAAAAGCATGTTGTGGTAGGCTATAGCCCAAGTGATATAACCACCATCTCTCTTCCAACATGAGAATTATTACTAAATAACGGAAAGAAAAAAAACTGGCGACATACTTCCTAAATAGAGCTTAGGGTCTATATCATAGTTGTTATCTCTCTTCCAGGGTGCGGAAAAGAGAGGAGCTTGGGAACGACATTGGGATTAAAAGGGCTATGAGCAATCGTTCGTTCCAAGCCCCAACAAAATATGGCCCAAGAAGATAAGTTCCGCGACCATTGGGACAAAGAGATAAAGAATTGAGCTGAACTATCTAGGGCAATAGTAGCATCGTTTTAAGAAAAAGACAATTATGGACAATTGTATCCATACAAAAGGCCACGTTGAGGTTACCTTGAGAAGATGTGATAGTCAGCACATGGCAATTGTTTCCAGCCATAGTTTTACACAGTACCTGTGAGAAGTGATAAGAGTGGAGCTTTAAACGTTTTACTCCTTAACATCAGTATGCGCATTCTTCATGCTGTTCTCCATAAATTTCGTATGGCACTGACGAGAAGAATTGTTCAACAATCAAGAGATTTTTTAACTAGTGATCTGTTCAACTATTTTCGTAACCTTAATGTATGATTCAGGGGTGATATTACGAGGAGAAATTAGATGCTAGTCACTCTTAGAGGTTAAAGGGTTGATGTTGCAAAACTTGACGAAAACAACTCTACAGAAACCCACTTTAATTTGTATTTAGACGAACTTAACCACGAAATTTTGAGTAATTATGAAGGAAAAAGGGAACTGCCGTTTAGTCGTTGTTAAAGTCAACAAACAAAATCTGACCAAAGTTATCATAACAGACTAGAAAGACTGTAGATCCTAACATCAGTATGCATATTCTCCGGAGTGTTCTCGATATATTTCCCATGGTATTGACGGATGAATTTGTTAAAAAAATCAGGTGCTTTTTTAGTTGGTGATCATTTTCTTCATTCTCATGATCATAATGTTTGATTTAAAAGTGATGTTGCAAGGAGTATTCAGATATTGGTCACTGTTACGGATTAAAGATAGAGCTTGAATATCAGGACGGATTTCAAATCAAGAACTTGAAAACTCGGCCTAAATTTTCCAAGCTCGCAAACTGTGACATTCTTGGACTTAGAATAGACCCTCCTTCTCGGCGAAGTCGCGTCGCACGGAATTCTGGAAGTTCTAATCTTAGTGCGCCTCAATCCCAGAGTTCCGCGAGGTGCGCTAACATCAACCTTTGTTTTTTTTCTGATTTTTTTAACTCGCGCGGCGGACTTCGCCGAAAAGGAAGGATTTCTCGTAGTCTATGACATACTCTTTATGGGAAAATATTTTAAAGTTTATTTACCTCCTGTTGAACGTGTTGAGAAGTCTTCGGATTATCGATGATGGATCGTAAGTAAAGTTCTAAGTCAGTGTACGTGTACGGATAACAGTGAGCAAGGTAACATGTGTCATCCTCATGTGGAAACTCCTAGAAAAATTAACCATGAATGTAATTTTACGTAGAGATAATGAAATACGATAGTTTTCCTATCAAATCTGACCACCAGAGCAGAGAAGGTGAAAAACTAGAAAACAAAGCTAAAATTTACCATGTGAAATGTGAGAGTGTAGTAGACATATTCTCGTTGAAGCAAAGGATTTTTATAAGATGAAGTCTTATAATAACTAATAAGTGAACCGACTCTTTTCCAACCCAGACCTCTCGCTTTAGCATCACGCTCGGAGTACATCAACGGTTTCATTCCTGAAACGAGAAATACACGTCACGTTCACGTCACGAGTTACCCAACAAGAGCAGGGAATCCATTACATTTAGTCTCTATGGAAATAAAAAACTTATTACAGCCCCGAACAGGGTGATAGTCTTTTCATAACATTTGCTTATTATTGCGGAACTTTCACGACCCGACCATGGTCGTGTTTCGGGATTTCTAAGTAACCTTTTTGTGCTGATTTCCCCCTCCTCAGATCTTGAGTTCCGTGTTTGACCGCTTTCAAGGGAGAATATGCAGCGAGGCAAGTGACGCAGGCCATGGTCCATATCATAGACGACCACGCCCATTGAAAAGTGACCTGACATCATCTTAAGATTTTGCACTTTTTCAAATCCCATAGTTGAGATTTTACAGATATCAGAACAATAGTTAACTGAATACATTTCGAAAGCAAACAGCTCCAATAAAAGATCTAAATATTCTACAGCGGAAAGCGCGCAGCGCAACACTATAACGAAGAGAATGTGGTAACCAACGAAGGCAAGAAAAATTGGTCGTAACATCAGAACCGCAAGTTTGTCCGAGCACTACGCAACCGGCCTTAACTTCACTCATGAGAGGTGCGTTTGAAGCAAGATAAATCTCTAACGTGGAATAGCCAAAGAGATAAGAATTTCAAAACCTAATTTGCAGAAAATAATATTAAAATATTTTTAGAAGGCCATGATTCGCTAAAAATTGTTAATTTTTTTCGGTAAATATGTTCTAAGCCAAGGTATAAATAAATTTTAGCAAAAACCAAAAATTCTTAAATGGAAGAGTTTCCACTGACGTCAAGCCCAGTATGGTTGTTATTGATCAGACTTGCGGAGAAAGTAAAATTCCGAGCATCGCTTTTAAGCTTGTCTGAATATATTCTTTATTATAGAATGAGATTAAAAAAGAATAAAATATCTGGAGAAAATTTTCTGATAACTAAAACCCACCGTAATTGTATAAACTGTCTTTTTTCAGCAAATTGATTATGTTAAACTTGTAAGTGGTGCCAGGTACCATGTCTTGGACACGGAAATAATACCTATTATGGGACAGAAAAGAAAGATTTTAAGCGTTTTTTTTTTCTTTTCCTTTTTCGTTTAGCTATGTCATAATCACAGTTATTTTGTGTTTTTGATAACAAACTAGGAATTATAACTGTAAAACTGTTTTCCTTACCATTGCGTGTGTCGTTTGGTGTACAAGTCACAACTGAGAATAAGATCATACTCATAACTTCCTCTGAAAGACAGGAATGGCAAGGAAATCAAATAGAGATCATAGCTCAAAGATGCATCATAAGGGTTCCTTACCAGGGTCAGCTCAAGAAATAAAAATGATCTGTTATAAACCAGAACCAATAACTGGGCAGCAGAACTTAAAAGATTGAACTTTTACAGTAATAACTTAACTTGACAATACTTTTAAAGAATATTTTAAATCAGGGTCAAAAAAAACTCTGGAACTGCATTGACTTGCTTTACTGTGCTTTAGGATTAAAAGAAAACATATGCCACCCTATCAATAGCAAAAGTTAAATTATTTACTACTATATATGTCATCACACAAGTTCAATTTAAGCTCAGATTGGTTCCAAGTATTTCCTTTGTTCTGATTGGTCAAATTGGGGTTGGTTAAAAGGTAAATTTACTAAATGTGACCACTAGTGTAACTTTTGAACAGTTTCAGTTTCAAAACTCTAAATTAAAGAGATTACTTTGGAGCAAGGACAGGAACTAACAAAAATTCAAACCACATGTGACCTCAGGTTTCAGGATCCAGCTGGGGCTACAGGTTAGGGGGAGGGGGAGGGGGAGGGGGGAGCTAATACATTCACTTCCATGCTATCCCTACAGCCTAACGGCCTCATGTGTCCGTTGAATGAATGCTAGTTGTTTATGATTAATGGCAGCACCAGAACAAAAGTCAGGGGAGTCCAGACACCTCTTCTCCCACCATCCCCTTAATCATACCTCTGGGGGTCTTTACTTCTTGTCTGATACTAAGAGTGTAACACTGGGTGAAGGGGAGGAGGGAGGGGTGTGGGTTGGTTAAGAAGTAATCATGGACCTCCTTACAAATATATTTTTAATTGCCCAGCCAACAACAGTTACAAACAGGAAAGGGGGGGGAGTGATTTAACAAGAAACCTTTGGCATAATCAGTCACTGTTCGATGTTCAGCTTAGTGCTTTGGACCAATGAAAAGAAAACTAAAAGAGCAGAAATGTAAGTTCTATGGACTCAATGCTTACATTCTCTTGACCTGCTTCAGGTTTCCACATTCAAACCTTGATTCAAATGTAAGACAGGGAGGACACCCAGCTGGAACATAATGAGCTTGGTTACCCTGTGACACAAAAGAACATTTTTTTTTTTGTTTTGAGACATGCAGTCAATATTTGATAAATGAATTAGAACTCCTAAGACAAAGCAAAGGATGTTGTCTCACTGGCAGTCAATTAGCATGGTGTGAAAGATACTGTAAGGGGAAATTAAATACCAGTCACTCTTAGGTGTGAAAAAAATAAGCATCAGAAAGAGGTTTTGCTTATGCAAAACCAAATGAAGCATGGGAAATTTATGGAATTTTAAAAACATGTGTGAGCTTGGCTTACACATGTTTAGTCAGTTCCTCATTTTTCAAAATCAATACACTCAACCAACTATATCTATGAATGCATGAAGCACCTTGGAGTATTTCACAAAACAGTAGGTACGTACACATATTTTGCAGGATGTAGTTAATTAATAATTAATGTAATTAGATTGGGAAATCGCTGGCACTATTGTAACCGAGTGAGTTAGACACTCATAAGGAATCCTACATTAAATGGTTCCTATGTGACATATAGTGAAACAATTGAGTGAAACCATGTAGAGACTGAGGTCTCCACTGTTGACACTCCGTCTTTTCATATCAGTTACATTCTTTGTTTCAAAGGCATATAATAATTTTCCACCGGTTCCAGGTTTGCCTGAAGCCATACCGCTTTAAGATTGTCTGTAATAAATACGGTAGAAAATGAAAAATGTAACGGCTTTGCCCATGTCAAAAACCGATACCAGTTTGATCGCTAAACCGACAGGCGCGAACTAAGAATTTGTACTGGTACACACGACCAAGAAGCCAAACTCAGCAAATATTTCAGACATTTCTGAGGAAACAAACAAATTCACTGCAGGCTGGAATGCGTTTGAAAGCGGTCAGAGCTTTTACTGTGATGAGAATGGAGCCTGGCCCAGAGAGGCAGATTCACAAGGTGCAATTCTGAAATATGTATGTGTAATTACAGTTTCGCAATAATTTTTAATCTAATTTGAACCCTCAACCTGCAACCTGCAAAATATACGCGCCGTACATTATACCATCTTCGTCTACACTACTCTCTATAGCATGGAGCATTTGGGAGTATTGCCACCAATCCTAGTGGGATACAAGTATGATTAGGAGATTACCCCCTAGGTCGGAATTATAATGGATGAACATTGTCATTAGCTGAATGCAGCCATGTTCACCTTGACCATTAGCAGAAATAAAACGAAGTATTCTAACTTTCAATGTTTTAATTGCATACCTCCCCTCTGTTCTGTCGTTCATAAACTGTGAGGTTTCCTCGCCACTGTTGAGGATACAGGGATTCTTCATTAGGTACTTTGTGTCCAGCATTGGCATTTTCAGCTGAAAAACAAAAAAAATTGATGATGCAGAGACAACATAAATAGCTTCCAAAATAATCTACTAAATACCACTTCTTCCTCACACAGCCCCCCCCCCCGCTCATTGGTGTTTATTTGATTCCCTAATGCTTAAAACTTTTTTCCTCTTTCCACGCCACGACCGATTGAAAGAATTTTTTCGCAGTTGGATTTCAAAAGTAGCCAGCTGGTGTTCTCCTTAAGCAACCTCCTCGCTATTATCTCGACATAAACACCAACTAAACAGAAATTTTAAATGCAAATCTAATAACACCAATGTTTGACTAAGAGGATGTGTTACAACAATGTCACTTGATAGCAACCTTTCGCAAGGCATTATTCAAATTATTATGCCGTAACTCGAGAGATTTTATTCCCTTTGCGTTGCGGCTGGTACTATATATTAAGTGTTAGTTAACAAATTAAAACATTGTACTAGCGCAGATTGTTTTTTCGATGCGAGATATGTTTTGAATGGCTGAGAACAATGTTTCTTTGTTTCTTTATCCTGCCTGCGTGACTCTTAATATTCAGCGCTATTCAGCAACGTCTGCTTTTCACATTTGCGCTTGAACCTTTCAAAACACGAATTTAATCGCCTCGCTCTTTGGGAATTGTAAAGAATATTTTATTGCAAAAAGATTTATCTGATTGTGAAAATGTAAATGTTCAATCTGAAATATAGAAATTATAATGATGTGGTATGGAAATGCATCAATCTCGATTATTCATTTCACCGACGTTAACCGACGTTTGTAATGTGATCCCAAAGCCAATGTCGATTTCATATGCGTGACTTGTTAATTGCATGTTGTGAAGTACTTTAGACTAAACTTTACTGGAAAATTATGAAACACGCTAACGTTTGTTCCTAATTTTTCCGTAATCAATGCGCTTAAAACATCTAAAAGTCTTCAAATTACGCGCGAACGCACACAATTATCACAAGGTCCCTGGAAGTTTCAATGTGTGCCTAATGGAAATCCAGTTCGCAAACAAATAGATTTGTTGACATGCATGGCGAACTTTTCAACTTAAAAGCATTTCACCTACCTTCCGTGTTCAACCTTTCGACAAAATCGGGGATATAGTGAATATGTTTCTGACATGAAAAACGCGGTAGGTGATCTTTGGGCCAAAATGGGCCGGGGATGTCATGTTGATCGCCATTGTGATCGATCCATACACATCCTGGTGAACGTTTATAAACAACAGTAGTGTTTGCGTTTGAGCACGTTTTACCTGCATAATCGAGTGCAGCTCGCGTGTAGATGCTAAATCGTTTGTTAAAGTCGCTAGATAAAGGATCTATGTCGTCGAAGTCACGAACAGAATTTCTTGTCGAAGATTGATCGAACTTAAGAGATCTCATCGAACGTCTGATCGCGTACTTCTGTAAATATTGTTGACGTCTCTGAAACAACACCCCGTCGTCATCATGAAAAGACGGATAGCTGTAGTTACGGTTTTCTGTTGTTCTGTGTTTATCAGAGTCTTCCATTTCTATCTGCCTCCTCCGTCGCTCTTCTGCAAGCCGTTGTTCGTATAATTTTTTTCTCTTTTCACCCGGTGGAGTTCCTAAAGCGGCCCGCACTTGAGATTGTATACTTTGCTCTACGGATCTTTTAATAGCAGCCACCCAGGATTTTCGATCTCTTTCGTCTTCGAACAAACGTTTGGCCTTTTCTGCAGACATCACTTCTATTTCTCGATGCAACTCCTCCTCTCTCTTCGATTTCCAAAGTCCATCCGCTAAGAAGCCCTCGGCCGTTTTTTCAACCAGTGCATATGCCTTTCCTCGCTGCTTTCTTTCCAATGACTCTGCACTAACTTCTAACTCGTCTGATTCTTCCAAAGACATCTCGCGTCAGGGAAGTCGACGTTTCGTGAACGATTATTTACAAAGGGATTTCAAATAAAACCGAAAATAAGGACATCCCGTTTGATCATAGCGTGTCGTCTACCCGCAGAAAAGCACACGGGCGAATTAGCTTTCTGTTTCCATAGCAATCCGTTTTGTTTGCCGCAGAAGGTTTCAATTACTTCACACATTGTTTGACATGTGAGTTTGTGTAGACAAAGGGGTTTGATTAATACTTAAAATTAACTCTTCAATACTAGAAAACCACATCATGTGGGTATGAAAGTCCATTTACAAGTAAACTGGTTTCCAAATATTGATTTAACGAGACGAGAAAATCAACGAGTGTACTCACCCAAGCGTATGTTTTGCGTTTGAAAAGATATACGACCTACTTCACAATGACCACCGCAAATTTAAACAGGCCTTTCGATAAACGATGAAACGGCAGAATTTCTATAAGCAATTATGACTGATTTCAAGGTCGAATCTCCTCCATCTTACTCTAGTCTACTCTACTTAGCGGTCTGTGACCTTGTCCAGAAACCTAGAACGAGAAAAAGTATCGCAGCATTCGCAATTGTTTACGTCGAAACCTTGGTGTAATTGCGATATAAATCTACGCAAACATGCTTTGGGGAATTAGTTCTCTCTTCGGATGACCGCGGATAAATTTTCATACGTAGGTATAATCGCAACTGCGGTGCAAAATTAAACGTTACTTGCAAAGTTGAAAAGTTCTTGATTACATCTCTGTACAACGAAATGGAGGAAGAGCAAGCGAAGTACCTCTTCCGAATAAATTAATATTATGGCAAATAAGTGTCGAAAAAAAAATGATCAAAACTCATTTTCAGAAAAATTGTCATCTTTTAACCCAGAAACCCCTAAGGGTGATTATGATCTTATTTCTCCCTACAATATCAGGAGACTACAGGAAGTGATCACCAACTGAAATAGCTGTTGTTGTTAGACTAACAAACTCTCCGCGTCAGCACCTTAGGAAATCAGACCCCTATATCTTACTTATATCTTAAGGAGAATATGCATACTGATTTTAGGGTGTAAAGGATTTGGGTTGAGTCAATTTTCATGCAGTCGTGCCTGTAACAAATTTGAAGGTGAATTTATTTGTTGATGGCAACAATTCATTAGTTTTCAGCAACCAGAAACAGCTAACGATGAATGGCATCCTAGTCGTAGTTGCACCCCTCTAAGGTTTAATGATTCAAACAAAGTTTACCCGTTGTAAAAACCGCGTCCTAAACAATCCTCGGTTTAGCTGAACCTTTAATCCGAACATTTATCTTTGTAAACTGCGTCAAGAGGGCCGAAAGTTAACCGTGGACATGCATGGTGAAAGGACGTTTATTTCATTCAATTAATCCTCTAGATCTTAAAGAGAGAGCCTGAGCCCTACTGCTTGCGTAAAACCGTGGTTTGGGCTAAGCCTCGTGTAAATAACTGGCACTAACACTTCAAACTCAGTTCCCCACCTGTTCCCTTTACTTGTACCTCGATCTGCGAGGATTAAACACCGACCGTCCGAAAGAAAACAAGGCGCGCGAACTGAACATAGCAGGAAAACGCGAGTGACCAAGTCGTGATGATTATAACCAACGAGGCCTGTCGGACCGAGTTGGCTATCTATCAGCTCATATCCAAAGAGCGCTCATGCAATAATTGTTAATTATTTTCTGAGTCTGACGTCAAAAGCGCTGCGGTGAAGATTCTATGATATTTAAGAAAAGTTCACAGGACTATTGAAAGCAGAAAGAGAAGGTGGAAATAAAACTTTAACTCACATCTTAACTACAAAGAGTTTGCATTACAAATAATCCAGTCTCACCAATCAACATTCAGATCCGTGATCTCGTTCTCTTGTGGTGTAATTTCTCGGGAGCCGCCTATTCGTCTTTCTGGCTTGCATCCAATCGTATCTGATTATACACCCGTTCCCAGGATTTCTCTTCTTCTTGCTTGGAGCCAGGCCATTTCCGAATTACCTTCGGCCACATTTCCAAAGCGAGTCCTGGTGTTCATCCTTTCATATGATTGTAAGTTTTCACTCACATGCAAATTAAACTGATTTTCATACAGAGGGTTGAGCACCAGGCCTCGTTTTGAAAAAGAGGCAAAGGTAATTCAGAAATTGCAATGTTGCGACTGCTTAATAACCTGGAATAAAATATCCCTCACGCAACTTCCTAAATAAGATTTCTAAAACGATCGTTGGTTGAAGGTTTTGATACTCGGGCCGTCCGGAACCTCTGGGCTTAAAAACTTATGTCGAAATACGTTAAAAACAGTCTCTTTATTTAAAACGTATATTAAACATCGGTCAAAATTTGGGGCGACGCAACTTTAAGTTGGGGGCTTCGCAATCATACTTCTGGGCGACAGAACTTCGCGTGAGGGCGACGGAACTTGGGGCGACCTTGCAAAAGTCGACGTCACTCTATCTCTTCTAACGACCTCCTTTTACTCGACGAGAATATTGTATGAATGTATAAAATTAACACAAACCATATCACATTCGTCCTCGCACCAAGGGTCCGTTTCTCGTTTAGTCATCTGCAAGGAGATGGAAGAGGGGAAAGCTAAGTAAGACCGAGCAGCTCTGGGCTGGGTTGTTCAAAGCTGGGTTTAGATAACCCAGGGTTAGTGTGAAATCGGATTTCAGCTCTGGAAGCTTTTAAGGAAAATTCAGTAGAATTCTTTTTGTCAACAATTTGATGATTGGATGCTCCATATAGAGTAGAGAAAATGATCCCAAAAAGGCTATCGAACAAAGAAGTATAGAAACCCAGATTAAAATTTAACCCTGGGTTAGCGCTAATCGGCTTTCGAAAAACTGGGCCCTGGGAACGAGAGTGAACTGCAATCTAATGAATTTAAAATAATAATTGTCTCTTACTTTACGACTGACATATATCAACTAATAACTTCCGATGGTTTACTGACAAGAAATAAGTACCGACGTAAAGAAACAATACTCGTTTAATTTCAAAAAAAGGCTGCAAAAAGAGACAACTAATTGAAATAAGGGCATCTTTAAAGTATCACGGACGCCCGACTTTTTCGCTCCGACGGAAGCTAAGCATCCGCCGTAGAAGGATGTACGTAAACTATACGCAGAGTAAAGATTTATCAATAGACATTAATGTCGGCGTAAAACATTTTTATACTACTTGCAATGCATATTCTGAAGGCCTTCAGACCAAACTGAGATACTTGAATGAAGGGGGTAATTTCCGAAAGAAACTGTGTTGCTGCGTCGTATGCAACAAGATAATTTTTGGTTTCACGAACTGAGTTGGTAATGTAAATTGGTTATCGTAAAAGAGCTTCAAAGTTGACGTTTCGATCGTTAGCCCTTCGTCAGAGCGAAGACATGATGCCTTAATCTAATCTCTTTTGTCATCAAGGCATATTGATCCTCGTTTCAGGCTTTACCGCGGGTTTGTTGATAGTGATCTTTTAGTAGCCATGGGCCTGGTTAGTTAAACGAATTTTTATCATCGATCGCCTAACGGGAACAGATACCCGATAAAAAGAAATGAAAAAAAAACATTTAGAGACATCTATAGGCGAAAGCGAACATGCGGCAACACTGTATATCATTGTTTGTCTTTCATTCAGAAGTCTTTCTTTCAACCTCATCGACATGATCTAAAGTATACTAACATACCGCAAACAGAGACATTTTTCAACATAAAATCTGAAATAAACTACCTTTTATCTTCAGGTTGCATTTCGTAAGTCGCAAACTTCAAAATGACTCTGACTCTTAAAAAAATGTTTCCTTAAAAAAATAAAAAGATAAAAGCTTCTTTTCGGAGAGAAAAGAAACAAACCAGCATCTAGCTATTTTGTCAATGTTGTTTTGCTTGACTTTTGACGAGAATTTTTTTTATTTGATGCAAAAGTATCCTCTAAGAAACGAGAATGAAGTAACATAAGATAAGGCAAATGGATATAGCAAAAAAACAGGAAATAAAAAGCAGAGATAAGAATTAATAGCCCACAGTCCGTCAAAATATCAAGAATAATGCGTTTTAATGTCCAGAAACCTCACCAAGTTGCTCTTGGCCAGCCTCGTTTCCATGTCTCAGAGGGGCTCCAAATAACCGTGAGCCGTAATTTCCTACCCAAATAAATTTCAATCTTAAAATATCCCTTCCGCGATTACAACCCCTGACCAAGTTTACATGAAAAATTTAAGTCAAAGCGGTGAATCTGCCGGTCCGCAAAATTTCGATCTGGCTCCATTTTTAAGGACTATCGCTCTTAATAGCTTAAGCGAAGTGTTTTCCAGCTTCGTATTAGGATGCATACAGTTGTAGCACTTTATCAGTTGTTTTGAATAAATCCTGCAATTTCATAGACCCGTTGAGTTGCATCGAAAGTTTTACAAGGGAGATGTCGTACCGACAATTCATAATTTCAGCGACTCGCTCATATCTTAAATGTTCGTGATTTTTGCCCTCGCAAATTCAGTTCCTTTCTTTCATAGTAAATTATTGTGACAAATCTCCGTGATCTCAGTCCGATCACATTGCGCTAAAAACCGGCTTAATTTCGTAATTGCTTGCGTTTGATGGTTCTAGATACCACATAATTGCTTCAAAAACTTTGGCTTCTCCAAGTAAGATCGTTAAATATCTGACTTCTCTTTAAAATATTCCCGAGTAATGAACTTCAGCCATTAGTCGAGTGCTTTTCCCAAAAAATTAAACGCATCATTATTGTGTTTTCATCCTGGGTTTTTTTTTTGGACGGAATTTCCGTAAGCTGTTAATTCCTATCTCTGCTTTTGATTTCCTGTTTGTCTGTTGAATCCATTTACCTTATTTCGTGTTGCTTTATTCTCGTTTCGTGAAAGATACTTTTACATTTAAGAAAGAAAAAGTCCTCGTCTGAAGCCAATCAAAACATCACTAGCAATTGTCAGCTTCAGGAGAAAACATCTGTCAAATTCCACTACCATGACATTTGGAAAGTTCTCGATTGTTTTCTTTATCTGCCACCGGCAGGAATAGATTCAGGCGCTAAACTTGCCAAAAATGAAGAACATAAGCATTTATCGTTGGGAATATCGAATGGGCGGATGTAATATCGCATTCGTTAATTTCCAATCGACTAATCCCCACATTTTGCTCTTAATGTATGATTTTACTTTGGCTTTTATCGTCGAGGGGCTGGATGTGTTAAAATACAAAGAGAAAATAATTTTGGAATAAAAAAACACTGCCGCTTGCAAAGTCACCGCATTGTCTTCGGCTGTCAGATAAGCCAATGAGAGCCTGAGAAAAGCTCTCGCACCTGTATAGTGGCAGGCTACCTCAATGAACTCATGGCGATCGTTAAAAAAATAATGCCTCGTGGAAAATTTATGCAAAGTCTTCGCTCACAATGGTGTAAGTGGGTTCTCATCCCACTGAAATGTGTACAAAACCAGCTTGAATTATCAATAGCGACTTCTCTTGCATAATGTAGCGGAAATTTTAAATTTTTCATTTCCCCCACTATTATGTTCTTCTTGCTTCGCTGATCTCTCTTTACCAACATCTAAAGTAAGATGCATATCAATATTAACAATTTATGATAGGTGATGTATTCAGAAAGCTTTATGACATCAACATTATTATTTTTAAATGTAAGTACGGTGGGTATCGAATGTTACAAGAAAACCATTTGAAGAGCGGACCATCGCATTAAAATGGGTTTTCCTTTCATGAATATTCATTATACTAATATCATTTTGTCCCTCTTTTATCAACAACGACAACAGAAGGTGCTCTGATAGGTCTTCCAGTTTGCACTGAACATTATTAATGACACTCTTTCGAAGAGCCGAGGTGAAAATAGACCATTAGCATCAAGAAAGAGGTCAAAGAACTGAGGACTGAAAACTGAATGGAACGGTTACAGCTTGTGTTACTCGGTCTGTATTAATTCTTACTGTTTTTCCATACGTCTCTGATAATTTTCTTTCTTTCTTTGTTTTGATATGGTAATGAAAGTCGAAAGACTGTTTTTAAAACAACCGATAGAGGTTGATGGTCTTCACCGTCGAAGTGACTCGAAACAGTTTTTCGCTAATTCGTGGCCGATTGTCCTGTAAGTGAATAATGAGCAAAAAAGTGTAGTTTACAACTAGGCTTTGCGATTCTGAAGCGAAATTTTGAAATTTGAATTTGGTAAAATGAACACAAAAAGACATAGGTATCGGAAATTTATTATTTTAATTCAGGAGCCATATAAAAGAATTTTACAAACCTTCGGAGACAAAAGTTGTTCATGTCCTTTTCAGACAGAAATGAAAATATCAATCTCTGAGCTTTTAATTTTCACCAGAACGTTTCTGCGAAGCAAGCTAAGGGAATAAACGCAAGAACTGAACGCTTTACGAAGGAAAATAACGTACAGATCATAAAACAAACCTTCACAATTAGATCTGCATATGTTTAGAAGAGGATTATAGCTTGGATCGAGCCGTCGTCACTCACCTACCGGGAGCGAACACCTGTTCTCTGAAACCTTCATCGATCGCCGTCGACTCAAAAACACTTTAAAAAGAGCGAACTTGGACTTAGCAACGAGTCTAAACAAATTTTATTAACACGCCGAAGATTTTAGCAATTACGACGGGAAATGTAATATAAGTAGTAACTATTTGGAAAAGAAGCACCGGTGTCCGTGAGTGAATAGGAGATAAAAATTGACCTATATAGTTCGTGAAAACCATGTCGACGCCGAAAAACAACTTCCAAGGTGATCCGCTGATTTATGTCTGCGGTGAAGCGAACTTAAACACGCCTGGAGGTCCTTCGCTCAGGGACATAGTCATCAGAAATTTAGTAACTACTTGGGCAATAAGAACGCATCCCGTCACGGATTTTCTTGACCCAAGACAAGAAAATTCAGCGGAGCTTTTCCAAATAATTCCTTGCGCGAGTGTTTTCGTGTTCATTTTCAGTAAAAAGACTCTGGAAGACAGCTATTTTCTGAATCAGTACGGACTCGCCAAATCGTACAAAATTCCCGTGGTGGGAATGCGATTGACGAATTATTTTATACGGAACTCTTTACCAGAGCAATATTACCGGACGGAAATCGTCGATAACAGCGGCGAGTCAGTACTTGACAGCAAGCCGACGGCTGAAAAAACAGCGTCGTCGCTCGCCGAACATTTGATCGCTGATTTTAGACATTCCATGGTTTACGGGCCAGATTTTCACAAATCTTGCATCGAAAGGCTCGTCCATAAAGTGACCAGAGCATGTGCGCAACGCGAGAACGAAAAAGCATTTCTTCGGCGATCGAACGAGAATGCCTCTATGGTGAATAAACAGCGGCAAGACAAAACGAACTCACCAACGAAATGTCCAAAGTGCGGGTTTATTTTCACAAATGTTTCTCCACCGCCAAAACTCCAGCGAGCATCGAGCACGGGCTCTCTTCTACGCCGTAGCAACACGTACGATCATTTGCCGTTTGGAACTTCAAGTGCCAAAACAACAGTGCCCAGGAATAGGACACCTCTCCAGCCCGCCACCATCCAAATTCCAATTCCACAAGTTGTAAAAAAGCCTAAAAAAGCAGAAATTCTTCATCATGGTAATTGGACAACTAAACCGGACAACAACAAAGTGCCACCGCAAATGGAACCAAAAATTCAGCTGAGGGCCTCCTCGGTGTCATCTTCGGAAAGCGCTCGAGAAGAAACGAAGCCATCGCCACCGCCACCGCCACCGCCACCGAAGCCAGCTGAAAACCCGAAGGTTTTTCGAAGACAGTCCCGAGTTTCAAATGGTGGCTGGACCGAGAAACTCCGGAATAAACTTCGCCGCCAATCGAGCTTGCCCGTCATACCGACGACCTATCTCGTAACTACTCCGGATGGGTTCGAAAAGCAGATTTCCCTCGTAAGGTATCCACCCGAGAAACAAGAGCCTTCGTCGCCTCGTGGAAGCGACGGCGCTTCAGGGTTTTCCGAAGACGAGGACCAGGAGACTATACACATATCACGTGTTCCTAGCCCAGATGCACCGAGCGGGTAATATTTAACGGGAGGGTTGTTTTTTTTGGGAAGAAATGTTTCTTTCCACAAGCGAGCCTTGATCATGGTAAAAGCCAAGCATTTCCACTCTAAAGATACGGTTATATATTAATATTAATTTCCTCTTTGTCATATTTTTAAGAATTGACGTGAACTGTAATCTACTGAAACTTGGTGAAAAAAACTTGCACCACCTTCTGCTAAGATTGGACAATGAAAAAAAACCCCATGATTTCTTCGTAAAAATGTAGGTGAACCCATGGGAACAACAGAATTACATGCTTCTAAGAATCTTAATCTTTAAAATTTTCAGACTTCATCGTATGGAGCACAATCTATTGAGTCAAGTTTAAACCCCACAGAAGTAGCAAATAAATTTGAGGGATGGCACTTTTCGATTGAGAGTCGTAAAAACAAAACTAACGTAATCTAAAATGGCTAATCAGGGCGGAGACAAACCGCTCACAGCGCGGGAAAACGCGTGTGACCAAATTGCGTCGGCTCTAGTTTGATCTGATTGGTTTAGAAAGTGGCGCGAGTTTTATGGCTTGAATTGGCATGAAGTTCGCATTATCAGAATTTCTAGATACTGAAAATCGCAGTAACTGTAAAAAACGTTTTTTCACTTTCTTATAGATAATCACGCTAGCAATCTTGTACAAATTGATGACGTTTATTAAGCGTCAATAGAACTTACCGCAAGGCAATGGAAAAAGATTCCAAAACTTCTCTTGTCTATTCTGACAGGTTAATGCTGAGACCTATATCTTAATTCCTACCGAGTTGTAAAATATCAAAACCAGGCTATTGTATAAATACTATTAAATTGTAGAGTACATCAAAGAGCTAACTTTTCAAGTCGTATTTCTCATAATCTTAGGCCTACAACACTATTATGAATTGTTTTCACGCTGCGTCTCATCAGTTTAACCCTTTAAAACCAGAGTGACCAGCATCTAATTTCTCATTACAGTAATACTACTGAATCATTTATTGATATCATGAGAATAGAGAAAATGATCGCCAACCTGGGAAGCTTTGATTTTCAAACGAGTTCTCCTTATCGGTATCAACGTAATCTCGTACCCAGATCCTACCGTATAACTATAAGTGAATTGTAACAACCGCTTGGCCGTGAATCAACGCAAACTGGAGGGGCGTGGCTAGATTTGGAGCACCAAGCGATATGTACCACCACCTGACTGTGAAATAAGAAGAGGGGAGAAAAAAGCGTTAAATTTTAAAATGTCCTTCACGTTAACTCCTACATCATAATAATCTCGATAAACGAAGACCCCACCGTGTAATTTTAATTGAAACACAAACGCTTGGCCGAGAGTAGAGTAAAGAGAATTACTAATGAGATCTTGGGAGTAACAGGATTAAGGTGTGCTCGAATAATACGAGTGTGCTCGTATAATGCTGGAAACTTGCTTACGGGAGTGCCAAAAAGTTGCAGAAAATTTCCAAAATCCAAAAAGTTGCCACCTAAGTTTCATAAATTTCTCATTATTTTTGTGTAAACATTACATTTAGGCTTTATTCTTCGTTATTCACAATAGTTGCTGACATCGATGAAGAAAAATAGCTAGAGACTTAGCTGATAATTGAGTCTTACGGAACAAAACACAAGGTTCATTTGACGTCTTACCAAACGTCGTTTCAGCCAATTATCCGCTATAATATAAGATAAAGATCGCAATAGGAATATGAAACGTTGTCAAGTGAAACTTAATGTGGTAATTTTTTATGAAATCGTTTACTTTTCTACGCTTTATACGTGCTCTAAACACCTATATTTGGCTTAAAAATTGTTCACAAAGGCAACTATTGCTCAAAGTTGCTCCAAATGCCAAAAGTTGCTGAAAAGCTGCCGAGTGCAATCAGGACAAGCCTACGGACAGCTCGCGCTCCCTGTGGGTGACCTGCACGGCTGGCGGTTTTGTGCAGGCTTTGAAATGTTATGAGGGTGCCAGCCTGTCAGTGGACACGAGCGGCTAATCTGCGAAGGCTGGAGACGGAAAATAGACCTCCCTTGTTAGTGATTAAGTTTCTCAGCTCAGCCACCCTTGTTTTCATCAAGCACCCGAAAAACCGCAGGCAATGGGTGAAATTTTAATTTCACCCTTAAAAAAAGAGGTTTCAAGTGTCGAAAGTTCGAGTTATCGTGAAGTAGGACACATCACATGACCGGAGATCAGAGAGAAAAACTTAATAGTACTTACTGGAGTTATTTAATCATTGTTTTCTAAATCGGGGGAAAATGGAACATTTAAAAGGAAAGAATTTAATCAATAAGCCGTGCACTGCACTCCAGTTAAAATCCACCTCAAACCAGGACAACATTTTTGTTTCATGCCAAAGACTTCATTTTAGCTCTTAAGAAAAAATTCACAGGGAATTTGACGGCGATCATAGAAGGTTGGTTAGAAGTTTGGCATTCTTTGACGATTGTCAGATTATCTTTTCGGCCATTTGAAGGCATGGCTGCTATTTCTCTAATCCCCTCGGGACCTCTAACTTCATCCTCAAATTCCGTTAGTGCATCAGCCCTGTTCCTGTATAGTACTTGAACGCAGATTAATTCGAAGCTTCAACATACCCCCTACAGGCAACCCAGGAGAATTTGGCTGTCCGCCACGCCCAGGATGGGAAATTTGAACCTTGCACGGGTGGGGTGGGGCATTTGAACCGGGAATGCCATCTTTCCAGCATATTATCTCCCCTGTTCTCATCACTTTCACGTTCGATTAAAGAATAATACTGTGAGGAGAAATTAGATGCTAGTCACTCGTAGGAGCTAAAGGGTTAAGAAACTTCGACACTTTCACTCCCAGAAGTGATTAACATGTAACTTCTCCTTGCATCATCCAGATATATCCAACAACAAGTTACAAGAATACTCAAAGTTATTGGGCAGAAGTTGTTAGGGTGATCTAATTCTTGTAACTAATTTTAAAGGAAATGAACAGCACCTTGAGGGGAGAATTTACAACCATACATTAGGAGTTCAAGTAATATCATTGTGATAAAACACAAGAAGCAAAACGAAAATGGCATAACTTACATTTAATGGTTAACAAATTGGTTATATTGAATGGAAAATTACACTTTGCTTCTGAACTTTTTCGCTGGATACTGTCACCATCACAACATAACAAATCAAACAAAATTATCCCCATTTCATTGACTCTGTGCACCCAATAACAAACCCTTCAGAAGATGATTTATTAACGCATCACAAGCCATCTATGGAATTGCAAACATTTACCCTAAAAAAAGTACAGGATCTCGTTTATAAGGAAGCTACCATTTCATGCCTAGTTCTGGTACAAAACTTGCGGCTTATCTACAGTAGAATGACACTGCAGATAGGTGTGATCATGGGGAAACATTTTTCAATTCTCATCAATGATTTGGATTTGTTTTAGGCACAAAAAATAAGGATAAGCAGCACCTGTAACACACAAATGGACATTCAGATTAATATGAAAGGGACACAGTTTCAAAGTGAGGAAACTGGCTGTGCACTGATGCAACAGCTTCACTGCTTTTCATCTTCATCTTCATCATCCCCAGAGGTTGAAGTCCACAGCTGTAAGAAATAAAATGAAGGCCAGAATGTAACAGGTTGCAAACTGTTGTAAATTTGTTGCTTTCAAAAACCATTCTGCTCCAAACACATTGTTTCTTTGCTTGTATTGAAATGAGCCGCTACTTTTAATTTAGAAAAAAAAAAAAAAGAATTAAGCAAGTTTATGGAATTTACCGTATGAACAAAAATTCACATCTAACTTTTGAAAAGTATGTTGCACCAATCTTTGGTATTCTTTGGAACTGAATTTTCTACTATTGTGTTTATTACTTTCTCTGTAACACTGATAAAATGCAAGGCAGCCATTTCGAAATTCAGTGCTCCTCCTAGTCACCTCTCGCAAGGTGATCATGCAAAATATGACATAATCCTGGACCAATCAGAGCATGAGAATTTCTTTAACCACCTGCATAATGATACTAAACCTGTTTTGAGTTGGGTTTCAATTCACAAGATTTGCAATCCACAACAACCTATTCACTTTTCTTGGTTTTTTACTACATTTTACAGGACCCAAATTTAAATTGCAGTTTAACGAATGTAAAAAAAGAAAAAAGATAACGATAATCGTTTCTTCAAATTATTTTCTTCATTCCAGTACACTATAACAAATGGTTTTTATCTTTTTCCACACTAAAAACCCAACCTTATTCCACCCCAGACTTAAAACCTCAGAGGCACCGGAGAGAGAGTGCACCCTCTGTTCAACACTTTACACCTTAACATCAGTATGGATATTCTCCACACTGTTCTCTATTAATTTCCTATTGTATCCATAGAGGAAATGTATAGAGAACAGTAAGGAGAATATGCAAACTTACTTTAGGGTGTAAAGGGTTCACCAAATGAACACTTACGGTTAAGTTGTCACGCAATAGTTGCATTATAAGAGTGCTGTCTTTGTAGGAATCCTCTTTTAGTGTATCAAGCTCAGAAATTGAATCATCAAATGCCTAAAATAAACAAATAAACCAAATCATGATGATGTTAAGAGAGGTACATTCCATGGTTTACACTTCTGAAAGAAGCTAACTTAGTTTTTTGTTTCTGAGAACACCCTTTATTATTATTACTGCAAACACTGACAGATGAGTGCCACTGGCAGATAAGCCAAACCTTGAGTTTGGAAACTCAAATTTTGGAGAGAGAATTTTTGGAAGGAAATCAGGACATCACAAGTGGAGTCTTTAGAGAGTTGCTCTACATTTGTTGCTTCAGAGGAAAACTCTAATACATTCACTGAGTGGTATGTAGCAGGGCACTGGACACAAGAAGCGAGTTTCTTACTCTTGGTGGATTGATTGCTGCTGAAGTGACTGCCCATCAGTGAACTATAAACAGCTTTGTGGAATGGAGATTCCAAGCCAAGTAACATTCAGCTGCTTGGCTATTGTTTAAATCACTTAAAAGGTCTCTTAACAAAGATGCTTTCACACCACTTGATGGGCAAGAAATCTAAGCTTTTGCTTATGTACAAAAACATTCTTTAATTAAAGGAGCCTAGTATTTATTTATTTAGTTCTAGCGAGTTTGCATTTTACACAGAGAAATTTATCCTTCAAAGACCCCTGTCAAAAATTGTCTTTCACACTTTCCCCTAAAGTTTTGCTTCTGCCAAACAGTTAATTTTTTGACACTCCCAATGCCACAGACATTACACACCAATCAATTTTAAGGTTCAACACCCCTCCCCCCCTTCAACCTACAGGCATTTGATCCTTTTATGTGCCCAGGGGGTGGGGAATTTGAACCCTGTCTGGCTGGGGTGTACCTTCAGCAAAATCCACTGTTCTAGTATATACTAAAAAATATTATTAGCATCATTTTGTGATTTCTGTATTATGAGTAGTTAATAGTAAGTAAAGTCCTGTGATCAGGTTGTTGTAAGTAGTTTATCAGTACTGACCATGGATATATGGAAATCATATGTATGAACTGTGGATTAATTAATGAATACAAAAGGAAGCTTTGCAGTAATGGACTCTACTTAAGCAGTGGTGAAAATAAAGCCCAAGCCTGTATGGGATTTGTACCCATGACCCCTGTAATACCAGTGCAGTACCCTACCAACTGAGCTAACAAGTCAACTAGGAGCTGGTCATTATATTGGTTTGTAAGAAACTTGTAAAGTGATGAATAAATAACTGTGAATATATGAAAATTATATTTACATATTTATTGGTACGATTGAACTCTGTAGTTCTGCTTCTACACCAACCTTTTTTGCCAATTTACATGCTTGGTCTGGCGCGTTCTTTATTTCATAATAGAAGACAGAGAAATTAAGTGCCAATCCAAGCCTGATAGGATGAGTTGGAGCTAGCTCTTTATTACTTAAGTCCAGTGCTTTCTTGTATGATAATTCAGACTGTTCAATTATTTCTAAAAATAAAAATAACAAAATTGTTAATTATAATACAAATGGAAAACATTAAAAACATTACTCGTATTTGTTTTAAAAACTAGGTACATCGGTGCACCAAGACCCTTGAAAAGGGAAGGGCCCTTTCAAATCCCCCCCAATTAGGTTGCAAACCTCTTCAACATTCCGGTAAAGGATGTTCAGCTTTCCAAGCTGTAATTGTTTTGCTCACCAAGATAAGTAGAAATAAATTTTTGTGATTAAATTTACAAGAAAAGGTGCAAATGTTCAGTAGTCACATAGAAAGCTGTGGCATTTTTAACGCCTAAAGTGTATAGTTTAAAAGTTATATTGCACGAGACATCCTTTATCACATTAGTTTATCTGAGAAAAGTAAGCATGAATGTCATTTTGGCAGGAAAAGCAATGATAGCTGCATTAACAGTTGGTATTTCACAACACATTTCTGTGAGTTTGTGCCACCAATTTACCACCAGTTACTCCAAGCTCAAAAAAAAGACCTTAAGCAAACCATGGCGGCAACACGAACACCTGGAAAAACAGAAGACCTAATAGACAGAACAATAGCTAAGCACATGCATTCTAAAACTTTGCAGAATTCTTGATGGTCCTCTACAATTCAACAACATATACTCATCAAAACTTGCATGGTCTGAGAGCATAAACCCTGACTGTAAATTTTTTTAGTTTCCAAATGGAAAAGAGGGGTGAGCACATCCAGCCATTTGCAAGTTCTCACTAAAATTCATTTTTCAATTTATGTCTTCCTTGCCGCTGCCATCCTGACTACCTATGATCCCTTTTCAATTATACAGGCTAAGATGTCGAGTCCTCTTAAATTGCCATCTAACCCCTGTTAAAGAAAAGCAAGGTCTGCACACTAGGTAAAATGGATAGCTCTTTTCCTCTTGACAAAGATATCTTTGGATCCATCCCTAACAGTGGCATATTTCATGTTTTTTTTCTTCAAAAGCATGTTTTTATTTTTTATTTTGTTCAGAGTGTAACCATTTCTTGTGCAGTAAAAAATATTTTGTACAGCAACATTTGCCTTTTTTAATTCCAGTTTTTGAAAAAAAATAAAGGTTTTATTCATCCCAGAGGACAGTTTCTTGGTTTTGTGATTTTAATGGCAGCCATCAACTAATTTCAGCCATTTTCAGAATTAAAAACAAAATCAGTATTAACTTAATTTGCATTTTGTACCATATCAAATGCCTACTCACTTGGGTAAATTTCTTAATTGTGTTTAATGTAGGAGAAAACATACTATTCATATAATTTTCCAGTCTTGTATTTTCTTTTTTGACAGCATCTTAGACTTACTGAAACAGCCTTGCTCTCATGCAGGTATCTATCTACCTTAGTTTCATGCAAGAGCTTTGAATCACACTGGCTAAGTGAAGTCCTTGGAGATGATTCACCTCCCTCTGGATGCCTTAGAAAGATATTTTGATAAATTGCACCCATTTAATCAAATAACATGAGTTACTACAAATCAGAACTGTAAGCCAAGCCATCGTTTGATGCTCCCAGGTTTAATTATACCCTGGAATTCCTGCCAAGAAAATGCCCCTTACTAGACTATCTATAGTGCACTTTACTAATCCAAGATCATCACTTGTCTAGCAAATATACTTGATTTTGACTGATGCATAACCCACCAAAGATTATCAATATAGAACAAAAACAACCAAGTAAAGTCAAGGTATTTCTTTCATTGATCATCAAATTTCATTGGTAAGATGACCAGCCAGTAAGGATAAGTGAACTACTATTGAATTTTATCGATTGATGATTGATATCACTAATTGATTCCTATTGCATGGATCTCCCGACAAGGATACAACTCTTCCAGGAAAACAAGAATAATCGATTTAAGCCTTAGTTTAAAGAGTTCTGAATCGTTACAGATAGATGGTTTCTGTAAATCCGTAACCGTAGTAGAGAGCCGACCTTACATCGAATTGGATTTGCGAACTTGAACATCGGAGGTGACGAGTTAAAAACGTCCATGCTTAGAGCAATTAAGTTTGAAAGTAAGATTGATCAGGGTATAACGAAAATTTATAGAGAAATACTAACCATCCTTGCTTGGACTCGATGCCACTTCTGCTTTGTACCTTAAGTAATCTCCTTTCATCTTCAGATAGAAAATCTGGCCTTCTGCTCCATTACTCTGGTCTGTGTCAGGATCATCTGATTTTTTTATCAGAAACTGTTCCAAAAGAGTCTGTTGAGAGAAATTTTGGTTGAAACTGAAACTCAAGTACAAAAAATAAATCACTTTGAGCCATAAAAATTAGCACTGAGGAATTACAATAACTTCCGTGAAGGACGAGTACGTTCAGACACCAAGGAAGGGTGGTGGACTCACCAGGACAACATCGCAGATATCTATTAATTCCTTCTCGATTTTCTTCCTATACTCTTCAATAGCCAGCTTTTTGTCTTCAGTTCCTTCATGTTTCTGCTCCAAAGCTGACACAACCCTCCAAGAAGCGCGTCTCGCTCCGACCACATTCTTGTAAGCTACAGAAAGTAGATTTCTTTCTTCACTTGTAAGATCTACTTTGTCACCTTTTTTGCTCTCTGTTGCCTCCTTCATTAACTTTGCCATGTCGTCGTACCTCTCCATTTGCTCAGCGAGCTTTGCTTTCTCTACTTTATCTTCTGTCGTCATCGTGATTAGAGCCGCAATCCGACTAAAATCTGCCGGGTTTTGCAAATCTTGTCGCTAACTTACCAATATGGCTGGACACAAACGAGAGCGTAATGAGCGGGCGTGCTTCAACCTCGAGGATGCGGGGGGTCCTGGCATCGCCGTGGAAACTCATGACGTTTTCTCATAAATTATAGCTTCTATGCATAAATTAACGAAGGAGCTCTCTCAGAATAAGACAAAGGAGTGTGTTCGTGGGCATACATATGTTTTTTAGGCCCGATTCAGAGCCGCAAGGTGAAGGTTAAAATGACTTTGAGAAAGGCCAAAATATATTTATATCCAAGAACATAAACTCTTTTTTTTTCCTCAGAGGATAACTTGCCACTTATTACCCACAGACCGAATAATATGAATTCATTTCCATAAATCATGTTGCAGTTAGGCTCGAAATCTTCTTTGACAGGAAAGATTTAAGAAATGCAATATTGTGAAAGAATTCATGTTGATTGTCTCCACAATTTTTTTTTCTTGAATATCCCCTGTCCTTCAGTAGCGGCTCTAACGGAGACAGGATGTTCTCATCGTGATGGAGAGGGGACAGGAAGCAGTGGAGAGAGAAAGAGAGACGGGGATAACTGTCCCCCTATTCCCATACACAATCTTCTGTTTTCACTCCCGAACATACTTCTCTGTTCCATTCCCGTCAGGACACAAACCAATTTCACGAAAGCAGTCTCCAAGGCGATGTGTGGTACCTCATCGTGAAGATATTTTTTACTTCCAATCCATCGAATCCAACTTACCTTTCAGTAGCCCCTTTCTCCTTTTCCCCTTCAGCAGCAAAACGTTTCAGACATTCACTCAGGAAGTCTGCGACTCTGGAGCTACTTCCTCTATCCTCACTTACCACACACGAGAGGGACGATGGGAATTAGAATTTTGCGCGCGCTTCAGTATGGATCAACTGCGCATGCCTCAATTAAGAGGACAAAAGGAACCTGGGATCGAATTGGACCGCACAGTGCCTTGTCAGACACTTGCAAGATCAGTTCGATACACTAAACTTCTTCTGTTAGCCAGAACCACATCGCTTAGAGAAGCAATCTGACTTTCTGTTGGGCAGTAAGTTATTTATTTACTAATCAAAATTAGTTCAGGCTTCGTAAGCGCACTACTTCCAAAACATAGTTTTGGACAAAGGTTCCAATGGCATTGTAGTCGAGTTCCATGTGGATAAAGAATTTTTAAACTGAGCCTGCAGATATTGTTACAGAGGTGAATTTATTCATTAATAAATATAATCGGCAGTTTCCTCAGGGGGAGGCTCCTGAAATCTGGCAGTATTTATCAGGTTTTGCAAGTAGCTTTCCATTGCGCCATGAAATTACTACTGAGCAAGTTATTGGTACGCTAATGATCCCAAGTGAACCCCAAAGTGTTCAAACCTGGCAAACGAGTGCTTAGAATTTTCTTTGTGAAAGTTATAGCTGTCATCTTTGATTTTTACAAAAGGAGAAGGCTGGGGCAAGAAATACCTTTGAATTAAGAGGGAGAGTGACGTTCAAAAGGATGGATAGTGGAAGGAGTTGTGTACTGAATATTACACCTTTCCTTGCCCCCTTCCCCCACCATCCACTCTGACTCTAAATTAGAAATGAATAGATGAAAATGAGCTTGTAAAGTCAGTGAATTCACCCTAATACAACGCCTTTTCTGCGGATTAGCTCAAACCTGGACTTTTCTTCTCCAGTCTGTAGAGCTGACCTCTAGATCATAGTATCTAGCAACAGTTATTATCACATGAGGCCTTGAAATTAATTTTCAACTATCATCCCTTATTCAGCAGGACTCCTGTGATCATTCAATGTCATCAACATCATCTCAGCTTGTTCAGTACGTAGTGGTAAGAGGTGATCTCCTGAGGTTGCTGTCATGGCCGATAGGAGCCGTAATAGCACAAGCTTGTCATGCAAGCACAGCTGCCCTGTGGATGCATTGTGATGATTCTAACACACTCCAATATACTAGTGACTTGGATAATATGCACAAGGTTGTGTTAGAGGTAAGCTTTTCGTAATTATCTCTTTACACCCTAACATCAGTATGCATATTCTCCCTATACTGTTCTCTATATATTTCCTAAGATGCTGACAAGGAGAGTTTGTCTAATGATCAAGAACTTCTCTTTAGTTGATGATCGTTTCCTTTATCCCCATGACCTTACTGTGTGATTTGAAGGTGATACTGTAAAGAAGAAATTAGATTCTAGTCACTAACCATTAGGCCACTGCAACTCCCACCTAAGTTACGATGGAGCATGAAAATTTTCCAAGTTCTTATTTTTGCATATGACTTTAGTTCCCACTTAATAAAAAAAACCCTCAAATTGAAATGGTATGGCAATGGACTCTCTTCAGTCATATTCAAACAATGCTTCTGATCTGGTAAACTTGTGCCCTGTGAGCAAGATGAAATGGACTCAAATAAGAACATTGGCTTGATTTTCCTTAGTAAGGACAGGCTTTCTGTTTTGTTTTGCTGTTTTTCAGTTCCTTTTGTGCAGTAAGATATTGCAGTGATACTGTATTTCCTTGAATAAGCACCTGCAAAAATTTCAGTGTAAAGGAAGGCCACTTAATTGATTTGAATCATTATCAAGAAACTATTAATCTTTTTTTACTCCACTGAAGTTGAAGCCTAGAAATTCCAATTTAAATAAAGTTGCATTAGAACCAGGTTTTCCTTGTATCCATACTAATTTAAGAAAGTGAGGAAGGAGGAGGGGGGTGCTTATTTTAGAGGGGTTCTTCTTTGATATTATGGACCAGGGTATTAGAGTATGCAGGCTAATGTTCAAGGAATTACAGTATGTCTCTGAAATTTCAATTGAGAGAAACATAACATTACATGACATAACATACCTTACATGAAAAGTTGAAAATTAAATGTGCTGCTCCTCTGATACTTGAACAGAAAACCCCAAAAATTATTTCGCAGATGAAATGTCTGTCTTCTTGATCTGCAAAAATTTTGTTTCCACAAACACTGCTAAGTGAACAAAAGTGCATACAGAGTACATATGCACATATATAGAGCACATTAAAGTCAAGGATGTGGTCCAAGGTTTACAGTAAATGGTTTGAATGGGGTAGTGAAATCTGATCATAAGGGTGAGAGTAGTCTTGAAAAGGACTGTTGTCTGCAGCAGTGACTGATTTTTTACAACTTGAGCACAAGTTACTCTAATAATGACTTTCCACTGAGGTTGTAAAAAACCTTAGTCAATTCTACCAACAACAGTACTTTTCAAGACTTATTCTCAGGAGATGATCATGCCACATCATTAAATCTCTCCTTCCATATGACCCTATCTAATTTCATGTAAAACCCATAGCTTTGGACTCAAATGAAACATCCTTTTTTTCTTTTCTCACTCAGGCCCCTAGTCAAGATGAACTGGAGAAATTATCAGGGAAACTATCTGCCGATGAAATTGATCACAAACTGTGGATTGAACAACCAGAGAACATTCCTACCTGTCTTGCAACCAAACCCTATCCGAAACAACAAATACAAAGTTATTTTAAAAAGTTTAAATTATTTAAATAAACTTAACTATTTACTTAAGGTAGTCATTTGGGGAGGCTTTCTAAAAATTCACTTCCATGTGGTTATGAAACTTTCAGTCATAATTAACCCTTTCACTCCAAAGATCTGATTGTTAACTCTCCCTTCTGGCTGCAGCAGATATCCTTGTAAATTAGTTGAGAGAATTTGGGGTTAGGTCAAGAAAACAACATCTACTTGATAAGTTTGAGTATTTCTCATTAGTTGTTTGCTGGATAATGTATAGATTTTATAGGGAGAAGTCACATTTTAATCACTTCTGGGAGTGAAAGGGGTTGACTGTAGAGGCAGCTTGTTTTGCTTCTTGTGATATTATCCTTTTCCTTTGTTACGATTACCTTGGTTTTGTTTTTGTAACACTTTTTCTAGTTTAACTTTGTTATAACCTGATTCACAGGTAAAATTTATATTGGTATTCTGGGCTTGGGTCAACAGAAATGCAGCAGTATACAGTTTTAAAAAAACTGCCCCATCCTACCCCTGGGAAAATTTATGTCAGTATTCTGGGCTTGGTTTGACAGAAATGTAACAGTATAGAGTTTTGAAAAAGGTGCCCCAACCTCCCCATGGTAAAATTTGTGTTGGTATTGTGGCCTTGGCTCAACAGAAATGTAGCAGTCTACAGTTTGGAAATAGCTGCCCCCACCCACCTTCCCCACCCCAAAGAGAAAGGAATGAAAAGGAGAGTACCTTTAACTCCCAAAAGTGATTAACATGTAACTTCTCCCTGTAATATATGAACATTATCCAGCAAACAGGTTATGATAATTTTCAAAGATATCAGATAGAAGTTGTTATCTCTATCTAGCACCAAATTCTCATAACTTACTTACAAGGAAATGTGTAGCAGCTAGAGGGGAGAATTGACAATCAGATCTTGGGAGTTAAAAAGTTAAAGAAAGAAATAACAAATTGAACCTCACATACAAACTGTAATAGAAAAATTTCAGATTTATTTGGCTCATATGATTTTCTTGATCTTTTTTTAATCAACTACATTTTCCTTCTTTTCATTTTTCCCTTGCACCCTAACATAAGAATTCCCATTCTCCATAGCAGTTCTCCACAAGTTTCCTAAGTTACTGATGAAGAGAATTTGTTTGATGATCAAGAGCTTCTTTATTTGGTGATGATTTCCTTTATTCCTGTGACCTTAGTGTGTGATTCATGGGTGATATTGTACGGTGAAATTAGACGTCAGTCACTCAGTTAAAGGATGCTCCTTGATACACACCAAAATGATACAGATAAATAGGTGATGGACAGACCATTTTGTTTTGGAGGGAGGGGGTAGGGTGGCAAGTTTTCTGAGCTTGTATTTTATTGTAATGGTCTTCTTCTTTTCCTGAAGCTTAATTTGCCCAATTTTATGCTGTGATTTTACTTGGGTTGGCACTTTTTTTTGTTACCCTATTACCATTGCTCAAACACCACCCTCAAGTGGTCTTCCCTAAAGCCACAAAAGTGTAATGGGAACTGCAGCCCCATTTAAAATTTACACTGCACAGTGAAAATGGTATGAATTACTTTTTTTCTCTCGTTCTTCAAAATAATTTGTGATTTTTGGACGAGGATCTTTGGTGGTAAATTGTCATATTTCTTGTCGCTTATACCTAACGCCTACTTGGATAGATTACGTAATAAGATCACGTCGGCGCGTTCCATGCTAAGCTTTCTTGGAACAGGAAGCAAGGAGCATTGTTACGTGACGAGACAACAAAGGATGCTGGGGAAGCATCATGGCGGAAGACGAGAAACCCGCCATAGTAAAGAGAGTAAAGAAGGAGGAAGGAGGGAAAAAAGAAATTAACCTTACCGATGAACTTTTGGTAAGCTTACCGGTGAAGGATTTAAATACTATTCTGCGAGGTTTCACTGACGACGAGATTTATCGCATCAAACAACGAAGAAGAACATTGAAGAATCGGGGTTACGCTCAAAATAGTCGGACCAAGCGCGTGCGTCAGAAGGAAGATCTCGAAGTCGAAAGGCAACAACTCCGCGAAGACTTAGAGCAGCTTGCCAAAGAGAACGATAACTTGAAGAGAGAACGCGACGAAGCGAGGAAAAAATACGATTCGCTGCAAAAATTATTGACTAACAGGACGAAAACTGTGGGTCTGCAATTGATTGATGGGGTCGGCCACGAGTCTTCGTCAACGGGCGACCACGAGATCCAAATCGACGTTGTGGGAGACGAAGAAGAAAAAAGTAACTTTAAAGATTCACAAGATTCCGATCTTTCCGACGATTATCGATCGAGGTCAAGGAAATCTTCGTTTCGATCATCAGACGAAGGAGAAGAATCTCGATGAATGAACTCGAATATTATCAAGTAAGACACGGTGTACGAACATTTACGGACTTTGTTTACAAACGAAAAGATATAGAATGCAGACAATACAAATCTCGTGTCAAACCCTATTCATCTTTCTGATCGTAGTAAAATTCTCCATATCTTTACGAAAGACCCTTATTTCGATAGAAATGCAATATTTTGGTAATACAGTGTGTTCTAAGAAGTTTATGTGTAATGTTCGTAAATGTGTAAATATCCGCCGTAATGCACGTATACAAATGAATGTGAGGTCTTAGTGTACAAACGGTTAAAATTTCACAAAATATTTTTTACATTTCATTCCGCGTTAAAAACGGGCAGACTTTCGATTTCATATCTCGTCTTGTTTGCCTAATTGTCTAATCGCCGTAGGGAAAGTTTGTACATATATTTCTATCTTTTACAAAGGTGTGTGGTTACAGTTCTAGGACTGTACTACAAGTTGTAATCCTCATTGAATCAATGAACATTGAATGAATTTTAACTTGAAAGGAATCTCTAGGCTCATAAATGCATTTCTGTTTCTCTATAGATCAAATTGAACTTGTTCCTGTTAGATTCTGCTCTATGAATGAATATATCACCATTATTTTCAATATTGGTCATGCTGACAATGCAGTTTTTAATTTATGGGTGTGGTGCTTTAAACATTTAAAATAATAAAACTGAAATGCATTTATAATTTTCATTTAAATAGTAGAAGGTTTCACAATTTCCCAACCTCACAACCCCAACTTGTGTAAAAAGAAAGAAAACTGACAGAACCTTTTCTTTAAATAATAATAATTACCAAATTGAATGTAAAATATATAATTAGACCAGATATTTTTGCGACTAAACAGTGGATCCTAAAACGGGTCAGTTATTACCCTTATTCACTCAATCACATTAACTGTCAACCATACAATTCTTATAATGCTAATTTAGAGAATTTAGTATTGGATCAACTTATCCCTAAATTGATAATTTTCTTTATTCTCATCACTTCTCTGGTTGATATTGTATTGATATTGTAAGGAGAAATTCTATCTTGGTCATTCATGGGAGTGAAAGGGTTAAAATCTAATCCAGTTCTGTCATTTAAACCTTTTCACAATTCAGTTTCAGAGAAACAGTTGCCCTTTAAACACTATTACGTCTGTATGCATATTCTCCATACTGTTTGCTGTACATTTGGTAAGGCGCTAAGAGAATTTTATCATCAAGAGTCTCTTTAGTTAATGTTCATATCCTTCATTCTCCAGAGCTTAAAGTGTGAATCATTGGTGCTATTTTAAGGAGAAATTAGATGCTAATCACTCTTGGAGGTCAAAAGGGTATCTGAGTTTGGATTACCACAACAAACAACTTTATTTGATTTAGTATCAACCTCTTTTTTACTGCCACCTGTACATCCCTCTATGAAAATGGTGACAATTGAAACAAGGATAAAAATCTAGCAACCAAAAGACTCACAAAATTTTTTCACCCTTACGTCCACAATCTGTAACATTAAGCTGATAAACAAAGATATTTTGAGTTGTTAGAGGAGAGAATGTTGATAGAAAGTGAGAAATGATGGGCCTATCAATACATTGGGGAATGCTAGACTCTGTTGGACTTGAAAAATTCTGACTGGGTTTAGCACAACCATTGTCCTCAACAAAAAATGTTTCCCTTGACACCAACCTCTCACAAAATCCCAGTGCCTGTATATATTTTCTGCAAATATGTTATTGGTTTCTTGTGACACAACTGTAGGATGATGGTAATAAAGGTCAAATTAGCTATTTTGGAAATGCTCCTGTTAAGAAATCACCAAAACAGAAAAAACTTGATTATTGCCGTTTATTGCTTATGCATTCAAATCCATACACAAACGTTCTGTTCACAACCAACTCTCCCTACTTGCTCACCCTCCCCATAATCCTCCTATCAATCACACTCAGTACCAGTTTCCATCAGCTAGTAGCAAAGAGCCTATCATAGCCTTCACCAAGTATGAATCTTTACTGTTTGATACTTCTCTCCCTGGATGGGATGCAGATCCATACTGACCCATACCAAGTTAATCTTAGCATTTTGACAGGGTTATCCAACAGTGCACTGACATCTATGTGTACCTTTTGGTGAAGGGAGGCACTGTTAGGCTTCATTACAAACCATTGTTCAGCCAGCTCTTCTTTGCCAAGATGCAATTACATTTTGGCCATGGCTTTGTGAAGTTTGTCAGTTTTACAACCTGCCTTGGTGTTATGATTGATAACCAACTCTCTTGGCATGCTCAATTAGACAGAGCTAAAACTTCATTTTCTGAAATAGTTGGTGCTTTAATACTTTAACTCCCAAGATCTGGATGTAAATTCTCCCCTCTAGCTGCTTCACATTTCCTTGTTCGTTGGTGATGAGAATTTGAAGTTTTATTAAAAGAACAACTTCAACTTGATAAGTTTGAGTTTTCTCATTACCAGTTTGCTGGGTAGTGTGTGAATATTACAGGGTGAAATTACATTTAATCACTTCTGGGAGCTAAAGGTTTAAGGAGAATGTCATACTTACCCAAGTCAGTTCTAGAAGAAATAAATTTCAAAACAATTATTCCTAGTGTCACTTATGGCATACTAGTGTGGGGAAATTACTCCCAACCATTACTTAACAGCCTAGATTATACTCATGCCTGCGCATGTCACATAGTAAATAACTTCCCTTGTTTGCTAGAAAGTAGCCTATGTCTGTCTCAATACAACTAGCATCCTATTAATTATTTATACGAGACACATATTACTTAAGATGTACCAAGTCTTCATAGGGTCTGCTCCTAGCCAAAATCTGGACATGTTCTCTAAATCATTTCAATCAACTAGATTCAGTAATCAATATCATATTATTAGGGTAAAGTCTGAATTAGGAAGGAGTTCTTTCCAATACAGGGGTCCTGATATTTCAAACTTTATAAATTAGAAAGTTAAACTTTCAAATGTTAGTAAAGAAGGATTTAAAGTAATCTTAAGAAAGCTTTCCAAAGATAATCTCCAATTTTCATTTAACAAAGAGGCTATTATGATTTCAAACAAGATGGATGATTTTATTTATTACTAAGCTATCATTAAGTTCATTATAGTCTTATTTATTATATTATTGTACATAGCAGTTCTACATCAGCTGATTTTATTTAATATTATTGTCATTATGATTCTATGTGCTAGGTCCACATCAGATGATTTTAGTAATTACTAAGTTATTATTAAGTTTGCTATAGTTTATTCAGTTTATAATATTGCTATTCTATATAGCAGGTCCACATTAGCCTCTGGTTGCCGATACAATATTGTCTCCAACAATTTTGCAATTATTAACCTGCTTAAATAAATAAAGGATTGATTGATTGATAGATTGAATGATGACTATTGGCTGGAATTAAACTGTACCTTCAGGTCATAGTGTACTGACCAATCCTACATGTCTAACACCATAATTCTTGCAATAACAAGACTGCATATTACTTTATGAGCTTCAGATTTATATTGTGCAAAAGCTGGCGAGGGCAAAGCACAAATTAATTATCACACGATTTGCAAGATGTTCCAAACTTAACAAGAAGACAGGCTCTTGCTTTTCTTGAATAATGGTACAACTAGATCATGCCTCAAGCTACTTCTTTTACTTCCTGTTTATCACAGAACAGAAAGAGAGTAGCATTCATAAAAGGATCCTGGTAGACTTATACAAATACCCATGATAAAGTAGTTAACATTCACTTGTCTTGAAATGTTGTTGTTACTGGTAACTTACTAAAGCTTAGTAGATTAAATTTCTGTGTTTATAAGTCAAAGTCCTGACCCCCCCCCCATCAAAAATTTCTGGACTTGATTATTAATTCTCCCTTCCACTATACATTTCCTTGCACTATAGTTACAAGAATTTAGTGTTAGATCAAGATAACCACTTCTACCTAATAAGTTTGAGTATTCTCTCTACCTGTTTGCTGGATAATGTATGGATATTAAAGGGAGAAGTTGCATTTTAATCAAGGGTAAACAAAACAAATTTGAGATGAGGTAGTAGTAAATAATTACAGCAAAAAAAACAGAATCACACTCCTTTATTATAAATGACAAGTCAAATAAAATGCAGTAATTTATGACCTCCCTTTCACAAACTAGTTCTGCTACAAATATACACTTGCTGGCTTCTACTCTCAAAAAAAAAGATTAAATTAAAGGCAGGTTGATCACTGCTTAACTTCAACTGAATTAAATTAAAGAATAGAATTGGCTACACAAAGTGTACCACATTCACAAATTACAAAATCCATAGGGTCATAAAAAAAGTGCTATCATTGCAAAGTTCTTGAAGTTTTAAGGCTTTGAAGTGTTTTCATGTAAATACTGTGTACATTTAGAGTCAACTTTACTTTTCTTCACACCACTCGTTTTCTTTGCGAACCTGTCACAAGAAGTACAGACAAGAAATGTTTGAAGGGGTAAGTTTCTAAAGAAGCTGTGGTGCTGTGTTGGTGGGAGAGTATAGCTGGTAACTTAGCATTAACAACTGAGTTGAAAAAGTAAATTAGCCACTGTAAAGGGTAAAAAAGCTGACGTTTCGAGCATTAGCCCTTCATCAGAGCGATTCAAGTTTAACTATATTTCTTTGTGGTTCCTGGAGTTCTCAAAAGATCTTGTAATTTTAACAGCCTGAAAGCTGATTTTTGTTTGCTGTGTTTCAAACAAGATCAAGATATTGAAAAGTTATGGATAAATCCTTCAACACTTGCCCTCCACCCAAAAAAAACCATAAGGGGGAAAAAACAGGGCAAACATTTAATGCAATGGTAATGCTATGCAAATAGTTATGTTCCATTTTCAAATTAAAATTTAGGACAAAATGATTTTAAACTAGCCTGAAGCAAAGAAGAGCAATATTAATCTATGACTGAATTGTTCCTTATCATTCTTCTCTTTCTCTATCTTTGTTTGAATATTTGTTTGTTTACAATTTTACTACAGAGAGAGATATAAAATCAAACCTGTTCTTCCTCTTCTGGTGTGAAGTCGTTCTTAATGTTGAATGTCTTTCTGATCTCCTCTGGCGTTTTGCCTGGTAGAAAAGAAATATCATGCATAATGAAGGATTACTATAGCACCATATCCATCTGCGGTAACCGGTCAAGTCGCCCGAGAGTCATCTTGCCCGAAGTCATGTCGCCCGAAACATGAGTCATGTTGCCCGAAATTTTAGTAATGTCGCCCGAAAAAAAAAGTCAAGTCGCCTGAAGAAACAAATACTAAAAAGATCAGAATTTCAAACTGTAAATAGGCAATAACGTTGAGAAATTTTTTATCCCTAAAGCGCTCTTTGTTTCCGACAACACCATGAAGATTCTTAAAGCGTTGATCGTTCCTTACAACAAAGGGAAACGTTGTTCGTTTCCAACAACAAAATGCAGCGTTGTTCGTTTGATATGTACTCGTTTCTTACTCACGGACGTTTCGTAAGCTTGAGAAACTTTTTCTTTTTTTCTAACAAAGCCATAAAGACTTTGACGACACAGAAATCGATCGTATGCTTGGAATTGAAATATGTTTGAGTAACGATTCTAAAAGTGTTGTTCGTTTCAAGCAACAAAGGGAAGCGTTCTCCGTTTCTAACAAAAGCATGAGGCGTTGTTCGTTTCTTACTAACGGACATTTCGTAGGCTTGAGAAACTCTTTCTTGTTTCTAAAAATGCCATGAAGACTTAGACTACACAGAAATCGATTGTATGCTTGGAATTGAAATATGTTTGAGTAACGACTCTAAAAGCGTTGTTTGTTTATAGCAACAGAGGGAAGCGTTGTTCGTTTCTATAACAACAAATGCACTGATACAGCGTAACATACAAGTAAAGTTCTGTTGTGTCTGTTTGTGACTTTCTTAACAATAACAGATGAAAACACCTGGTGAGCGAATGTCGATTATCGCGTTCGACAAGTCGGTAAAAGGTAAAGCGAGTAACATACAAATAAAGTTATGTTGTGTTTTTTGTGAACTTGGTAACATTAAAAATTAACTTGTTGCCTTGCGTAAGGTAAGTGAGATATTTTTAAGATAACAGTCTATTGTTTATGCTTGTGACTTTTTTCACAATAGTAGTCTGATAGCATCATTTCCCCTAGGATCAGAATAAGCATAAATTATGTAGTTGTGCTCTGGCTGTCGCATGTTTATTTTGATCCGATCAAAGTATATATAAAGAGGGTAAAGCTAGCTACAATACGAACTGATCAAAATGAGCATTCACCCTTGCATTGAGTGTGATAATGAAGTTAGCCCATGCCAACAAGCCCTACAGTGCGACGATTACGGTCGATCATATGGCCTTTCTGACCATATGATCGATTTCTGTGTAGTCAGTCTTCATGGTTTTGTTAGAAACCAAGAAAAAGTTTCTCAAGCTTACGAAATGTCCGTGAGTAAGAAACGAGTACATACCAAACGAACAACGCTTCATTTTTTTGTTAGAAACGGAGAACGCTTCCCTTTGCTTTTAGAAACGAACAACGCTTTAAGAATCTTCATGGTGTTATCGGAAACAAAGAGCGCTTCAGTGATAAAAATTTCTCAACGTTATTGCCTATTAACAGTCTGAAACTCAGATCTTTTTAGTATTTATTTCTTCGGGCGACTTGACTTTTTTTTCATAACTAAAATTTCGGGCAACATGACTCAGGTTTCGGGCGACTTGACTGTAAACCCCATCTGCCAATGGCACTTTACAGTACTTTGCATGAGACTTTGGCCAAACAGTATTGAGCATTTTACATTTTAAAAGGAAATTTTGTAGATGCCCCCTATTTTGGAAACAAGGCTAGAACACAGAAAAAAGTTCTGGTATACTGTACCTTTGATCATGTTTGCTACAGTTTTACATGTGACATCTAGAAGACCTTTGATATCAAGGTAGTTTGCAGCCTGCAATGAGAAACACACACTTAATTCATCAGAGTCTAACTTAGAACACAATACACACCCCATATGTTGGAGAAGGTAAAGAATCCGGTCCTACCAACACGTCGACCAATGCATTAGGAGTGTTTCGGCTGATGTGTTAGTAGTGTGTCGGCTGACGCGTTGGTAGTGTGTCAGCTGATACATTGGTAGTGTGTCAGGCAACGTGTTGACAGTGTGTTGGCCAATGCATTGGCCGACGCATTGGTGAGATTGGATTCTTTACTTTTACCCATATGTTTTTGGAATGTTCATTGCATTAATGACCAATCAGAGTAGAGATCAGGAAATGTGAGCAACTAACAAACCACACACTACTGTGGTAAGTACTGTTGTTACTTACGATTTAGTAAGCTATGCTTAAAGAGAAAGAAACTGATGATCCCTGCTCAATTTATTTGAATGACACAAACAGAATGCACTATCATGTAGCACAATAATGGTGATTCAAAACAATAGGTTTCTTGGAATCACAGAACAGATCAAACCTGGAATACTGAATCAAAAGAGAAGGCAGTCGTCAATAATAATAAAAAAAACTTCTTCTTAGCTTTTGGAGTTGCCATGTAAAATGTCCAAAGTGTCCTCTAACACGCTAACCACAATTACCAGCGTTTTCAGTATCAGAGAAGGTCAACGATCTAAAATTCTAAGCCTATATTTTGATTGCCTTTCTATTCTCTCTTCACTTGCGAATTATATCACTCCGTTTCTCACCACTATTCATCAAGGGATTTCATTTAAAGCCAGTAACCAGGGTCTAACATCATCTTATGCCAGCGAAAAACCTCCCATATTTGGTTTTGGCCTAACGTCAGCGCTGCTCATTACACCATTGGCAACTGCTTATGGGAAAAGTTATACATACCTCTGCTCTATATTTCTATTTCTTGATGATTCATATTCTCTATACTGTCCTATTTGCATTTCCTATGGCACTGAGAAGGAGAATTTGTTTGACAATCAGGAGCTTCTTAAATTGATGATCATTTCCTTTATTTTCATGAACTTTATATTTGATTCAAGGGAGACACAGAAAGGAGAAATGAGACACCAGGCACTCGTAGGGTTTAGCTCTTTAACCCCTAAGAGTGACAAGCATCTAACTTCTCCTCACAAGATCACCTCTGAATCACATATTCAGGTCACAAGAATAAAGAAAATGATCATCAAGTAAAGACGCTTTTGATTGTTCAACAAATTCTCCTTGTAAGTAACATGGGAAATGTATAGAGAACAGTATGGAGAATATGCAAACTGATGTTTGGGTGTAAAGAATTAAAGGATTAAGTTGCTCCATCTTCCACCCATTCATCTATAAGAAAGTCGTGCTTCATTTAGGAATCAAACTTACAAGAATGAGCTCAAAAAGTGTTCCTTGGTCCACTTTGAGAAACTCTTGATCCCAAGGATCAATGTCATCTGTTCTTTTTTCTTTGTTTTCATCATCATCTGGTGGGGGTGGGTCATCCTTGTGATGAGTAGCCCATTGAATAACCTTCATAAAAGCAAAAGATCAGATTATAAATTCTCCTATCAGGCTGCTACACATTTCCTTGGAAATTAGTTACAGGAATTCTGTGTTAGATCAAGACAATACCTTCTACCTGCTAAGTCTGAGTATTCTCATTATCTGTTTGCTGAATAATGTTTGGAATTATAGGAAGAAGTTTCATGTTAATCACTGCCAAAAGTTAAAGGGTTAAAGAAAAATTTGCGTCAAAGTGATTTTAGACTGGTTTGATGTACAATATGTTTTCTTTTTTTTTGATTATCATATGATAATTACATAATGTGGAAAATAAAAACCAACCAAGTTTGATATAATTTCAAACTAAGTACCATTTTAACCTACAACATAGCCACATAAGACTTGTTTGTGGCATATTGTTGGTCAAATTACCAAGCCATTTTTTACTGTTGGTGAAATCTAAATCTGAAAGTTTGTTTGAACTGAAATCTTCCCTCTCTTTTTGAACCCAGTATATAGTAAATATCTTCCTAACCACATTTTCTTGGTCAGTACTTTTGACTTATGGCCCACCCATTCCATAAATCTGCTGAAAAACTTGGTCCATTGCTTAAAGTACAGACCACAACCTCAAATAGTTAGAGGTATGCAAACACCCAGGACTCTGCTAAACAGTCAGCATTACCTTCTTAAGAATTGCCGCATTGACATTGGGAAGCGGGACAGGTTCATCATCATCCTCATCCATGCCAAGATCTGTAATGGAAGTAAATATCATGTTAACCCTTTACACCCTGACATCACTATGCATATTCTCTATACTGCTCTCTATACATTTCCCAAGGTGCTAACAAGGAGAATTTGTTTAACAATCAAGAACTGCTCAAGTTGATGATCATTTCCTCTATTCTATAGTGTAAATTGGCCACAGAAAAGAGTCTGTAAAGCTCATGTTATAAGCATTAGCCCCTCATCACAGCTAATAGAGGAATTGTGGGTTGTGTGTGGTTTTTATACAGAGAGATTGAGCTACGCCACAAGCGGGAACATGAAAACGCGAAAAAACATGAATAAGTTAATTGAATGAAAAGCATTTGTCATGGGGATAAAAAGTGCCTTACTGCTTTCCAAACTGCCTGGATATACGGAAAAGGTGGTATACTGCTGTATGTTGCTTAGAATGCTAAAAAGTACCGTTAATAATACTAAGTTTAAGATTGGTAAGTACAGTATTGTGCAAAAGTAACGCAAACGAACTCCGACTAATTTCCTGGCTTTTCGAGGAAATTTCGCTGCGAACGAAATTTCCGCGAACTTTCGAGGCACCTATTGTTTTAGTACGCCGAAATTACGAACGATATTTCGCTGTGGACGCTAGTGAGTTGCGAACTCAAGAGGGAAAGTTCATTCTTCTCGAAAGTTCGGTGCGAAATTTCGAGAGAAAATTCGCTCTACTTATTGCAGCAAAGTGTAGTCCACGTATTGTTGTAATGCATTGCAGAAATATTCGAAATCATTCTCATCCATTCAAGCAACTATTCAATCGCTGTTTCCTGTTGAAACCTCAGTGAATGTTTGATTGTTGATGTGATACGAACAGCCAGGTGTTCGAGTCTCAGTACAAACGCCCACGTAATCTCTTCAGGCAAGTGGAACTTGAACTAGGCGCCATTTGTTATGATTAACTTCCTCATATAACAACATATGAAATTCCCGATTTGTAGGCGAGACTCCGCGCGAGAAAGCGTGACGTAAACTATTCACAACCATGACGACGCATGGAATACCAATGCTTCGTAGACAATTCTCTCATTCATTTATCGATCTCGTAACATTCTGGTCGTCATTATGCCAAAAATATCAAACTATACTAGAACTCGAATCGAGCTCCTGTATAACTAGGGCTTCCATCCGGCTGGAATATTTAAAACCTTTAAAAGCGAAGGATTACAAGTGAGCCTTTCAGGCATCACTCGCTTGACCAAACCTGCGTCTTACTGGCTCCTGTCGTCTATTTCGTGAACGTTATATGAACGATAGATCGCACGGCAAAAAATTGTGTCTATCTAGCGCAAAATTGCGAGCAGTAGGCAGTAAACCTACGCTTTTTATCGCGAACTTTCGCTGAACTTTCGTTTCGAAGCGAAAATTCGACGAAATAGCGCTTTTTGTTCGACGGAAAATTCGCACAAAAAGCCTCGAATTGTCATTCGAACTTTCGCACGAAATTTCTAAGTTCGCGAGAACAAAAAACGAAATTCGCGCATTTTGCTTGCGTTACTTTTGAACAATACCGTAGACTTAGAGCTTTATTATAAGACCCAACCATCAAGACCATTTGTACATTTGTCTTTCTATAATGGGAAAGCACTGGGTAAATTGAGTTATCTGTGATCTGCACTTGTAATCTTACACTCTAACATCAGTATCAATTAATCAGTTTTCTCCATACTGTTCTCTATACATTTCTTATGGTATTGGCAAAGAGAATTTGTTTAACAATAAAGAGCTTCTTTAGTTGGTGATCATTTCCTTTATTCTCATGACCTCAATGTTTGTTTTAAGGGTGACACTGACAGGAGAATATAGTTACTAATCACTCTTAGGGGTTAAAGGGTTAACGCACTTACCTTCAAGCATAGTTTTGATTGTGACTGATGCTTTAGCAATTTCAACATCTACTTCGAATATTTCTCCATCTGAGCTCTGTAGCCTTATGTTTGGCATGTTCTGGAAAGAAATTCATTAATAATGTTAGTATTTTACTAAATTTGATATACTGGAAATTACCGAGTCTCATCTAACTGAGGAAATATCCAATAACCTGATCAAGATACCAGGATACGAACTGGCAAGAAGTGACAGATCTAATGGTTTGAGGGGTGGAGGAGTGCTAATGTATTACCGTGAGAGTCTAACTATTTATGAAGATCTCAAATGGAATATTGTCCAAGACCTGGAAGCTGTCTGGTTAAATATTACAGTATGTTCCCAATCTACTCTACTTGGCTGCTTATGTCACCCACCTAAATCTACCACCTTTTTGAACTGTATGTATAATTTGCTTGACAGGATCTTGATTAAAAGGAAAAACATTATCTTGCTGGGTGATTTCAACTCAAATTTACTGTGCGACATCTACCTCACCTACTTGGGGTTCCCCACCTCCATGTAAACAGGTCCTAAGACTCTAATTGACCTTATCATTGTTAGCCCCAACCTCCAAGCATCTCATATCTTAGCTAACTCAATTGACTTGAGCATCTCTGGCCATCATCTTACATATGTCACTTTCTCTTTTAAGAAGAGAAATTCTAAGCCTTATATATTTTCTGTTAGAAATTATAAGTCATTAGAAATTGACAAACTACAAAAGGACCTAGATGAAGCCCCATGGCATATTGTTAGTGCCGTAGAGGAGATTTAGGATAGTGTGTACATATGGGAAACTATCTTCAAAGAAGTCTTGGAGACCCACATAAAACATAGGAAAGTAAAGGCCAGATCCAAATCTCTTCATTGGATTAATACAGAAAACAGAGGGGCCATGAATCAAAAGTATAAATATTTGAAAGCAGCACAAGCTAATCCAGATGACAGTATGTTATGGGATCGATACAGGATTAAAGGAAACTGCATCAAAAGGATGCTAAGGATAGCTGAAGCCCAACATTGGATCAGTCAAATTAAAGAGTCATAGATACCCAAAGACTTCTGGAAAATAACCAATCGAATACTTGGTAAAAGTAAGAACACTAGAACTGGACCTTTACAAGACTAATGATAATGATAATTTAATAACAGATGATGAACAAAGAGTAAATTTCTAGATATTGCTAATGACCTTACTAGGAATTTCGATCCTGTCCCCTTTGATACAGTTTGTTATATAAACAGGGTTACCCCTACTATAGATAACTTTTCCCTGGAATGGGATGTTTTTAGGGATGATATTCTTAAAACCCTTCATCCAAGCAAGGCATTAGCACCAGATCAAATCTCACCTAAAGATCTTAAACTGGCATAGGGATCTCTTATTCAAGGCTTGTTTGAGGTCTTTAAAAAGAGCAAGGATTGTTGTAAGTTCCCCCAGCAGTGGAAAGAATCTTCAGTTATAACTGTCTTTAAAAAAGGTTGGTTGTTCAGTGCTCTAATAGTTATGATCTTAGAAAATCGCTCAATATTTTAATTGATAGACCTAATACTGAACTTGGCCATAGTTCTTTTGCACACAGGGCAGCAATTGCATGGAATTCATTACCGGATAATTTAAGACACTTTTCCAATCCAATTGCTTTTAAAAACAGGCTTAAAAAGGCAAAAAATGATGTTGTAAATATAAATTTTGGAAAGGGGGGTGGCTCTGTTGTTTATAATAAGAATTCAAATTTCTACCATTTCTGATATATTATGACACATTTATATTTATATTCATTGTTTCTTAGGATCTGTTTACATGGAGGTGGGGGACCCCGGGTGGGTGAGGTAACCCCCTAGGTGGGGTAACCCACCTTTCCATATAATCTCTCATTTTATCTTGACCACGTTTACATGATAGGTGGGGTAACCCACCAAGGTGGGTTGCCCGGTCTGCCAGGTAGGGTAACCCTGTCAGCCAGGGTGACAATTTGTCATGTAGACGTCTCAAGGTGGGGTAACCCACCTAGCCGGGGCCACATTCATGACAAAAAGCTTAAAAGCTAACCACGTACATTTTAAAACTTTGTACATTTCCCAGCCGTCTCATCGCATAAATCACCAGAAACCACTACGGACATACAAGGAGTGTAAAATGTTCACATTTCGGAATATTTAGCATTGTAAATCGACCATATTTCATTTCCCAAACCATTCCTAATAGCATATTAAGTCTACGATTCTTTGCATAACCTAACACCACATGACACAATGCATGAAGCTTTCATGAATAAATACACACAAACTCCCTAATTGTAAGTGCAACATCAACCTTAAGAAACCTCACTCCAGTAGCCCAGGGTTGTAAGATTGCAGGTAAACAAGTTTTATTTTTCTACCACAACTAGGCAGGTTACCGCACCTACCTAGGGTCCCCCACCTCCATGTAAACAGGCCCTTATTTAAGACTTAACTCTCGATTTATTTATCTTATTTTACGTTTATTTATCTTTTACCTTAGAATATAGTAGGTCCACATCAGCTGTAAAGTTACCATTTTTTTAACCTACTTATCAAATAAAGATATGATGATGATGTTATGATACAAACCTTGCTGCTTTTTAAATGTAAATTGCTTTGTTATCATGGTAACTGAAAAAAATACAGGCCCGTACGGGATATGAAACCATGACCTCTGCGATACCGGTGTAGCGCTCTAAAAACCTTAAACCTTAAACCTTAAACCTTACCCTTACCCGAGCCTAAATTCTTTTTTTAGGCCTTATTTCAACTGCTAGTGCAGTAGTGATCATAACTGCGAGGATCGCTTCTGTATTCGTTGCAAGAAGGTTGTTGGCAAGGAAAAGGATGGAAGGTGATGAAAGAGCAAGAATTTAAATTGACACAAACCCTAATACTTACTCTCGCGGAGAGTGCTTTTAAACTGCAACTCACAATAACGCTCAATTGCAAATTTTGTTAAAACTTTCTTTAATGAAGCTTAGAAACGAGGCTCAACTCAGTAGCCAAGCCCGCTGAATTTGTGACCAAGCCTTTCATTGTTTGCTTGGGAGCACTACTGACGAGTGATTATCGCAAATTGTCCGCGACTGCTAATATGGCGGACTATTCCAGTAACACCATTTGCGATTTACCAAAAGTCAAGCGACGTGATTGAACCAGAAATGAACATTGTAACATACATTACAAGTGAAGAATACATTTTTTAGTTTAAATCAAGGAAACTTTGCATGGCTGTTTCTTTCACCCTTGCCGATCTTAAGTTTCTTGTTCAGCAGAGTTTTAGCTCAACACTGTAGCGGCTAAGACCCACGCTCGCAAAGGTAAACAAAACTTATGAATAGTATCGCCACTATAATGTCCTTGACATAGTGCTAGTGGTTGGAGAGATCCCCAAGATGAATTTGTATTCTCTTGTACCTCTAGCCGATAGGATCTCGGGAGGCTTATAAAATACTACCGGCTAAAGGTACAGCTTTCATATTTAGTCAACTTTGCTCAATTATTACAACGGTTTACTTCACATTTCACTTTTTCTGCACTCCAAATAAGTCTTAGACTTCTTTTAATCACTTTTTTCAAGAATACGTATGCCGGCTATAGGTACAGCTTGCATACTTAGTTGACTTTGACCAATTTTTATTATGGTTAGCTCCACATTTGACTTTTCTGCACTCCGAATTAGTCTTACACTCGTTGGAATCATTTTTTACAAGAGTAAATGTACATTTATTTTTTTTTCATTTGATCTTGTACCTCTCGCTGGTGGGATCTTGAGAGGCTTAGAAAATACTACTGACCAGAGGTACAGCTTGCATATTTAGTTGACTTTACCCAATTTTTACTACAGTTTTCTATGAATTTTACTTTTTTGGCATTCCATTTAGTCTTACACTACATTAGAATAACTTTTTTATGAATATCTTCTTGTTTCTTGGTTGTGTACCTCTAGCTGGTAGGACCTTAGGTGGCTTAGAAAATACTACAGGCTACAGGTACTTTGTGCATTCAAGGTGAATTTAGCTCATTTCATTTACTTCTTGATTTATGGAAAAACCCTTCTACATTCCATGTTAGTCTCATACTGTTGTGGAGTCACTCCATAGGTATATTTTTATGCTTTGCAGTCTTGTTCATCTCGTTAGTAGGATCTTGGATTACTAAGAAAACACTACCAGCCAGAGGGGCAGCTTATGTATATGAAATAAACTTGAAATCATTGACACTGTTATGTTTTAAATTAATTTCAAGGTAATAAATTTTAAAATAGCCTTATTTGTATTTTCTTTGGTTGTGGATTTATTTCAATACAAATATAACAAGGTTTAGATGAATTTGACTTGAAATTCATTTTAGACTTGAACATGTCCACCAGATGTACTGAAGTTTTTCATGTAATACTCTGCCTCAGTTTAAGTGGAATCTCTTAGAAAGGAACAGTCTCTATTTTCATGATATTTGTGTTTGATCAGAAGTATTGTTTACAAGGCCAACCATTGTCTGAAATACTAAAATCAAGTCATCTTTAGGTAGTCATAGGATAACATGATTTTAAATCACCAAATTGACTTTTTCCCTTTGTATTTTTAATGATATTTAACAGTTTGTATGACTGTATGAAAACCTTAAGGCAAGTTATTCTTGAAAATATAGAATGGTTATCTACTATATATACAGGATTTATACAATTATCTAAAGAGATTAACCTGCGCCTGTGTTATTTATTGTATTTTTAATAAAAATTGCAACTATTAAAAATAAGTCAAACCTTTCTTATTGAACACCAACCAGAAACCCTTTGCTTATTGCTAGACAATGCCTGCTTTAGTTTCAGCTGATTCCTCATAAAGAGTCATTTGTTGCTCATAGCTTGTATGCTGTGCTATCAAATAAGCAGTGGTAGGAAAACACGACCAAGGAAAAGAAGATATTCTTGAAAAAAATGATTCCAATGTAGGATAAGACTAAAATGGAATGCCAAAAAGTAAAATGCAAAGCAGATTGTAATAAAAATTGGGCAAAACTAATTAAATATGCAAGCTATACTTCAAGTATTTTTGAAGCCTTCTAAGATCCTACTAGTTAGAGGTTATAGACTAAATAAGAGAGAACAAAATGTAAATGTGTTGATGAAAAAAGTGATTCCAAGGAGTGTAAGACTAATTTGGAGCATAGAAAAGTAAAATGAGCAAACCACAAAAGTAAAATGGGAAAAGCTGACTAGATATACAAGCTGTATCTCTAGGTGGTAGTATTTTCTCAGCCTCCTGAGATCCTGCCGGCTAGAAGTACAAGACAATAGAAATTTCATCCTATGGATATTTCCAACCAGTAGCACTACGACAGGATCATTAAAGTGGCGATACTATTCATAAGTTTTGTTTACCTTTGCAAGCATAGGTCTTAGCGGCTACAGTGTTAAGCTAAGACTGTTGAGCAAGAAACTCAGCCTCCTGAGATCCTACTGGCTAGAGGTACAAGACCGAATAAGAGAAAAAAAATTCAAATGTATTCTTTAAAAAAATGATTCCTAGGAGTGTAAGACTACAACTTTGAGTGCAGAAAAGCAAAATGTGGAGCAAACCATGCAAAGCATGCAAGTTGTACCTCTAGCCAGTTGCATTTTAGAAGCCTCCTAAGATCCTACCAGCTAAAGGTTCAAGACCAAATAAAAATATATAAATGTCTACATATTCCTGAAAAAAGTGATTCAAAGGAGTGTAAGACTAAAATGCGAAGCAAACTATGGTAACAATAGTGCAAAGTTGACTAGATATGCAAGCTGTACCTCTAGCCGCTAGCCGGTAGTGTTTTCTAAGCCTCCTGAGATCCTGCCGGCGCGAGGTAGGAGAGCTGGTGATTAGAGATGTTTCGATGATTCTTACACGACATCTAGCTTTAGACGAAAGCATAAGCAAAATAAACTGAGGTCTGCACATTTTGCGAGGAGTTTATGAAATCAATGCAATGAAAAATATTCCACGTGGAAAGAAGTGACAGGTTGCTTTTGAAATGAGAGCATATCTTAATTTAGAGTCTGTCTTTCATGGATCGCATTCTTGAGCCATTCAGAAATATAATTTCCTTCTTGTTTGGTAGAGGGCTGACTTCGAATCCTACAAAGGTGAAATTGTTTTTCGCATGTTTATGAGATCGAGATATTTATTTACTTTCTCTCTCTGATCGATAACTTCAAGACGTTGTTTATTATGCGGTTTTATCTTTAGTGCTCGTCTACCAAGTGGAACCACGGCTTTTTTCGGAATAGTGCGAAGCTGTTTTTTTCATTTGATTTCTAGATATCTTTATCTGATGTTGACCTCACATCTGAACAAGAAGAAGATGTGGGTAGAATTTTGGAGGCTTACAAAAATCCTCTCAAAGTTCAGCAATTTATTCTAGAAGGTGTGCCAAACGATTAATATTAATTAATAACATTATTGCATATTATTCTTGTGAAAATTGAAAATACCGAAGAAACAGGATATACTGTTACTCCCCTAAAATTAGTTCCCATATGCTTGTCTATCACAAAGTAGTGCTCAGCATTTCATGTGGCTTTCCTTACAGTTCATTCCAGACAGGTCATCTGGGTTATCATTATCATTGTCAACATCATTATGGCCACCGTCATCATTACCACAATAGACCCAATTTTTGATTCTCCCATATTATTGTCTGCTTAATTTTAATAAGCAATATTTCTTGCTTGATTACTTACTATTGATGTGAATTGATTGAATATAATGTTGTTTTTCTTTCCCAAGGTAAACAAATTTGTTCAATTCCAATTCAGCTTTGCTCCTTCTCAAATCTCCAAAAAATCATATTGCGTGGGAATCAATTGACTGATATTTCTTGGTGGGTAATTTACCTCAAACAACTCAAAGAGCTTGATTTATCATTTAATGCCTTGGTAAGTACCCATCTAAAGTAATTATTTTGATTTATTTATGGGCTATTCATTAGTTGCAGTAGTAGCTAATATTAACAATTAATGTTGATGAGACTAAGCTTTATCGCCAAGCTCCAAAAGGGAAACAAAAAAATGCATTAATGTCAGTATCTGAGCAAGTGTATCACACCTACCCCTCCCCTAAGCCGTTATCAAGCCTAACTTTTTATCACTTGAGGGGAGGGGTAGGTATGCAGTTGCTCAGATACTGAGGTTTATCCAAAAAATTGTTAGTGACTGTGATATGTTAAAGTGCCTATTAGCTGTGTCGGGTCAGGCTGGACAGGAAGGCATTTCACTCATAGTTATACTGTGTGAATGGTATTGAATGGTATACATCACCCACCAGCTGGGTAATGTATTCAACAAACTTGCATGTTTTTCATTTCTGAGAGTCAAAGGGCTTTTGTTCCTCTTTCTTCTCTAGGAAAGTTTTCCAAGAATCATTGCATATATTCCAACCCTGGAAGTTCTTTCAGTCAGGTACTAACAATGCAATTCTATTTTAGTCCACACATTTTTTCTGTTCTTAAAAAGTAATCTATTTGAGAATCTTGCTTTAACATGGTTGTTGTTTGAAAGGTTTTAAAAAAACCAAAGGGCATGAAGTGCAAGAAATCGCAGATAAGCAAGACATTAGTGGTATTAGCTTTGAGTCTGATTGGTTAAGGAGGTGGCCAATCACATAGCAAGTTGGAGTACAACCAAAGTAGCCTCAGTTTACTTTTGACACTCAATTGATAATTGCCTCAAACATGTAGAAAAAAATAGTTATGTATCATCATAATCATACAAATACCTGCATAAAGAAGGAGATATCCAGGAGGTTTAATTACTCTTCCATAAGCAGCTGCTACTAGTGTAATAGGCAGCTGTGCCCAAAGAGGGGATGTAAGGCAAAATTCAGACACAAGAGTCTGCTGGCTGGCTAAACAGCTGGTGGTAAGATGTCTCAAAGGTGGCGTAGACAACTGGTAACCAGCAATTTTTCCAACTTAGTGTTCGCTTTGCAAAATCCTAACAATCAGTGTTTAATTTGTTTCCTTCTTGCAGGGGCAACTATATAACTTATTTGCCAACAGAGCTTCTCAATTTACCAAGTTTAACAAGTCTTGATGTTCGAGAGAATCCTTTAACATCACCTCCATCAGAAATTGTAGAACAAGGGTTACAATCCATTTTCGATTACTTAAAAAAGAGGAAGACTAGGAGAAACCTGTTTTGCAACTTCAAACCGTGGTTTTGCGAGGACAAAGGCCCTGTTATTGCTGAAGTATCTACATTGTTTGAACTCTCTATCAAGTAAGTATTACTTCGTCGTGTTAAAGAATTTGTACGCATTTCTGTTCTTTTGAAATCCTTTAACCCTAAGATTGACATGACAAGCAATTAATTTCTCCTTACAATATGACCCCTGAATCAAAAATTGAAGGTTACGAGAATTAAGGAAAGGATCACCAACTAAAGAAGCTCTTAATGGTGAAACAAACTCTTCTTGTCAGCCCAGTAGGACATGTATAGAGAACAGAATCGTGAATATGCATATGTTAGTAAAACAAAGCGTGATAGTAAAAGCGAGGGAAGTCTGGGTCGGGTGCAGGCGTTTTACCCGACCCGACCCAAACCCTTTCGTTTTTTCACTCTGTCGCTACCATTGCGCTTCGTTCTACTGACTGAACGCCTGGAACAGGGTAGACTTTTTTCTCAACTTTATAAGTCCTTGCAAGTCTCTAACGAAGACATGACTAGGCTGTTTATACTTTCAGGTGTATTCTTGATTGTCATATCGACTTTCTCAGTGCAGGACACTTACCACCGCGACTGAAATCAAATCTCGAAGAGAACAGGAAGGAAGAACAAAGCTCTATTTTTATTTGCAAATGCAACATGTGCAAGAAGTATTTCTCCAATAAGTTTAGATTTGAAATCCACGACTGCTCGGTAGTTCAATAGCCAGCGGTATCCCTCTGGCCCTAACTGGTTACGTTAACTTATTTTCGTAAGCATTTAAACAGTATATTGCAAACAAATTTCTTAGGCTGACTGGTTGGAAATCAGAGAGGAAACATTTTGTTTTATAGCAGAGAATCTATGTAGCCCTGAAAGATATGACGGTGCTGCCTAAATTACTTTGATATCTGTTGGGGCATGAATAGCCTACGGTCAGGCCCTCATTATCAGAGCTTCAGGGCGCGCGTTTCTTCATCTGCAAGAGCGTTTAGGCTTTGAGGAACGCTAGCCAACGATAGGTCTACAAGTGGTCCGTCACTGATGATTTTGAATTAGTCAGACCCCGGCAAACTTCTCCCCTACTCGACTCAAATTCTCCCGTGGGCAGAGAAACGCTTTTCCTATAGCGCTAATAATGATGGCTGCCTGCAGCCTAGACCAGGAACACTATTATTATTTTGTGGTATTAAAAGCCTCGCAAAATACGTCAGAGAGATTTGAAAGCAGCTTTGTGAATACAGTTGTTTCTCCTGTTTTATATGAAATTTTACGCGGGAAATTGGCACGCGGCAACACAGCGGTCAAACATTGGGCATGCGCAAGGGGATAAATTTTACTTGGCCGCGCGCTCAATCTTTTTGTGCTTCTACACGCCAACAAACTTATGAATCAACAGCTGGTGCACTCACGGCACGAAGGCACTTTATTAAAAAGTTTGTTTCCTGAGAGACTGTGTCTGTTTTATAATCTAGTCAGTGGAAGTTTCCTTCGGGTTTACTGATGGCAGGTATCATGTTTCCTTATGGTTGACCAATCTGATCTGGGAACACCTAAACCCTGCATCAATAAACAAATGAAAATAGCTGAGTTAATTAAAGATAAATCATCTATTCTTTGATGAGCTTAATGTAGAAACTGGACGGGTGCGTACATTTTTATTTTTCAGGCGAAAAGTTTGGCAAGCGCGAGACGAACGCGAAAGGTGTGTCACGCACGAGAGAAGGGGCAGTCCTTACCCCGCGCGCGAACACCCCTTTATAACCTCTGTCAAGAAGACAGTAACCGAGTTGGCATGGCGCGCGGGCTCAGAGATATTTTCAATTTGTAAGCTCGTAGGCAAAGTGACGCATATAATTATCACGTGTGCGAGTTTAGTTTTTAGAGAGCCGTATTTTTGAGGACTTTTACGAAGTTTTAGTATTAGCCATGTTACTGTGTAGAGGTTGTTTTGGCCGGTTAAACGTGGATTTGTTTAAGGACAACCTCTGTATTGCAAATGTAAGCTATATTTAGAGTTGGCAACTTACTTAAAAACGGTCATGTGTCAGTACTTGTGTGACTCCGTTCCGCCATGTCCGAATCCTCCAGGGCCGAACTCTGAGGCATAACAAGGATTATGACAGTATGGCTGACCCTTGCGCTGAAAACATCGAACAATTTAAAACGAAAATTTTCCGTCAAGAGAAGATCAAACAAATATATTGCACCCTCCGATTAACAGCAATTTTAGACCAAAGGTTAACCTCGTTTTCAGGGTCTTTCTTCTTCCTCTTCCCGCTCCCCTCCCTCCAGCGGGGAGAAGAGTAATCCTGGAAACGAGTATGACTTGAGGTTTCTAGTCTAAGGGAATAAGACGGGACGAATAACTCAACATAGGCGGGGGAACTAGGGGCAGAGGAGGCCTAAGCAATAGCGTACTTCGTCCTCCCAGACGAAAATTCCCTAATCTTCGGAAAATGTAGCCAGCAATTAAGCTGGTTATTAATCCCCCCCCAGGATACGAAACTGTAATAATTCCCTATTTAGCACCCCTTTACTATCGTAAATGAAGGTCACTGTACATAGGCCGTTTGAAGAAACTAAATCAAGACAAATAAGAAAACCTATCCACAGGTTAATCAAAAATTTGAAACATTTACCAACGGCACAGTTCACCCTCTCTGTTTATTTTGTATATGAGCAAGGGAGTTTTCTTTGTTTCCTGATAAAACGAGAAGTCTCCAATTTGCAACTATTGAAGGGTCGCCTCTTTCGATGGCTGACCTCTCTCTGAATGATCTCGTTGACTTACCTCATAGGTTCTGGTAACACGATAAAACAAATGCGAATTCTTTAGGTGTGGTTTGTTACCTTAAGCTTAATTTTAGGTAAATGAATTCAAGTCACGACATCCAATATCATATATAAACAAGAGCGTACTTTCAGACATTTTTGTATTGAATTTGCATCAAATCGAAATCTTGGCTTGTCAAAGCAAAGCATACGCTCAAATAGTGGGGAAAAGTGCAGTTAATCAACAGACCTCAGCGTGGTTTCCTTTCGCAAGCTGCCTGCCACACTTCTTACATTTTAGACACAATGGATGATACCAATTTCCAACAGACTCTTTTTTCTCGCCTGTCAAAGAAATGGCAGATATGAATACGAGATCATGATCATCGAAGAACAAAATCTTTAATTTTTTACGCATTGACAAAAAATTTCGTGAGAACGTTTTCCATTTAACGCCAGAAGCATCAATGAAGGTCATAAGCAACGAAGAATTCTCCAGCTTTTATCGTGAGTCGTTCACATCACGGATGCAAATAACACTCGGGAAAAGCGCGCGTCGAAGTCAAAACAACAGATCCCAAATTTTCAAATGATCGACAAAAAATTAAGAGCATACCCATGTAGACGGTCTTCTCGCAAGTTGGACACTTTCGCGACATGATCCAGATAGATTCTTGCTGTTCTCAAAGCAGATCCAAAAAGTTTTCTTCCTGGTTGTGAAATCAAGATCGCTTGGCGTTTTCCGAACTCGCACCTGCCTGTTGTTATAAGAAGACAGTCCATTTGAATACAAATTGCATATATTTTCACCGGGTGATCTTCTTCTTTGTCCAATAAGAATGCGCGTGGGTAACGCTTCCAACACGAGGAGATGGAAAAGGAAAAAAAAAAAGGATCGATCAATTTTGAATGAGCATCGTAGTTTAGCTGGTTAGTCTATACATCTAAAACCGTGTCTTGTTCCGAGAAAAATGTTAAATTTAGCTTGCCCATTACACTCCGAGCAGTCCTTTCTTTTTTGGGGAAATCAGTCGCGCGAGTCAAGAAAACTCAGCTTAAAAGAACGATTTTAGTGCTAAAATCAACTTTTTTTTTTGTTGAGTTTTTTTTGTCTCACGCGACTACCGAAAAGGGGGGTTGCTCGTATTCTTCATGCCCGAGGTCCCCTTACAGAAAAGTAATGTTGAATACTAGCGTACAAAAGAACTTTTTGCGAGTTTTTGTACATCCGATATAAAATAACAAACAGTAGACACAGTTTTCTCTTCTTTTTTCTAGTTCTCTCAATTGTACGAGAAGAGAGGAAAGAAGAGCATTTTAGTAAACACTTCCTTTTAAAATGAGGCCGAATCATTGATCATAAGTTTTCATAAAAAATATCACCTGAACATCTGGTAATGTTCAAGAGTTCTCATATGGCTATTATGCTCTCTCAAAATTAACATACGAAAATAACATAAGATTTTCCATCAGTATTCTGAGGTTTCAGAATTTAAAACTGAATTAAAAATCGTACAAACTATTGTTGAAACTAAAATAAAAACACCATAAGAGGTTGAGTACAAGAAAATGTTGATTTGAAACGTTGATACACAGATTATGACAGTCTAGCCACTGAAGATGTCGCCGTAGGGTAACCTGTGTGCATGAAAGCACAAAAGAAAATTGTTTTGTCGATAGAACAGTTGATTTGTCAAAGGCCTCACGCGGAGTCGATTATTCAGCAGAGAAGATTGACTGAAGCGTGCTTTGTTATACTCAGTTTGACGTGTATTGTGTCGAAACCAAGCCCCGCCGGGTGTTTTATAGACTGCGAGCGCGCTCTTATTATCGGCGGTTCAGCACAAGGCCTTGAACAACATGAGCTGGCGAGAGGTATGTAAGGGGTCTGGGACTGATAACCCATGTGTCCTGCAGCGATAACAGAGGGAATGCTCGCAAGCCGGATGTTTGAGTTCTTCAGGTATTCGTGGTCTTTATATTCACTTTTGGTGCACAATATTTTCATGAATTTGTTGAGAACGTTTTTAAAAAGTTTATAGGTACATTGGTATCTCGTTGGTAAAAATTAAGGTATATAAGTATCCCACAGTATCCTTCGATCTTACCGTCAGGTTTTAGCCACTCCCATGCCACTCGATGAGATTAACATAAGCTTTGTATTAGCCTCTGTTAGCTTAAAGCAAGGAAGTGCCTTAATAAGATTGATTAGAGAGGAGTGGTTGGATTAGTTTTAAAGCTCAAAAGATCTTCATTCAATTCATATCTATCTCATAAGGCACCTTAATCTTTTCCGTCTACATACGACTACCAAAACCATCCACATGTACTTCAGAGCGCGTTTTGATTGGATGTACTAAAGCCAAAACCGAACTAATCCCTACGACCGATCTGGGTAGAGAAAATGTCACAGGGAGCCCATCAGAGCGCGACCAATTAGAATAAAGGAAAATATCACAAGAAGCCAGCCAATGAGAACTCAAAGTAGAAACACGCAGACTGATTGAAGCGCGGGAAAACCCACCGGTGAACAAGTCGCGATTGGTTTCAGCTATGCATTTCATTGGCTGAGAGAATGGCGTGAATTGTTATGGTTCGTAGTGAAGCAAGACCAAAAGCATCCGTGGATTTTGATTGGCCCGATTGAAAATCCCTCAATGGCTCACACAAAGGGAAAAAAATTGCCAGAAGCGAGAAATCCCGCGTTTGATCAAGTTGCCATTGGTTTCAGCTTTGTATTTATTCCAGGCGAACCGATTAGTATACACACCGCGTGGTATATTTTAGCATTTTATCGCTGGAGGCCTCATTATTGGCGCCTGATCCTTCGAAACCTCTCACCGGCTTGCTTTGCTCTCACGCGGGCGAACAAACCCCACCCTACGGTGAAATAACTGACTCTGTCACAAAACAAACTTTACTTTATTGTCAACCTTTATTCTTGCATCATTCCAAAAAGTGAACAAAGGTAACTAATAAAGTAAATATATCTTAACGCAAACTGTACTCTCTCTCTAACCTGTAAAAGGAAAACAAACATAAACATTCATAAAGCTCAAAAACTAACAACAATCATGCCTTTCATATCTTTTTTTTCAAACCTGGTCCATGGACACTAACATTAACCCTAAGCACCCTTACATCTGGATGCATATTCTGATTCATATTCTGTACATTTCCTATGGTACTGATAAGAGAATTTGTCAAATAATCAAGCGCTCCTCCCTTTGGAGATCATTTTCTTTATTTCCCTGACCTTAACATTTGATTTAGGGGAGATACTGTATGAAGAAATTAGATATCAGTCTTTAGGTTTTGTGGATTAACCCCTGCACTTTCTTAATTAATTGAGATGCTTTGGAGCCCTTTCCTATCAATTAAGTCAACCTTTATTTAGACCATGATTTACATCTCCCAGTACTCTGAGCTGTGACCAATTTGGTCACCATGGCTAACGAAAAAGTTGGGGTGAAGAAATAAGTGCCATGACCTTTAAGAGCCAAAGACTTTCCTGTTCTTCCCAAGTTAACTGAGTCAATAAGCATGTTATAATATTGCCATCATTCTATATTTTTACACTTTCTTCTTTAACCCTTTAACTCCCAAGATCTAATTGTTAATTCTCCCCTCTAGCTGCTGCATATTTCCTTGTAAATTAGTAACAAGAATTAGGCATTAAATCATCATGATAACTTCTACCTGCTCGCAGGTTTACATTATCAAATACAGCCCCCATAAGGCAAATTTGTGGATAATGTTTTTCAGTAAAAGCACCAGCAGGGCCATAGGGGGTCATATGATAATTAACCCTTTAACTCCCAAGATCTGATTGTTAATTCTCCCCTCTAGCTGCGACTCATTTCCTTGTAAATTAATTGTGAGAACTTGCTGCTAGATCAAGATAGCAGCTTCTACCTGATAAGTTTGAATATTCTCATTACCTGTTTGCTGAAGAATGTATGGATATTGTAGGGAGAAGTTTTATGTTAATCACTTTTGAGAGTTAAAGTGTATGTGCCTTGAAATCTCACCTACCAAAATGCTCTTCAGGAATGATAACTTGACATCCTTAGTTGTATGAGTGTGATTCTGTTCCACCATGACCATACCCTTTAGGGCCGAACAAGTGACTGTAACATGGGATATGGCAGTATGGTTTACCATCCTTCTGCAAATACCAAAAAAAGCAATCATCTGAGCAAAACTGTCAGTGACACAGTGTCATGGGACTCTAGAATCAAGAAAGGGTTGCATTGGTATTCTGATATGTGATTATTGTGTTGAGTTCTTTAACCCTTTTACTGCTGATGCTATACAATTCCTACAATATTAGTTCCAAGTATTTGGTATTAAATCAACCATTGATCCCCTAATTTATATTTTTCTTTAATCTTATCACTTGTCTGTTTGATATTGTGTTGATATTGTTGTTGCGTTCCTAGCACGGCAGACACAGGGTGCAGGGTAATTGGGTCTGCCAGGTCAACCACAGTGAAGTACAGGACTTCAAGGAGTGGGGGAGGGATGGGGGGTCTGTAAAGGACTTTCCAACTATCCTGGGGATGTGGTATTATGGCTAGTCATTTCATGCAATGGAAAGTTGATCAAGTGGTGCACACAACTTGGGAGCTAGATTTCTACCACACGCTTAAAAAAAGGGATTCAATCTATTGTATTCAATTCATATTTCAGTGATATAAACTAGACATAACATTGCAATGTGATTTATCAGCAGAAGGGGATGGGTCGGAATGTGTTCTCTACCCACTCCATGAAGGATCATTTGTAATTCCAAGGTGTTTGGGGGTCTGGGAAAATAAACCTTTAGGGAAAATGAAAAAATGTGAAGTGTAATTGGAAATTCCCTCCATCAGGGAGAAGGTTCAAATGAAAAAAAAAAAAAGCTTTGATGGAAGGAAGAAGAGTGTGAAGTAGGGGAGGGTGATGGTTCAAGTGGAAAAAAAACTCTGAGGAAAAATAGGAAGCTAAATTAGAATCTCCCTAAAGGTAGAGAAGATGTTCAAATGCAGAAAAGGAAGAAAAAAAAAACCTCAGAGGGAAAGAAGGAAAGTATAGAACAAAATTAAAATTTCCCTCAGGGTAGGGTAGAGGTTTAAAAGGAAAAAAAAGGAAGAAAATACTTTGAGGGAAGGAAGGAAAGTTTGAAGCAGAATTGGAATTCCCCTCAGGGTAGGGTGGAGGCCCAAGTGGAAAAAAAAGTAAGAAAAAAGAAAACCTTTGAGAAAGAGGTCATGGATATTGTGTAAGAAACCATAATTATTATTGTTCAGATCTGTGGATTCAACTTCAAAAACGAAACATATAAAACAGTCATGAATTGAACAGATTTAGGAATTTTTATAGCACAGAAAAATTAATTTCACTCTGACTCAGAGAACTCCTGTGCATGTAGAGAGGGTTAAGAATCTTAATTTATTCCATTTGTACTATAAATCATATAGACAGCACCTGTCAATCTTTTGAATCGTTTGTCACCACAAAACGACAATTGATGAATAAAAGAACCACTAAAAGTTACTGCTTAATTGCATGAAAAGTGCAAATTCAAATTTCAGATTGACTGAAAGGTGCAAAGTATTCAACCCCGCGCATTTCAAAATAATTTACTACAAATGGTAGCCAGAAAGTTCACCAATAAATGTTTATCTTAGCATGTTGTAAGAGTGTAAGAGGGAATTTGATAATTATAATCAGATGATTGATTTCATATAAATTACCCCCTGTTTAGATTAACTTTTGACAAATTCTTCAGATTCCGAACTTTAAAAGGTAAACCGCAGCACAAGATAGGTTGAGAGGAAACAGACAAAGTACCTCTGCATGGCCACCTGAAGTGAGCGTTTTCCCGCATCTTGTACATTTTAAACAGCCCCTGTGCCAGTCTTTTCCTAAAGAAGACACTTTTTCGGCTAGAAATGAAGAAAAACGAGAGAGTTTTTAATCAGACACGGGTTTCACTCGCGATAAAAAGATAAATCAATAAAGTCAAGATCTTTTTTAGCCCCAGACAACTATTTCAATTAGTTTAACAATCTCCGCTACACAAAGAGTTTGTTTAACAACTAACTGTTAATCTTGTTGTCCTATAATGAGGCTTTGACCTATATACTGAGTAGCTAGAAATGAGCGACAATACCGAAATAAAATTATTCGTGTACGAAGATAGCGAATGAAATAATCTCCCGACCTGCGTAAGCCAACGCATTTTCCAAATCTGTAAATATTTGTTATGCCATTACTTCAGCTACTGAACAAGATTTTATTGATAATTTTCTACTAACAACGTCAAGTTAAGAGTCCATGAATCAAAATTGATGAAATTCAACGCGTAGAAAGCAAAAAGGACAGATACTGAAAATACAAATATCAAGTTGACAGAAATTTGAACAGCGCGCGTGTAGTTTTTATGCGAGCGGTGTTGATTTAAATAAACCCCTCTAAGGCAGTTTTTACTTACCAAAGAACACATCTTTGTTACAAGTCGGACACTTTGACATTTCGAGGGAAATGCAGTAAACAGATACGCACAAGAATAAGACAAATCGGCCGCAAATTATTACGTCAATAATTAGATAATAACAATTACGGTCAACAGACGAGAGGCAAGGAATACAGTAAATATCCCATGATCATAAGGGAGCATGAGATTAAGATAACTTCAAATGAACGTCAACAGAAAAGGTTGTAGGGTCGATTGGGAGACTGTTATGATTATTTTTGTTCTTCACGCCAATGTATTTTTTTTTCAGTTGCAGTCGCTGGGAATGTGAAACTTTTCGAAAATCTTCCTTTTTCCATAATAAATATCTACTGGAGTTTGAAGGGAAAAAAAGCCAACTCATGTTCAGACTGAAGGCAAGGAGACTTCCTGATAATATTGAGAAGGTAACTGTACTAAATCTTGAGAAATACATTACTTGCCGTTTGCGAGAGAGCAAAAACCGATGTCAAAAAGTACATACAAACAAATAAACCAACAAGTGACAAAATACATTCGTCTTTATTTAGGATTACTGGCAAGAGCTACAAAAGACAAAACATGTCATCGTCCTAATGATGTCTTGGGTGCGGTCAGCGTCAGTCATGTCTGAACTGAACCTAGGGATTAGAGATTCAAAAATATGCTCACTGTCATGTTTTAAGGTACACGGTTATCTCCCATCATCTCTTCTGCAGCAAGTGGGATAGGTGTTAATTTGTTTATTTACATTCATTTTTTTCAGTTTTTTTTTTTTTTTTTGATGATCGGGAACGAACGCAAGAGTTTCCCCTCTGTTTGCCTGGAAAACATAGTAGGAAGAGGAGAATGCTTCTTTTTGTAGGAGGGTGTAGCCAGGGCTGGGATATTTCTGTCCCATCCCCCCTCCCCAAAAAAAAAAAAGGATTGTGAGCTCCAATTGGGGATATGCAAGCTTGCACGCGAGCGGTGTGTGTTGATGTGTGTCTGGATGTCAGAAAGCAATAGGTGATCTGTTTTTTAACATCATTTGAGCTTCCACTGGCTCTTTGCAATCTTCAAATTGTTGTTATTATTTACTCTGGTGGATTATATCGAATACAGTTTAATGACAATCGATATCTACCTACATTTTCTTTCCATCAGTGCGTGGCGCGTATTAGGCTCCCAGGCATCCATTGGCGCAGCGAAACGAGCGAACGAAGAAAGCCTGAGAGTTTTGAGCCCGCGAGCTATGGAAGTGCGCGAGTGCTCTGTGCAGGATCTGCGAGGGTTCAAAACGTGAGGATTTCTCGTTCCAGACCTTTCGCAAAACTCTCTCGCGCTCGCTTCGTTCGCCGCTTTCTCTAACGAGAGCTTGGCGTGTGCGGATACAGTAAGCAACAGCGCGACTCTCACTTGTAGTGCGTGGTGAAGTTAGTATTTATGTGATTCTGTTCCACCGTGGCCAAAACCTCCTGGGCCAAACAATGCAGAGTAGCATGGCTTATTGCAATACGGCTTGCCCTGGTGCTGGAAAATTTTAAAAAAATACAGTCATATTAGCAATACAATCCAGGATTTAGGGGCTATTATGCGCTACTGAGGCTTTGATTTAGCGGTCACCTTAGCCGGCATAGCTAGCGGTTTTTGAGTGCGCTTTGAAGTGTCGAGAAGCAGACCTAGACAAAACGGGTGGGGCTTGGGGCGGAAGGTTTTTCCCCTTATTTTCGCGGCTCCAACGCCTTTATTTTCATCGAACACCTAGAGAACCGCTACCTGTGCAGGTCACGAACAACTGCGTTGTAGCACCTGAGCAACGAGGACCCCGCACATTATTGGCACAACTTTTGTCAAAATCAACTTCAGACCCCACGTCTCAAGGTACTCCTGCACACAAATCGGCTTTCGGGCAGACTAGTTCCCAATCGTCTTGATAACACGTCGAGCGAGGGAACGCTAGGTGTTTTGGGAACGGAGAAAGCGTTACTTCTTTCTCTTTCCTCTCATCCTTCCGTGCCGCGCGCCTTTATGAAAAGAATGCACATGGGGACAGGGTCTCGCGTGGTGGCGCACAGCGATTGTTTACACAATTTTTTATGCCAGAGAGAGCTCGTCATCCGTTCGCCGTAAACAATGCGCGGCTATCAATTTAATGAGACAGATAACATGGCATCTAGCATTTTCTATTTGTCTTAATGATAGTCCCTGAACAGACGCAAATAATATAAATTTCCTGTTAGGAATTCTCTGAATACCATAGAGATATTCTAATTCTGACTACAAGAGAATCTCGAAAAACAACTCTTCGACAAGTTTAAAAGGAAAAACTCTTACCTCGGCATGACCACCAGAATTCAGAGTCTTATTGCATTTTTCACATCTCAAGCAAGGCCTGTGCCAATCTTTGCCGAGAGAAGTCACCTTCTCAGCTGAAACACAGACAAACGAATTACTGTCATTTGCCGGTCCACTGCTCAGAGGAGTGTCTAGTATCGATGGTCCAATATCCTAAATTCAGTACTTAGAAAAGTGTCATGGCAATTATTTCGAAGACCTCGTAGACGGATTTCAAATTATTGTGTTACTGGTTCCCATGTACAATTCAATCATCGAATTTCGTTATTTTAATATTATTCAGAAGGTGGATTGGATATCTCTCACATTACTTTCCATTCACCCGTTTGAGTCAAGGCTTTTTAGATTGTAAGAACGCCCTACTGGGGCCAGTTAGTGTAATAAGTCAGCGCCAAAGGCGTGATATGCAAAACAGAGGGGCCTTCGATTAGGGCGTTGTGGCTGAAATGGCTTAAAGTCTATCCTAACATATAACCTCAAAAACGCGAAAGTCCCGTTCAACAAACCCTCCAACTTTACATAATAATAAATTCAAATTAAATTTCTCCGTGAATACCGCAGATTTCTACGATTTGCTGAATACCAACGGCTAGAAAGCTCCCAAAAGGTGGTCCCGCTCCAACAAAAATAATTAAATATGCAGAGTTTAGTGAACACTTCTCCAAAGTTGCAAGCATTTGCAAGAATCTTTCGAACAGGGATTACAGTTGATTCGATCATTCGTGTTAGAAGCTCCAGCTGGAACTACGAAATCAAATCGATAGAGAATCAGTTTTTCTGCACGACAAAACAGTTTCGATGAATTCGATCAGAATGGGTGACCTTGTCAAGAATTTTTAATCCCCATGTACGTCTCGAAATTGTGAAGCTAACTAAACCGTTCCCTAATGTTGCTGTAATTACGAAAAGAAGGGTGCACTTACCAAAATACACTTCCTTGTTGCACTTGGGACACTTCGGCATTTTAGCTGAAAGAGATGAGGAATTAGTCGACCGCAAGATCGTTTGACGAAAGCGAAATAGTAAGCTCGCAATATATTTGCATAATACGATATTTATTTAATTTGGAGCTCAAGTTACGTACCTTTGTCAGCTGGAGTCTCGTGGGTCATGCGAGTGTGGTTAGGAGCAAAATAAACTTCCCATGAGAGGAGCTAAGATATATTTAGTGTTGATTATTTGGGAAGCAATTCCTTGAATTTTTAACACCCCACCTTCGTTCAAAACTTCGTGTTTCATGCGATGGTGTTTCCATCTTGTAGGAAAGCCAAATTATCTTAATCTACCATACCATATATTTAGCTCTTGGATTTTCACTCCAGTATACTGACAATTTTCCAACGCACAATAAAGCAAAATAAAGTTAGCAAACCTTTTTCGACGTTTAAGATTTTCACAAGTTGGTTAGCCTCTCAACTTGTAAAAGCGTCTTTCACACTTCTGGCAGCAAGCCCAAAACACCAATGACAGAATTACTATTTCCGAGTCCCTTTATATGCAAAATAACATTGTGATGGAAAGAAAACAAACACAACAAAACGTGTGCTTTGAAAAATGAATGACGTAAACGTTGTTAACTCCTGACAATTTTTTTTTTTTTTTAATGAACCAAGACAATATTGGCCCCATAGGAAGCCCTAAAACCTTTACTAGATACAAATTATCGCTTCAAAGGAAAACAAACGAAGGCTTTGAAAACAGTTTCCATGGAGTTCAGGAACTTCTTTGAGCGACTTTTAGTTTGTGGAAGCATAACTTTAATTGTTTCTATCGCAAAAATTTAAGACAATTAGGGAACTTTTTGTGATGTATGCAAAGAGCAATCCTTATCGATCATACAAAAAGCGGATCACTAAGAAATGATAGTATTATACGAAAACAAAATAATACTCGGATTTCCGGAAGGGTGTGATGGTGGAAATAGCACAAATAAAGAAAACTGTTAGCCGGACCCAAATAGGATTGGCTTCAATGTGAATAAAGTGGGTGTCCTGATCTGAAGCTTAATTCTCATAATCCAATACGCATTTTATTCTCAAGAAAGTATGCAACTAACAATGTGAAGAATTCTAGTTCACTCTGCTTTTCTGAGCAGTTGTAGACGTCATGTTGCCGAATAGCTCCGGGAAGACGAAAGACCAAATTTAGACTCGCGAAAAAATTATTATTAATTGATGATGTTTTCGATGTTTTGAGTCCCTTCAAAGTTTACAATCATTCTTCCTTTTAGGGAAATTCTGGTCATATTTAGTTTTTGCGGGTAATTTTGACACTGTTCAGGCCAAGTTTTCATAGTTGCGCAGAGACTTTCGTTGTGCAATTTCTCACTGGAGAGAAGGTAAATATCTGCCATGTTGACTTACAGTGAGGTTAATAAGCGCTTTCGTCATGCCCTTACTTTAGGATATACTAAACGAGTTGAATGACTAGCGGACCAAATCATCCTTAACTTCAGCATTCTGTGCGTAATGATCAGAACTGGAATTGTTTTTTTCATAATCTCGAGGCAGCATTTTTTTAGCAACACTGGTATTAAAAAAGGAACAAGAAGGACAGGAAGAAGACAGAGAAAAAGAAATTTTGAAAAAAATAAAAAGTTTGTTTTTTTTGCCATATTTGGCAATGCCAGGCACTTGGTCACGTGATCACTTGTTTCCCTTATTTCTCCTATTGATAGGTATAAGCCTGTTCCAGGCGTTTACCATGCAAAACGAAGCGTGATTGAAAACGGTGTGATAGTTGCGGAAAAGTTCGAAAAAAGAGAGAAAACGAGGGAGATTTGCGTCAGATCGCGGAGGTCCCAATCCTCCCTCGCTTTTCCATTCCGCCATTGGCCCGGGCGCGAAGTACGCAGGAAATATATATGAGCGGTGAAAAGGGAAAGTAAAGAAATGGATAAACAGTGACATTGAGACATAGAAATTTTTTGGTGAAAGAAGAAAAGGGACGGAGTCTTGCAAAACGTTTACACAGGAAATGGCAAAATGGAAAATGGAAAGAAGAGAAGGGAGAAACGGGATGACAAGGTGATGAAAATTATGGGAAAGGGGAAACGGAGAAACTAAGAAACCGAGAAACAGAAAAATAGGTGGAAGAGGAAATGGTGAGAGGGAAAATGGGAAAATGGAAAAATCCAGAAGTGGGATGGATTCATGGAGAAATGGGAAATTTTTGTTATGAATGAATGGGTGAGATGAGCAGCCGAATTATTGGTTGAGAACAACAGGACGAAAACAGAGATTAGAAGGCAGAGGGGATGGCATGGTCATGACATCTGACCACTCCCTTCCCTACCCTCCCTTTTCCCCCACCCCTCCCCCCCCAAAAAGAAACAAGGGACAGAAGAAGTGGCCATTGCTTAAACTTGCAAAGTATTTGACGTATTCAAGTATCTTTCTGTATTTTCTCCATGAGGAGGAGGAAGAGAAGGGAGAGCTGCTCACAGGTTACAGAACCCAGTGATAGATTCCTGTTTGGGTATCTGATTCACTGAACTAAAGCCAGACGTGAGATGAAGCAATTGAAAGTCAACATATACCACAAATATTTACTAAACCAGTTTTTGCCTTTTATATTTTTCCTATAAAATTATATTCATGTACAATAAAATATTTACATTTCTCCATAGCATTATGTTCTATCTAAAAATAGTACATTTGATTGTCTAGCAACAGGAAATCTGTTCTAAGTAATGGGAAGTACTGTCTCAAAATTTCATGGCTTAAAGGGATTTGTCTTGAAATCTCAAAAAGTTCAAAGTATTCACAGCTGTCTTCTTCCCTGGGAATTCATTCCAAAGGGTCTGATCTGACAACAAAGTTACACATTACTTGAAAAAAGATCAATGCTGTGATTGCTGTGTTCCAATGACTGTTTTTTATCTGTAGCATGCTGATCAGCATCCCTGACAAAAAAAAATTAGGATCTTGAAGTTCCCTCACCACGGAATACAAGACAAAAAGGATTATTCAAGTCTCTTAGGTTTAAGAATGCCAGATTATCAACTTCTGGTTGGGCGGTGGCACAATCTTAATCGTTTCTGGGATTATCCACTCAGTCTGCCAAAAATTTAAAAGATCAAATTTGCTGTGACCAATGATCTCTTCTGAGAATTTAAAGTTGACTTTAAGTAGTGCTTATTGCTTTGTCTCACTGAAACAAATATGACAATTTGATCTTAAAAGCTGCAGTAAGCTGATCCGCAAAACAATTTTATCTCCACACTAATGATCGCTATTGACATCAAGTTCTGTTTTAACATCACATCAATCGCACAATCAACAAACAAAACCCACTGAATTGCAAATGTTGAAGTGAACATGGCTCTGTATGAAAAAGCCCTCAAAGTAATTGAGAGTTGATGTGGTGATGCAAGATTTCTGTGCATATTTAGTGCAATCTTTAATGGTGTACTCTAATTTTCTTCCAGGCTGCTCTCTTGAGGCTAATTCAAAGTAAGCTTAAAGATCTGTTTGCTAGGGAACAATGTTTATGGTCAAATAAGTTTTTTGTTCGAAAGTTTGTAAAATCAAAGTAAATAAAAAAATCTCTGGGTATGAAAATGGTAAACAATCAAATTGATACCAAAATTCTATCAGACCTCTTAGGATTGTAAGACTTAATAGGTAAAGTTTCCACAGTCACTGCAAGAAAAGAATATTTGATCACCATGTTCTAATTTCCTATTAATGCTAGGGCTCTTCTTATCAGAGTAGGCCTATGGTTATTAGCATCTGATCATGTGTATAAGCTACACATAGCCTTGGTTGCTATATCATTCAACAGCTGATGGAAAAGTCCACCAAAAGTTAACTGAATTAATATTTGGTTGACAATTTATAAATATTTGATCTTCTGTTCACTGATGGTTGCTCGATAGCTAACTGATGTTTCCCAGTTCTTATACAGTCAGACCTGTATTAAGCAGCCACCTGCGAGAAATTGCAGGGTGACTGCTTACCAATAATAGAGGTTCCACAGAATAAGGGTATCGTTAAAAAAAAAAATAAACAAATAAACAATTCAACACCATAATTGACCACGTAATGTACAAAACTTGGGCAAAAATACAACAAACATGAGTTTGGGAGATAAACATGGATTAGATTTTTAAGGAAATACAACTCTTAGTTTCTGAGTAATTCCACTCCAAGTGACCATTCAAAACATGCAAAGGACACTACAAACAGGCTGTTGGGATTGTGTTCAAGATGACCATGACCACTTTGTAGAGGTGAAAATTACAATAGTTAAGGGGACAGGACTTTGAAAACTGACTGCTTAATACAGGGTGACTGCTTAGCATGGTGCTACTTAATACAGGCTGTACTGCAGTCAGTAAACATCTTTGCTAAGACTTGGTTTACAATCATAAAGTGACAGTATACCGGTAACCCGTCAACTGACAACAGAAATATAGCTAACAATTATTTACTAAAGAGGAGGTAAATATCCACCACTTTCACCAACACCAAGGTGAGTAATTGTTTTAGTAAATACCACACATTTACCAAAAAATTTTTCATGCTTTCATAATATCAAAAAATGGTCTAAAATTTAACTATTAACATGTAACTTTGTCTTATTGGCTGCTTGGAGGTGAACTTTAGTCTGTCATTCACTTCCAAACTAGCTTACCAGTGCATGCGAAAAGCACCACTTACTTATGTGGTTTATACTTTCTTTCAAATCTTTCACTAATTTTCCGAACTTCCCAGCCTCGCTTATTCAAAACAATGAATATTATTATCCAATGGATAAATCTCTATCCAATGGACAACACAGTATGCCAGAGAGATATCTATCTGTTGAATGGCATTTTCCACCCTTTACACAACTGGACCTCAGAGTTCAATTATACTTGAAAATATACCTTACTAATAAAATAAGGGGGACATACAGATCACAAAGTCAATGCATACTTATGCGAGGGTCATGTTTTGCCTACGGTTTAATAAGAAAGATTTACACATAGAAGACTGAACTGGTAATAACCTATATTACATATCTTTAGAAGATCTATACACAAGTTATACATATGTGGCAAGGATACATACAGTACGTGTTAAGTTGAGGTACTTCAGTAATTATATTCATGAACAAACCATGTTGTGAATCATAGGCCATTTTCGATATTTTAAAATTCAAACTTGGCTCCATGGTTTGCTGGAATAAAACATAGGAAATCACACTGAGGTTGAGGGATGAATAATTAATTTATTTTGTTTTATTCCCCTCTTGCCTCAGAGCCATGTTAGAATTTTAATATATCGAAAATGGCCTGGCTCTATGAACAAAGCAGCAAAATAAATGGTCCACTATATTTGACATCTGGTTTTATTATCAAAAATTGAAATAATCTTCAATTGGATTAGATAAACCAGAGGAATTTTAAATTACTTATATCATTTTTTGCTTCCAAATGAAAATCTTATTACTTAATAACCATAAAACAACTATGAAGAGGAGTTAAAACTCTTTCTTTTAATTTCAATTTGGATTAAGAAAAAATCCTATCAATATTAACTTAATAAATGTATAGCTCAAGGACTTAAGGATTAAAATGGGATCAGTTCTCTGGGAGCAGAAATTTTGACCATCTTGTTGGCTTGAATGACAATGACAGAGAGAGATTGTTCCTTGCTGTTAAAAACAGGCACGACCTCTTGCTCAATAACTTAGAAATGCTGTGAAATTACATCTGGTTATGATACATACAGTTTGCAACAACAGTTGTGAACACAACCAAACAAATAGAGTTTCACATTGAAAATCTTGTAATTCTGTAATCGATAAAAAATGATTGCCATGCATCTCACATATGATTTCTCTTTTCCATCCCATTCAAATCAACAGAGATTTTGGGAAATTTCCGCTTTCACAGAGTGTTTCAAAGTATGTATCATCTCACACCTCAGATTTAAATTTACTTTTAAACCTAAAATGAAGGAATAGGTTAAAACCTGTCAAAGTATCCGGAAAATAAAGCCCAAAGTGTCTGTTAAATTTTACTTACCAGTAATTATTTGTTCATAAATCTCAAAATATGTTACAGAAGGTCCCATTAATCTGCCTTGGGGCTTAAGAAAGGAGGCTTAAGCATATTCAGCAACTATAAAACATCTGCAGAACTGATTTTCTACTAAAATAGGCTCTGGGATATTAAAATTTCAACTCTACAATAATAATAATAATAATTAATAAAGATCCATAATGCTATGAAGTTGGTGTCGTAGAGTTTGTTGTCGTTGTAATCATTGCTGTACTACTGCTTTCAATGTTTGAATCAATATTTTCATTTTCTACATTTGTCGCATTGCTGCTGGGCGATAAGTCTTGTGAACCTGCCCCACCAGCCAAGAATCTGACACACTTCTTTTTCCGCCTGAAACAAAGGAGTTTGTGGTTATTGATGATGATGTGACATTTTTATAAAGCACATTATCCATACTACTATACTCTGATGTGCTACCTAGCACTTTGCATGGACATTAAGTTTTCAACTTTAATAGAAATTTACAGATGCCCCCAATGTTGGAAATTTTGGAAACAAGGCCAAACCACGAAAGCAGGAACTACCTTCCATACTCTTTACAAGATGTGCATGGGTTCTTGAACATTCCCTGCTTACTAGTACAGAGACGATGTATGATACAGGGTTTATTGTCCTTATCGGAAAATGAGAGAACCTTAATCAATTAGGACTTCTAATTAATGTTATTGGAAAGACAGCACATTCTCCATAATTGTTAAGACCTCCCTCACGGCAGTCTCCGCTCTACAACCTGAACTAACCAAGCAGTAGTTAACAAGCCAAGCCCTTTTGACTAAAAATTTTATTATGATTCTTATACATAAAGTTTAGCCAAGCTTCACTATTTTTTAACTCTTTGTGAATACTTTTTTAAATAGAATTTACCAGAGAATCTACCTTAGTGATGTTTGCACCGTAAAACTATACAAATCACTGTATCCTCAATTATATAAACAAAAACAACATACAAGGATGAAATTTTCTACACTTTATCTAACCAGGTCTTGGACCCAGACCTCCTGACCCCGAGCCCAAAAAGCCCCCCTGCCCTGCCACCCCTGCTAAAAGTGAGGGATTTTCTTTTCTTTTTTTTAGGTGTAGGTGCTTCAGAGGAATTCTGCTTGAAGTGTTGCCTTATAAAAGCCATGTAAGTAAATGTCGTAGCAAGTTTTCAATTCATTAACTAACAAGTGATGATGGCATTTACACAGACCAACATGGAATTACCAAGAAGTTCCCACAGAACATACCTGCATGGTTTACACCACTCATGCTGTCTGTCAAGACCATATCTTGCTCGACATTTTTTCGGATTTGTAATTTCTGCTAAAAAAAAAAAAGAAAAGAAAATATTTCATTATATTTTTAATTCCTATGTTATATGTGTATACCTCATAATTGGCACCTTCCCTCATCAAGACTCTCTCATTTGACTTTTTCATGGTTGTCACAATAAAAATTGAATTGCTACAAAGAAAAAGGCACATTGTGCAAAAACATGATGTCCTAAATTGCAGTCTAAACATTTTGTCTTTGAAGTAGGTAGGCCACTTGCATTTATTCTTGGAAATTCACTCGACAAATCCAAGCTTGTACTTGTATGATCAAGATGAAAAAGGTAAAGTTCCACAGAAGAAATGAGAAACAAGAAATATCTTAGAAAGAAGTCTATCTCACTTGGACTTCAGACCATATCAAATTTACCCTTTAACTTACAGAAGTAACCAAGACAGAATGTCTCCTTACAATATCAAACAGACAAATGATGAGAATAAAGAAAGAATATAAATTAGGGGATTATTAGTCAATTCAATACCAAATTCTCCAAACCTACAACTTAAGAATTGTTTGGCAGAGAGCAGGAGAGTAACTAATGAAATCTTGGGAGTGAAAGGGACAAGTCATCAGATTAAATTCTTAATTGCCATGGAGGCCAAACTGGTAGCAGCTTCACACCTGCCAGAGTTGAGCAGTTCAGTTACCTTGCGATTTATCTCTTTTTCTCTTCTTCTTTTTCCCTTGTTGCGCATAGTTGTCCCTTGCACTCCAGCCAGGGTATAATTGCATGTGTAATGCTCGTTCTTTTCTCGCCATTTCATAATACTTTGCTTGTTCTTGTCTATCAAGAGCATGCCACTAAAGGAGAAGAAATGAAAGAATAAATTGAACATAAAATTATCGGAGCTTGAATTATGAGATGTGTGTTTCTTGATTGGGAACAAATCACAGTAAGCTGGAAAGCATTTGAACTATGCCCTTAGGGTTCTGAGTCAAATGCACTAACAGCTTACACTATGTTTCCCACAAATGCACAAGATGACACGTGAATACACATCTTAATTAAGGTAAACTTTGAATTAATTGCAACTTTACTGTGCCCTTAAAACTTCTAAAAGATAAGAGATTGGATGGAATGTCTGTCTGTTAAACAAATTCACCCTCAGTTCTTTGGCCAGGGCAGATGGCTTAATCACTACAAACTATTAAATTTTCTTTTACATTTACAATAAAAATCATTTAAATCTTCTTTAAGTTACACTGTCAAGTTCTACTTTTAGACTGTTTTTAACTTTTCATCATTTAAGGTATTTAATGTATTGACTTATATTTAAAACTGAAAAGCTCTGAAGGGAGTTGGGTGTTCAAAAAAATCATATTTGAAAGATATACAAAAATCTTAGAAGATAAGTGTCATGAGAAATATTTCTCCACAACAGACTATTGGTATATGGTTGCCTGTGCCTTCCCCTACCCTAAAAGGTGGCCTTGCTCATAAAGTGGTCGGTGGTTTCCATGGAAATACATGTACATCAGTACAAATTTGGATGAGGAAAGGAAGGAGAAAAAGTTTAAGACTGAGAATTAAAAGGTTCGAATTGACAGTTTTGCTGTTATTTTTCCTTTTTTACTCCTCATTTTCTTGATGCTCTCCAAGGTAATAATAGTTGACAATACAGTTTTTGTTCTTGGGCAAAAATATGTTTTCAAAGTCATCTGGCCTGAGTGAAGCCCAAAGCATATTTAAGCCTTTAACTCCCATAAGTGACCAAGACAGAATTTCTCCTTACAATATCAATACAATATCAAGCAGAAAAGTGATGAGAATGAAGAAAAATATCACTTAGGGGATTATAAGTTGATCCAATACTAAATTCTCCAAACTAACATCACAAGAACTGTATGGGAGACAGTAAGGAGAATAACTAATGAGATCTTGGGAGTTAAAGGGTTAAGCCCTTGAACATACAACTCTAGACATAAACTCTAGAGAGTCCTAAAATGTTTTTAAACTACAAAGGTTAAATTAAAGAAAGGAATGAAAAATTTTAACAAATTAATTGAATAATAAAAAATAAAAATGAGCAGCAAGCCATCCTTTGGTCATACTGGGTTATTACAACTTTTGCTCTTTTTAAACAGATTCAATTTTTTTAAGGGTGCTTTATGTTTTTTTGGTAATGAAATTAAAAACTACTGCAGAACACGAGGCATTTTTCATTGTTGACAATCAACAGAATTGTTACTAAATGCCTCCAACATCCAAGTGAATGATTGTTGAAACATTTGGTAACAACTGACCAGGCAAAGATTGAAACGTATAGTACTAGGCAAAAGTCTGTTATAACCTTGACACACCAAGGTTCAGGCATGCAGCTATTGAATGGAGAACACTGTTTTGGAAGTACGAAAACACCATGTCCTACAGTAATCTGTAATTTGGCATTACCCTTTTTCCAAGTATCTGGTTGATTGCCGCGCTTTCTTTCAGCGTGCACTCTGATACGACTTTTGAGCGCATATCCTTCATATACAACATGAATGCATTAAGAGGTTTCTTGACGTGGCCCTTGGGTAGTCCGTTATTTCCACTTACTGATGTATCCATTCGTGCGTGATCGGGCATAGCTGGAATGCTCTGTGACGATAACAAACTGAAATAGGATAATGATACCAGTTTAGGGCATGAAAAGGAGATAAATCAGGATATCTGTCTAAAAGACAAGGAAGTTTGGCATGCAGGGTGTAAGAAAGGTATCCAATTAAACCTTCAACTCTAAATTAATTCTCCCCTCTTAATGCAACACATTCGTTACAAGAATTTGGTGTAAGATCAAGAAAAGAACTTATACCTGATAAGTTTGAGTTTTCTCATTTCCACTTTTATTCTCATTTGCAGGATTATGTATGAATATTATAGGGAGAAATCACATGTTTATCACTGGGATCACTCTTATAAGCCCCCACTCCATTTTGCCCCCTTTCCAGTATGCCATCCACCTGACACTTCCAGCGATAAATCCCCTCCCTACCCCCTCCCATAATAAACCTCTCTTCTACCCCCCTCCCCACCACCACAATAATAAACCCCTCTCATACTATCCTTCCACTACAATAAACCCTCTTCTATCTCCCTCCTAATATATCAAATCCCTCTCCCATCCCCCTGCCATTATGGTAAACCCCTCTCATTTCCCCCCCTCCTCCCCACCATTACAAACCCCTCTTCTAACTTATCCCCTGGTATCAAATCAGTCAACAAGTAGTTTTGCTATCATCAATCTGAATTAGGGGGTGCTGCAGCACAAAATATACTTGTATTTCAAAGTCTTTGTTGGTCTCTGTTTTAAACATATTGTAAGTTTTCAGCCATAGAAATACATACTATAAATTTAAGGTCATTCATTAACCTTTACACCCTAAGTTCTCCATACTGTTCTCTATATATTTCCTATGGTACTTTCAGGAGAATAGAAGCTTCTTAAATCTTATGATCATTTACTTTATTCTCAAAACTTTGATACTCAATTCAAGTGTAATATTGTAAGGAGAAAGTACGTGCTTGGGTTAATTTGGATGACAATGCAGGCAAGAAAGAAAAAGGCTCCCATTTCAGCTCTTAGTAAGTTTCTAATAAATACTGACTCTAATGGGTTCCCATATTGGGAAACCCTAGAAACAATAAAGCCCCTTAGAAACTTATCAGCTCTTTACACGGTGACTATGTGAGGAGAAATTATATGCTAGGTACTCTTTGGGGACAAAAGGAACAATGGTGTCTAAGAACATCACCTTCCAGTTCCACAAGTTGATGGGGTGCGACTTATAACTGTTTGGTTTGGAGGAGGTGGCGGACAGCAGACCCCACGGGGGTCCGCTGTTATAGTTGGGTGAGAGAGTCTTGAAATGCCAGCTGATGTTGGTCCAACTTGGCTTGGGTAGTTTGGATACTGAGATGGTGGCTGGCCGATTATGGGTGAGTGGGGTTGCCTATAAGGACAGACATGGAAGATAAAGTCTTAACAGATTAGTAAGCTATTCAAGAACTGATCAAACTGAAACTAATTATAACTACTCCCATTCAGTCATTTTCTATAGGAGCTTTTTGATGACAGTGGTTAGTTTGGAAAGTTTAGCCGAATGCATTTAAGATTGGGAAGTGTCAGTCAGCTATGTTCTGACACTTTCATGTTTTTCCTTTGACATTTTTCAAGGTAAATTTGAGTCAAGAGACTGAAAAACAGGGCATTCAACAAAAAAGATGGGATTAAATACAAGGGAAATCCCATTTTGCTCAACATTTCATTTTGGCAAATTTCAGCATGAAGCTCTAGAGTACTGCTCTGTTGACTGTTTGTTTAAAAGCCACTTACACGATGCTTACTAAGAACATCAGGAACAAACTTGGCTGCATCTTGTCTGCCTCTGTTTAGTTCTTACCACATTTTGACGTCATCTGATGCACCAAAAAATGAATTCTCATCATTAATTGATTCACTCACCACAAAGGAGGATCATAGTGATATCTTCTACTGTCCGGTCCTTTGACTCCAGGGTACATAGTGTATTGATACTGCGGGGCATTAGTGTATGGATGATGATGATGAGCAGGGTGAAAGATACCCGCAGGTCGCGAGCCAGGCCCACGTTGTAGAACATGCTTCATGTCATCTTGCGGTGGCGGCACAGGACCCCCTCGTGAATACCCCGGATGAGATCCAGAGTTTAAATGTTCATTATAACGATCGGGAAATGAAAGGAGTTGGGCAATTGGTGCTGAACTCGCATCTGACCTTTGTTTAGAATCCTAATTGCAAGAAGATCAGAACACTTGATCAGAAATGTAAAGCCTCACTATGCCTAAGTGCTTTTACTTCAACTTAAATAACAATTAACCATTTTAGTCCCTAACACCGGTTAACCCTTTAAATCCTAAGAGTGACCTGCATCCAAATTCTCCTCACAATAATTACTGCTGAACCATTCATTGATATGGTGAGAATAAAGGAAATGATCCCCAACCTATGATGCTTTGATTGTCAAACAAATTCTCCTTGCCCAGACCAGAGGAAATGTATAGAGAAGGGTGAGGAGAAAATGGATACTGATGTTCGGGTGTAAAGAGTTAATGTATTCTCCATACTGTTCCATATACATTTCCTTTGGCACTGGCCAGGAGGATCATTGTCTACCAGTCAAGAGCTTCTTAAAGCAGTGATCATTTTCTTTATTCTCATGACTTCAGTGTTTGATTCAGCAGTGATAATGTATGGAGAAATTAGATGATAATCAGTCTGAAAGGTTAAAGGGTTAAATGGAAGTTTATTGAGCTGGACAAACTACCCACAAAAGATAATTTTGAAAAGGAGTAATTTCACCCCCCAGCGTTTTTTTTTCTATGAAAATAGTGTAGCAAGTAACTTAGATAATGGGTTAAAGTAATGAGTACATTAAAACATTTTAGACAGCTTTCTCCTATTAAAGCTTAAAACAGCATAAAATACACACACACACACAAAAAAAACATTTAACTTGAATTTCTGTCATAAACAACTTGATGCATTTCCAGAATATTCAGCTAAGGAATGAGACATACAAGATCATTTAGTTTTAACAACTGAGTTGATAATGTAAATTGGCCTTCGTGAAGTGTTTCCAATGCTGATGTTCTGAGTGTTAGCCACTCACAAGAAAGAAAGAGATGTACACTTTACTCAATACTCCAGAAAAGAGTGTGACTTTGAACAAGTTAAAGACGTTGCATGTTTGATTGCTAGACTAATCGCCAATCAACAGTTTGACCAAGAAGTGCTTGATTCTAAAGTCCATTAGACCTTAGTGCTATTATCTGATCTGGTCTTCCACAGAAAGGCCTGCTTTGCTATAAGTCTCACTTATGAAAATCATTTAACCTCCTACTTTGACCATTTCTTTTGTCTAAATGAGCTTTCTTTTTTCAGCTGCAAGGATAGTAAACAGTTTGAACATCCTTTTAAAAATTTAAACAAAACAGGTAAATTCAAGACAATAATAACACTTTTAGCTGACTTCCACTTGAAAATGTTGAACCAGCTACACAAAATCATTGAAAATTTTGAAATGTCATTGCACCTAAAACCAACAAGTTTCAAGTTCTTATTCAATTCTACTGAGTTTAAACTCCTGCTACAGGTGCAGGAGAAATTGTGAAAATGCGTTTTTTGGAACAAATTTTAGTTTCAAAAGTTCTGAAAGAAAAATGGACAATATGGGAAACATCAAAGAGAACTCAGAAAATGACACGTTAATTTAGTCTAGGTAGGAGGTGACCAAATTTTAATGAACGTTTCAAGTTAATTATATCAAAAAAATTCAGCTGTGCAGAAGGCGCAATTTTCTCGTTCTAAAAGTGGTCGGCTCTATTTTAAGTTGAATCCGGAGAAACATTACAAAATCACCATAGAAAAGATGGAAAAAAAATTGTTCGATCGCTTAACTAAACTTCGTAAGCTAGTTAATCGATCAATATCAAAAAGGCCGTTAAAATGTTTTAATGCAAGCTTTACAGTTTGTTCGCTCTTCTTGCGTTGCGGCAATTTCGTTATCTGTTTCACAGCCTCGAGCACATAAACCAATACTGCCATCTGCCGTTGGAAATGTAATTTACGACTGAAAATGGACAGAAATCAATGGACTCGAAAGCGAAAGGCTTCATTTCAATACACAGAGATTTAAGAAATCTGCTATTATTAATCGACGATCCGCCAGAGGATTTTTATAGACGCACAAAAGGCCACATATGACCTAGTTCCCAGATAGCTTAGGGCAACTTAAAGGTGTAAATGAAAAAGGCTTCAAGAGTTTTTGCCCTTCTTAATGGGAGGCAAAACAGCAGATGATATCTTTTCATTTTAAAATAGGTGTTTGGGTGATTTTTTCCAATTAAGCTCTTAACACGCTTTTGAGTTCTTGCTAGCAGGTCTATTGAGAGGAAATAGTGTGCTCTTCACACAAAACTCGGGCCGCAAATATCGCCACTTTTTTTTTCCTAGAAACAAAGGAAGCGCCATTGAGAGCTGACGAGAAAAGCAGCAATTTCACTAAGTTCCTAATTCGTTGCCTCTTGACGCTAGAAAAACTTACCGGAAATGCAAGGTACAAGTGCTTTTTTGGAACGTGTGATCAGCACCGCGCGCGAGAGAGAACAGCTTACCCTTCAGAATTTCCCGCGAAATCAACCCATTTCGAAGTTTGAAGTCGGACAGGTTAGAAAAAAGTCACGTCAACACAGCATTCTGATATTTTTCAATTATCCTGTACTTCCAATTTTCCACACCAGTGAATCAAGTCAATCATTGTCAAAACCGATTTAAACAACGGAAAAATGCATCTCTACGATCTACACGTCCATAAGTTCCCCAAGTACAGAGCCTGTTGGCATATTCAGCTCAGCCGGGGTGTTGGAAATTGCACGTCGCTGTTTGTCCCAAGTGAACCAAGGCGTTTTAATACAGCATCGTTCGCGAATTATGTGCCGTTGAAAGCACAACAAGCACGTCAAAATATGAAAACACTTGGACAATGAATGAAAAAGTAACTATTCCAAAGAGGAAATTATACTAAAAAACCCACAAAAGGACCAGCATTAAATATCAAAAATAGCGCTGAACTAAATCACTTAAAATATGGTCGGCGAACTTTGCTGTGAAAAACTTGAGCTGCAGCACTGAAATCCGATCCTAAGATATAATTACAAGTGTTAAAAAGCCTTTACCTACTATCGAGCCTACGGTAAACCACTAAAGGCACAGAATAACTCGCGAATAGAGAGAAAAACCATGAAATTCTCTGAGACTTAAGAAAGAATTTCGAACGATTTAGACTTCACCACAACCCGCCGTTTAGATAAATATATAACATCAAAACAAGCTCTGCTGTCGAAATTTCCCCCAAGAGCTAGACAATGTATATTTTTTCGAGGCCACTTGGGGCTAGTGGCGGCATCCTTTGATTATTTATACCGCGAAGCGAGAAATTTTAAAATCGGAGCAAATAACATACTCGGGTGAGAGACACGTTAGCGAAACTTGCACAAGTTTTCGGCCGAGTGCTTGGAACTTCTAATCTCTTGCAAGAAACTGCAGCAAAAATTATGACGGCGTATTCCTTTCGGTAAAAAATAAAAGTTTATTTACTATTTTTCTAAACAATATGATTCTATGTTCGAGACTTTGAGGACGCCGCTTGCAACTGTCCCCCGATCCAACGAACCAAAGTTGCTTGCAGCGACACCGAAGCGCAAAGCAGAAAGGAAGTCGGCCAACTTGCATGAAAAAATAAGTCTTGCTTTAAAACGGCTTGGCTTACGGATAAAATTATAAAAAGGTCTACTCACCTCTGAATTTTCGGTCTCTTTTTTGATCAGGTCAGACTTGATATCGTTCACGAGGTCTAAATGCGTACCGTTCTCAGAGTCCTCACCATCTTCCTGCTTATATTCCTTCACTTCATCGTCCGCGCCGAGATCTTCGGTTGAACTGTTGGGTAGTTGAGGCATTTTAGCCTCGTTTATCGTGGAAAAACCCTCGAGTTTCGCTGCTTCGAATTTATTTCGCCTCGCTGTGTTGTGCTGGTATATGAGCCTCAAGAGTCGGCGGCAACTCTAAAGGAATAACATCAAAGGACGCCGACACTGTGATTGACAGTGATTAATCAGGCGATCAGTCAAAGGGGCCAATAAAAAATGAGAAGATTGCCGACGTCATCATAATTATATTTCCTACATTCTTGATGTCAGTCCAGCCCAAGTTTAGCGGCTTTTCTCTTCAAAGTTTCACACCTCGATCCTTCAAAAAATTACAAGTGATTCACACGATATGGGCTATGCAGAGAAACATGGATTTTTGTTGAAAGATAAGGAGTACTTCTTAGCGTACCCCCAACCCTCGTAATGAACATTAAACTCTTTCTGCTTCTATTGATAATGTGTAATCGCATTTGGCGCTTATAGCTGTGCTTAATAGTCTAACCTTTCCTAATGTTAACGTGGTACACAAATGAGCCTTGCTAACTAAATTTTCGCCCAGCAAAGGGAAAGATCTCATTTTGATGCTATCAAGCGACAACGAGCAGATTCAAACGACATAAGGGAAATTTGCCGCCTTCACCGACGGATGAGGTAAAATATCGAATTTGTCGTCTGCATAACGCATGTAGGTAAAACCGGAACTACCTACTTTGTTTACCTGTTGTTTAAAGCGTACCTTGAGCCCACTCGTGTCGCTAATAAACAGGAAACCAAAATGACTTAAATACCAGAGAATTCACGAATAACTACATAAATAAAATCTTACAAGATTCCAGCTGCAAAGAAGAATCAGAGCTTGATTTGCAATAAAGCTAGATTTTTTTTCGTAATTGGTAGTCCGATATAACAAGATTCATAGACAGATGGAAGCCTTTGACATGATGTCTAGTTTGAACAGTTTAGTTTTAAATAGAACTAGTAACCAGGAAATCTGGTTGAAAAGTTTTTGCAAAAAAACCCTTTTAAACGAGATCAAAATAATTCGATGGTCTTGATCATTACTCTCCAACAACTGGGTTCCACAAAAGATCAAAACCCCTTCGTCGTCCTTAAAAATATCTATATACATCTTCTCTTGGCCAATATTTTGTTCTTTAACTCACTAAAACACTAATTTCTGCATTACTCCCTGCTTTGAGTGTTTGGTCGAGCTATTAAGACCAATTATAATCAAATCAAAGATATGTTTATGTCTATGAAAATGTCTCGCCTTGTACTTTACTAAATCGCTATGAGAACTGCGATATCCCTGCCTAAGAGCGCGCCGGCTTATTGCAAATATAATCCTTCAAATGCAAGAATTAAAAAAAACACTCTATGATTACAAGACTTGCGGTGAATATTTCCCAAATTTTGTCAAACATTTCCAATTTCAAAAGATGGAGTGGTAGATTTCTCGGAACTGTTATTTTTTTTCGCCGCGTTATGACGTTACCCCAACCTCTCCTCCCTTGTTAAGTGCGCATAATTTCTTTGATGAGAGCGTTCCATTGTCCTTTCAATGATGTTAGCCAAGGTTGCACACATCAAAGGAGCCGCCGCGTCTCGTAAAAACGTAATTACTAAAAGTGTCAACTTCACTTTAAGAGGGTTCCAAGCGGTCAGGTGAAGCAGTGCTAAATAAACACTTACATTACCGTTAACAATGCCTTCTACGTGCTTGCTGCACAGAAAATGGTCTATTTAAGTGATAAACTTAATTATGGCTTCTAAGTTCGCGTTTGGCCATCAAGAATTTTTGCTAGGCCGCGCGCGACGCGTGTAAAACGCGTACTACGTGAGATTACGTGGGAGGAAGTCAGATTACGTCTTTCAAGGGCGCCACCCGTTGTTTTCCGTAGATGTCTGCCTGTCGCCTCACAGCGTGTAAATACGTGATATTTCTCAAGTTATTTGTTTTTAAATAGTAGCGTTTATCAATAAGGCTATTTTCCCAACCCAAATCATAAAGACACGAATATATCGCTTTGAAATAAGAAAAACAGGAAATCAGCCGAACCACATCATTCGCAGCCGCTATCCTCGCTCTAATGCGCCGAATCTCAAATTTACGTTCACAGTCGCCTCGAAAAATATCTCAACTTTTAAAAGAATATCAACAACGTTTAAGATAATTTCAATTAAAGGAAATTTTCAAATCATCGGATGTAATCAACAAAAACGGTAACGATGATTGCGTCAAAATATCTTAACCAGGCGTTAAAATTTTATCATTTCTTCTCTCGAAACTCATGCAGAAAGGGCAACTGAGGTTTCGCCAAAATCTTATTTGTTTATTTTGGGATCAAATGAAATCAAATCGGTGATCGCCTTTCCCGAAAACTCTTTTTCGTTCAATTCCAATGCGGCTAATTGCCTTCGGAAGCCATATCAATTTTTTAACAACGTGTTTTATTATTGTCAGTGAAAATGAAGAACCACCAATATACACCGACAGTCCTATGTCGGTAAAATTAAGCGCGGTACGCCAAAGACAGCCCTAATTTTCCGGTCTTACAGCCAAAGACAAACAAACTGCACAGAAACAACACTGCACTATAGCACATATAATTCATCCGGAGAAAACTCACAAAACTAATCCTAAATAAAAAACTTGATTGATCAGCGTAAATGACAAGGATTAGATCTTTCGCTGGCATATTAGCACTTAGGCCATCCACACGTGGGTTTTTGTCGTTACGTAATTAAAGAATGTTCTTTTACCAGCGCGTGAATTATATTCAATATTATTATGATTATACCGCGATGCCACCTTAGTTTCAATTAAGGTCTTTGGTGGATACATTGAAGCAGTTATGCTGCAAAAAGCCAGGTGATGTTTTGTACATGTAAGCGGTTTGTTCTCGCCATTAACATCATTCAGTTTTTTCCTCACGAAAGGAATTGAACTTTTAGAACTGAACTATAGAATCCTAATGGTTTCAGACAAAATTCAATATTAGGAAATGCGACAAGAAAGTAGCGAATTTGAGAGTTTCTTTTCAGTTAGGCATGAAAACAAACTATCAATGATACTAAAAATTATTCTTTGCTGAAATCCACCTTGTAAAGTTAAAGAAAATTTTTTCAAAAGTGCCAACGATGTTTTCCTAATACTGGGAAACCTAGCTAGTTTTCAATTCTTAAGATTCGTAAAACATATTTTTCATATTTTTTAGTTTCACTTAAAAATGTTCCTAACCTTACTTCTTTTCTTTCAATAGCGCCTTTTTTTAGCGACTTTTGTTTTATTTAGAATAAACGAAAAAAAAGACAGCCTGTTTTCCTCTTTCTCGCGTCCGCGACGCAGTGAGAACCGTTCGCTGTCAAAGAACGCTCGCTAGTTAAGCCAAAACGCTTGCGTTCGAATCTTTCTTTAATAAAAACGTGATGTACACAGCATGTTTCAGCGAAATGCAAAAACTCTTCTCAGTACATAAAAAATTGAAATTTAGAAGTGGAATTTTATAATTTTGAATAATAATTTTGGTTCGCATTTAGACGGTTGTCGGTTTTCATTTCGTGAAATATGGGATACAAATTTGATTAACATGCTTTTTGCCTGCTCTTTTTAAAATGGCGTAGCGTGAAAAAGTTCTTAGACATTGAGATAATATATCATATCGTTTAATTTGTTGTTGGTAACTATGTATTTAAACCAGATTATGTGCTGTGTCAAATGATCTATAAAAAGAAAAAAAAATCTTAGCTCAAAACGGATGATGTTTTAGGTACAGAGGGGAACAACATGCAACAACCTTGTCTTTTGGCTAAAGTAATTTGAGAACGCTAATCAAAAAACTCTTTTGTCTACAAATTCTCTTTATTTCAATACACTGCGCCCCACTTTCCCTTCTTACGACAAATTATACTAAAACATTTTGGTCGAATGAGCTAGTATTTCAAGGTTCGTCCACCTCGACCCTGATACTACCAAATTACTTTGTCATATTCTCCCACCGAAGCAGCACCACAGTTTCTTTAGAAACTTACTCCTTCTCTTCATTTATGATGTTTATCTTCGTATTTTCCCGACTGATTTTGTTTCTTTTCGTTTTATCCTACTCTGTTTGGTTAGTTAGTCCACTGACTGAATAAACGAATTTGTTCAAAGTCTTACTGTATTCAAAAACATCTCTTTATCATGCTGTGACATAACTCAAAATCATGATCGTTACTAAGTTCCTTTAGCTACCGCTAGTTTCCTGAGGAAACTGAGAGAAAAAGAAAACTTTCAACGCCAGAGTCTACTTCCTTTCACCCTTTTGGACTGACCAGCATCTAATTTCTCCTTATATCCCTGAATCAGACATTGAGGTGCACGATAATGAAGGAAATGACTGATCACCAACTAAATTTAAGTAGCTCTTCAAGTGATCGTTTATTAAATTATCCTTGTCAGTACCGAAGGAAATTTGTAAAAAAAAAAAAGTATAGGGAATGCGTTTACTGAAGTTAAGGTGTAGAGAGTTAAACTGATCAGTCTACCTGAGAAATGCTATCTTTTGACAAATTCTGAATTTTAGCAATCAACCCAAGCTCGGGATCTGCCAGCTTATTTCATCCTGACAACATTATACACTTCTGTGCGCGTGTAGAGTACTTTGTGAATTTATGCAATCATATCGATTATTCCGGTATTTTGAACTGCAAAGTATTATTTGAAAAACAGTCTGATTTTGTCGTGGAATTCTGGTATAGAAGGATTTATCTCCTTCGAATCGAATGTCTCGTGATTCGGGGACTATTGTTTCACAGCCGCACTGAACCGAGCCGCACTTGCTGTAAAAGTCCGTGAAAACGTGCGTGAACAGGAAAGACTTGACTGTTCCCTTACCACCGCTTTGACTAAGTATCGAAGGACACAATAATGCTAAATTTAAAGAAATCACATGGATCTATTAGGACCTCTGGTAAATTTTTTTTGCATGAGAGAGCTCGGTCAACGAGAAAGGCCACAAACCAAGTTTGATGTGACACACACCATGCAT